TCTTTCGTTCTTCCTTCTTTCTTTTTCTTTCTTCTCTTCTGACTACGTCCCTCCCAACACCCAACGTCCAACCACGTTTCGCCCAACATCGAACGACTTCCAACGTCCACCTACAACTACTCTCCGCATCCAACCCGCATCCCCTCATCCACACCTGAATTCAGAACGGAATTTAGAGCGGAATTTAGAGCGGAATTCGGAGGCGACCGCTCGCGCCGAATACGAGCGCATCACACCACCCTCATTCCTCATTCCTCATCCCTCATCCCTCATCCACACTCCGTATTGCGTAGCTACATCTACATCCCAGCGCCCGCGAGCTCTTCGTGTCATAAAATCATACAACGGGCCTGCGGAAGCGTGCAGCTGTGGGCACTCGAGGTGGTATGGGAGTCGGATCTGCGGTATGGGCGACTGGTGACGGGCGATGGGCAATGGGCGATGGGCGACGGGCAATGGGCAATGGGATGCGGGACGCGAGTGCGGGTGTCCTTCTAGACACCCATGTCCGCTGGCCCTCTCCCGGCCCTCTACTTTATTTCTACTCAATCTCTACTGAATTTCCACTGAACTCCTACTAAACTGAACGAGCAAACTCTCAGACAGAGGCCCACCTGCTTTCTTCTCTATATCGATATCGACGTAAGACATAAGGATAACGACGATAACAACGATAACGACGATTCGTCCGCACCGCACCGCACCGCACCCGCCCCGCAGTGGTGAGCGAACCCCGCCGTGGTGCGTGACCCCAGCCACGGTGATTCGAACACCGCGACCGCGACTGCGTATCTTGCTTGCGCGCGTGGATGGTGCACCGGTGAGGAGCTGCTTGCCCGGCGCCAGTAGGCAAGAAGGGCCAAGCCAAGCTGCTCGCAATACGCCACCGACACTCGATGTCTTCCACCACTCCTCATCTCAACCTCAACCTCCACTCCTCATCTCAACTCCTCATCTCAACCTCAACTGATCATCTCAACCTCAACTGCTCAGAACACTCATTGAACACTCACACAACGGTCGTAGACGGTAGACGGGCCTTTACTGGCACACTGGCACACTGGCATCGTCCACATGTCCACATGTCCACATGTGCACAGAATGGTTGGTATGCGGAATCGTATGCGGAAAAGGATGTGGAATGGTATGCGGAATGGTATGCGGAAAGGATGCGGAAAGGATGTACATACTGGGACCGCTACCCCGACATGCATATCTTGCATATCTTCTCTTCATATCTTCTCTTCTCTTCTCCCAGGGAACGGGGTTCGTATGAGGCACTGCCTCGACTCCATCCGCCTGTCTCTAATGTGCTCGTCGGATGGGCAATCGTTTCACCGGGGGATGTCGTCCGTCGATGGCACGATTCTGATAGGATCAATTGGGTCATAACTTCAACACAAGCACCCATGCGGTGAATAGCCTCCCGATGCCGTTGTTATTGCACTAGGCATCATATTGTAAAATTGAATTCCACCGTGGTCTTGGGGATGTATGTTTCGGTTCATTGGTAGATTGATAGATGCTCTCGACCGTTCCGATATCTGATGCTGTCAGGGTTCCAAATGTTCGGCGCTGTAATATCCGCCACCCCTCCTTCAACCGAGAGTCCGTCCATTTAGTAGCATACTTCCCGGGTGCTTCGCGCCTCGACAGCAAGGGAGGGTCCCATCGAACATAGCATAGTACACGTACACGTACACCTGCACACCACGCATCCCTATTCGTTCAACACCGACATACGACGAGCTTGAGACCCACGTTAACGCTCCCCCACGCGCGATTCCTCCTCACTTACTTTCAGGTGGCCCCATGTGCGCGTTTCAGCGCCACCTACCGCTACCTGCAGGTGGCAGGTGACATATGCACGTCCAACCTGCTTTCCCCAGCTTGCGCTCCTCCGATTTGCGAATCGATCGACTCCTGATTATTCTCCTCGGGACATAAACGTAAACGTGAGCGTAAGCGTAAGAGTAAGAGGGGGGCATATTCTCTGCTTACCCCGCCGCCCAATATCGATAGCAATATCAATAGCGATGCCCAGAAGGAACTGATATTTCGTACTGGGTCTCGAGGAGGCGAGGAGATGAAGACTGCCATCCTCGCACTCATAGCCTGCGCCGCCACTGCTGCATATGCATATGCATGGCCTCTCGACGATGCTACGGTTCGGGCAAAATGGGGCGACTCATCTGTGGTTGCTTTATTACCGCCCCATCTGCCCCGTCTTGAGCTCTAACTCTAACAATTATATGCAGAGACATTGCGTTCGATACTCGGTACTTGATACTTCATGTCGCCACCCCCGGCATCCTGTCTGTAAACTGTGAACTGTGACCTGTGAACTGTGGATCGCAGCAAAGCAAATCAAAGCAAAGCAAAGCAGTGTGTGTGTGTGTGTGTGTGTATGCGACCATCTATGGTTCGTACCGCCTTGCTGATACACCGGTTCACCGCCTATAGAGTGATCTGGATTCAGGTTGGCTAGCTACTGCGCTGTTCGGGAACTCGCAGCTCGCAGCTCGTGTAGACATACATCAAGTGTGTTCGCTCCTCGGGGCATAGTATCATCCGATTCGATTCGATTCGGGCCCGGACGCGCACGCGCACGCGGTATGAGGCTCTGAGGGACGTCAAGGCTCTGCGTGAACTCAAGCAAAGGACGGTGTAACAGCACGGCATGGAATAAGACGCCTGTTCGAGACCAGAGGGTTCGTGTCGGTCGACTCAACCACGGCTCAAAAAAAACTGTATCGAAGCAGGTGGGTTTCGTTTTGAGGTTCTGAGTTGTACAGTGGCCGTGATATACAGGCGAGGGGAGGATAGAACCGTGGATGGATGCAACCGAGTAGCGGCGATCGTGATCGGGTAGCGCGAGATGGTGCATCAGCGGGGGGACAGGCAAATGAGATTCGCAGTAACAGCACAAGTATGCATCGTGAGTGGTAGGAACCAGTACGTGGCACCGCGCGGCGACGAGCTCTACGGCGAGAATTTCGATTTCGGAGTCGGCGACGCGGGTGGAGCGTAGCAGCGATACTTGTGGCCGCCACCGTGGTACCCATGGGGCGTCCGCGTCTCTGCGGCGTGCGGCGTGCGATGGCGCGGCCATGTGTACGTGGAGCTCGAAGGAGGGCCGCCAGGCACCGGCGTGGGCGTTGTCTCGTAGGCTCATTCGCGGGGGATTGAGAGGGGGAGGGGAGAGATCTCCGTGAAGCAGAAGGGAGGGCCTTGCTGCCGTTTCACCAAGAAACGGCCCACCTTATAACCATATCCAAAATCAGAGTCAGACCTTTGACACTCGGGGGGGCATAGGCCGAGTATTGCTACCCAGCACGTTGATGCGATTCTACCGACGGATAAACTCGGCGGTGGCGCAGAGTGATGGATCCGTTCGCACGATGGACACGCCGAATCAGAGTCAGAGAGAGAGGCGCGGAGAAGCGCAATGCTATTGTTTCCGTCCCGGATTACAGGATGTTAGTATGCAACGGGATCTAGTGGTTCTAGGCAATGCGTCTGGGATGCAGTATTACGTCAGTACGTTGATGAGTCGCGGAAGCCGCGGGTGCTGAAAACGAAGGTTCGATCCCGCCGACGTGAGCGAACACTATCTTCCGACTTCACCTTTGGCACTTAGGGGAGCATCATAACGCCACCACGCATCGGTATACCGGCCTTCGGCCAGTCGCACCGTCGTCTCCCGCATGGTCGTCGTTCTAGTTCCCGTTCGGCTATTCTAGAGGTGCGTCGCGGGCATGCGGAATAGGACTCTACATCTGCTTGCATTTCAAGCCCATCCTGCGTCGGGACATCCGCAAACTTCGAAGCAGATGAACGGGAAACGAACAGCGATCAAAGCAAAACTCCCTAGCAGGCATGTGCCACGAGATGCAGAGGCCTCGATATCGATGACCTCTCCGAGACGATGCGTACTTAGTAACCTTTGCTCCTTGGGGGATCTCTGGCTTCTGCCTCTGGGGTCTCGAATGCAGATGCATAGCTGACGTAGGATGCATGCATATGCATGAGAACACGGAAGAAGTGCGGATACCACTGAGGAACAAAGGCTCAACGCCGTTTCGCCTCTTGGGTGCTTGGTGATGAGCGGGGTCTCAACGTACGAGGAACGAGATGAGGGAAATGAAACACACCTGGCTTGAAATACGAGTGTGACCCACCGTGACCGTCGTTCCCTGCTATCCAGATCGCACTTGTCCCCCAATATGCGCTGAATCGGTCTGCCATTCAGTCCCGATTTACTGTCAGACCTCCTTCTTGTCATCCGAAGCTATCGCACACGCGCCATTCGCAGAGCCTGCTTGACTTTCTCGGTGGAGCATCGGCTGCTTACTCCTCCGCTATGTCGTGTACGATTCCGGATTGAAAATGTGTAAAGATTTAGCGGAGAATGATACAATGAAGACGTCATTCAAAGGTGCAGTTGAGTGACACTCTGGTGCCACAAAGAGCGGGACTCACCAAGGGCATCAAGGAGAGAACCTATCGGTTACCAGTGTGGCTCCCAAATGCCAATCAAACTTGAAAGCTTGACATGTTGACAATTTCACTCCTGTCTGATATGGCACGCTCGTTCTTCGCATGAACGTAACGAGTGGATCCGCCCTCGAAATGATTACAAATGCCGTATGCCTAATGGTTCACTGTGCCGTGTATGTATTAGTACCGCGCAGTGATGGGTGATGGATGATGCGTAGCACGTACATATTATTTTCAACCCTGCCGATTCTTCACAATACACCACAGCACAACCCCAATCAGCACTGGCGGTACGACGATCACCGCCCACACCACATTCACGGGGTCCCGCGCGATCACCCAGACGTAGTGAGAGCGGGAGAACTGCGGCGGCGTTTCAAGTTCAAGGTAGTATTCGTCGACACATATGTCGCCTGGGATGTGCGCCGCGGTCAGATGGATGTGGTCCAAGTCGATGTGCTCGTCGATGTAGGTAAGGTGGTCGGTTTTCGGTGACATCGATGTCGATCTTGGGTGCGTGTAGGGCTGGTGACTAGTGAAAGTCTGGAAGGAGTGCGGTCGTCGGGAATGTCTTGCTAAGGACTGGGGTAACGAATGAACGGACGAACTGTCGAATCCAGTCGTGGGATTAGATTTGATCGCAGTTATACGCTGTGGCCTGAGAAACTGCCTGGCTGCGGGGTCGGCTGAAAGTCTCAAAGCTGTTTCTTGGCGCCTAACCTTCCGGTCACAATGACGTTCTGAGCTACGAGGTGAATATCATTCGAGATACTCTCAGAACCAAAGGTGTTCTCTGAGCTTGATTGGAACAAGCAATGCGTTGAACAGGTGGGGAACAAGGGAAGGCCGCATCGAACATTACGAAGTACCGAGCATCGAAGACGCTCGCAGAGAGGTGCGTACGACTACTCCCTCACCATATACCAGCGATTCCCATTAATCTGTAATCTATCTTTCATTCAGCGGCTTGGGAGTTCTACGACAAGCACAAAGCTGAGATAACCTGGGATGTCGTGGTTATCAATCCATTTGTGAGTCGTCTCGCCACTCACCCCATCGCATCCTCATCGTCTTCCTACACCACTCCTTCAGGTATTCGGTCCAGTTATCCATGACGTGGCCTCTTGCGACACGCTCAATACATCTTCATCCGACCTCCTCAAAGTACTCCCGACCCCGTCTACCTCTCTATCTGCCATGTCGTCGGAGACATTGACCCCCACTGGCTCATGCTGGATCGACGTACGCGATTTAGCGGAAGGACACGCGAAGGCGCTCGAGGTCCCCGACGCCGGAGGGGAGAGGATCATCATCAGTGCGGGACCGTACGTCTGGCAGGATTGGAGTAAGCCGTATGTTGAGGGTTAGTGTGAAGTTTTCGCTAATCTTCTTCGTAGTCGACGTGGCCCAAGGCCTTTCCCCATCCGTCGCCCTGCCATATTGCATGGTAAAAGAATGCTAAATTAGTTCCGAGGTTCGCGAGCACGTCGGTGTCGATTCGTTATTTGGAGCGTAGTACTTATCAGCGGTCGAGTCGAGTGGGACGGCGGGAAGGAAAAGATAGCCGGGCGTTCGAGGAGTTCGTAGAGTCATATTTGAGATCTGAGACGTGGAAGATGCGAAGAGCGTTGAAAGCATGGGAAGAGGATATGCATGCGTACGCCATACACGCCCGAAGGTCACAATGGGGAGGAGTAGGGTAGGCAGCTGGAAATCAAAAGAGGGTAGGTAACCAGACAGAGAGTCGCACGGACGGGAAATACGTATCAAGACGCATTCGAGGAGAGGGAGAAGGAAATACTACGAAACATCGCAGGAAACAGAGATTGTATTGAGAAGACGCACTGTGGGGGAGGGGGACGCCATACGCATGGCGGGACGTAGCACAGAAGCAGAGGAGACGCACCATATTGAGTAGCTTGTCTACCTATGTCGCCCCGCCGCGCAGCCGTACTCGGAGCTCCATTTTTCTGGTTTCTGGAGAGAGGGGTGGTTGAAAGTTGCTTACCATGATACCACGGCGCTCCTCGTGTTATGTCATGTCTTGCGTCGTTGGTTGTATCTTGTATGATTGGTTGGAGAGCCGCCAGGTATCGTGCACATTCTTCGTATTTGCATTTGAATGGAGCTGATGCATCCGTGCTTCGGAAATCTACATGGCCATGGCATGACTTGGGTCCGTGTCTGAGTGAAAAGGTTGTTGAAAATGTTGTCTCTTGAGATATTGACGACTCACTCGTATTCTGACAGTGGAAATGCCAGTACTGACGACGGCTAGAATACCTTTCCTTCTTCTCATCTTTAGACGTTACATAAATCTCAGTAGCTGCTACGTGAAGGCTGTCTCCAATGCAACACCATCGAATCGACAAGCATTTTATCAAGCGGTCAGTGTTATCTTCGGGCTTCTATGTTACATCTTTGTTATATACTTGAAAACAATACCGTTCGGCCTTGACGACATATTTCTTTTAGGCAAATGGGGAGCCAACCGGACTACGTATCAAACTGCAGGCGTTGACTTTTACACTTTTCGGTTCCTTGCCGCTCCCACGGCATCGCCTGCACTCTTTGTCTTCGCAATCCGCGTCTTGCGGGTCCTGGTCATCCGGTTGTGGGCCCTTTGCGGTTCCCTCGTCACCATTTTCGCCCGTCGCCGCTAACTGACGCTGCTCTGCGTCTTCAGGGTCCTTTTCTCCATCGTCAGTGACCTGCACTTCAGGCGTATCATTGTCACGGTCCTTTGCATCAGCATCGACATGCACCTGGCCCCTATCATCCGTCTCGTCTTCATGATTCTGCTTGATCCCATCCTCCCTCTCAACCCTCTGCTCCACATCATCTTCCTCTCTGGTACCCTTCGTCTCAGTGCTCTGTGTCTCGTGCCCGCCGTCTTCCTTATGTATCGGTACATCACCATTCTCGGTTTGTTTTGTTTTGTCATCACCACGGCCCTGATCTTCGCCTTTCATGGCTTTCTGTCCTTTGGAATCCATTGCTTGCCTGGGCTCTCTCGCTTGGGGAGTGGCCTGGGCTCCTTGAGCACCAACAATCCCAATTTTATCCACCACCTTCCTCGCTACCGTATCTTCACTCCACGAGGCCATGGCATCAGCGACCAAGAACCTCTCCGTATCTTTTGTTGAATACTCAGCAGCGTTGAAGACCAAGTACAAATGCCACCGGCCACCGACGAGACGGACGTTCGGGTGTATCTCGTGGCCATCGATGAAATGGCTCCACTGAGCGCCCCCGCCGTTGCACTTCACCGCAGACACTGTCAGAAGCGACACCCCAGTTGTCTCGTTGACGAAAAACGGGGCATGCCCATCCCCCGAGTGTCGGTACAGCTTGTGCGCTGCGAAGGCGGCATCTCCCATCACGGTGACGCCGTGCTTCAGCTTCTCGGTGCTCAGGACGACATCCACCTGGACCGTTGCGTTCCCGGCATCGAAGGTGGAGCTGTACTTGATGATGTAGCGCAGGGACGAGAGGATGGGACTGTTTTGGGGAATTTGGATGGGGATGATGGCTCGCCAGGCCCCGCCGTGGCGGCTGGTGGCGGACGGGATCTTGGGCATATGAAGGAGGGGGTCATCTCGGTAGGACCCGAAGGTTGGAGATATAGCGGGCGCTAGTGTAGCACCCGAGAGATCCTCTCGCTTGTCGGCTGTTTGTCGTACGATGACCACTGCCGGAGGGGCTGGAACGACGGCTGTCGATTGGAGAGGTGTAGGGACCGACACCTGAAGGCAGCCCAATGTCTGGCACATCTTTGATCGTTGAAGAGCTCGTCGATCAGAAGTAAGTTGTTGGCTGCTTCAGCTACACTGCAGCAGCGCGGCATTTATATGAATGTTGGACTTGTGATTGCCACCCATGGATGAGCGAGAACGGTTTGTTGCAAGTACGAACGCAACGTAACGAACACCCTCATTTTTTGATAAAAGCCCTCGTGGTGCAGCACCGTAAGCCGGCTGACCACCACAACATGTGTATCTGTTCTAACAATATCCTATCGAAGGCTCGCAATGCGCACAACCTCCACGGATACCTTTGGCGTAGCGTCCAAGCTGTTAGATTCCAAGTCACTGAGTTGAGAAGAACACATTTGTCAGAAGAGAACTTACGACAACAGGAGGACATCGCTTCCAATTCAAATAATTTTGAGTTCCCTTCCTCATCCTCTTTAGTGAAGTAATAGGACTGAGATTCTAAATGCTCTTACGACTGCAGCGTGTTACCTTTGGCGGGAATACGGTACCGAGAACGTCGCTAACGTCGGGATGTGCACCCTCCGAAGTGGATTCCAGTCCGCACCCTGTTGGCGAAGGGGCAGCGCTCATACTTCAAATACTTTAGCTGGAGCCCAGCTAGCGCCGCATTCTCAGCACCACAGTCATTACTTGACACGCACGGCTTCTTTTGCTTCGTTTGAGCGCCGTCGAGGCACATGTCGACAGAAAGAATGGATTCATAGGAAGGGGATTACGAGTTGACCAATGGAGACCAAAGGACCGCTGTCGCTGCCAGAGGTCGAAGGCCCAAGCTGGCGGCCGCGCGTGGATTTGAATCGCGGGCAAGAGCGAACGTGCGTCCAGAACCAACTTTGGAACGTTCTTTCACGGGTCCGGCGGTACGAAGTGTGTACAGAGTGCAAAGTGCCTTGTCGTTTCGGGGAAATATGTAGCGTAGAAGTGCGAAGTGGGGGGGGGGGTACTAGAATATCGATGAGCATGTATGCAGGTTTTGAGAATACTCGTGATTAACCGGCTTAACACATACCGACATTGAGGATAATACTCTGAGAACTGAACCATACATACGCTTCGTGTGTCGCGGCTGCATGCGCCAACTTGATGAACGCAAGGCCTCGAGCTCTTTGCACGATCCAATGTAAACTCTAATCATCTCCGAAAACTGAGTATCAGTGATCCTGAGAAGAGAGGAACGAAGGGAAGCGATGCCTTGAGGCTGGGGGAACCGTACGACCCTGTACCTAAGTATTCACCCAAGGGTCGTAGTTCTGGAGATTTGCTATCGCGGTAAACATTGTTACTGATCGTGAGAACGGTCTTCCCTTTCAACTTGGTAGCGAAACAGCGTGGGCTTTTGAGTTTTAGTTAGCTTCCATTTTCGTGACGAATTCGGCATACGCTCCCAGCTCGCTCTCGCCTTGATTACCTTATTGCTAAGGACCGAGCTCAGTGGTTGGCACAGGCTCGCCGAACACCCCACCTCCTTCCCTCAACATCCCGAGATCCGGCATACCGGTTGGTCGTAATCCAGTGGGACGTCCGCACTACTACCTCTGGGCACAGGATCCCGGCATCGAGCCGCTTTGGGGCATCGTCCTCGCGCCCGTGTAGACGTGTAGATTGCGGAGTGGTGAGCGTGCTCTTGCCTACGGCCTCAATCATTCAAATATTCACGACTGGTACTTCCTCGTCAGTACTTCAGGACTTCAGTAGATGGGTCTGAGCTCCGCAGAGTCGCTCCGCGTGATTGCTAAAATAATCGAACATACGAGTCGCTTTCATACTCGCCCGCTGCGCAGCTAGGCAGCTTTATGGGCCGTAGGCTTACTATAAACCCAAAATGTTCAGACTGTTCGTTCTGGCACGTCTACATCACCTGAATCAAGGCACCTTCAAGTACACCCCACTCTACCCACAAATCTCCCTTTGGGTCCTCGCGAATCTTATCGATCGAATACGCCTCCCACTTTGGCGGGAGTCGTATTTCCGCACGGTCAACGACAGCGACTATGGACATACCGCGAATGGTGCATCGCCTCATCACTCCATACACCATCACCGCTCCATCACTCCATCACTCCATGCACCATCACTGCATTGCGATCCCTACAGCATCTGTCACCGTAGGTTCTGAGGTCCGTCCCGATGTCATCGCTCGCAATATGAAGACATCCAAAAACATCCAAATCATGTCAACGCAGAGAGTCGAGAGTCGAGGCCCAGAGACTCTTTTTCGATCTATCCCCGCCCGCCCTCAGCGTTGTACTCCCAGAATCCCATATATAAATTTACGCATTCGTAGCCGCTGAGCGCCGGCGCTAGCACGCCGGCTCCTTGGACACTACTAGCTGCTTGCGACATTGGCACTTGCATTCGTTCCTTCTCGCTGTTTGGGTAGACGTCGTAATTCATTGACATCGGTGTATGTGGCACCGTAATCCATACAGTTCATGGTAAAGCGTGAGATTGGTATATGAAAGAGTACGCTACAACTGGAGCTCGTAATCACCACTCTGGCGGAGGCAGGATCAAAAGACGGGATGCCTACCTATACTGATGTGGGGGGCAAGGGGAGATGGCTGGTCCGTCCACTACTGCGGCGTCGCAGATTACGATGACCGTAGCAGAACGACGTTCGGGGTCGAAAGGGAGAAGTCCTAATAGTACGCCATCGCGCCGTTACCTGGAGCATAGCAGCAATCCTTGCGGCCGCCACCACCCATGGGGCGTCCGCGTCTTTACGAAGCTGACAGCACGGCCATGTGTACGTGAGGCTCGAAGGAGGGCCGCTAGACCCCGGTGTAACGGCTGGACATCCCGCATCGCCTTCATCCTGCATCGCTCCACGCAGAGACATCTAGCGAGAGGCGAGAGGTTGGGAGTAGACTAGAGACGACGAGAGAGGAGGGTGTTGGTGGGGTGGTGTCGTTGAGCACGAAATGGCGCACCTTATATACCAATTCGAGCTCGAAACGAGGGTCGGAATTCCACACTCCGGAGGGGATGGGGATAGGGATATCTCTCGTAGGCGTTAGGCCTATCATTATCCCCTTTCCATTTTTTACTACCCAGATGCGGAGAATAAACGCGGGGACTTACGATGAATTAATCAATCAACAACACTTTGATAGTTGATGGTAAGTACGATGGGAGGACCGTATCGCAGGAGACGGCGCGGCGCCGCAAAGGATAACGCCAATACCAACGCTGCCGTTCGGTTCGACATTTCTAGTTTGTAGTATATACCCAGGATCCAGGGCCTGAGATCGGATCTTTGGGTTCTAGACCGTGACACACTGTCGTCTTAACGGTTCGCGGGGAATGCGCGGGGTTGAAGGGAAATGAGGGATGCGAAAGGTTTGAACCAGCCCACGTGGACGAGCACCGCTTCGAACTCTATCTTTAGCACTCGTGGCGCCAGGGACAAAGCCACGCGCCATGTTCTTTGTACCGCTGGTGGCACCCACGCCTCTTGCACGCTCCCCCCCGCCACATGACATCTCTCTGCATGAAACGCCCCACGCTGGCCTGCGCAGGATGATCGTACCCGTGCCCGTGAGGTACCGCACGATATCCCGACAGCAACGCGTGTCACTTAGTTTGCGATTTTTATTTTTATTGAGGTACGTGTTCCCAGTCTTTTCCGCTGACTGGTGACTGGTGACTTGGACACTGAGTTCAGGAGCCCGAAGTTAGGAGCTGGCAGACGGGTAGACGCCTGAGAAAGGGGGCTCGCGGCACGCAAGATGCGAAACGGGGGGAACGGGCTTCAAGGTTTCGAGGATCGGCTCGCACGTCTGCTACACTTGCGATTCTTTTTCGCTGCTGTGGCTTAGGCACGTAACGCGGGGAGAAGGGGACTTTTCATCCCATGGTGAGTCCGCGCCTGCACCCTTTCGACGAGTGAATCGAGAAGCACAGCGGACGCAGTTGTTTTCGTTTCCCACAGAGTCTGGAGGGGATCTCATACGTAGCTAAGCATGGATGACGACGTAGACGACAGCGAATGTGCGTAGCATGCCGCTCTGGGCTGAGTCCTGAGTACTGAGTACCGAGTACTGAGTACTGAGTGCTGGCGCTGAGCACCGACCGACGATGGCCAACGTGCGCAGGGCACAGGCGTATCCATGATGGCTGCCGCCACAAAGGTGCTAATTTCCAAAGATAGCCCGACTTCGACTTCGACTTCGACTTCGGATTCGAAGCAGCGCTCGTCCACGTCTCTTCGTGCCCCGCCGGCCATCATGGTCTAGAGCACGAACATCAAGCGCAACGTTCAAGGAGCAAAATGCGATCTCAGGTCTGCCGATGCATACAAACTAGAACCAGGAACGAGAAACGAGATACTAGAAAATAGCATTGAACGGGAGCGAACGGGAGCGATAACGTTACCCTTTTCCTTTGCTCTTTTTCTCCTTTGCTCCTTTGCTCCTTTGCGGCGTCTCTGCGATTCACTCCTCGTTGCGCATCTCATCGTACTAGTCCCAGTCCCCGATCAGTTCATTCTGCATTTGTGCACCAATCATTACTTCATCTGTCACAAGCGCAGCAATTCGATTCGTCGCAAGTCCCAGCATTTAAACGTTCAACGTTTATTCGCCGTGTCTATCTACCGAATCCGAATCCGAATCGAATAGAACAATCAGTTGCATAATCAGCGGAAAGAGGATACTTACAGCTCTAACCTACGGTTACGGTTACGGTTACGGTTACGAGAGTCATTATCCCCTCCTACATGTTGAGTTCAGACCCTCGGCTCGTGGTCAAAATGGTGCATGGGAATCGCTGAATCCACGCACAGCTCGCCGAGGTAGGGAGGGACAGCGGGGCGCGTGCGCGTTCGTGTTCGAGCTTCGAGCTTCGAGCCCCACGGTTCGTGCTCCCCGATTCCGATCACGATCACAATTGCGGCGCCCCCGTCTTTGCGAGGCTTCGGGGCTGAACGTTACGTTGAACGTTGATTCGACGTTATGTTATGTTGCCGTCCGTAAGCCGACCGCTATCTTTCCCCAGTCTCCTATCTCCTGTCTCCAGACTGACGAAGTCCATGCCGATGTCGTGCGCAGATGCAGACGAGGCGTATTTCAACGTGGCCACTGGATCTGTTCACATGTGTTCGGGCACCAGCTGTTCTGGCGCTTGGCTGCCGTTGAGTTGCTTGTGCTCCTCAGCTTTGTATTGGTCAGTCTAGTCTTTTCATTCCCAAATGGCTGCGCTTATTGTCAGCATACAGGTCTACCCAACACACCGCCCCCGTCGTCCTGAAAACTCATGTGCGCTCATCAATGTCCCATTGGTTCTAGTGACTCAGTACTCAGTCCGCGTTATCGACGAATCCAAGCCAGAGACTGATTCTCTGACGGCCTGAACTCCTTGGGAGTCCTCTCGGGAAATAGGGTCGAGGAAGGTTTGAAGGAGACACGTCCAAGGTCATGCGTCGCTCGCTGGATGTAAAAGTAGTATGTCTCCTGCGTCGAGTCCCTTTCTCTAATTATGATCATGCGGCATCACGAGTCCTGCATCACATCACTATCGTCCCCGACGTTTCCGCTATAAACCTGTAACTTAAACTTGTTGTTGATTTCGAATTCTTGGTGAGATTCCATGCAGTTACAGCGTCCTCCTCATTGCCACATCTTACATTGAACCACATGATACTATGGCACGAACAGAGTTAATGTCTACACAAGTTGCAGAGTGGAACAGAAGCTAGCTGACTTGATCGCTCTACGGGTGGTCTATCAGCAAGGCAACAAGAACGACGGATGGTCAAATACACCAACACTACGTCGCTTTACGACAGAGTCCCCGCGGGCTGGTACACCATTCCGCGTTCAGAAGGTCTCTGCATAGCACACATTAGCGCTCCGGCAAAGGGCAGACGAGACGGAAATGGAGTGGAGCTTACACGGACGAGTCCGCGCGTCTGGCTTCAATGGCGACGACATCGACAGGCAACGCGTATGCAGCGGCGACGCAGGCCAGGAGAGCGAGGATAGACACGTTCATCGCTGAGTGTCGAGTGTCGAGAAATGTGCACTGAATCGGCACGGTAGTTGGTAGTTGCTGCTGGGCGGTGAGCGGCGAGAGCAGTAGTGAGGATGCTCGCCTTTTATATCTTGAGTTGAGAATCGAGATCGAATCGGACCGAAAGCTGAACGAACAACAAGCCAGACCCATGACTGATGTTGAGACCCCCATGTGGTTGCCCATCAGCGTGGAGCGGAATTGCGGTTTAGAGAATGGTCGCCTGCATGGCCGGACACATAGGAAACGTGCTGATACCTAGCAAATGCAAATGTACAGCGTCGAAGCGGCTCTGCGACTCGCCATCTGTCAATGCTTAACGAATGGGAACCCGTGGTGGAAAGTGGTACATGCACCGTGCTCGATGCGCGATGGTTCCTGCGCGAAGCATCCGGTGGGACAGACATTGGGCTAGCCGCGGGAATGAAGGGGGTGACAGGTCTCGAGGCGTCGGACATGTGGAATCCTCACAACATCACATATCCCATCAGAAGCGATGAGGCCATCTAGCAAGTCACCGAAACACGTTTCCCAAGGCCACGGTGAAATACTCAATACGGTGCCTAGTACACTAACAACGGCATTGGCAGGCCATGCACCGCGTGGATGCTTGTATTGAAGTGATTGCCCAATTGATTCTCCAGCGCCCACTCCTTGATCCTATCAAAATCGCGACATCGATGGACGACATCTCCCCGGGGAAACGACTGCCCGGCCTCTTCGTCCCATCTCCAGACGATAAGGCTGACATCCGACGAGCACATCAGAGACTGGCGGATGGAGTCGAGGCAGTGGCTCATATGGATTTCGTTCCCTGGGAGGGAGATGCGCATGTCGGGGTAGTGGTCGGAGTATATAGTTTTCCGAATACGATTCTGGGGGAAAGACGCAGTTGTCAGTGACGGTCCCTGTACGACAGTTGAGTGGGAATTCACTAAGCAGTGGAGTTCGTGGAAGACGTCGAGCTCGATGGCGTAGTGCTCTTCGTCGCCTGGGATCGCCTCCGTGGCGTTGGGGAGCAGCTTCGCTTGAGATTTCGGGATGCGGGAAATGCCAACTAAAATCGAGACGGGATGCACTAAGGGAAGCGAAATGATCGATGCAGAAGTAGCACGTACAGTTGTACAGATCCTCCCAGAGTTCGTCTAGTTCCTTGGAGGGCGGGACTTGGAACGGAGAGACATTGCGCCCAAAGCCGTTGAAGAATCTGTGGTATCTGTACGAGACAGCCCCGTTCGCAGGGGCTAGCGGGTTGTATCTTGATTAGCATACTCACGGTGTAGGAATAGGAATGGATGGATGGAGTACGCACAATAAAGGGGAGCCTCTGGGGGTGAGGGGGAACGGCGGAGAAGGAGACCTATGGCGACGAATTGCAGGAGGATGATGGCCCACAGTACCACAGAGGACTTGGCGACCGCAAGACACGCGCTCGAAATGCGCTGCTGGGCAGAGCCTCGCAATTGCCTGTGAGAGATGTCACTTAGCTCTATCTGTCTATCGAGGCCGCCCTCATCCTTGAAGTCGATGGCGTGCGTGTCGTAGACGTCCCGCTCGCCTCCGTCCGACGTCAATCTACTGTACATCATCTCCCTCCGTCGTGTTCGAACTTCGTTGGGGTATGAGATAAGTAAGGGCTGGTCAATGCAGCTCTAATGGGAATGGGAATTCAGGGCACTGACCTCCAAGTTAGTAAGTCGCGATTCGGCGACGAGTAGCCTTAGACTTCTATTCGGGGATGCAGAGTCCTAATGAATCCGAGGAACAAGCCGTAGGCTGACTACGATAAGCTTGTCCATATGCTCGCGGCTCCTCGGATGCTGTGCATAAGCATTACTGTAGGTGCGAAGTCGTATTCGCTGGTGTGAATGCGAGGACTGGGAATGATGTGTTCCCACCAAAAGACGAAGTAAGAAGGAACGAATGAACGCGATCCGAACGCCACGTGACGAACGGAACGGAGGACGGAAACGCGACCAAGCAGCGCCGCGTGCGACTGCTGGACTCGACTTTCGCAACGCAACGGAGGGAAGGGGAAACTTCTTCTTATTGTTGTTCATAGGCAGATGTAGGTACTATATATACTGTAGGTAGATGTAAATAACACGCAGAGTATGCATGTGTAATCTAGTAAGCTAGTACCTAACAATGAATGCGGCCGCAGCTGATGACGGACCGAAACAGGAAGTAAACGGAACGATAGTATACGTACAATAAATCGTGTATCCGGGCTTGAACAGGGTGCCAACCCTACATTACCGACGGCTGCGGAAATAGGAATGTCCTCACGAGGTCGAAATTGATGGATCATTGAAGCCGTGGTGACTTGGGTGGATCAATCTCGAAGGAACCCAAGTGCACGCTCCGGACGGGTACGATTTGATGGCGGTCGCTTGGTTCTGCTATTGATCTCGTCTGAATTCGACAGCCCTTTCCGGTAACGTGAACAGTAATTAGCAAGGTTGCAAGCGAGTAGTTACACTCAAGAGGTTGGGTAGGACAAGGCTGTCAACATCCACTCGCTATTACTCGCAATAGCATCGAACTCTGCTACGAAACATAAAGTACGCACCTTCATGTATCACATTGTCTCGATCAACGAAAGTCTCTCTTCCTCCGCCTTTACTCGCCCAGCGAGTCTCAATAGCGCGTCGAATAATATGTCAAGGAGTCCCGACTTCGGGGGCTCAGTGATTCCAAGCTTGTTATTTCAGCACAATTCAACGGCACTATGTTGGGAATCGAGAGGAATTACTGTTTCGACAAGGGAGGGAAGTATGGAGTTGCTGCAGGCGAGTTAAAGAACGGCATTAAGAAAGGAGGGTAATTTCTTGGAGACCCCCAGTTCGAGTTTGTCGTTTGTTCGCCAGAGCGGAGTAGTTATCCAGCCGTTCCAGAGATTCATCGTAGAACTTAGGTGATCGGTGCGTTATAAATATACTACCAGATTCCAAGCACAGGTTGGGACTACGGTCGGAACGACGAGTGGCTGCATCATCAGCGCGGGGCCGTATGTCTGGCAGGATTGGAGTAAGTCGTGTGTTGGGATACCGTGAAGCGTTTCGTTAATCTTCTTTGTAGTCGACGTGGCCCAAGGCCTCTCTCCACCCGTCGCCCTGCCAGCGCACCACAAACTTGCTGTCGGTGCGCCAGGCGGCGGAAAGGGTGCCGCCCACAAAATTCAGTACGATACTGCGAAGGTGGGGAGAATCTCGCGATGAAGTACCGTTCCAGAGAAGATACTATCAGGGCTGCCCTGGAGGATGTTGCCACTAGAGGATGGTGAGCTCGATGGATGTACCTTTACTCTGTGGAATAGAGGCTTTTTCGAGCAATGTAGATGTACATCGTATCGATTCAAAGTAACGGCAAGTGGGGCTAAGTCAAACTCGTGGGCTTTGGCTGGCCCACCAGATGCCTCACAAGGGCTATCTCAACTTCACTGGCAAAAAACACAGTCGTTGCATATGCGCCCATTTACTGAGAAGGAGAGTGCGCACGGACCGCGTGCTAGCCTCAGTTTGTTGCTTTGACACTTTGTTTGGCTGGCTGGTGAAAATCGGAACCGCTTTGGCTTTCCGCAACGATGACCATCCCCTCGATGCCCCCTCTCAGGCCTGTCCCCCCAACAACGTCGCCTCAACGAAGACGGCGGCCCATGGGTGGAATTCTCTGAGGTCCGTCGACACAGCTGGGCATCTTGCTCTAGGTCGAGCGCCGCCGCGCTATCGTCGATTCGCCGTTGTCAAGCATTGATTGATAGTTCACCTTGCTCGCATCCTGTCGTGTCCTCTATACAGCGTACGATGTGCAGCCATACGCCTTGTATGAATGCGGATACTCCACTACTTTTTTCCAATTCCTGAATATGAATCCCGACCCTCACTTTGCACCTTTTTTCTTATGCAAGATCCAGCACAAATGACCTGCTCCCGAACGCGCGCTAGACGTTCTACGTTCAGCGCTCTGTTCTAAGGTATCAAAAAGTATAGGTGCGTCGCAATTGCTATCTTGAAGACTTCGGCGTGGATCTATGTTACGGGAGACCACGGGGACTGTGCTGAGCGAAGCGGGGGGCGGGGGACGGGGAGCAGGGAGGTGAGTGAGTGGGTGAGGTGGACGATGTAGCGTATGAGACTTTGCGCCAGGTTGATGACGGGCAGAAAGAGCAGACACGTACCACTGAATCTGAATGGTCACTCCAACTCATTGTTCCCGCCACCACCGCTCATCGCCCGCGTCTATGCCTACCGCTTGGCCACGTCGTTGGCAGAGATGATGTCTTGCCCCCGGGTGCAAAGGAAGCTGAGGACACCACGGCGCCGCCATCTACCCGAGTAGCGACGCTGGCGTATCACGGGCCTATACTCCAGTTGAATGTGTGCGGTAGTTTCCCTCGATATACGGTAGCGACTCATACTCAACATGCGGAACTGCAGTCTCGATCCGGATATGCATTCTTGAAGTGAATATAGACGACCCCGCGATCCGAATATCCCCATGCCCCTCAACCAGCGGCCTTCAACTCTCTAGGACTAGGTTCACCCTGCGTACATCCCTGAATCCTGAATACCCACCATTCATCAATGCTCGCCCTCACGCTCCATCGCTTTTATCGCTATATAATGTTGCAACACTTGTGGCTGCCCCGGACTTCTGTGCGTTGGCGTTGGTGTGTTGGCACGTCGATTAGTGCCCAGTTACTATCCACTCCGCTATCGACCTGTCCCTCGTCTTCATTGCCTGCTCGAGCCAATCTTAAAATTCACGATTGGTGGTGTCCAGTCCCCAATCGGCGAGGTAAGTACTCCGTAGCAAGGTGAGTCACCTCGATACAGCTATGCATTCATCGAGCGGACGCTATGAGCGCTGGTGGCGTCATGATGAGTTTACTTTCGACGAGCTTATGTCTGGATGCGGCTACTTGGTGAGGAACGGAACCACGCTGGAGTGTTGTTGAATCAGTCAGTAAGGCAAAACGACATCGCGGCCGCAGGACCACCCCCAGCCTGTCCTCATCGATTTGCCAACTTTTCTGAACGGAGGAACGATGCACGGAGAAGGAAAAACTCGAAGTAGCGTGATTCGGTGCAGACATTCGAGGTATTTCATCCAAGATCGCGAAGTATCCAATTTGCGTGGAGTGCCTATATACTCCCGGTAAGATAGGCGTCATGGACCGACTTGTTGTGGTTTTTGGTGTCTTTGCGTGGATGTATCTTTCCCTTAAGGGGAATGATTTCGGGGCGGTATGTGCTCGCCGGGCCCCAGGCCAAAGGAGGGCAACATGGGCCGTTGTGAGTACTCACTTTCCCTCAATTGTGCTACACGTGGTACCTCCATGGACTTGAAGCTATTTATATTATATTCAATTAAAACTGTCTCCGACATTGGCGTGCGAGTACCGTCACTCACCGGAGCACGTACCATGAGTTTTCAGTTGGTCGAGCGCTATGTTTTCGCGATATAACTCACTCTGCACCCCCAATCACTGGGGCAGCGAACGTCGAGGATGCACCTATTCCTTCGCTTGCTCGTCGCTTGCGTAGGCCTTCGTAGTTCCATTGCAACTTCTTCGGCATATGATTATGTTATCATCGGTGGCGGAACAGCGTACGTTTCGTTCTCCATGCACCTTTTGCACTAATTTCACCCAACGCGAGATAGTGGACTAGCCGTTGCGAGCCGTCTCTCAGAAGATCCCTTGGTCAGTATCGTCGTGATTGAAGCCGGACCAAATGCTGAACATCTTCCCGAGGTGGAGTATTTACGTCTACTGCTCGCTCTGCGATCTAAACCCTTCGTCGCAGGTGTTCATCCCGGGACTCTTTGGGAGCGGCCAGGCATTCACTACACTCAACTGGGCGTATAACACGACGCCCCAGCCAATGCTCAACGACCGGAGCCTTGTCGTCAATGCTGGTAGAGTTCTCGGCGGAAGTACAACTATCAACGCGATGTTATTCGTGAGCAGTCTCTTCTTCTTCTTCGGTTGCACCCATCCGAATCTGCGTCTGCTGATATGACCCTTCGTACCCCATACCAGCCCCGGGCCGGGCGAGCGCAATACGACGCGTGGGCGGAGCTGAATAGTGATGCGTCGTGGGGTTGGGACGCGTTATTGCCGTTCTTCCGGAGATCCGAACGCGTCACGCCTCCCGATGCATTTCAAGTCAACGCAGGGGGTGTCACCTACGACCCCGGTTTACACGGCAGCGCCAGTGATGGGAGGGTGAACGTCGGGTACCCGAATATATTCTTCGAGCAGTCGGCTTTGTGGCGTCAAGCTGCCGTTGCTGCGGGGTTCCCTGGCGAGAGGGATTTGGCGAGCGGAGACCCCCATGGCGTGGGTGTTTCCCCTGAGTCGATTGATGTAACGAATTATACGAGGTGAGTGGTTTTGAACGACGTGGTTTCCGTATAATCTCATCTGCTTCGGGCTTTAGGTGCTCGGCGGCTTGTGCATATTATACTCCCTTTGCGAGCCGACCGAATTTCAATGTTATTACGAACGCGACGGTCACGCGGGTTGTTTGGGATAGTCCCTCATCTGGATCGCACTCTGGTAATAAGAATTTGCGAGCAATTGCTGTCGAGTTTGTCCGAGCTGGTTCGAACAGGACAGAAAGCGTTACTGTCCGGCGAGAGGTCGTCGTCTCAGCTGGAACCATAGGGACTCCCAAATTATTCGAGTTATCTGGCATAGGGAACTCTAGGTACGTATTCGAGCCACCACGCTTTCACATTCGGCTCATTGTATGTCGAAGTATAATACGAGCTGCTGGCGTCAACCCGGTTCTTGAGCTGCCATCTGTTGGTGAGAATCTTGCAGGTGAGTGCTGTTCACAAAATATCGTTTTGTCTACTGAGATTGTACAGATCATGTACACAGTTACGTTAGCGCGTTCACAAATGCCTCGTACGGTATCCTACTTCCTTCTGTGTTCTTAGTGTTCACTTGGTCCGCACACAGGTTGACATTCGACGCGTTACTCACCAACCCCGACGCGATTGCTGAGCAACTATCACTTTGGTCGAACAATCACACAGGCACAGATACACCCCTTGATACTTACGTTAACCTACTAAATGCACTCCTCCACTGCAGGCCTTCTCACCTCTTTCCCCGGCTCTCTTGGGTTACCTGGCCCGTTGAATATCTTCAACGACACAGGCATTCTCCCCACTCTCCTCCAAGAGGCTAAGGCAAATCTCACCCATTTCGCGCACCTCTTCGCGAATGGGAATGCGTTACTCGAGAAGGGCATCCGGGCCCAGCATGAAATCGTGCTTCGATCCTATGCAGACGACGTGGCGCTACCTCTAGAAAACAGTTTATGTACGGCATTATTGTCTTATTGGATTCTTCCTTGCTAATTTGTGTGAATGGGTTTAGTTCCAGGATACGCTGGTACGGCGGCTGACCGTCCCCAACGGAATTATACGACAATCATGAATGTCTTGTACGCCCCTTTATCTCGCGGACGTACACACATCACATCCTCGGACATACGTACAGCACCCGTAGTCGACCCAGCGTACTACATGCATCCACTAGACGCCGCAACGCATGCTGCAGGCATCAACCTCGCCCGCAGAACCCTAATCACTCCTCCAATGGACTCCATCTACCTGGGCGAATTCGAACCCGGCAAGGACGTGACATCAGTCAAAGATATATCCAGTGTCCTTCGGTCAGCCATCGTTTCAAGTGATAACCACGTAACGGGTACCATGGCTATGATGCCTAAGGAACTCGGAGGGGTGGTCGATAGGGAGCTTCGAGTTTACGGAATCGAGAACGTCAGAGTTTCTGGTGCGTTGATTGCGGAAACTCCTGCATACTTGAGTATGCGCATCGCTGACTTGGTGTAGATGCTTCAATAATACCGATACCTGTCAGCGCGCACACGGTGGGTCCTCTTCGTCTACTCATCACGCAGCTCGCTGATTCGCAACCAGTCGTCGACTGTTTACATGATTGGAGAGCGGGTGAGTCCATTTTGTGAGTTCTGCTCCTAGCGGCTTTTTGACTCGCGTTCTTAGGCTGCAGATCTCATCAAGCATAGTCGATCTCCACTGTAATCACTTGTAAGGTTGGCAGAAAGGCCAACCGCAGCCAGTCGTCACGGGGGTCGACGACAACTTCCTTTATTCAAACCATCGTACCCCTCCGCTGTCGATCATACGCGACGAAGTTGGTAAAGGTGGATATACATGCATGAGAACGAGTTTCATTTGGTGGATACCGCGGTGTTCACCCTGTCAGAGCTCAGGGAGTAATCCCAATCGGCGAGAATACCACAACGAGGTTTGCCTACGATCCTCACTGAAGCTTGGACTCTTTCGACACCACGACCATGGTGTGCACCTGAATACAATGTTATTTTTATACATAATCCATGTTACACACGCATGGTGTGCACCTGAATACAATGTTATTTTTATACATAATCCATGTTTCCTTCATGCTCGAATAAAGGTTGAGCGGCTACCTTGCATAAAGAACAGACAGATGCTCAATGCGAGATTGGTGGACCGATGAAGTTCCACGCCAGTAAGGGGATAAGCCTCGCATCATGAAATGGCCACTTGCACAAAGAAAGGGGCGTTCCAATTTGGTGGCAGTATCCCGTTATGGTAGGTAGTGTATTGAGAAGCTCGAAGTTCACGGTCACATGAGTGGCATATTCAGCGTTCAGACAATGGGCGCCTCCTTCTTACTTGCCACCAACGAGCCACCGAGTCCACTTGAACAACCATTCCACACAGCTCGAAAAAGGTCCATTGTGTATCTGCTGTGGCACTCTAAGTGAGTATAATTATTATGCGCACTCATCCTCATCCTCCCAACTCAACATGTCTGACCACACAGTCCGTCTCAAGAGCACCCCAGTCAAACCGACGAAACCACCTCCCATCAATAGGAAGGAAATGTCTGCGTTTCACCTCCCACCCAATTCTCTCATTCCCAACACCGACTTCTGTCGAACTTGGCTCAACGTGCACGACGTGATTAAGGAACTCGTCCTCGATAAGAAGCTACAAAAACTTGCCAAGGCCGTCCGTAAAAGCAAAGTCACTTGCTACGAGAACGTAGAAATCCTGCTCAACTACGCGAGTGCTTTGATTCGCAGTCAGTCATTTTCCTACCCGTTTGTCGCTCTGCTAACTCCGTTTGTATGTTCTAGATAGGCTTTGCGACACCTCGGAAATCATCGTGTTTGTGGACAACCATTCATTCCTCCCGACAAACCACCCAAACAAAATCAAGGGTGGTGCTGCAGACGTTCTTGGCGTACTAGAGAGCGTCCTCAAGAAACTTCAGGAGGACGAGCGCAATCGAATCCCCTGGCATCTCATCTTGACGGCGGTCGAGGAGAAGACAGCTGTCGACGCGAAGGTTGGTCCGGCACAGTGCGGCGCCTATCTTGGATACGCCAATCAGGCACGCCCCGACATGGTGGGCATGTACGGCCTCTCCGTGTCGCCTCGGGGCTTCCAGATCCAGTACAGCTGCCCCGCCGGGCTCGCTACGTCCGAAGAGTTCAAGTGGACTGCGCACCTCGGCGGCATTTTGGCGTATGTCTGCACGCTGTATCTTCCCCGCACCGACTTCGCGCCGAGAGATACTACTGTCTCACTCGCTGCTGGACGTGACATCCTTGGGCCTCCCCTCTGGGACATCGACGTCGGCGACAAGGTTTATCGCAATTGCAAGGTCCAATTTGTTGGGCAACCATGGACAAGGATGACATGGGTGGCTGAAGCTGAAACCGACGACGAGGAAGGCCCTACTGTGATCAAAGACTCGTATTGCGACGTGCGGACGCGCTTCAAGGAAGGGGATATGTACAAGATTCTTCACGCGGAAGGCGCTGCACCTGGATTCGCCGCTATCGATCGCGAGTACGAAGTCAAGTACAAGGGTACCCCCATCGCAACCTCCGTGAAGCAACTCACGAGGATCAAGACGAGGTTAATCATGAAGACCAGTGGATTACCCTTTGACGAAATGCAGGAATATCGTCGATTTCTTCAAGGGAATGTACGACATCCTGGAAGGTGGGTATTTCGCTCACCTTCCTTGTCTTGTTCTTTACTGACAATGCCGCTTAGCCCATCGTTGGATGGTTGCCGAACGCAAGCTGCTTCATCGTGACATCAGTCATGGCAACATCGTCATCGAAGCAAAGGATGCTAAAGAAATAAGGAAATTCAAGGGTACGAAGCCACCGGTATTCATCAATGAAGTTCTCCACGGGTCAGTCGCACATATCTCATTCCCGGTATTGCCTAACATACGATCTACAGCAAACCCGCAGCACCCATGGCTCGATTACTCGACATGGACAACTGTGCGAACCTCGATACAAGCAAAGTGAAGTCGGAGGGGGAGGGAGGGGGAGACAGAAGACAGTGACGAGCCACTGCGATATCGTACTGTGAGTCAATCCTTGATCATTGCACCCGTTTATTCACGATCCTTGCAGGGTACTCCGAAGTTCATTGCTCGATCTGTTGCCGCGGGAAAAATTCTCGATGATTTCAGCGCCAGGCCCATGCCTAAGCTACAACAAGAAATCGCAGCGACTTACAAGGAAGTTCACCGCAACGACTCTTCCAAGCTACGGGAATTATCTGACGCCAACGGAACTACGCACGGCAGCCGCATTTCATTCGATCGAGTAACACTTTACTCAGAAGATTGTAGCCTTCAAGTTGCTGATTTTGAACATCAACCATTCCATGATGCGGAGTCTGTATATTGGTGCATCGCTGCCTTTGTCTTACTTGCAAAACCGCTGAAGAACGACGCCGATGAGGGACAAAACGAATTGACCAAGATATGGGCTTTTATGGCGGAACACGAGGTCGGGTCCGTCGGGAACGCCGCCGACACGAGGTCCGCTCTGATCTCTGGCAACAGCTGGGCTAAGTGGCTGCACAAAGATCTTTCCTTTATCAGCAAGTTGATGACCGACCTTACCCATCAAATCCGACCTGAATGGGCGCTGCTGGACCCCGCGCCTGAGCCGCTCCATCTTCACGAAGCCTTGCAACGGTTAATTCTACAAAACGTTCATGATTGGGAGAAGAAGCGAATAAACGTCGAGCTTGACACAATTTCTTCCCGAACTTTTACTCCTGTTGAACGAAAACCGATGGCACCAGTGTCTGAACACCCTCTCATCGGTCAAGTTATCACCTCGAGCACACTTGGAAAGCGAGGCTCCAACTCGGTCGCTGGACGCGCGCAATCAGGTTCAAAGCGTAAGTTCTTGTTCTTCATACCCTCCATGTGAGTTGCTCACGCGTCACATTTCAGGATTGCGCAAGACAGGGGACGATGAACCTCTAGGCGCGGAGTTGGCTGAGCTGCAACAGGCCTGGATCGACTCGCAGTCTGCGCCTGTAGCCACTGAGCCTTTGGGATACGCGTCTGAGGACGAAGACGAAGACGACGAAGAAGAAGACGACGATGACGACGAATACGAATACGAAGACGAAGATACCTCAGAGTAATCTTAACATCGCCGACACACGCAGGTGCTGGCGCTCTAGTTTCTCATCCCCACGCATGTCTGCTCGTTGTTCATGTACTTTTATCCTCATTTTCTGATCCTTGTTACTTATCACTTACGTTGCTATCACGCAATACATTATATCTATTGTCCTTCAGAATGAAGAAACGTTAGGTACTAGCTGCCAATGTTGTCGTCGGAAAGGAGCAAGGCCGCCCAAATATATGTTGCTCTTGACCGAACAACTCGGGACATCGGAGTGTTGACGCGGCGCTAATTGACCTCTCTTCATTAGAGCCCCGCGACTTCAACGCCACTTTCCAATGCCGACGACATCTCCAAGACGTGAAAGTGATAATCGTAGTAAACCACACTAGAAACGGGGTGGTCAGTGAGATCTTCAGGTAGCGCCACGGTAAGTAGCCTGCGCCTTCCGTATGATACTGAAGTGCTGAACAGACTGGTTTTCACCTCAATAGTATCATGATGGCGTAGCATTTTACCTTAGCTTTCCAACGTTTTCGATATCCATATATCCCCATTCGACGAGGGATGCAGTTAGATGTCGGTCGTGGTGAATGAGGAAGAGCGCTACGGAGTTGTGCGGATAAGGAGTCGATGACATACCTTGCTAATAGGATTCTCGAGTATCGAATACAGATACAATACTAAAGGAACTATAGACGTGACGGAAATCAGTCCAACGAGGTAGAAGGCCGCGAGTCTGCCGATTTGAAGGATACTCGCCCATCCCACCTCAGAGACATCTTCTCCCTTGCATCTACGAGACGATCACCAGCGTTTTAATGATCCCTCGTGTCCTTTCGTATTGTCGACCCATTGAATAGCGTTGTCGGGTGGTTCAGGCATCTTCGCCGCCCACTTGCGCATCGTTGTGTACACAAAATCCGAGGCGGGGTCAAGTAATTTTGCCAAATTTTGGCGATGTTGCTCCTTCTCTTCCTTGTACTCAGCCAATTCCTCCTCGGACAAGAGCTCGAGTGCTTCAATTGGCTCGTTGTAATCTTCGATGTAGCGCGGGGAAAAGAATTTGGCGAGAGCTTTTATGAGAAATGTTACGGCAGGAATGTCAAACTGGATTCCAGCCCCTCCTTTGATCATCGATGCTTTGTATTTAGATGCTTTGTCTGGCTTGCCCTCTTGAGCCACGTAGTCATCGAACATGAGCAATACGCCTTTTAGCTCTTGTTCATCCGTAGTATTGTGCCTGAGATGCTTTAAGGCCATGTATGTCAGGACATGCAAGGCCGATTCGCGATCGTCGACGACCGTGTGTGATGCGTTGACAGGATTTCGTGTCAAATGTGCAGACATGAACTGCCATGTACCCTACAAAACGATGAGTTCGAGCGACAGGGATCAAAATCACTGCTCACAGTGCGATGGACCCTGGTCCCCGTGCGTTCTTTAAGGGCATCGTTCAAGAAAATACAGTGGTCCCAGTCGATAAGAAAACCGCGGCGATTCTCGGGTTGGAGCGTCATGAGGATGTTTCCTGCACTGATATCGCGGTGAAGGATCCCTAGTTTATAAGCTTGCTGATGCGCTAGTCAAGGGATCAGGCTTTGCCGTGACTCCGAAATGGAGTACGTACCATCCATGGCATCGGCGATGCAGGTCACCAACTGCCGAGCTGTCTTGAACGTTGCGAGGTCGCGGCCGAGGGTCGAGAGCACGATGAAATGAGCCACCAAATGTCTGATTCTGAGCTTTCTAGGCTTTCGCACCCACGGTTTCAACTTCCACTCGTGGCCAATGGTGGCGATCGCCTCGTCGCCCCCCATGAGATCTCCACCAGCATGCATTTTCGCAACGAAGGTGACCTTCGCCCCCTCTAGGATCCTGTAGACCTCTGACTCTTTCCTCGTGTAGATGGATTCCTCACGCCAGTACTCCTTGAGATAGAGGATTTGTCCGTGCTTCCCGTATGTTCCATCCTCCGCCTCCTCCGCATTTTTCCTTTCCTTCAGAAGAACGACCGCCCGATTGCGCGTGCATCGACCGAACGGGGAGTACATTGCGCCATCGAAATAAGGAGCTGGAACGACATAGGTATCTTCCCCGAAGACCAAGGATAGCAGCGGGAGCTGGTTGGGATTGGGTTCTTTCTTGTAGAAATCAGCGTGCTCTCCGGTGAAGTACGATGTTGCGTATTTTCGCATCGTTTCCACCGCTTTCATTCCGGCTTCCCAGCTGAGTTCACGAAGGTTCGGGTACAGCCCACGTTGGACGTCGTCGAGCTGAGCGAAGCGTTTGTAGAAGTCGAATATGATGAGTGGGTGTGTCGTGTAGTCGAAGCGGCGAGTAACAATGGCGCAGGAGCGATCCCAACGAATGAACCGCGCGTATCTCCCGCAGACGAGAACACTGAATAGATGGGACCTAAACTGCATCGCCATCGTCACCCCGGCGTAGCTTGCAATCTGCCCTCGGGTATTCTGACCTTGCTTCGTGTCGTTCTCGAAAGGATAGTGTTCAGACGGTGTTGGCTCCGCATCGTCCTTCACCTCAGGGTGAGCCTCTCCCCCCTCCGCATCGACATGAGCAGTGGGAGAATCAGCGATATACGGCCGTTCGCTCGTTCCCGTCTCCCTTTCTTCTTCGCCCTCGCCCTCGTCCTCTCCTACATCTCCTTCACGCTTCGAATAGCCCGCCATCACGTAATATGCCTCGCCGTCGTAGTCCTCATCGTCGCTGTCGACGAACGCATCCATTTTATCGTTCGCTTTGTGTTCAGTAAAGCTTTGGATGTTGGCAAAGTCCACCTTTCGTCGTTTTTGTCGCGGGACGATTGGCTTCCCTCTGAAATAGATACAGCTGTCGGGCCCAAGGTGACTCTCCGCGTCGCGGCAGTCATGCGTGTCCTCAAAGTCCAGAGACTGGATTCCAGCCCCCTTGCGTACTCGCGGCCAGCCTGAGAGAGCAATTTGCTAGGCAGGTGGATTAGCAAATAATCAATGTTGTGGCGTCCTGCGACTCACCCAGTCCTTGTTCATCCCGCTCTCAGGCTTGCTGCCCATGCCGACCAAGCACGACACCCTCGTCTTGGAAGGCCGTTTCAACCTAAACGATTTACTTGTAGCATTGTTCCATCCCATGAATTCTTCGACAAAGACGTCGGGGTCTACACCGCCGATGTATTGCCCTCGGGTCTCCTGGACCAGTGCTTCGCGCAATTTGCCAATATCGACAACGCCCATGGAGTAGATATGGTAGTTAGCAATGCGTCTGTTTTGAGGGGTATGTTGAATGTCGTTGTCGATTTCTGGTGGCGTCCCGGATTTCGGTTTCCCGTCGGTCGCTGTAGGCGCTTCGAGTGGGATATCTACGTCGCCGGCGGGCGGAGCGACTAATATTTGGGACATTGTTGAGTATTCCGTTGAGTGGCATGGCTTTGAAATGAAGCTCGTACTTATACCTAGTTGCGTCGATCTTCCAGTTTGGGAGCAGACGAAAGGACCCAGTTAGCCTGGGACCCAGTGTAGGCGTCTAGTAGGGAGCCCCCGAATCTGTCAGAATTTCGAAGTGCGATGCTTGCCGGCCGAGGGAATCAGGGCTCAATACCCCTTAAGGATATGACTACCATATTGAGACTTCCCCCCTAATAAATACATTTTACAAAGGTAGTCGCTTTTGCCCTTGTCGCAGATCCTCAAGCGTAGCGCAATCCTATGGAAAATCAATACACAAGCCCTCAAGGGCAGTTTTACTTTCACCCTGGGCATCCAGCCACTCCAATTCAGATATATTCGCCTCAATATCATCATCAGGCATACGGAAACTCGCAGCCCTCTACTCCCACACCTTCCCTTCTCCGACGTTCACACAGCGAAGCTTCGTTTGGGCGCCCAGTTCGCAGATATCGCACGACCCAGCAAAAACTAGAGACATATCTGGTGCTGCTCATAGACCATGAATGGACAATTGGGGATCTCCTATACCATTTGTTCAACTTCGAAGCTGGCTCGAAGAAATCTGGACCACTGCGTAGTGAACGGCATGCGCAAATGGTTAGTAAATTCCTTAGGGGAGAGTGTGACTTTGGAGTTGGAGTAATCTTGGATTTGTGGCTAAGAAGTCCATCGGCAATCCCAGCAGAAGGAGTAGAAGAGGAGGGGAAACTTTACTTGACAACCGCTGAGTATCACAAACTCAAATCGGCTTGGCCCGCAATCACAACACTTGCTGCACACCTTGTCTACAAGCAATTTGATAAAGAACTGCGCCAGGTTGTTAAAAAGAAGAGTGGGCTTCACACCTTTTCAACAAATGGAAGCCCTGTACCGCTTGACAATTATGGCTCAAAGACCTTCCTCAGCGCTGTCAACACATTCAAAAAGGTTCAGCCACTTACATGGGACATCATTTTGCGCCTTGCTACACCAACACCTCGTCGGAAGGCTGGTCAGGAAGTGATAGTAAGACGGATTGAGCGCCCCCCTGAACTGGTATGCATTCCATCAATTTGTAGAGTAGCACCGTTTAATGGAACCGACTTCTAGGTTGCGGCAGAGTTGTTGAGCAGTCTCGCATTCACCCGAAATCGCTACGCCAAACTGGTTCCTGCATCAATCAGCTTTTTATACTTTGCCTGCTCAGCCAATCGATACATGTATTCTCTTGGAAGCCGTATTGCGATGACAACAAGCTATCATGCAGTCTATGAAGCTTTGAAGAAACAGGCTGCACATGACCAAGAAGCAGTGAGGAAACTCGGCTCAAGTTTGACAACAGCAATCATGCTCTGCTTGGATAATGTCCAAGTCTATGTCAATCCACGCGACCCTCGTCTCGCACGTCAGGCCCATATGTTGCACGGTACAGCTGGGACTGGCTTCGTTGTCGAGAATTTCAATCCGTCTGCTCTGGATCTGTCGAAGAAACATGCAAGACTTGCTGAGAACAAACGCAAAGATCTTACATGTGGCGGCATTTGGGCAAACATCAACCATCAACATCTTGATACAGTATGCATCATACAGTGGCTTCATACGCTTGTTGAGTATGTTCCTCAGCTATCATCATACAAGTCAGCCGTTCAAAATCTCTACGCTGGTGATGACAAACAATGACTGCCAAAGGACCGAAAAACCAGGCTGTATCCACTTCCTACAAATGGTCGCAATGAAACCCGTATCTCGGAACTGAAGAAAAGTCTGGAGGACCTATTAGCTAGCATCGGCCAAACAGCAGAAGAATATAACAAACGATTAATCTGTGTGGGGGGTGATGGCCTGACATATGAGCGCATGGTTCAACTCAAGAATGTTCTTCAAGCTTTTGGCCAGAACTCCTTCGAGCGACTGGACATCATCGAGCCGTTCTTGGAAATTTGGCACACCGAGTGGACAGATCTATGCCGCATCTATGAGGCTCATTTTGGCTCTTTGACATCGCACGATCCTTCAAGCCTAGGTCACAATGCAAACAAAATCAACCAAAAGCCCCTAGTAATCTGAAAAAGGTCGATTATTACCCATATATGCAACTTGCGTATCAGATCCTTGATGCGAGAATGCTGGATTGTTGGCGGTAAATGCACTTTCCTAACACTGCAACTCGTACTGATCAATCTTACTAAGAAATCACTTATGCGGCAAGGATGCTGACTTACTGGTATACTTTGCTACAATGGAAGCAAACAACACGATTCCGACACTAGAGGAGTTGAAGAATACTGCTGGTGTCATCTTCAACACATACAGGAGTATCAGTGCATATCACCGTGCAATGAGTGGTAAATATACCGCAAATGAGACCAAGGTGCCGATGGGAAGTCCATGGATAGTGCCATTGACAGAAGCGAGCTCTGCCAGAAATTCAGCAAAGGGAAAACAGGTTCCATCCAAGGACATACCTGAGGAGTTCAGCGGCGACCACGTACTTGCTCAGACATGCCGATTTTTATATGATGCCACAATATCCTGAGAGACAATGCTTGCTGTTGCCCAAGGACATGTTGGGAGAGTCTGGGAATGCCTTAAGGTAAGTGAACTGCAAATCTGAAGTAGCGACAAACCAATTCATACATACTATCAGATGATGATCTTCTCGTTTGCAATTCCACACACTTGAAGTATACATCATACTTGCTCGAAATGTATTGCAGTCTTGAGCTCGAGATGTCCCCTGAGCTCAGGACTTTGTTCCTAGACAACTGGCTAGTCAATCCCTCAGGTCTCCCAGGGCATTACCTCGCCGGTGACAAACTACAAGAGCAACTTCAGGACCGACTCTACGAGCACATTAGCCCCGATCAAGATTTTGATGCTGGTTACGTTCGTGATGTGACCGCGCCAAATGTGTATCGCTTTGAACGTATGAAAAAGGACCTTACCGCAGGCTTAGGATTGGCAAAGTGATCTAGCAAACATGTTGAGCCTCATCACAATGCTGAAACTCGGAAGTTATTGTCAACTTACCAAGCTGAGGAGCTTCATCTTTTTTGAGCTGGGCGAACCTATGGTGGAGATGCGGAAAAGGTTGACAATCTTGGGCGTGGACAGATTACATTATGGGAGAAAAAATTGGCCTCCTGGATTGAAGACACGTTGCGCCCACAAGGAATTACACAAGCACTGGCATCATTGAGCAATTCCGACAGCGAAGACTAAGAAGATAGCAATGAGAATAGCACTGATGAGACAGCACAAACACGAGGATCAGTAGAGGTGGATGAAAGTGGAAGATTGATTATTGATATGGAGGTAGATGTGGCAAGTGATAACGAAGGAATTGATGTGGTGGATAGTGACGAAGATTCTGGGGAGGAAGACAGCAGCCTCTGATGGCACTGGCTTCATCTTTATATCTATCTATTCTCCTTGTTACGCTTTAACACTGTTAGAATTCAGCTGCAGGGCAAAAAAAACCACATACCTTACTGCAACGCAAATTCAAAGCAGGACCATCAACAACCAATACATGCTGTTTGGTGGACACTAGGGGCTGCGGCTGATTGACAACTTCCAAAAGCCTAGAAAACAAGCATTGGATTAGTTATGATGTCTGTCGTCTGGAACTTGTACTACTGACACAACGGCAGAGCCTGCAGATAGGCCAGCACTGACTCCTTGGCTACAGAGCCAGGCTTTGTTATTCGCTGCGGTTTGGGGCGAGGACAAGCACAGCTGGGGGCCTCAAGGGGTTCTACCACTGTGGTCGTAGACACTTCCGGCACAAGTGAGGGGCCTACAGGCACTCTTGCAGCTCTTTGGGGTGTTGGGCGGGGAAGATGAGTAGGTGCGAGCCTATTTGAAATCAAAGGAGAGGCAGCCTCTGCCATGGCATCTCCTTCATCACTTGTGGTTTCAACAATGGTGGTCGCCGATCATCTGATATTTTGAAAGAAAAGATCGTACACAGATTGTGGGAATCTGACAAATTGGCCACTAACTCGAGTCAAAGTGCTTGAATTATCAACGGCATGAGATTGAGGTAGCGTCCTGAGAGGGGTTAACAATGGTGCATGAACTATCACCAAATATTTGACGTACGTGTTAACCGATTCAATGTTATTAGCTTTCATGCCAGTGTCTGCCACTTCCACACGCAGCCCAAATTGTTTGCGAATCTCCCGAAGAAGAGTGAGCAAGGAGTCCTGGTGGTCTTGTAGTACCCGAAGGTCTTGGACGAAGGGAAGGAGTTGCGATGCTGTGGTGATACAGTGGATATTGTCGAGGATGAAGTCAATGCGAGAATCAGGGAGGAAGGCGGCCGGGCTCATGTGCTGAAGCAACGGTGTGTCAGCCCGTTCCCAAAGGCCCCAGCGGAAACCACAAAGCTTCTCACGAGCGATTGCTCGCTTGCAGTCTGGGAAGATGGAGAGAGACAGCTTGCTAGACGGCGGCGAAATTCGACGAGATAACTTGGGCAGGGGTTCCTCAGGACAGCAACCGCTACAAACACAAGACGACGGTGGCAAGACAGGAGATTGACAGGTGCGGCAAGAGCAAGGAGGGTCAGAGATGGGATTGTGATAAAGGGTGTTGAGAACATCAGTTACACAATCTGCTAAAAGCAGCCATGCCATGTCGAGTGTCATAAGGTCGTCTGCTTTCCCACCTAGCTTCTGCCCTGATGGCCGAGGGCTTGCTACGATGCTGGCCGCATGCTTGGCCATGCTCGATGGGATATAAACAATTGCGCGAGGACAGGGGTTCCGGACAAGTCCTGGCTGACGGCCCACATGGCCCCCCTTCTGTATGATGTCGTTTGGATTCTTCGGATTGATAATTACTGCGTCGGCCACGTTGGGCCAATTATTGCCAACCTTGAGCGCATCAGTAGCTAGGACTACCTGCAGATTGGGATCATGCTCAAATAAATCTCGTGTCTCCTTATTATAAGAAGACGCGCAGGGTGCACAATACATCTGAAAGCGATCATGGTGAGATGAGGGAGCGAGCGACCAGAAGTAGACAAATAGGCGATGTGCAAGCGTAACCGTGTCTGCGTAGACAATGGTTTTGCGCTTTGTTTTCACAATCCAGTCGAAATCGGGAAAGGACCAACCTCCAAGACCATGGCGTAAGATGCGAGTGATGAACTGGATGTCGGAGCAAATATTTAAACGGTGAGTGAAGAAATACGACCCTGGCACAAGACCAAGAACATGAACAATCCAATTAACATCGGCAGTGGGAAGAGTGGCCGTTACAGCAATAAGAGTGGTGGTGGATTTCATGCGAGCTAGAACGAGGCCAATATCCGTAAAAGCCTTCCGAAAGGATGTATCACCCCAGTCTGTGATTAGATGCATTTCATCGAAGCCCAATGCACAAAGGGAGTCAGTGAATGCTTTCGTATGAAGTAGCCAATTGAAGCTGCGAGAAACTAGCTGTTCAGGCGAAACGAGGATCATTGAAACACATCCAGAGCAGGCTTGCTTCCAGAGGTCGTCGCCACAGCGTTGTGCGGCGGCAAGCGTATCTTCATTTATTGCCAATGCAGACAGCCCGTATGCGCGGAATGTTGATTCCTGACAATGCTAAGGATTAGTATCTGCGCAATTCTTCCACTTGTATGTACCATTTCTTCCTCGAGCCCTTTTGTTGGAAATATGATGACCATGGTGGGATTTTTGGGGAGCTTCCTATGAAGGAAGCGAGGTGTCGGGGAGATGCCTCCCAACGCCTGTAGCATATGCATGTACCCATAGAAGTAGCTGGTCTTCCCGCCACCAGTCTTGAGCACGGAGAGAACATGGATTCCATCTACAGCCTTGCATATCCCTTCGAGAACGTGGTCGTGGATTTCGTGCGGAAGCCGACTGCGCAATAGCGAGTGCACGTATGCTCGGCCTTCGTCACTGCTAAAGTTCACAGCGTCGTGGGACTCACTGGCCATCTAACGCGCTTGTGATCAATCAACAACCGAATGCGGATATAACACGTACCCACGTGCAAGACGCATTGCCGGTCGCCGGCATGTGCTCTGAGTTTGAAACTTTGACAGATTCCCCGGCTCCCTACTAGAGGTACGCACTGGGAACCAGGTGTTATATCAAGTAATTGACTGTCATTTACTGATTTGCCTGTGCTTGCCAGGCTAGGACCCAGTCAAAGTTGAACAAGTGTGGCGCAACGTCACGTGTGAGCCACCACTAGACCCGTATGGTAAGTAGTTTTCACCTTGCAGCGCTGTCGCGAGGCTGAGCATAACAGCTTCGGACCTGCGGAGATTTTCTCTGCCATTGTCTGTCTTCGAAAATGGCATCTCACTTGACGTGCCTTCGCCACGTTGTGCAAATGTCGAGTCATGGTAAGTCCCCCAAAGTTCTTGAATGGCAATCAGCTTACATTTACTGTAGGCTTACCGCAGGGCACTTCATCTAGTATTTTCCATGTGGCAGGCTGCTCACATCAAACACCATGTGTGGCGCTGACTCGCCGTCACTATCACCTTTTCGATCAGCCGTGGAAGCCCGGAAAGTCCTAGTTATCTGTGAGATCTGTACCCTCAAATTCTGATAGCTGGCTATCAGGCAGCCTCAAGGCCCAAATGACTCGAACTGCGAGTTCTGTTGATCCCAGTCTGGCGCGACAAGGAAGCAACAGAGACAGGCCAAGGGTGCGTGCAGTCCTGCCGTACTTTACTTGATGCTCAACATTGTAGATGCCTATTCTACAGACCGTCATGTCTGCGTGCTAATCAGGGTACCCGCAGCACATTCTGTAGCATGCACGGCCTCACCTCACCTCAATCAATCCAATCAATGAGTCCCCACAACCGTCCTGGCCTCCCTACACCCTACCGCCTCCACAGCCCCCATGTCTGGAATCATCCAGCCAAAGGCTGGGACTCGGCCCGATACTGCCCCCCAGACGTTGCGTGGGCATCCAAATGGTCCTTTCATTTCAGTATATTGTCACCCTTTCGCTGTCTGGGATGCTGCCACTGTGTACAACGGTCATGTGTTATATCCCTCGCCATCCCTTTCTGTCGGTGTCTGGACATCATCGGGATGTAAAGTCATGTTAAGCTGGAGACGGGCCATTCGTCGATGCCGAGGTAGTACACCATGAGCTTACGCAGGCCCGGCAGGTGTAGGAGCAGAACATCGAGCGTCCCGCCAGACCGCCTTTTGACGCCGTCCTCGAAGTATTCCGATATCACCATGTCAGGACCTTGAACGAATGCGCCGATGGCAGCACAGTCGGCAGTTGAGACCGCTTGCCAGCGAATGGAGGTACAGCGGACGCTCCTGCCAGACCCCACTAAACTCACGTCACTCACTCTCAACACCGTGTATGACCAGCCCGCGTTCCTCGCCTTCCTGCGCACGTGCCCGTTGTTGGAGTGTACCTGGCCGTTGATATGGTGCAGGACGAGAATGAGGAAACCCCAGACGTGATTCCGCCAGACGTGATTCCAAGTCTGCACAACGTCTACTGCGGCTCCCGTTTGCTCTATTTCTGTATCCTCGCGGGGCGGCGCATCAAGCATATCAACATTGTGGGATGTGACATCTCCCGGGGGATCTACAACGAGGCAGACCTCGACGCGCTCGCGGGGCCCATGGCTGTCGCACGATCGCTGTCCGTGCTTGGAGAGATGTACCTTCAGTGTACACTCCGAGACAACGGTGTCACCCGGTACTCGCATTTACAGTTCCTCGCTTTTGCAATATGCAATGCAAGCCCTCTACCATCCTCGTTCCGTGTGTTCCACCCCCTGGCTCATGAATGATCATGTTGCAGACGAGAAAATCGGCATCGGTGGCGTGCAAATGGTGATGGAGCGCTGGTAAAAAAGACTCCGCTCCAGTGTGGAGGCCGCATACTGGACCATGACACTGTCGCAGAGGCGTTTTTCGCAGCCACGGCACCGTTGGGTGTCCTCGACATCGAAATCAAAATCAAAATCGAAATCGGACGCAAATGTGGGAGTAAAAGTGTGTCCCCAAGATGCTTGCGCTATTTGCGAGGGAGTCCCATGGAGAAAGATATATATATGGCAATCCACCTTGTTTTACCCTCCTGTGATGACTTCCAAGATCCCATGTGGCTGGGTGGGTGGCTTTACTCCTGCTTCGGCGCACACAGATATTGACCGTGGAACTTTTCTAAGAGAGCATCAATTGAAAAACATCGCGAGCCGGACCACGACGCCGTCGCAGCGGCTTTTCTGCCGACATGCCGTCCATGGTTATGCCCGATATCGGAATGTGGACCGAATGCGCCGTCTGGAGCACGTCCCCAAGATGTTCGCGATACTACCGGGGAAGTCCCACTGAGAAAGATACGGAGGTAGACTTGGTGTTCCCTGCATGTTGTGACTCCCAAGCACTCCTATGCACCTATGGGTGGAGCGCGTCGAAGACCTCAGTGGGTTACTCTTTCCTGCTCATGCCACGCACAGATACTAACCGAGAACCGTCGCTAGTCCGGTGTCAGTCGAAAGCCATTGTCGAGATCGACTCCGACAAGTCTAATGTCGGATGACATGCACGTAGTAGTGACAGTGACAAGTGTGCCGTGTGCCCAAGGGGAGGGCGTTACAAGCTGTCTGTGTGGACTTGGACTCGTCGTCAACATAGTTCAGAATCTTTATGGGATACCGATTTTGTTTGCTGTTGCCTTTCTCTCATGTGGCTGGCGCATTCTTAGTGCAACTGTAGTAGATACAATGATCTTCACTTGCAACAATGATGTGCGCACACAGCGGTCACGACAGCTTCCGTGGGCCCTCAGATTTCTTTTGCGTTCTGCAAACGGCGAGAAGCCACTGATGGGGAGACGGGGGAAGGACGTGGGGCCTCTCGTATTCCAGTATTATAAGTGTCATCTCGAGGTTCCAGCAGCTCCAGTGACGATTCCAGTTGTGGTACCTCGTGTCTCCCGGACCATGCCGTCATCGCAGAGGCTTTCTTCGTTTCCATGCCTTCGCTACTCAGTACTAATTCTTGATACATACTGTAGTAGTGAATGTACGCGTAGACTAGTAGTGTAGTCTAGTAAAATGCGAGGGTCCGCCTCCGGCAGGACAAGTCCATGCGACACCCGCGTGAGTAAAGTGTGATAAGGATGAGTCCGAGAGTGAAAACGAACAACTGAGAAACTTCGGACGCTTCGGACGGCTTCGGATGGCTTCGGATGGCTTCGGACGCGCTCGGACGCGGACAGACAACTTGGCTTCGGATAGTACGACGAGGACGGCAGGAGAATGACAAGGACAGCAGGAGAAAGCAACTTCGGATTGGACTCGGGCTCGGACTCGGACAGCGGCAGACTCTGACAACGGATGAGAAGAAAGGTTCGGACGGCTTAGAATCTGACTCAATGTGGGGGGGAAACAAATCTGATTCTTCTACTACGAGTATAGACGGTTTTTGTAGGTAAGAAAATCTCGGAAATGTCCGAAACGAAAAGGAACCAGGAACGAGTAAAGGTGCTAGTATAGTCCAAATATTAGAGTCCGAAAAACAAAAGAGACTAAACTTTGATCTGGGCTGTCTGATCCATTATCACGTGTGTCCGGTACGGTTTCGTGACGTCCGAGTCATGTGCGAGCGCGTCCGAGGAGTCGGAGAGGGGTCGATAGGAGATAGGGGAAGCCGGACTGCACGGAACGAAAGGGTTCAACCCTTACAATACCTGTATTGAGATCCGCCACAACGGCGAAGACCGCCGCGTCCCCACGATGCGTCCGCTATATTCAAGCAAAGCAGCAGCCCATCATCGATGAAAAGCCATCCCCCGAGATCCGAGACCGACCGATTCAAGTCCAACGAGTAGCGCGCACATAACGGAAGAACGGAAGAACGGGTGAAGAAATGAAAAAAATTGAAGAAATGAAAAAATGAAAAAAGACATGCACGCGGGAGATTGGGGTAGACTTGGAGGTGCCGTCGTTGCGTGTTGCGACCATTTGTGCTGTTCATCTTTCGCGCTGCCCGTCAATGTCGATGGCGAGCAGGCGTCGGGCGTCGGGCGTCGGGCGTCGGGCATCCCGGACAGGGCATCATATATCACCCGTAGTCGCAATGGGGGCATGCAGTGGGAGCGGCCCTTCTTGTATTCTGGGATCATATTGTTTCCTCGGATCGTTGTTCTCGTGCAGCCAGAAAGACCGACGTGGTGCTATACTCCGTACCACCACAACACATAGCAACACGCGTATGTGTGTGCATGCTTCTTCTGGGAAGGCGCCAGTACACGGACGTGTGCAGGAAACGTGCAGGGAGCCGGGGTGTGGCGGTTGCCGGCGCAGGAGCACGGTGAGGGCGGGCCCAATGTCGGACATCGAAGAGCTATCACTAGGGCTGAATGCTCGCCCAGAGCGCAAGGTCAAATGCACGAAAGCGCGAGCAATCGCGTCTCTGCTCCATATGCTACAACGAAAGGTGAAAGATCCCCCGACACACGGGAGTCCTACACCCCTGCCCAACATCGATATGGACCGTCCGGGAATCAGTGCGAATCCGAATCTTGAGCTTGATGTGTTGGATGTGAAAATAAGGGCGAGGGTGAGGCAAGGCGGCGGTGAGACGTGAATTGTATTGCATTGCATTGAGGATTGAGGATTAATGCAGGATACACTTTGTTGCAGTGGGCTCAGACTTGAGCTTGATGTATGATGCTTGATGGGGCGTCTGGACTAGTCATTTACGACGTTCAGCGTCAAAGGAGCGAGAGAAGGCAGGGCTGCACGCACCTCTTGCCGCTACCTACCAAGGATATCAAATCTCCGGGAATGCCCTCCCTCCCTCCCTTCAGACGCGAATGGTGCATGAGGAAGGCGCCGTTTCGGCTGCACAGGAAGTGTGTTCTCAGAGTTAGTACTGGATATTCCACGGCCACTCTCTGTACTAATAACTGTAGCTCTCTACCAATCGTTCGCGCCGCGATGATGCACCTTTCGTGGACATTATGGAAGGGTACGAGGCGTCCCCATACATGCTTCGGCAATGACGCTGCCAAAGCAGCTCAAATGACTCCACTAAGGCCGAAGCCAAACAGAGTGTCAGGTTGAGCGTTCTTTGAATTCACTCACCACCCACTCACTCACCCGAGATTTTCCATTAACGAACGGCGCGGGAGATGGGGAAGGCGATGTAGTCCGCGGTACGGCAGAAGCTCAGAGTTACGGTGAACGGGCGGTGATGTATTGTGGTGACGGAGTGCCGGCGTTGTGATGCCGATGTGTGATGCCGATGAGGAGGGGACGCACCATATATGCAGCGAGCGACGAGCGACGGGTCTACGTCATCGCGTTCGTTCAAGGGTGATTCGGACGTGAGGAGAGCGCCGCTGCGAAAGATGTCGATAAGGAATGCTTGAAGTGGTTGAAACGGCGGGATGGCTCGTGCGGCGCGCAGGATGCCATGCACGGACCCTCCCGACACACAACATACGTAACCTACAACATCACCGTGACAGGCGTATCTGTGCGCCTTACACCCTCTCGTATCCCATCAGCGCCTTGTATAATAAGATGATCTCATGGGCAATGCCTCCGTCTGTGAAGTGATTTATATGAAATGATTTATTTGAAATACATATGCGAAGAAGCGTACAAATTATATAAATATCGATGTCAGAAGAACAACCTATTTAGAATGATACGACGTCACGGAGAACTTCATCAGCCCGTCCAAGCCTAACATCTTCTTCTGCCTAATACTCATCTCGCGACCCTCGAGTGTGTGCTTCGAAGCATTCTGCGGTTTCAAGTTATCAACCCACTGGGTGATGTCCTGAGGCGGTTCAGTCAGTTTCGCGGCGTATTTGCGCAGGGTTGCGTAAACCATGTCCGACTCGGGATCTTGTAGCTTCTCCAGACGCTTGAGATATTCGACCTTCGCTTTCTGGCGCCTCGCAAGCTCCTCACAGGATCGTCCATCGTCGTCATCGTCGTCGCTCAGGTAGTCTTCATTGTAGCGGGGCGCAAAGAATTCGGAAAGCTCTTTGATGAGATGCTTCATCGCTCGGATTGGTTCCGCGAACTTGACCTTGGGTGGTCCTCCCCTTTCGATCATGGTCTGTTTGGACGCCAGGCCCATGTCTGGCTTACCCTCTTGCGCGATGTAGTCGTCAAAGATGGACAATGTCCCCCTGAGTCGTTGCTCAGGGAGGTCGTGCCTAAGATGTTTCAAAGCCATGTACGTTAGGACATGAAGGGCCGATTCACGGTCGTCGATGACGGTATGCGATGCAGTCTCAGGGTAAAGCGTCAGATGGGCCGACATGAACTGCCATGTGCCCTATAAGAATGTCGAAGTTAAGTCGCAATCTATCAAGGAACGCGAACGACCAAACGCACTGTTCGATGGATCCTTGTACCAGTGCGATCTTTGGTGTCGCTGTTTAGCAGAATACAGTGGTCCCAATCCACAAGAATGCCATGGCGATTCTCGGGCTCTAGTGACATCAGGATATTTCCTGCGCTGATATCGCGATGAAGAATGCCCAACCTGTAAGCCTGTTGATGCGCTATCCATGCATAAGTGTGGGAAATCTACGTTAAAGGAGAGCACATACCATCCATGGCATCGGCGATGCAGGTCACCAGTTGACGAGCAGTACTAAATGTCGCAAGGTCTCGCCCAATGGTCGAGAGTAAGATAAAATGGGCCGTCAATTCCCTAATTGCTAGTTTGTTGGGGTTTTGAACCCAGGGTTCTGAGATATGCTCGTGGCCTATGGTGGTGACGGCCTCCGCGGTCGTAGTGTCACCTGTCAAGAGGTCCCCGCCTAAGTACATGTCCGCAACGAAGGTAACTCCAGCACTCTTCAAGATGCCATAGATATCTGACTCCTTCGTACAAGGAGAGGATTCGCGCCAGTAGTCTTTGAAGTAGTGGACTTCTCCGAGTAGTAGATGGACGACTGCCCTGCTACGCGTGCATCGACCGAACGGAGAGTACATTGCGCCGTCGAAGTGGGGGGCTGGGACGACGTAGACCTGACCCTTGAACGCCATACGTAGCAGCGGCAGTTGTTGAGGATCGAGATCCTTGTTGTATGTATCGGGGCGCTCCCCAGTGAAGTAGGACGTTTTGAAGCGCTTCAGGATATTCAGCGCCTTGACACCATCCTTTTTATTCAACCGGGAGATATTGGGATAGAGTCCACGCTGTACGTCGGTAAGCTGCGCGAAGCGTTTGTAGAAGTCGAACAGTATGAAGGGATGCGTAGTGTAGTCGAATCGGCGAGTAACAATGGCGCTGGAACGATCCCAACGGATGAAACGAGCGTACTTGCCACAGATGAGCACACTGAAGAGATGGGACCTGAACTGCATCGCCATCGTCAGGCGTAGCTTGCAATTTGTCCTCGGGTGCTTCGACCTTGCCTTGTGTCATTCTCGAAAGGGTAGTCCTCGGAAGGCGTTGGCTCCCCGTCGTCCTCCACATCGGGGTGGGCCTCTCCTTCCTCCGTGTCGACATCTGCCGCGGAAGACTCAGCGATATACGGCTCTTCGGCTACGGCATTTCCGTCGTATTCGCCGTCCAGCTCGTCTTCTTCGACGCATACTTCGGGCTTCAAATAACCCGCCATCACGTAGTAGTCCTGGCCATCGTACTCGTCGCTGCCGGCGTCGACGAATGCGTCCATTGTCTCCTTCGCTTTGTGTTCCGTGAAACTTTGAATGTTGGCGAAGTCCACCTTCCGTCGTACGCGCCGCGGAACGATTGCCTTCCCTCTGAAGTAGATGCAATTGTCGGGTCCAAGTAGGCTGTCAGCATCGCGGTGGCCATGAGTGTCCTCAAAATCGGGGCGCTGTATTGCCTTTCGGTTGCGTACGGGTGGCCAGCGGGAGAACGCACATTGCTAAGTAGTTTTGTTAGTAAATAGGTGGTGTTAGCGCACCGCGACTCACCCAGTCAGTGTTCATTGCGCTCTCAGGCTTAGTCGCCATCCCGATCAAGCGTGATAGTCGAGCCTTGGATGGTTTTTCCGTCTTGAACGCATCGTCTGTTTCGGGATTCCATTTCATGAACCTTTCAACGAAGATGTGGGGCTCTACCCCGCCGATGTAGTGCCCCCCGTGTTTCCTGGACAAGGGCGCAGCGAAGTTTTCCTATGTCGGCCTTAGTCATGGCGAAGTCGTGGTAGTCTGCGACACACAGAGCGGTAGGAGTGTACAAGATGTCTGGGCCGATTGCTGGTGTGTTATTTGGAGGAGTAAACAGGTTGGATTGTTTGAAGTTTCACTGTGCGCGGGCGAAGTTAGTACGTCGTCGGATGGAATGAAAGGGACATACTTATATGCGGCTGTCGTGTAGCCCTTTCAATGTGGCTAGATGCAACAATGGGAACAAAGAGCTCAAGTTCGACTCAACCGTCACGTGGATCCGCGCCACTGACTAATTATGGGAAGTAGTGTTCGCACACAGGGGGCTAACGTCCAACGAGCACCGTGAGAGACTGGTGGACGGAATCGAGGCAGCTGGGAGGGAGAGAGAGATGCGCGTGTCTGGATAGTGATCTGAATATGTCGTTCTGGGGATCTCAAAATGGCTGTAAGTAAGAATCTGTATACGACAGTCAATTGAGTACTCACTACGCAGCGGTGCTGATGGTAGACGACACATTAGACGATATTGTGCTCTTCGTGGCGAGATCTCCTCTGTCACGCTAGGGAGCATCTTGGCCTAGACTTCGGGATGCAGGAGATGCCAACTTGAATGCTATGAATATTGCTGAGGAAGAGCGAAACGGTCGAGGGAGTAGGACGAACGATTGTAAACATCCTCCCGGCGTTCGTATAGTTCCTTCGAAGGCGGGACTTGAAAGGGAGAGACATTGCACCTAAAGCCGTTGAAGAAACTGTGGTATTTGTATAAGATGGCTTCGTTCACAGGGGCTGGCGGATGTATACAGATTAGCGCCGTTATAGGGTAGGAATTCATAGGGTATGCACAATGAACAGCAGTCTGTTCGGCTGGCGTTGGGGGACCAAGAAGTACGCTGATGGCGGCGAATTGAAGGGGAGGCTGCCCCACAATATCATCGGGGAGCCTCCCGTCCTTGTCGAAGACGATTAGCTCGTCTTCCTTCGGCGTCAATTGCATGTACATCATCTTGCTTCGTCATATTCATATCCGCAATAGTCTGTGATAGGTAACGCCTATTAAGTACAGCCTCGACAAGAGTCCGTGGCACTGGCACCCCAGATACTTGATCGCAAGTCACCCTTCGATGCCGCTCGACGCGGTGTTGATGAGTCCATCGAATAAGGCGTTGGTTCATTACGACAAATATGTCCATATGCTCACCCCTTCTTCAAAGCGGCGCCGTCAGCATTGCCGGAGATAGATGTCCACGCACTATTCTCTTCGACGATGGGCACGAAAGCTCCATCAGAACGGCGTGAACGTTGAAGAGCTGAAGAGCTACAAGTCTTAGTCCGAAGAATGGGGGGAAATGCGAAGACAAATGTACCGTCCGTCCCCCTTCATCGAGACTTGATCATTCAGAGGCGATCCGCCAATGGTCATCAAAGGGGGAAGTTCACAGCTTCAAATGAAGAGTGATGGTTTGCGTCGCCGATGATCCTCGTAGCAGCTTTATGGCTTCAGTCACAGGGCTGCCATTGCAAAAGTTAGAAGCTGGTCGTTGGTATTTTTCGACTCTTGGTGTACGCACGGTGTACACGCGGGGAGGGGAACTAGCCACGCAGATTGTCAGCGAGCGCAATTGCCCGTCGTACAGAAGTGAAAGCACTCGCACGACCGTGTCATTACTCGGGTGTATGTCTTGAGAGAGAGGCACTGAAACGTTGAAACCAAATTCCATGACCGTGGAAATTCAAGTACTGACTGTGAGAACACCTTTCCTGCTTCAGCTGAAGCAACGAGCGAATTTTCTCATGCCAACAACTGAACTCTCCCACAACGGCGCCGACCTCGACTCGCTCGCGGGGCCCATGGCTCTCGCACGATTGATTCCCATGCTTGGACAGATGTACCTTCAGTGTACACTCTGAGAAGATGACATCGCCCTATATTCGCATTTAGAGTTCCTCACTGTTGCGGTATGCGATGTAAGCCCTCTACCATCTTCGTCCCGCGTGTTCCAACCCCCCGACTCATGAATGACCATGAACCACACCAGAAAATCACCATCGGTGACGTGCAAATGATGGGGGAGCGCTGGTAAAAAAAACTCCGCTACATCTATCTCCAGTGTGAAGGCTGCATACCGGACCATGACGCCACCGCCGAGGCGTTTTTCGCAGCCATGCCGTCGTTGGGTATCCTCGACATAGAAGTCGAACGCAAATCCGGGAGTAACAGCGCGTCCCCGAGATGGTCGCGCTACTTTCGAGGGAGTCCCATGGAGAAAAATACGGCAATCGACTTTGGTTTCCCCTCTTGTGATGACTTTCAAGATCCCCTGTGGGTGGATAATGTCGAAGACCTGTGTGAGTGACTTGTCTTACAGCTTCAACGCACCCAGATATTGACCGTGGAACTTCACTAGTCGAGCATCGATTGAAGGAAATCGATGGAGGGTCGCCGCACCAAGTCTCATGAGGGAGGTCATTCGTTCGATGCTCTGTAACTAGTACATTAGCATTACGTCGAAACAGAGATCAAGCCCCGCAGAAGACGATATCGCAGACGCCGTCCAAAGGTGCAAGTGAGCGGCGCGCGATCGCTGCGCAAATCACTTGATTGGTAGATCATTCGTCAGCGGCGCTAGTAGGCAGTCACGCTGGGAATGGTGATGTATATACTAGAGCTGCAAGACAGGGCGTGGCGCGAACGTGTGATTGTGGACATTGGTTCTCGTACTCTGCACAGTTCTGCTTAGCCATTGTTGCGATTTGAACCATGCTCTCTGTCTGTGTTTTGCAATGATATGATTTCGAATAGATAATACAATCAGATATGCGGGTGTACTGTGGAAACTAGTCGGATGAGGTGGAAGGGCGCGTATTGCCCGTTCTATAAGATAGTAGTCCATCCCATCTGAGGGACTTGTCCCCCCTCGGATTTACTAAATAATCACCAGTGCGTTTCAACGATTTCCCGTCTCCTTTCAGATTGTCGACCCACTGAGTGATGTTGTCGGGTGGTTCGGGCATTTTCGCTGCCCAGCTGCGCATCGTCTTGTACACAAAGTCCGAAGCGGGATCGAGTAATTTCACCAGCTTCAGGCGATGTTCTTCCTTCTCTTTCTCGTACTCAGCCAAGTCCTCAGGTGACATAACCTGGAGTGCCTCATCTGGTTGGGTGTACTCTTCGATATAGCGCGGGGAAAAGAATTTGGCAAGAGTTCGTATGAGGAACGTAATCGCAGGAATGTCGAACTTCACCCCAGGCCCTCCATTGGTGACGAACCACGATTTGTATTTGGATGCTTTGTCTGGCTTGCCCTCTCGAGCCACGTAGTCATCGAACATGAGCAATATGCCTTCAAGCTCTTGCTCATCCGTGGTATTGTGCCTGAGATGCTTCAAGGCCATGTATGTCAGCACATGCAGCGCCGATTCGCGATCGTCGACGACCGTATGCGAGGCGTTGCCAGGGTTCTGCGTCAAATATGCAGACATAAACTGCCATGTACCCTACGCAACATTGAGTTTGAGCGACAAGCATGACCATTGTCACTCACCGTGCGGTGGACCCTGGTAGTCGTGCGTTCTTTAAGGGCATCGTTCAGGAAGATACAGTGATCCCAGTCGATAAGAAAACCGCGGCGATTCTCGGGTTGGAGCGTCATGAGGATGTTTCCCGCACTAATATCGCGATGAAGGATGCCTAGTTCATAAGCTTGCTGATGGGCTAGTCAAGGAATCAGTCTTTTGTTGCGACGTCGAAATGGAGTACGTACCATCCATGGCATCGGCGATGCAGGTCACCAACTGCCGAGCCGTCTTGAACGTTGCGAGGTCGCGGCCGAGGGTCGAGAGCACGATGAAATGAGCCACCAAATGTCTGATTCTGAGCTTGCTAGGTTTCTGCACCCACGGTTTCAACTTCCACTCGTGGCCAATGGTGGCGATCGCCTCGTCGCCCCCCATGAGATCTCCACCAGCATGCATTTTCGCAACGAAGGTGACCTTCGCCCCCTCTAGGATCCTGTAGACCTCTGACTCTTTCTTCGTGAACGTGGATTCCTCGCGCCAGTACTCTTTGAGATACAGTATTTCTCCATCCTCTCCGCATCTTCCGTCCTCCGCCTCCTTTGCAATTTTTCTTTCCTTCAGAAGAACGACCGCCCGATTCCGCGTGCATCGACCGAACGGAGAGTACATCGCGCCATCGAAACAGGGCGCCGGAACGACATAGGTATCGTCGCCGAAGACCAAGGATAGCAGCGGGAGCTGCTTGGGATCCGGTTCTTTCTTGTAAAAGTCAGCGTGCTCGCCAGTGAAGTACGATGTTGCGTATTTTCGCATCATTTCTACAGCTTTCATTCCGGCTGGCCTGCTGAGTGCGCGAAGGTTTGGGTAGAGCCCACGTTGGACGTCGTCGAGCTGAGCGAAGCGTTTGTAGAAGTCGAATATGATGAGCGGGTGCGTCGTATAGTCGAAGCGGCGAGTGACAATGGCGCAGGAACGATCCCAGCGAATGAACCGCGCGTATCTCCCGCAGACGAGAACACTGAATAAATGGGACCTAAACTGCATCGCCATCGTCACCCCGGCGTAGCTTGCAATTTGTCCTCGGGTGCTTCGACCTTGCTTCGTGTCGTTTTCGAAAGGATATTTTTCAGCAGCCGTTGGCTTCGTGTCATCCATCACCTCGGGGTGCGCCTCTCCTTCATCCGCATCGACAAGGCCAGTGGGAGATGCAGCGATATACGGTTCTGCGCTCCCGACTGTCTCATCCTCTTCCTCCTCGTCCTCTTCCTCCTTCTCGTCCTCTCCTGCATCTCCTTCACGCTTCGAATAGCCCGCCATCACATAATATGCCTCGCCATCGTAGTCTTCGTCGCCAGCGTCGACGAACGCGTCCATTTTGTCGTCCGCTTTGTGCTCAGTGAAGCTTTGGACGTTGGCAAAGTCCACTTTTCGTTCTTTCGCTCGTGGGACGAGTGGCTTATTCAGGAAATAGATGCAGTTGTCCGGCCCAAGGTGGCTCTCTGCGTCGCGGCTGTTATGTGTGTCCTTAAAGTCCAGAGGCTGGATTCCCTTTCGCTCGCCTACGAGTGGCCAGCCAGCTAGAGTAGTTTGCTAGGTAGGTGTGTTAGAAAACGAATGATATTGGCGTCCTGTCACTCACCCAGTCTGCGTTCATCCCTGTCTCAGGCTTGCTGGCCATACCGACCAAGCACGACACCCTCGCGTCGGAAGGTTGTTCGAGCCTAAATGACCTGCCCGTACCCTTATTCCATCCCATGAATTCTTTGACGAAGACGTCGGGGTCTACGCCGCCGATGTATTGTCCTCGGGTCTCCTGGACCAGTGCGCTGCGCAATTTGTCGATATCGACAGGGCCCATGGAGTGGATATGGTAGTTCGCAATGCGCCTGTTGTGAGGTGTATGTTTAATGTCGATGTCGATGTCCGGTGGTGACCCGGATTTCGGTTCTTCGTCAGTGGCTGCAGGCGCTTCAGCCGCGATATCTGTCGCGCGGGCGTCGTTGGGGGAGGGAGCGGCTGACATTCGGGACATTATTGAGTATTCCGTTGATTGACATGGCTTTAAAATGACACTCGTACTTATAGGTCGTTTCGTCGATCTTTCCGGTTTGGGAGCAGACGAAAGGACCCAGTCAAAGTTGAACAAGTGTGGCGCAACGTCACGTGTGAGCCACCACTAGACCCGTATGGTAAGTAGTTTTCACCTTGCAGCGCTGTCGCGAGGCTGAGCATAACAGCTTCGGACCTGCGGAGATTTTCTCTGCCATTGTCTGTCTTCGAAAATGGCATCTCACTTGACATACCTCCGCCACGTTGTGCGAATGTCGAGTCATGGTGAGTGGCCCAAAGTTCTAGAACAGCAATCAGATTACATTTACTGTGGCTTACCGCAGGGCAGTTCGTCTAGTTTTTTCCATTCGGTGGGCTGCTCACATCAAACACCATGTGTGGTGCCCACTCTCCGTCACTATCACTGTTCCAACCAGCCCCGCAAACGATTGGAAGCCCGGAAAGTCCTAGTTATCTGTGGGATCTGTACCCTCGAATTCTGATAGCGGGCTGTCAGGCATCCTCGAGGCCCGTATGACTCGAACTGCGAGTTCTGTTGATCCCAGTCTGGCGCGACAGGGAAGCAACAGAGACATGAGGCCTTCAGGAAGATTCCTACGTTACGGATGTCGCCAAATAGATAAGTCACACCACACAACTAGCCCATCAGTCTTAGCCAATAATGATATTGGGCCCTCACTTTCTCGTGTTCAGGAATGGTGCAGTAGAGGCGCGTTGCAGCACATTCTATAGCACGCGCGGCCTCACCTCACCTCAATCAATGGATCCCCACAATCGCCTTCACCTCCCTACACACAACCGCCTCCCCAGTCACCACGTCCGGAATCGTCCAGCCAAAACTTCGGACCAGGGCCTGATAGTGCCCCACAGACATTGCGTGGGCATCCAAATTGTTCTTTTATTCCAGTATATTGTCGCCCTTTCGCTGTCTGGGATACTCCCATGTTTCCACTGTGTACGACGATCACGGGTTAAATCCCCCCCATCGCTCTCTGCTCCTCCCCTGCCCAGTTGGTGTCTCGACGTCACCCGAACGTAAAGCCATGTTAAGCTGGAGACCGGCCATTCGCCGATGCTGAGGTAGTACGCAGGCTTGGCAGGTGCAGGAGCAGAACATCGAGCCTCTCCCCAGACCACCTTTTGATGCCGTCCTCCAGGTATTCCGGTATTGTGATGGCGAAAGCTTGAACGAATGCGCCGATGGCAGCGCGGTCGGCACTGTATGCGGGTTCCACTGGCCTTCATCAGCTAGCGATTGTCAAGGTTTCCAAAAGTGCTTGGACTCACTCGTGCGCATCATTGCTGACGATCGCGCTGCTCTGGGTACAATCGTCCAAACCATCAACCTCACGGTCCCTGAATACCCTGTGGATTACGAGGACGAGAGACAGTCTGGTAAGATGCTCGACGTCCTCCTGCATATCCCCAACCTGCGCAACTTAACGGCGCTCTACATCAGCCTCGACGAATGGCCTTTCTCGAAGTTGACAATTCTCCCCAACCCCTCGAAACTCATGTCACTCACTCTCAACATCGTGTACGACTACCCAGCGCTCCTTGCGTTCCTGCGCGCGTGCCCGTTTCTGGAGTACCTGGCCATTGGAATGGTGCAGGACAAGAACGGGGAAACCCCAGAAGTGATTCCACCAGACGTGATTCCATGTCCGCGCAGCGTCTACTGCGGCTCCGATTCTTCTACTTCTGCGTCCTCGCGGACGGCGCATCGAGCATATCAACATCGTGGGATGTGACATTTCTTTGACGATCCACAACGGCGCCGACCTCAACGCGCTCGCGGGGCCTATGGCTCTCGCACGACCGCTTTCCGTGGATGGACGGATGGACCTTCAGTACCAGTGTACACTCCGGGGGGACGTCATCGCCCCATATTCGCATTTAGAGTTCCTCGCCGTTGCAATAACTGATGTAAGTCCTCTACCATTGTCGCTCCGTGTGTTCCAACCCCCCGACTCATGAATGACCGTGATGCACACCAGAAAATCACTATCAGTGACGTGCAAATGATGGCGGAGCGCTTGTCACAAAAACTCCGCTACTATCTCCAGTCTTCAGGCTGCATCCCGGCCATGATGCCGCCGCTGAGGCGTTTTTCGCAGCCACGGCATCGTTGGGTATCCTCGACATAGAAATCGAACGCAAATCCGGGAGTAACAACGTGTCTCCAAGATGGTCGCGCTACTGTTCCATGGAGAAAGACACGGCGATCAATTTTGTTTTACCTTCCTGTGATGACTTTCAAGATCCCCTGTGGGTGGATGACGGTGTAGGGGCAGCATTTCGGCACACCCAGTCTCCTTCTCGTGTCAGGCATTTTATCCACCATTTCGCCCTCAGCGAGGGTCCTAGCGCAAAGAATCATTCGAGCATAAAGGGAACTCGTGATTGAAAGGGGCAGGAGACCTGCAAACTGTGTGCGCACGAACGCAGATATGGAAAGTAGAAAAGGATCAAGGTAACGCGTGGGTACTCGGGTCGAACTTCGAGGTTTGCAGACGGGTTGTTCTGCGTTTGGGCGGAATGCGTGCCGTTGCGGCGTCTTGAACCAGGTCGATCGTGTTCGCACGATCTAGAGGAAGAGGCCGGTGCGTTCATTTTGGTGACGACGTTCTGTGAGTGTTTGGAGTTCTGAAATGCTTCAATCCGCCGCACCCGGTGGCTGTCTTCGCGATGGATTTTCGTTGCTGTCGAAGTGGTGATGCAGCCATGGACACCTTCGACGTGCTCGTACGTTTCACTCGATTCGTTTAACGGGTTTGCCTCGTGGCCTCCGCCATATACGTGTCCACGCAGAACGGGCATCTGTTTCATGTCACGTTTACCGTATTCGTTCCCAGCCACCTTCATTATGGTGTGCTCTTCGTACCCGTCTTCGTAGCTGCGTCCGTCGAAGTTCACGCCGCTGGTGCCCAAGTGTGTGGGAGAACGTTCCACTTCTCATATCAGACTACCTTTCGCCTCTCCGTCCCTTATCAGCTTATCCTTTCTCTCACTGCGTTTGTTTTCGGCGTTGTCTCTCTGGAACTTGCGCGTGTTAGCCGCCTCGACTTACATCATGACTAAGAGATTGTAGCCAGCGCTCGCTTGCCTCCGGTTGTGGGGACAATGTTCAGAAAGAAGTGAAGACGAACATTGGTAAGTAGAAACTAGAAAACGGTTAGATTCTCCTCCATTTACCATCGAACTGGCCGTAGAGCGCTACACTAGCACCAGAGCTCGTCGCACCTCCCGACGACTCCAACAACACCCGTACTTGGGGCTGTAGCCACTGCAATGCATGGCCTGTACGGGTCCTATTGATTCATAAATAGTACTTAGCAAAATAGATAGCCATTGTGTCAGATAGGAGATGGAGATAATGTCAGCACTAAAGAAGGAGATAACAGATGGAAACTTTAGGCCCAGTATAAGTTGTAAGCTGCAGTGTAGGCAATTGCAGAAAGAATAGCGGTAAGCATTAACATATAACAGACTTCAGGCCTGTGTTAAGAGCCACGCTTGCAGAGGGACTCGGGAATACGCAGACCTGCGGGTGCGCGGTTCCACATAGAGGCAAGGACGTACGGGCTTGGCTTCAGCTACTGGCTGTGCCTCCCACACTCTTGTGTGCCCTGTATTTCCAGAGGAAATCCTATGCGGGTACCGAGGGTACGAGGGGATGCAAGGGGATGCAAGGGAGAGGCCTCAGTAGAGAGGCGAGGATGTGAGTGCGGAAAGGAACTAATATTCGGACTGAGGTAACTGTAGGTACAGTACAAGACTATATACTGAGGAACACGCAGTAGCCGCGTGTTCATGAGAAAGTTAGTAGTCCGGTCATAATAAGTACAGTATGCTCAAATATTTATTTAGTCCATAATCCAAGAAGTCCGAGTAACCGCGAGTATACGCGGCCTGAGCCCATAGCCAGAGTGCACGCGAATATGCCCCTAGTAGCCCCTAAGGGGCCTCCTGGATGCGCCTATAACATATACAGAGTATAGGAGATTCAAAAACATTACTCAAATTGCTGAGAACTCATATTCATATACTCTTTCTCCATTCAATAACAGTGGACTCTTGTAAATGTACAGTGCTGCCTTTTTGCCTCCAGCTACTCCAGGATTTAGATGCTATTCTACTATATAGTAAGACAGTGATTGATCTAATTACTTGAAATACTAATTCAAACATATTCCTGGGAATAACTACTACACTTGTCATGTAAAACTAGTTATCCACTCTACAGATGTGCAGATCTCTGCTAGTTAGTTATGAATCATATATCATCAGACTTATCCACATGTACTGATCAACCATGTTCATCTGAAATTGCCATTGTTGACAATTTGTTGACTCTCTTGACACTCTATTACACTACTGATATTACAGAGTTAATATGATACATGTGAAATATCATATTTAATGCCAGAGTGTAAGTCTACAATATGAGCATAAATGAAACAGTGAGTATGACTGCTGAGCAGTGTTTTGAGGGGCTCCCCTGAGGCTCCCCCTGAATATTGATTAATATGGCAACTTACATGATCTCCGGTGCTAACTCTCATTTAGCTTTGGAAGCTCCCACGTGTACAAGTGAGGAAAGGCTGATTGAATTGAATTAACATTGAATACAAAATTAGATTAATTTAAATTAAAATTAAACAAGATCCCGAGATTCCGGATGACCGGCTACCGGCTACAACAGTAGCCGTCCACTTAAGGAAGCGCCCAAAACCCCCACCCAAATAAAGAACGGTTCCTTTCATTTCATTACAGGACCCGTAACTCGCGCCCACCGTCAGCTCGCCACCGACGGACCGGGATCGTTCATGTCCCAGTCGCAGTACCTGTCCCAATGCCAGCGGTGAGTGATATGTATATGAGTCAGAGCACCCCTCGACACCCCCTTTTCCCTTTGAATGGACCCTGTTCGCTGGTGCTGAACTCGAGACTAGGACGTAGGTTGACCCCGGCACCACCACCATCACCACCACCACCATGAATAGTCTCGTCGATGCAACCAACATACCCACGATCCCTGTGGAAGCTTTCCACTCTCCAAACGCTCCAATTGCTACTTGCGCAGAACGTTGTGAGTATCCGTCCTAACTCGGAGTGATCGTCACTCTGATCATTCATGGAACACATAGGTGCCCCAAGTCGTAGGCCGACCTGCTCCGATATCACAGCTCCTCGTTATCGTCGTTCCAGCGCAGAATGGAGCTGGGTCGCCAGTGATGACGGCGTGGCAGTTCACCGTCCTCGCGGTAAGTCTCTCTCGTGTCATTTACCGGCTATCGTACCTCTGTTTCTGTTTTTGAATCCTCGTTCACGATCACGATTGATCAGGCGGGGCCTACCACTGCATGAAGCAATGGGCGATACAGGCCAGGATGGCCTCCGATTTCTTGGATCCTGAAAGAATCCCGAACGAGGCTATCTTGAGTTCGAATCCATCATCAAGCCATCATCAGTGACATACCACTGGCAGAATACCCTTGTCAATCACAACCACACAAGGAAACAGAAAGAAGAATAAGGAAGGAAGAAAGAGAAGAATTAAAGAAGAACCCCGAAGACGCGACCGAGCCTCAAGTCAAGCCTTACCAAGTCCCAACTACGTTCCCGAGCGCGCACTAGTAGGTGACGCCTCTCAAATCTTAGATCTTGCAATGCGCATCACGAAGGTCAAAAGTGAGTCTTTGAATTGCCGACCTGATTCAGAGTAAACGGTTGATCATAACCAACACTAGCACTTCCCGATTCCTCGATAAGCACCGTCCTCGTCACTCGTAAACCTTGCAATGCGACAGCGAATGCATACGATTCGCTGTCGTAACTCCTACGTTCATCAACAAAGTTGTGGCCTATCGTTTAGGTCGACCATTGGTTGTATTCGTCGAATGACATACAGAGCACATTTGTACATATTGGATACACGTTTACCACGAATATAATGCACGCCTTAACGGCTCCACGAACCGCGGATGGACCACGTACTCATCGGACAGCAAGGTCCCCCGCTCGCCTGGCTGCCACCAGTCGTATTTCCAGTCATACTCCCACCCGCCCGCCTCCATCTCCTCTCCCAGCAACTTCCTCAAAAGCCCGTAGTCCGGCTTCTCCTCAAACTCCAACGCGCGGCAATGCGCAAAGAACGGCGCGAAACACGGCGGCGAGCACGCGAGCAGCTCTCTGAAGTGCTCTCCCCGTTTCATCTCGCCGATGCGACGGAGCTTTGCGGGGATGTCTGGGGCGCATATGCCCTGCCAGGGGAGGCGGCCGTGTAAGAGATAGAGAAGAAGCATCCCGATCGCTTCGACGTCGTCTCGCCTACTGGGCTCTGAGCGTAGTGTGAGTAAAAGCAAAGGGCGGCGTAGGCACGAAGACACCTACCTAGACTGAAATGGACATTACTGCTAGCGTATCGTGGCGTCCCAATCCCCCCACGCCCTTCGCGGAAGGGCATATGTTCTCCGGTGCTCGGATCGAGGTACAGCTTAGATAAGCCCATGTCAAACAGAAAGAGCCGTTGGTAATCTTCCAAATACCCCATTGCGAAGTTCTCGGGTTTGATGTCACGGACAATAACCCCCCGCGCATGAACGAGTTCGATCGTCGAAAGCTACACCGAGGGGCGTGAGATATTGTAAGTGAGGATCTTCGTTTCAGAGGGGGACTCACCATCTGTTCGCCGAGCATCAAGATAGTTTTCAAGCCGAATTGTCCCCTACAGAAGCGCCGCAGGTGTTCGAGATTGAGTCCGAGCTTGTCCATGACCAGCACGTTCGCGTTCTTGTCCTGCCCGAACCAGTGAATACGTGGGATGCCCTCCACGCCCTTTAGTTGAGCGTAGACAGCTGCTTCGTAGGGCAATGACGATGGCACAGACGGGTCGATCACCTCGAATTTTAGTGCCACGCCTGCCCCCGTGTGTAGGTGAACACCGTTCCAGACATAGGCTGTCATTATCCAGCAGCTCAGCGGTTGTATCGTCAAAAAGAAGGGAACATCCTACCAAAAGACCCGCTTCCTAGCAGAAACGTGCACTGATAATTATCCTTCAGGCGGAACGGCGGATTGTCATAGGAAACCTCGGGCTCTTCTGGCATCGTGGACGTTGATGGATCGCGTAGAGTAGGTAGCAAGTCGTGTATGGATCCCAGAGTATACGTCGACGCGATGGTGGGGATATCCAGTTTCGCGCTTCGTGTGGATGCGACCTTGACGAAGGCTGTGGGGAACCCAGCCTTGCTCGCAGGTTCGCAGACGCCATAGAGGTTTGAGGAGACGACAAGGATCTGGTCGGCGCGAATTTCGGGGTCGAGTTGCTTGCAGAACGGGAGAGTGTACGCCCACGGCTCTAAGAGCGAATGCTGCGATGGTGGGCCCAGCGAAGGTGAATATGGGCCGAGCGAAGGTGAATATAGGCCGAGCGATAAACCTTCGTATTGAGGAATTGCTTCCTTGGCAGCAGACGGAATGGCAACGAGTGTGTATCCATGCTCTACGAGCTCGGAAATAAATCGCTGACCATCTGGATAGTGTCTCGATTTCCCATGGGACTCCAAGGCGTCACTGATGGTTGCGTCATCCACGGATACGCCAAAGTACTGCACGATGCTGCGCACGGTGTTGATCGCAGAATCCGGCTGTCCCTCGGAGCGTCTCAGAGTTTCATACTCCACGTAGAGGTCGAGTAATTCCTTTGCCGAAAAAGCGTATTGGGATGGGGGGAAGATATGAGTTAGCGCGGTTTGTAACGGCCCGTCTCGATCCTGTAGATAACAGATGATTCCTTACTTTAGGTAGCTCTGCGAAATGGTGTGTCTTAGTTTACGTACGATGAGGATGTAGGGGTCAATCAGGATGACTTTGACGTCGTTCGATATGACGGCAGGCGTGGCGGTAGCCATGTCTAGCTCGAGCGAGGGCTCGTCGTCCCACTCGCCGTCGTCAGTTTCAGGCACAGCCTTTGGATTCGGGTCCCCATCGTGCAACACCGGGAGCGCCTGCAGATCAGCGGTAGAGGGCCTCAAGGACTCGATTAGCGGATCTGGCGAAGGGTCTTCGATACACGACAAACGGGGTTGTCGGAATATTCTACCCGATGAGAGGAGCCGAGGCATTGCCTGATGCTTTAACGTTAGCAAGGTCATCAACATGGTAGTAGGTTGGATATTACCTCTCGGACCGACTGTATGTACAGAATAGCCGTATTACAAGTTTTCCAGGTATAGTCCAATATCAACCTATATGAACGGTAAACTGTCAGCATTTCTACTGCCCATGACTCAACTCACTGGCGTATCAATGGCAGCTCGTCGAACACGGTAGTGTCGAATTGCCGAGGAAGGTGTTTGAGAGGCAGGACCTCGAAGTCGAACTGTACATCACGGCCCGCGAACAGGATGCCTGGCGTCTCTCTGGGGGACTGTCCGCTCCAGGTATCCCATCGGTCCCCCGGCTCGTCGTTCCCCCCCGTCGTGCGAACAGCAGGGACGGAAGGACCAGCCCTTTTTAACGCCTCCAGAAATATCTTGGCGCTGGTTTCATCCAGCTGATAGTCCTCGGTATTGAGGAGCTTGGAGCATTGCTCTTCGTCCTTGTCAAATGTAGCGCAAATACGAGGCGTAACGCAGAGATACAAAGGGTCTTGGAACGGGAGCGGGGGCACTACTGTTAAGGCCCTCACGTTCGCCTCCGAGGTCGAATTCAAGATGAAATATTCGCTCCATGGAAGACTGGGCCTCTGTCTAGAGATGGGGAAGAGATTAGGCATTCGGAAGTAGTCCGGATCGGTTTCTCGGAGGTGAAGGGCGAGGAACGGCTTCGTGATGATAGATGATGCGACTTTCTGACCGCATGGAGGCCAGGTAGGCAGTCGAGGAAGAAGCCTGGCTACGACGAAGCTATGTAACATTCTGATCTGGTTGCGCGATGTAGAGGGAATCCGGGATTGTGAGGAGGACGTAGCATTTGAAAGAATATATAAACAAGGTTGTGGGTCCGATCATTTGTGGCGTGGGCCAAGCCCCTAATGCCCCCCCCATTGTTCTGGCCACACGAATCCTCGTAGGTAAGTTACAGAAATGTTATGGCAGCCTCAGGAGTTAAACTGCGCAACAATGCTTACAGTAGAGCATGGAGTCACCTCCGCACCACGCCTCACCTTTCCTTTAACTGCCAGCGCCTCACACCAGGTACTAGCAACGAGCGCCCCATTTTACGCTGTATACCGTTCAACGAGGCGTAATGTTGGACGAGGCGTACTCTCAGAGAGTATCTATATAATGGAAGCAATTTAGTATGTCTTTTTTCCATCAACATTATACTCTGAACCCGAACTTCGACCTAAACGCAAATACTCTCATACAATCATACAATGGCTAAATCACTGCTCGGAAAGTTTGTTTTAGCCATTCCTACCCGAACGGCGTTTGCCATCAGCTCTGGCTCTTGGACAGGTCTCCCGGCGAACAAAGTACGACCATGTCTCGTCACCGGGTTCACGGAGTCCAACCAGGCCATACTGGCACCCTTGTGCGGGGCTGTATACGACAAGAAGAGGGATACCTGGGATCCTCGCGAGCGCGTGAGTTTGTCCCAATATGTACTCAGGAGAGACCATCCAACTGACACACGGGATATATTAAGATGCTAGGAGATCACTGGATGCCTGTTAATTTCAAGGACTCCGGTGTCATCATCCCACCCCTCAACTCGTCATTTGACCCGCCTACCCTCAAAGTCGCGATCAATGCGGCCAATCTGACGGCTGGTGATCCGCCATTCAAGCCCTGCTACCTCTGGGTAGCAGACCTCGGAGAAGAAATATCGATCGAAGACCTACTCCTGCTGAAGCAGCACAAGGCCCTCGAGGGAATCAGCAAGGCAGACCTCCAGGTCATCAGAGATCTTGGGCAACGCAGTATGTTCGATCTAGTCTTGCTGACTCATGAAACTGACTACTCTCAAAAGTTTCCGCAAGCAAGAAGAAGGCCCAGCCAGCCGTACACATCAAAGCAACCCCCCTTTGAGCCCTGGGGGATGCGACTTGTGTAGGCTCTTCTACCGGAGATATTAGTTTGATAAAGATTGCACTCTATTCCATGTATCGTTTACCCGGCCCTTCAATGAAACATGCCCCGTGATAACGCGTGCTAAGGAGACCGATTCGAATATCGAGGTAAAACGATTTGATTTATTACTTGTACCGCTAGAGATGTAATATTAGTCACCGATTATCGTAGACCATCGAAGGGGCATTCTCCCCATTAGACTTAGAATGGCCGCCCTCTACTGATGCCTTTCAAGTGATGCTCGACTAGAGAGTTTCAGCGGTCAGTATATGGGGGGGGCTGAAGCAGTAAGGAACACCACTCACCCAAATCTTCGACGTCGGAAGTCATCACAGGAGGGGAAAATCAAATCCATCGCCGTTTCTTTCTCCATGGGACTCCCTCGCAAGTAGCGCGAGAATCTCGGGCACCCCCCGGAATTGGTTTCGATATTAATAGCGAGGATAATCAACGATGGCATGGCTGCGAAAAACGTTTCTGCGACGGCGTCAGGACCCGGTACGCAGCCTTCGCACTGGAGATAGATATTGCGGAGTTGTTTGGACCAGCGCTCCCCCATCGTCTGCTCATCACCGACCGCAATTCGCTAGTGCGTATAATGGTCATTCAATATTCACGAGTCAGGCTTGGGACACAATTAACGATGATGGTAGAGGGCTTACATCGTATATTGCAACAGCGAGGAATAAGGGAGCGTACCAACCCCATAGGCTCCGCGAGCGCGTCCATGTCGGCGCCGTTGTATATCGTCAAAGGGAGGTCACACCCCACAATGTGTTGATATGCTCGATGCTTCGCCCTGCCAGAACGCAGAAGTAGAGGAAATCGGAGTCGCAGTACACGCCGCGCAGACAGGGAATCACGTCTGGTGGGATTGTGTCTGGGTCGTCCCCGTTCGAATCCTGCTCCATGTCGATGGCAAGGCACTCCAGAGACGGGCACACTCATAGGAGGGCGAGGAATGTGGGGTAGTCGTGCACGACGTTGAGGGTAAGGAGCGCGAGCTTCGAGACGGGGCATGAGTCGGGGCCGAGGTAGAAGGCTGTGAGCGTGCGGAGGTGCGGGAGGAGGGCATCGAGTGTCTCGCCGGAGTGCTTTCGTCGTCGTACTCGACCGTGAATTCGGGGACCGTGATGTTGAGGGAGCGGACGCGTGCACCCAGATCGGTGTCGTTGGCAGTGATGGTGCGTACACGTGAGTTCAAGCCCTGTCGATGACCTCGACAATGGGCAGCTTGTGAATGCTGAAGGGACCCGCAATATAGGGCGACGTGTTGGGTAGAAGAGTGGCTTCGCTTCCCGCGTCTGCCTCTTAAACGACACTTTCGTGCTCATCGAAGGATTCTAAGCACAAAGGATCGTGCAGGAATAGCCATTTCGGAATGGCGGTACGTAGATCGGGAAAGGAGGCAAGACAGTAACTATTTTAGGGGGCCAACAAGGTAAAAATCAATGTAGACAAGCGCGATAGTCGAGAGTACGTACAGGAGATTGTCGCAGCCACCATTGCTGAGATATAATCACTCATACGTCGCGATATCTAGCGTGTATATCCGGTTATATGGGTTTCTGGTTGTATTCCTTCCTTGTTGTATGATTATCGTCGCCAACGCCGAATGCTTGCGATGATACCGTATGTCGAGTTCGTCGCGGCGTAGTCAAAGTTCCAAAAGCGTAGTACGAGGATCAATCTGACTGTGAGAATCTCGCATCTTGACCTGGTTCAGATGGTTATTTCGTATCAGGGATGGTTGATAGGAGTCTGAGATGCCTCGCCATTTGCATTCCCGTCTTCTGGGAGGAGCGAGCGAGGAGCAACGGGGGGTGTACCGCGCTATCGTCCTAGACAGTGGAAACGTGACGAGATCCCCGACAGGGAAAGGGCAACGATAAATTGAAATGAAAGAACGATCTAGATGAACACACAACATCTGTGAAGCACTGTTGGGCGTGGGTCCGAAATTTTGGCTGATTCGACATGTGGGGCTGGGGAGGCGGTTGGGCGAGTGAGGTTGTGGGGGATTCGATTCATTGATTGAGGCCATGTGTAGTGCGGAATGCGATGCGGGTATCTTGATTGGCGCGCACAGACATGATGGTCGGCATATGGGTAGCAGCAATGTTGAACGTCAAGGAAACTATGGCAGGAATACACACACCGTCGATGATAGGAAGCGTCCGAAAACGCCCTCATCTACAGCGATCTAGCAAAGAAACGAGCAGAAAGCCGTAAGCGTATTGAATAGGAAAGTGTTTGCCATCTTTTGTTTCCAAGATAACAGCATAGAAGATCAGACACCTACCATTGCGGCGTCTCGAGCGCTGGTTGGAGAGGCGCACTTGCGTGATATCAGATGGAAATCGCCGGAAGGGTGCTCATCATAGACCACATTCCATCCGTACACCCTTACGAATGAGTTAAATGGTTACCAGTAGCATGTGTATTCGATAGGGCGAACCTGCGATCAGATGGCAGGGCCTCATATCGTCTTGCACGATAGCCAGCGTTCAGAATTCGAGGGTACAGATCTCACAGAAGACCAGGACTTTCCGCGCTTCCACTCGTTTGCGTGGCTGATTGTAACGGTGGTAATCGGCGCAAGTGGGCACCACATCTCGTCCTCGATGCGAGCAGCAGGTCGAATGGAAAATGCTAGACGAACTGCGCTGCTGTAAGCGCACAATCTGATTGCAGTTCCAGAATTCCAGAACTTCTTGCTACTCACCATGACTCGACATTTGAGCAACGTGGCGGAGGCACAACAAGGTGAGACACCATTTTCGAAGACAGACAATGGGAGAGAAATTCTCCGCATGTCCGAAGCTGTTCTGCTCAGCCTTGCGGCAAGGTGAAAACTACTTACCAAACGGGTCTAGTTATTACTCACACGTGACATGGCGCCACACTTGTTCAACTTTGACTGGGTCCTTTCGTCTGCTCCAAACCGGAAAGATCCAGTGAACAACCTATAAGTACGAGTTTCATTTCAAAGCCATGTCACTCAACAGACCACTCAACAATGTCCCAAATCTCAGCCGCTCCGCCCACCGACGACGCAGATATCCCACCCGAAGCGCCTACAGCGACCGACGAAGAACCGAAATCCGAGACGCCACCAGACATCGACAACGACATTCAACATACCCCTCAAAACAGACGCATTGCTAACTACCATATCTACTCCATGGGGGGCTGTCGATATTGGCAAATTGCGCGAAGCACTGGTCCAGGAGACCCGAGGGCAATACATCGGCGGTGTAGACCCCGACGTCTTCGTCGAAGAATTCATGGGATGGAATAATGCTACAAGTAAATCATTTAGATTGAAAGAACCTTCCGAGACGAGGGTGTCGTGCTTGGTCGGCATGGCCAGCAAGCCTGAGAGCGGGATGAACAAGGACTGGGTGAGTCGCAGGACGCCACAGCATTGATTATTTGCTAATCCACCTGCCTAGCAATTTGCTCTCTCAGGCTGGCCGCCAGTACGCAATGGGGATGAAATCCAGTCTCTAGACTTTGAGGACACGCATAGCCACCGCGACGCGGAGAGTCAGCTTGGACCCGACAGCTGTATCTATTTCAGAGGGAAGCCAATCGTCCCGCGACAAAAACGACGAAAGGTGGACTTTGCCAACGTCCAAAGCTTTACTGAACACAAAGCGAACGATAAAATGGACGCGTTCGTCGACGGCGGCGATGAGGACTACGACGGCGAGGCATATTACGTGATGTCGGGCTATTCGAAGCGTGAAGGAGATGCAGGAGAGGACGAGAAGGAGGGCGACGGTGAAGAAGAAAGGGAGACGGTAACGAGCGAACGGCCGTATATCGCTGATTCTCCCACTGCTCATGTCGATGCGGAGGGGGGAGAGGCTCACCCTGAGGTGAAGGACGATGCGGAGCCAACACCGTCTGAAAACTATCCTTTCGAGAACGACACGATCCAAGGTCGAAGCACCCGAGGACAGATTGCAAGCTACGCCGGGGTGACGATGGCGATGCAGTTTAGGTCCCATTTATTCAGCGTTCTCGTGTGCGGTAGATATGCTCGTTTCATTCGCTGGGATCGTTCCTGCGCCATTGTTACTCGCCGCTTCGACTATACGACGCACCCGCTCATCCTATTCGACTTCTACAAACGCTTCGCTCAACTCGACGACGTCCAACGTGGGCTCTACCCCAACCTTCGTGAACTCAGCTGGGAAGCCGGAATGAAAGCGGTGGAAATGATGCGAAAATACGCAACATCGTACTTCACCGGAGAGCACGCTGATTTCTACAAGAAAGAATCCAATCCCAACCGGCTCCCGCTGCTATCCTTGGTTTTTGGCGATGACACCTATGTTGTTCCGGCACCTTGCTTCGATGGTGCGATGTACTCCCCGTTCGGTCGCTGCACGCGCAATCGGGCGGTCGTTCTTCTGAAGGAAAGAGAAAATGTGAAGGAGGCGGAGGATGGAACATACGGGAAGCACGGACAAATTCTGTATCTCAAGGAGTACTGGCGCGACGAATCCACGTTTACGAAGAAAGAGTCAGAGGTCTACAGGATCCTAGAGGGGGCGAAGGTTACCTTCGTTGCGAAAATGCATGCTGGTGGAGATCTCATGACGGGCGACGAGGCGATCGCCACCATTGGCCACGAGTGGAAGTTGAAACCGTGGGTGCGAAAGCCTAGAAAGCTCAGAATCAGACATTTGGTGGCTCATTTCATCGTGCTCTCGACCCTCGGCCGCGACCTCGCAACGTTCAAGACAGCTCGGCAGTTGGTGACCTGCATCGCCGATGCTATGGATGGTACGTACTCCATTTCGGAGTCACGGCAAAGACTGATTCATTGTCTAGCTCATCAGCAAGCTTATAAGCTAGGCATCCTTCATCGCGATATCAGTGCGGGAAACATCCTCATGACGCTCCAACCCGAAAATCGCCGCGGTTTTCTTATCGACTGGGACCACTGTATCTTCTTGAACGAGGCCCTTAAAGAACGCACGGGGACCAGGGTCCATCGCACTGTGAGCAGTGATTTCGATCCCTGTCGCTCGAACTCATCGTCTCGTAGGGCACATGGCAGTTTATGTCTGCAAATCTGACGCAAAACCCCAGCAAGGCATCGCATACGGTCGTCGACGATCGCGAATCGGCACTGCACGTGCTGACATACATGGCCTTGAAGCATCTCAGGCACAATTCTACGGATGAGCAAGCCCTTAAAGGCAAATTGCTCATGTTCGATGACTACATCGCTCGGGTGGGCAAGCCCGACATAGCCTCTGATCACAAAGCGTGGTTCTTAACCAATGGAGGTCCTGCGGTCCAGTTCGCCATTCCTGCCGTAACATTTCTCATAAAAGCTCTCGCCAAATTCTTTTCCCCGCGCTACATTAAAGACTACAACGAGCCAATTGAAGCACTCGAGCTCTTGTCCAAGGAGGAATTGGCTGAGTACGAGGAAAAGAAGGAGCAACATCGCCAAAATTTGGCAAAATTACTTGACCCCACCTCGGATTTTGTGTACACAACGATGCGCAAGTGGGCGGCGAAGATGCCTGAACCACCCGACAACATTATTCAATGGGTCGACAATACGAAAGGACACGAGGGATCATTGAAACGCGCTGGTGATCATCTAGTTGGTGCGAGGGAGAAGATGTCTCCGAGGTGGGATGGACGAGTATCCTTCAAATCGGCGGACTCGCGCCCTTCCACCTCATGATTTCCGTCACGTCTGGCGTTCCTCTAAGTATTCCATTTGTATTCTACATTCGAGAATCTCCCATTATGTACATCATGCTGCTTGTCCATAACAGGCGTCTGCAAGCTCGAGACCCGCAAGTGGCGGGCACGACGAACTAGCGCACTGTTCTGCAGAGCGAGGTGGGGGAGACAGTGCACCCCAACTGGCTACGCAGATGAATGCGCGGTCCAGGTCATCTTGGGCTTCTCCACAACGCTGCTGTGCACGTCATCGATGGTGATTTTCTAGTGTGCATCATGATCATTGGGGTTGGAACACACAGAACGAGGATGGTAGCGGGCTTACATCTTATATTGCATCAGCGAGGAGCTCTAAATGCGTATACCGGGCGACATCGTCGTCTCGGAGTGTACACTGGACGTACATTCGTCCAAGGACGGACAGCGAGCGTGCGACAGCCATGGGCCCCGCGAGCTCGTCCAGGTCGGCGCCATTGTAGATCGTCAAAGGGAGGAATGTTGATATACTCGATGCTTCGCCCCGCCAGAATGCAGAAGTAGAGGAACTCGCAGTACACGCCACGCATACGGGGGATCACGTCCGGTGGGATTGTGTCTGGGGCGCCCCCGTTCGCATCCTGCACTATGTCGATGGTGAGGTACTCCAGAGACTGGCACGCGCATAGGAGTTGAGGGTGAGGAGCGTGAGTTTGGTGGGGGAAGGCAGGAGTGCGAGCTTCGAGACAGGCCATGTGTCGGGGCCGAGAGAAGGTGAGCGTGCGGAGGTGCGGGAGGAGGACGTCGAGCGTCTCGCCGGAGTGCTTTCGTCGTCGTACTCGACGGCGAATTCAGGGACTGTGAGGTTGAGGGAGTGGACCTGCGCACCCAGAGCAGCATCATTGGCAGTGATGGCGCGTACGAGTGAGTTCAAGCCTTGTCGATAACCTCGACAATCGGCAGCTTGTAAACGCCGGCGGGACCCCCAATATAGGGCGACGTGTTGGTAGAAGAGTGGCTTCGCCATGGCATTCACGCGGCGGGATACGAAGAGCAAATTGTAGAGGGCCTCAGAGCAACGAGGATGTGCTAGTGAGTGCCGAGAATATTATGCGGAGGACTTCGTTTGGGAGGTTGTGATAGTCGGGAGGCATTTTGACCTGACACAGCCTCGCCTCCCCGCATCAGCCTTTTAAACGACCATTTCGCACTCAGTGAAGGATTCTGAGCACAAAGAATCGTTTAATGACAAAAACGTTCGTGAACGATGGCACATACTACGTCGTGAAAGGAGGCAAGACCGCGACAGGAAAGGATACCGGATGGGGACTGCGTGGTGAAGAAAAAGAATATAGACGCGCCCAATAGTCGAAAGAAGGTACAGGATAGATGTAGTGAATTTTAGTGGCCACCATTGCGCCGACATAGCCCTCCCAGCGATTCTCCTGATACCCCGCGCTATATGGCGTGCATTTCCAATTATCTGGGTATCTGGTTACCTGGTAGGACTTAGCGCTTCGTATTATATGAATCTTATGGTCGCCAACGGTGACATGCTGGCGACGGCCAGACATTCACCGGGTGCTGATTCCATTGCGAGGATAGATTCTCTTCACGAAATTTGCGTCAAAGTAATGTCTAGTGCCCGCAGTACCATGGCGTAGGAGGCTGGTCCTTCTACCGTGATCTCTCGGTACCACAGCAGTCTTCGGAGTCCAATATAGCGATGAGAGAAGCAACGACACCAATGCTTCGAAGTTGTTGGAATATGGATCGTCAGGTCTATGAGAAGGCTCATAGCTGTCAACAACTGTCACAGATGGGTCTTGCGTCAGTAAACCATTAGTTTACTTCCCGGATTGACGAAAAAATAACTCCAGGACCAGTTCGTTCGCTTACCGTGGTAACGCATTTTGACAGGGCGTATGATAGAAATTACCTCAATACGCCAAGTCGCTCGCTCGTCTTCTCGTGTCTTCTAAATTTATAGAACTCATCAATATCGGAGCGACGAGGAATCAGCAGCGCAGAACTTGAAGGAAGCATGCGGGAAACGCTCCAGATGAGAATCGTGGGAAGATTCTGCATGCTTTTGGCAACCGCTTACTCAAGTGCCGTCGCTGCCGATGTCTTCACGGAGAAGCCGACGCTTGCACTTATCGTGGACGTTGTGCCAGTCAGACGACCATGTCCTGAAGACATATTTATATCGTCGGGGCCTATCTAAGCTTGCCCCGCAACTCGATTTCTCTCGTGTCGGAGGAGGAATAACGGCCGCCACGATCTTCATATGTCCAAGCCTACTACACAAGTTGCGGCGTTCTCAGAACACCGAGCTGTTGATGATTCCCGAAGAACGTCTCTCACGGGCGGTAATGATAAGAAGATAGCAACCAACGAGAAATCGAATGAAAAGGAGGACGTCGAGAGCTCCTCGAAGTCGGGGGTTCTGATAGTAGATTGGGATGGCCCAGATGATCCACAGAATCCGAAAAAGTGAGTCACACGAGCTGTACTCCAGTGGAAGCGCGCCGAGCGTTCTCAACGCCAATGTAGCTGGTCATACAGGAAGAAATGGGCGGCAACCCTGGTCGTTTCATCATTCACCTTCATCAGTCCTGTGTCTTCATCCATGATAGCCCCAGCGGCGGATGACATGTCGAGAGATTTCGGAATAACGAGCAGTGTTGTCACAGCACTCACGATATCGGTCTTTGTGCTCGCGTATGGTACGTTCATGTCGTTCTAGGTTGTAGAATCATTGGGATCAACGGCTTGCGCCATAGCTATCGGACCACTAGTGCGTTTCGATGTTTACGCGCTAGCCCATCTTGGTTAACCCTTCAAGGCAGTTCCTCGGCCCACTCAGTGAAATATTTGGGCGTTCCCGAGTCGTTCAACTCGCGAACTTGTTCTATCTTGGTCAGTGCTCACCACCCCCCCAGTCTTCACTCCTGACTGGGCTCTAGCGTGGAACATCGGTTGCGGCTTCGCCCAGAACACTGGACAACTTATCGCGTTTCGCTTTCTAGCTGGACTAGGAGGTAGCGCACCTCTTTCAGTGCGCCTCTCACTCCCTCTTCTTCCCTCATGGGAGGTTATTTACATTGCTTCAGATCGGAGGTGGCGTAATATCAGATACATGGGGAACCCATGAACGCGGAAAAGCCATCGCCATCTACTCCCTCGCCCCACTCTTAGGTCCTGTCATCGGTCCAGTTGCAGGAGCGTGGATAGCGGAGAAGTCAACATGGCGTTGGGTGGTATGTTTCTTCATCGTCCTCTCATAACAAGCATTATCGACTTTCTTCGCCGTAGTTTTGGTCCACAAGCATCGTTTGCGTCGCTATCCAAATTTCAGGCCTATTCTTCCTACGCGAAAGTGAGTCGATTCGGCATGACGCCTATCGCTCGCTAATTCCTCGTAGCTTTTGCGCCTGTTCTACTCGAACAGAAAGCCAAGGAGATGCGCCAAAGTATGGACCTAGAAAACGGGCCTTACAAAGAAGTACGGACAGTATACGATGGCGCCGACAGATCGTACGTCTCCTGATATCCCTTCCATTGTTACCACTAATATTGAACCCATATGTGATGCACAGGTGGCAGGCAATCATGACACGGTCGCTCACCAGACCCTTCATGCTTTTCTTCAACGAGCCCATCCTTCAAGTCTTCGGCGTGTACATGGCGTTTGTCTACGGAGTGTTCTACCGTAAGCCGCCCTCTCGAATCCTTTCGCAGTTTTCCACTGATCCATACTAGTATTCCTCACCACCATGCCTCTGATATTCGAGGGCGCTTACCACCAGCGGCCTGGGATTGCTGGTCTGCACTATATTGCCATTGGCGTAGGTTTAACAGGCGCATCACAATTCAACGCCCGAGTAATGGACCGAATTTATGCCTACCTGAAGAAAAAGAACGGAGACAACGGTAGACCGGAGTACAGGCTTCGTGCGTACCTCGTACCGCCCAATCTTGCATCCCTATATGTAACGTTGAATGGACAGCTTCCATGGTCCCCGGCACGCTCATGCTTCCGGTCGGGCTCCTCATTAACGGCTGGTCGGCTCAGAACCACGTTCATTGGATCGTGCCTGATATCGTAAGTTGCCTTTCTTGCTGTTTTTCTCCGTCTCACTCGTACCATCGTATTCAGGGCACTGCCCTCGTTGGAGCCGGCATCATACTCAATTTCCAGTCCATCCAGGTGTACGTCGTCGATACGTTCAGTTTGTACGCCGCGTCAGGTATGTTTCGCATCTCCCTCCACGCACGCCCTCTTTGCGCTCTCACACGCATGTGTGTCTACAGCCCTCGCGGCAGTTACGTTCCTCCGCTCCGTCGCAGGGTTCGCATTCCCTCTCTTCGCTCCTCAGATGTATAAAGTATTGGGATTTGGGAAAGGCGATACCATCTTGGCGGCTGTAGCTATTGTTATTGGGTGCCCAGCGTAAGTACCATTTCGTTTCCGGTATCTATGTCTGGCTAAGTCGTCCGTCAGGCCGTTTTTGTTTTGGAGGTACGGCGAGCGAATACGTCACGGAAGCCGGTACGCTCGCAAGCCTGCTCTCAAGGCTTGAGGCTTAAGGCGCAGAGGGGTGGCTAGTGTGTATTGGTTCGTAGATTTTACCCTGCGCGGAATATATGTGTTCCCATTGTCCCTCGTTCGAAATGCTGGAAATTGTTGAAGGATCCCGAAGTCTATACGGGGTTGGATACTGATTGATGACACGTAGGTAGGATGCTGAGCGCATATTGGGTCACTGGATCCTCCAGATGAACCAATTGCCAGCCTCGGTGCTCCTGACGTCGCTCTAGGTATCCAGAAGTGCTCAAGCGTTACCGGCGTCGGTATCTATTCGGTATTCATTCAGTCTCGTATTTGGGCGGTTTCTGCTCGTCTTCAACCTGCAGTCCCCTCAAGTGTCCAGTATACTATCAATAACCCTTTCACGACTGGCGAGACGCTCGATCGCCTCCTCCCGCATCTCCGCAATTGGACACCCTTCTACATCGGCATCGACACAATCCCCGTCTCGAAGCTGATGCTCGTGCCTATTCCGCGAAACTCACGCTCCTCGCTCTCAACATTGTGCACTACTTAGTGCCCCCGCGCTCCTCGCCTCCTGCGCGGGTGTCTGGAGTACCTCGCCATAGAGCGATGGCGACCGTCTTCCGAGGGAGAAGGTTCGCGTCGTCGATCTTGGATTCCAGTGTGAATTCTGGAACTTGGTCGTGAATGGTTTTGTGCGATGTCAAAAATTTCCTGCTTCGTAGGCGCAAATTCACGAATAGATCACACAGTTAACGACTTGGGACCACGTCAAGGAAGTCGGATTCAGGGCTGGTGGACACACTACAAGAGGCTGCCAAAGAGCGAAATAGAGCTCGATGACGGCTATGATTATATCGAGGGAGGAAAAAATCCAGTCGGTGTCTTCAGCTATATGTGCTAGAATTCAAACATACATTCGTGTGGTTGGCCGGTCTGCCCCGTCACCTACCTGCGTCGCGGTATACCCTTGTCGAAAGTGTTTAATGAATCCAATGCACGTACATTCGGTCTCAATTATCTAACATCGAAAGAAATATTATCTGCGCCCAAGCCCGCGCCTCGACGTCTGGGAGGAGAAAGAATTGGACAGAAATCTAACACTTACGAGAATAGGCCTCTCTTATGACAACAGGGGACCGATGGGTGCGCTTGCATGAAAGTTAGCGCAGAACTATTCGAGAGTGTTGTCAGATGTATCGTCGTTTGGATGCAGTGAGAAAAAGAATGCAAACATATACATTGAGGTCACGTGGGGAGTCGCCGGCTATAGAGGTCGCTACCTTTTCGAGTGGTGTCCTCAAAGAAGGATGTCGTCTCAGCCGCTCGCCCAAGAACCCCAATGAGGGTGCAGCAGGAGAGGATAGACACGACGGTTATTGTTTGGCTAAGACCGTCGAGGGTTTATGGAGGGAATAACCATTCATAGATACGCTACGTTGTCAGGCAGTAGTGCCTCCCTTCTCTTCGTGAAGAATGACAATAAATATCATGTATTGCGTGATAACAACGTACTTCGTGACAGTGTGTGTAGGAGTGAGGAAATGAATCTGGGAGAAGATCAGTAGATGAGGATACAAGTACATGGGCGACGAGGAGGCATGCATGTAGAGAAAATGAGAAATAGATAGAGCGCCATGACCTGTGCTTGTGGGCGACGGTTAAATCACTCTGAGGTATCTTCGTCCTCGTCCTCAGCCGCGTATTCCAAAGGCTCAGAGCCCACAGGCGTAGACTGCGAGTCAATCCAGGCCTGTTGTAGCTCAGCCAATTCCGCGTCTAGAGGCTCATCGTCGCCGGTCTTGCGCAATCCTGAAATGTGACGCGTGAGCAACTCAGATGATGGAGGGCGTGATGTAGAATGAGAACTTACGCTTCGACCCCGATTGCGCTAGTGGAGCGGCGGAGTTGGAGTCTCGCTTACCAAGTGTGCTCGAGGTGATAATTTGACCAATGAGGGGGTGTTTAGACTTGGGTGCCATCGGTTTTCGCTCAACGGGAGTGAATGTTCGGCATGAGACGGTGTCAAGCTCGACATTTAGGTGGTTCTTTTCCCAGTCATGAACGTATTGCAGAATTAGACGTTGCATTGCTTCGTGGAGATGGAGCGGTTCAGGCGCGGGGTCCAGCAGCGCCCATTCAGGTCGAATTTGGCGGGTAAGGTCGGTCATCAATTTGCTGATGAAGGAAAGATCTTTGTGCAGCCACTCAGCCCAGTCGTTGCCAGAGATCAGAGCGGACCTCGTGTCGACGGCGTTCCCGACCTCGTGTTCCGCCATAAAATCCCATATCTGGCTTAACTGTCTCTGGCCCTCGTCGATGTCGTTATTCAGTGGCTTCGCAAGTAAGACAAAGGCAGCGATACACCAATATACAGACTCTGCATCGTGGAATGGTTGATGTTCAAAATCAGCAACTTGGAGGCTACAATCTTCTGAGTAAGTGTTACTCGATCGAATGAAATGCGGCTGCCGTGCGTAGATCCGTTGGCGTCAGATAATTCCCGTAGCTTGGAAGAGTCGTTGCGGTGAACTTCCTCGTAAGCCGCTGCGATTTCTGGTTGTAGCTTGGGCATAGGCATGACGCTGAAATTGTCGAGAATCCTTCCAGCCGCAACAGATCGAGCAATAAACTTCGGTGTCCCCTGGAAGGATCGTCAATAGGAAAGTGCGACGACGACGTATCCCGACTCACAGTACGACATCGCAGTGGCTCGTCGTCCCCTTTGCCCCCTTTCGACTTCATTTTTCTTCTGTCGAGGTTGGCGCAGTTGTCCATGTCGAGTAATCGAGCCATAGGTGGCGCATGTTTGCTGTAGATCATACGTCAGGAAAAATTAGTGGTGAAATGCGACCGACTGACCCGTGGAGGACTTCGTCGATGAATATCGGTGGCTTCTTACCCTCGAACTTTTTAATCTTCCAAGCGTCCTTAGCTTCGACCACGATGTTGCCATGACTGATGTCACGATGAAGCAGCTTGCGTTCGGCAACCATCCAACGATGGGCTAAGCGGCATTGTCAGTAAAGAACAAGACAAGAAGGTGAGCGAAATACCCACCTTCCAGGATGTCGTACATTCCCTTGAAGAAATCGACGATATTCCTGCATTTCGTCAAAGGTAACCCACTGGTCTTCATGATCAACCGTGTCTTAATCCTCGTGAGTTTCTTCACTGAGACAGTGATGGGGGTATCCTTGTACTTGACTTCGTACTCGCGATCGATAGCGGCAAATCCGGGGGCAGAACCTTCCTTGTGAAGAATCTCGTACATATCCCCCTCCTTGAAGGGCGTCCGCACGTCCCGGTACGAGTCTTTGATCACAGTAGGGCCATCCTTGTCGTCAGCTTCAGCTTCCGCAACCCATGTCATTCTCGTCCATGGTTGCCCGACGAATTGGACCTTGCAGTTGCGATAAATCTTGTCGCCGACATCGATGTCCCAGAGGGGAGGCCCGAGGATGTCACGACCAGTAGCGAGCGAGATCGTAGTATCTCTCGGCGCGAAGTCAGTGCGGGGAAGATACAGCGTGCAGATATACGCCAAAACTCCGCCGAGTTGTGCAGTCCAATTGAACTCTTCTGACGTAGCAAGCCCAGCGGGGCAGCTGTACTGGATCTGGAAGCCCCGAGGCGACACGGAGAGGCCGTACATGCCCACCATGTCGGGGCGTGCCTGATTGGCGTATCCAAGATAGGCGCCGCACTGTGCCGGACCAACCTTCGCGTCGACAGCTGTCTTCTCCTTGACCGCCGTCAAGATGAGATGCCAGGGGATTCGATTGCGCTCGTCCTCCTGAAGTTTCTTGAGGACGCTCTCTAGTACGCCAAGAACGTCTGCAGCACCACCCTTGATTTTGTTTGGGTGGTTTGTCGGGAGGAATGAATGGTTGTCCACAAACACGATGATTTCCGAGGTGTCGCAAAGCCTATCTAGAACATACAAACGGAGTTAGCAGAGCGACAAACGGGTAGGAAAATGACTGACTGCGAATCAAAGCACTCGCGTAGTTGAGCAGGATTTCTACGTTCTCGTAGCAAGTGACTTTGCTTTTACGGACGGCCTTGGCAAGTTTTTGTAGCTTCTTATCGAGGACGAGTTCCTTAATCACGTCGTGCACATTGAGCCAAGTTCGACAGAAGTCGGTGTTGGGAATGAGAGAATTGGGTGGGAGGTGAAACGCAGACATTTCCTTCCTATTGATGGGAGGTGGTTTCGTCGGTTTGACTGGGGTGCTCTTGAGACGGACTGTGTGGTCAGACATGTTGAGTTCGGAGTACGAGGAGGAGCAGCCATGATACTTATACTCACTTAAAATGCCACAGTAGAGACACAATGGACCTTTTTCGAGCTGTGTGGGATGGTTGTTCAAGTGGACTCGGTGGCTCGTTGGTGGCAAGTAAGGAGGAGGCGCCCATTGTCTGAACGTCTCAATATTCCACTCATGTAACCGTAAATCTCGAGCTCCGCTATTTCTCGATACATTACTTACTACTACCTACCATAACGGAAGACATCCCTCTAAATCACTAAACCAGCATATTATCTGGGTGAAATTCGAGCCCGTCGTGGACTACGACCCTTTGTTTCATAGCATTCTTCCATGTTGTCGAGGAAGTCGAGGAGAGGCGGTTTGTATGATGAAGATACCTCAGGCGCCCCTTCTCAACGACAGCTAGATAGTAGACATATATACCTCGGGATGAACGCGGTAAATTGGTAGGAAACCGGTAGGTTTGAACCACCCAGGAATTAGACCACCCAGGAGTTTTAATCATCTGAACATAGAACCATACACTTGTAGAGCGAGCGACGATGGCATCCGTGAGTAACACGAATAGGCAGCTTGCGCCGATGCCTACTGCCTGTCCATAATTTATCGTAACGAGATTCCTCTGAGGCGTAGATGAATTGGCCTTGACGCTTCAGCTCTACAGGAGCGAGAAATACGAGGTCGGTGAAAGGCGGACCAAGGGAAGGAGATGTAGAATATTCATAAAAAGACGAGGTCAAACAGATATTCGTACTCACCGGTGAACCATTTTGAAACCGGGCTCAAATACCCGACGACAAGATAGCGAACGTCTTCTGCAACTGAACCAACCCCTGATCACGACTCTCCCAAAACCGTGCACCAGCAGGTGGGTGCTGATCTGGAGCTCTAAATCATCGTCAGAGAAAGTAAGTACCTAGTCTGCCTGCTCCCCCTTTCTCTCGTGTCAAAGTGGATACCTCACCAGATATAGCACCACCTGAACTAACGAAGACAACATTGATAGCATACGCAGGTCCTAAGGACTTGGATCCATCCTGGAAAGAGGACCCCGTCGTGATGCTCGTATATGTCCCCGTGTTCCTCAGGAAAGCCTCCTCATTTCGCCCAAGCCCACGATACGCAAGAGGGCGTCGAATCTCTCCACTGCAAATCCCAAATTACCTGTCATACCTGAATACGCCCCGGGTGCGAATCACGCGAAATACTAATCTGTGCGTGTCTACCATCATTCCTACGCAATCTCATTTATAACGGAAACTCGGTCCTTCAGTTCGACGAAAGCATTAAGCTCACAGACTTTGGAGCCCTGCCGACGCCCTGAAGAGCTAACAACGCCTTGCCCCCCTCCCCTTCGCGTACGACCTCGCATGCCCAAGCGCAAGTCAATTCTACTTCGGCGTGGAGGGAGATGGATGTCATGCATGTCCTATCTGGCTCCTGTTCGGGGTCGCGTTAGTGGAGTAGATGTATGGCACATTTATGAACAACAAGAACATCTATCTCGTTCTGGTGAGTTCTCACTTAGCTCTTGTGTTCCGTGTGATTGTTGATGCGATGACCGTGAGGCTCTACGCCTCTGCAGGCACAAAAGAGCGAAGTCGGGAAAAGGTGAATGGCGATCGAGGTCGGAGGAAGGGACAACAATGGGGAATTGAGGGACGCCGCTATGTCGGCTCGGGGATAACTAATCCACGGGTATTCACGTCAGTTTCAAAGTAGAAAGGCATGGGAGCGAATAGACCATTGGTCGCTACACCAACGAGCAGTGGACATCCTGCTTCCACACTGATAGGCTGATGGAATAGCCTGTCAATGAGGTGTCCGTTAACTCGCTTAGCCTCCTCTTGAATTGAAGTCCAGGGGGTCGTCAGAGGAGGAACTGAGAGTCGGAGAAGGGAAGGACGACGTACCCAAGCGAGTCGGCGATCATCCATTCACCTCCCGCGCAGCATATGTTGATCCTCGTGGGCAATACGATAGCGGCTGATCCGCACCCAAAAGTTTCTTTTCAATGCCCGAGGGTGCTGGTAATGACGGAAGCTGCATTGCGGCTCCGAGCGCTGGAGCCGAGGTAATAGAGGCGCAAACTGAGGTAATAGAGGCGCAAACGTGACCCAAGAGAGAAGTGGATCGTTCAAGGCCTACGCCACCGAAGGCTTCATGCTGCGGGGTGGATGCTGGATAGGGCGTGTCGGGCATGGAGGCCACGGAAACAGCTAGGCTCGCAGAGCACCAAAGAAGGAGCCCACCATATGGTTGGGGCTATTACATCCACACGCCTACGTCGCGGCGACGATATTTTGATCGTAGTCCCGACCTCCGTCGCATTCACAGGACTCCGGGAGCTGGGTTGATAGTTGAAGGATACCGATACTTCTTTCGATTCCAAGTAGGTAGGGGGTCGCTAGTCTTCCGTTTATGTTCCCTAGATAGTCCATAGGCGCTGTCGACAGCGCGAACAGAAATTGTGCTCGTTGAGTAGTCATAGCCGTGATCTTTTCTGCCCTGTAAGGTTCTTTGAATGTGAGTCAGAGGAAGAAGCCTCAGAGGAAAGATAAGCCTCACCATGGACGCCATGATAATCGCACCGACGTTGATTCGAAGAACGGAACTGAGTGCTCCCTGATGTTATTTGGCAAAGAGGTCTGGACCAAATACAGAGAAGACGCCTAAGTTCACAGAAGGGCATTCTCTGCCTGCACGAAAGCGCGGTCACATTGCTTCACCCTCGCGCCAGTTGCTCGCCACATCCAGCTAACGGGGCCATGTTTCCTACTACCACGATCCATTCTTTGAATCCCGCAGGATGGGTGAATATCACCGATTGTACGTCCCTCAGACCGGACTCGGTATGAAGCTCTTTGACGGATTAATACGACCATAGCGTAAACTTCAACAAGCACCAATAAACGCGCGGTGTCGGGAATACGGAATGTTCAGCAGGAAGACAATCGTATAGAACATGATGGCACTTACTGGCACCGAGTTTCTAAAGCTCGAAGACATGTTCAAGGTAGTTTTCAGGTGAGATTTGGCATCAATACTACGCGTTCAGGCGGAGCGGCCCATCTAATAGCACCCATTTTATGCACAGCTACGAGATGCCAAAGTGTGACGCGCTTTTGAGGACCGCTCGAGGACATCTAGGCAAGCTCCCGAATGAACTCAATTACCTATGTTTTCAACGCCGCCACTCTGGAAGACGCGATCGCTCTCGTCGTGACGCACGGCCTCCTCTTTATCATCGGGTACTCATACATAATCAGCAAGATCAAACGTGCTCACCCTTCGATCATCACCAGCTGGAGCTACGATCGCATTATCTACTTCGGCGACTGGGTGGAGACGCTGCCTAAAAACTACCTATCCTTGACGGAGAAACATGGTCCCATGGAATGAGCGATCAAACACCAGGAAATATATTACGCTCCGCCCCTGGACGAAGTTATCGCCGACGTGGTTCCGAATACGCATCGCTGAGAATTTGTCCGCGCAACCGATCGTGCAATGAACTTCGGGGTACCCTGCAAGGACCGTGAATAAACGGTTGCAAGGGTCAGGAAGCCGACTCACAGTGCGATATCGCGGGGCTCGTCCTTGTCGTTTCCCTCCTCTGACCTCACTTTGCTTGTATCGGGGCTTCCTAACGATATAGAACTTGAATTATTTCTGGATTTGTCATGAGAAAGTCTTTGGGCCCACCACGATCCTTTATCAACAGGTGGCGAAATATGCTGCTGAAAGCATGACACATCAGTGAATTCTTGCGAATATCGATTTGTTGTACACCTGCCTCGTTGTTTGCACGACTAGGAGATACAATACTGTGACTCGTCCCATTGATCGCGCAGCTCAGGCATCTTGAGCTGCAAAGCACGTTCTATTCGCAGCGCTTTGTCGACTTCCTTGAGCGCAACACCGCGCTCCAAATCATCCACGTAGGCCAATTGGGCCGCGACACTAAGGACCACTCGCACCCCACCATGCCCAGCAACGCAGTTCCCCATCTACGTTCAATCGGCGTGCCGCTAGCTGTCCTGCAACAGTTCGGGGGGAGGACGTCGCTACTGGATCTCGACATCCCAGACCTTATCGCTGTGTCCCCTGCATCCCTGTACGACATCGAAGCGGCCTTTCCCCCGTACACGCCCTGTCGGTGAACCGGATCTACTTCACGGGCGCCCCGTCGTGGGTATCACTGCCCCCGAATCTGCGGCATATTCGCGTGCAGATGCCTCCGGTAACCATTTGTCCTCGTTCTCAAGACTGTGCTCGTGCGCTGAGTGGCATATTGGATTTACAGAGCGACATGAACGAAAGCTGGCGCGCGCTGTCGAGGAGCAACATTACGTACATACGCTTCCAAAGCGTGTCCATGCCCCGCGAACCAGACCACCCCGTCCGTCGGCTCTTCGAAGTCGTGCAGAGCCTCGCGCTCGTCGACGTCGGGGTGGTGGGCGGGCTCCTGTTCTATCGATATTATAGGAATTCGGACCACAAGCTTAAGGTACCCGTCCCCCATTGTCAGTGGCAGCCGTGGTGGGCGTCGGCAGAAGACGATATTGCAGACGCCGTCCAGAGGTGCAAGTGAGCAGCGCGCGATCGTTGCGCAAATCACTTGATCGGTAGATCATTCGTCAGCGGCGCTAGTACATAATGCAATTGGATATGCGGGTGTGGTATGGAAACTAGTCAGATGAGGTGGAAGGGCCCGTATTGCCCGTTGTATAAGATACTAGTCCATCCCATCTCAAGGACATCTTCTCCCTCCCACTTACTAGCTGATCACCAGTGTGGTCCAGCAATCCCCCATGTCCTTTCAGATTGTCGACCCACTGAGTGATGTTGTCGGGCGGTTCAGGCATTTTCGCTGCCCAGCTGCGCATCGTCTCGTACACAAAATCCGGAGGGGGATCGAGTAATTTCGCGAGCTTTTGGCGATGTTCGTCCTTCTCCTTCTCGTACTCGGCCAAGGCCTCAGGTGACATGAGCTGGAGTTCCTCGGCTGTCCAGTCGTACTTATGGGTATAGCGCGGGGAAAAGAATTTGGCAAGAATTCTTATGAGGATCTTAATTGCGGGAATGGCGAACTGCACCGCAGGACCACCCGCGCAAAGCATCGAACGTTTGTCATCAGTGCCTACGTCTGGCTTCCCGTCCTTAGGCACATAGGAGTCAAACACAGCCAAAAGACCTCTTAGCCGTTGTTGGTTTCCGACGTTATGCCTGAGATGCTTCAAGGCCATGGATGTCAGCACATGCAGCGCCGATTCGCGATCGTCGACGACCGTATGCGACGCGCTTTCAGGGTTCTGCGTCAAATATGCAGACATAAACTGCCACGTACCCTACGCGACACTGAGTTCGAGCGACAAGGACGACATTTGTCACTCACTGTGCGATGGACCCTGGTATCTGTACGTTCTTTAAGGGCCTCGTTCAAGAAGATACAGTGATCCCAGTCGATAAGAAAACCGCGGCGATTCTTGGGTTCCAGCGTCATGAGGATGTTTCCCGCACTGACATCGCGATGAAGGATCCCTAGTTTATAAGCTTGCTGATGAGCTAGTCGAGGGCTCAGTCTGTGGTCGCGACGTCGAAATGGAGTACGTACCATCCATGGCATCGGCGATGCAGGTCACCAACTGCCGAGCTGTCCTGAACGTTGCGAGCTCGCGGCCGAGGGTCGAGAGCACGATGAAGTGAGCCGTCAAGCGTCTGATTCTGAGCTTGCTATGTTTCTGCACCCACGGTCTCAACTTCCATTCATGGCCGATGGTGGCGATCGCCTTTGCGTCCGTGTCGTCGCCCACCATGAAATCTCCACCGGCATGCATTTCGGCAACAAAGGTGACTTTAGCAGCCTCTAGCATCCTGTAGACCTCCGACTCTTTCTTCGTGAAGGCGGATTCTTCGCGCCAGTACTCTTTGAAATACAGGATTTGTCCATCCCTTCCGTATGTCCCATCCTCCGCCACCCTCGCACTGTTCCTTCCCTTCAGAAGAACTACCGCCCGATTGCGCGTGCATCGACCGAACGGAGAGTACATTCTGCCATTGAAACAGGGTGCTGGAACGACATAGGTATCATCCCCGAAGACCAAGGATAGCAGCGGGAGCTGCTTGGGATCGGATTCTTTCTTGTAAAAGTCAGCGTGCTCGCCAGTAAAGTATGACGTTGCGTATTTTCGAATCATTTCCAACGCTTCCATTCCAGCTGGCCTGCTGAGTTCGCGGAGGTTTGGGTAGAGCCCGCGCTGGACATCGGTAAGTTGCGCAAAGCGTTTGTAGAAGTCGAATAAGATGAGCGGGTGTGTGGTATAGTCGAAGCGGCGAGTAACAATGGCGCAGGAACGATCCCAGCGAATGAAACGAGCATATCTACCGCACACGAGAACGCTGAATAAATGGGACCTAAACTGCATCGCCATCGTCACCCCGGCGTAGCTTGCGATTTGTCCTCGGGTGCTTCGACCTTGCTTCGTGTCGTTTTCAAAAGGATATTTTTCACCAGGCGTTGGTTTCGTGTCATCCGTCACCTTGGGGTGAGCCTCTGCCCCCTCTGTATCGACGTCTGCTGCTGAAGGTTCAGCGATATACGCGTCCTCCGTCGCGGCCATTCCCGCGTCTTCGTCCTCCTTCTCGTCCTCTTCTACGCTCTCTTGACGCTTCGAATAGCCCGCCATGACATAGTAGGCCTCTCCATCGTATTCTTCACCGCCAGCATCGACGAACGCGTCCATTTTAGCATCCGCTTTGTGCTCAGTAAAGCTTTGAATGTTAGCAAAGTCTATCTTCCGCCGAGCGAGTCGTGGGACGATTGGCTTGTTCCTGAGGTAGTTACAGCTGTCAGGTCCAAGCTGGCTCTCTGCGTCGCGGCAGCTATGAGTGTCCTCAAAGTCGAGGCGCTGGATTCCCTTCCGTCCGCAAACAAGTGGCCAGCCAGAGAAGGCACCTTGCTATGGTAGGTGTGTTAGTAAATGAATGATATTGTGGTGTCCTGGAACTCACCCAGTCCTCGTTCATCGCGCTCCCAGGCTTACCGGCCATGCCAATCAAACGCCTCAGTCGCGCCTCGGAGGGTTTCTCGGCCTTGAATGAAGTATCGATATCGGGATTCCATTTCATGAAGCTTTCAACGAACGTATGGGGGTCGACACCGCCTATGTATTGCCCACGAGTCTCCTGGACAAGCGCGCTGCGCAGTCTGCCGATGTCGACAGGGCTCATCGAGTGTGAGTAGTAGTTTGCGATATGCCTGTTGTGGGGTGTGTTTGATTTCGAGGTCAATATCTGGTGCTGGTTGAGATTTCTGTTCCCCGGTGTTATCGCCGTCGGTAGACAAAGGAGGTCCTGAAGTCTCTGGGTCTCCCGTTGCACTTTCGTCGGAGGAAGGATTGGCTGGATTTGTGGACATGGTTAGTATCTTGTTGGAAGATATGACTCTGAGAAGAGCCTCTTACTTATATGCTGCTATTTCGTGGGTCTTTCCAGTGTGGCTAGTTGTAGAACAATGAGAATAAACCAGGGAGTCGTGAAGGTTGAACGATGTGTGGCGTCGAGTCACGTGAAGTATTGGCCACTTACCTATAATGGTAAGTAGTGTTGGCCTTCGCAAGGCACCAATGTCTCCGCAGCTAGACCTGAGCAACTCATAACAGGGTACGAAGCTGCGACAATCTGTTCCTCTATTGTTGGTCTATATGCTCACCCATTGTGCTACTGCCACATTGAGCAAATGTCGTGTCGAGTCATAGTCATCGCCACACACTCTACTCCCCTCAGAGTCGAGTCCAAACTGCTTATTTGGGAGTTCACGGACGCCCAAGACATAACGAGATAGTGGTCAATACAGGCGATATAATCAACCATACTATACATATCATCTGCTATACAGGTGAGATTTCAGTGGGATGAACGGAAATTCGTCATGGAAGATGAATTCAACACGCGAGCCGGCCCAATGATCTACGAAAGTTCGACTCTTAGTTTTGTTTTCAAAGGAGGGCCAAACGGGGTGGGTGGTCCTACCTTTTGAAGCCACCTAGACAGCAAGCTGAGGCGTAGCACAGAACTATTTCGTAGCCGTAGCTCCCGAGCCGAATTTCACAACCACTGACAAGGGTTCGGGACCTTGAGCTCTGTGTATTCGCCGAAGTTGTATCCTGATGTAATGTATATCCCAATATTGATGACCTGCTTGCAAAAGAAATGAGAATCAGGCAACGGCCGAGGCGAGGGCGGGTCAACCAGGACGGGTGTCCGATTAGTGGATCGCGAATGAGCTGCCACCGCGTCTGGACTCTGGGCATTACACGTAGGGGTACCTGCATCGCAGGCCTTTCTACTGGACATTGTAGTGAGAGTTCCATCGCCCTGTCTGCGTAGTAAATTACGCAGTGCGATCGGTCATTGAACGGACACCCAGAGTCCCTCACATAAAAGCATTGAGCATCGTGTCGGTCGGCTCCTCCAACGTGTATAATTCGCCAGTACGGTTCTCCTGATCCCCCGTGCGGCCCAAAACACGATGGCTTATGTCCCCACAACGGGCTCTTTTGTCCAGCCTTTTCGCCCGTTTCCATCTGATATCGTTCCGTTTTTACGGAGATGCGAAGGCCAAGACGTCTTCTATTCACGTAGTCGGGACAGGGGTGTGTCGAAGCGATGCTCGAAGAAGTTATGCGGCCAGCCGCCCGAGACGCAGTCACATTTGATGAGCCTACGGCTCGGGGTGTTGCTGTATCGGGCGTTGACTAGCCAATGCGTTATCCTTTGTTGAGGTTGTTGAGGTACTCACAATTCCAGCGCAGTGCAAATTTGCCAGTCGAGCCCTCCTTCGAGGGACAAACGCCTCTGATAACTTTGTAGGCGCGAAGAGGAATTTGCGAGTGTGTGAGTGAGGACAGGGAATGGTGTGTTCCCGCCAAAAGCGAAGTAAGAAGGAATGAAGTGAAACCGAACGCCACGTGACGAACGGAACGGAGGACGGGGGACGTACCAAGCAGTGCCGTGTGCAACTGCATGGACTCGCTTTCGCAACGCAACTGGGGGAAGGGAACTTGCTTCTTGTTTCATAGGTAGGTATGTAGGTACTATATATACTGTAGGTATAGGTAAATAAACATGCAATGTCCGCATGTGCGAGTAAGTAAGATAATACCTAAGAAGGAGTGCGGTCGCAGCTGATGACGGACACCGTGTCTGTTGATGTTGAGGAAGAAAGCTTAGGATAAGTATCCCCGCTCGTCGGGGCGATATCGAGGAATCCTACCTTGAGGCGAATGGTCTCATTGACATGGTATGCCACATCATGGAAAGGCACAGCATACATTTCCGCTGATCGCTTGGGAATGACCAGTCCTAGGCCAAATTTCAGGCGCATAGTATGTCGGGATGGTGCCAACCAGGAGTGTCCCCGCTCTCCCAGGTACGTATGCAATGCACCCTATATTGCTATACCCTCGGTCCCCCTCCTCGATACACTTTATTAACGTCTGTCTATCAGCTGAATAAAGACAGATCCAGCGCCTTGTCAACGCTCCCATATCCCGACGTTGTTTGGTCGTGACCAACGTTGAAGCCAGTACCTCACTTCTCTTCGTTCAAAAGGACAATAAATATATTGTATTCCGTGATAGCAATGTACGTTGCGACAGCCTGTGTACGATTGAGGAAATGATACAGCGTTGTGAAAGGCAACAAGACTCAGAAAAGGGGGATACAAATACATGATCAACGATGAGATATGCGTGTCGTGGAAATGGGAAATAGATAGAACACCTGCACCGGCTGGTATGGGCGACGGCTGAATTACTCCGAGGCATTTTCGTCCTCATCCTCAGACCCGTATTCCAAAAGCTCAGCGGCCACAGGCACAGACTGCGAGTCAACCCAGGCTTGTTGTAACTCAGCCAAGTCCGCACCTAGAGGTTCGTCGTCGCCCGTCTTGCGCAATCCTATAATGTGACGCGTGAGTAGTTGACACGGGGGATATGAAAAAGGAGAATTTACGCTTTGAACCTGACTGCGCACGTCCAGCGACGGCGTTGGAGCCTCGCTTTCCCAGGGTGCTTGAGGTGATGACTTGGCCGATGAGGGGGTGTTTGTTCACAGGTGCCATCAGTTTCCGCTCAACGGGGTTGAAAGTTCGGGAGTGAACGGTGTCGAGCTCGACGTTTATGTTGTTCCTTTCCCAATCATAGACGTGTTGGAGAATCAAGCGTTGCATTGCCTCGTGAAGATGGAGTGGGTCAGGAGTGGGGTACAGAAGCGCCCATTCAGGTTGGATTTGACAGGTTAAGTCGTCCATGAGCGCCGTGATGAAGAGAAGATCTTTGTGAAGCCACTTGGCCCATTCATTCTCGTTGATTATAGTGGACCTCTTGTCCATTGCGCCGACCTCATGTTCCGCAATACATGACCAGGTGTTGGTCAATCGCTCCGGATTGACGTCCACGTCGTTATTCAGCGGTTTTGCAAGCAAGACGAACACGACAATGCACCAATATACGGACTCCGCATCGTGGAATGGTTGATGTTCAAAATCGGCAACCTGCAGGCTAGGATTTGTTTTGTAGCCCTTTTTCCGCTCGAGTGAAAGATGGCCGCCATGTGTAGTCCCGTTGATGTCAGAGAATGTTCTGAGTTTGGAAGCGTCGCCGTGATGAACATTTTTGTAAGTCGCCTCTATTTCCGACTGCAATCCGGGCATAGGCGTCATTTCACTGGGGACATTTCGGATTTGTCCGGCCGCCACGGATCGAGCTATGAACTTCGGTGTACCCTACAAGGGTGTGAATAAGCAATCGCAACGATGGAGGAGTCGACTCACGGTACGATATCGCAGAGGCTTATCACTGTCCTCCTCCTCCTCCTCTGGCTTCAACTTGCTTTTATCGAGGTTGGCGCAGTTGTCCATGTCGAGTAATCGAGCCATTGGTTCCGGTGTGCTATATATGACATGTCAGGCAATATGAGTGATTGAATAAAAGCGACCAACCCATGTAGAATCATGTTGATGAATACCGGTGGCTTCGTACCCCTGAACTTTTCTATTGCCCCAGCATCCTCAGCTTCGATGATGATGTTGCCATGACTGATGTCACGATGAAGCAACTTGCGTTCTGTAAACATCCAACGGTGGGCTAAGTGACGTTTTTCAGTAAAAAGACCATAGAAAGCTGACTGAGGTACTTACCTTCGAGAATGTCGTACATTCCTTTGAAGAAATCGACGATGTTCTTGCATTTCGACAAAGGTAACCCACTGGTCTTCATGATCAACCTCGTCTTGATCCTCGTGCATTCCTTCATAGAGACTGTGATGGGGGTATCTTTATACTTGACTTCGTATTTGCGATCGACAGCGGCAAATCCAGGTGCAGCGCCTTCCGCGTGAAGAATCTGGTACATATCCCCTTCCTTGAAGCGCGTCCGCACGTCGCAATACGAGTCTTTGATCACTGTAGGGCCTTCCTCGTCGTCGGTTTCAGCTTCAGCGACCCATGTCATCCTTGTCCATGGTTCCCCAACGAATTGGACCTTGCAATTGCGATAAACAGTGTCCCCGACGTCTATGTCCCAGAGGGGAGGCCCAAGTATATCACGACCAGTAGCGAGTGAGACAGTAGTATCTCTGGGCGTGAAGTCGGTGCGGGGAAGGTACAGCGTGCAGATATACGCCAAAATGCCACCGAGTTGTGCAGTCCAGTTGAACTCTTCCGACGTAGCAAGTCCAGCGGGGCAGCTGTACTGGATCTGGAAACTTCGAGGCGACACGGAGAGGCCGTACATGCCCACCATGTCGGGCCGGGCCTGATTGGCGTATCCAAGATAGGCGCCGCACTGTGCCGGACCAACCTTCGCGTCGACAGCTGTCTTCTCCTCGACCGCTGTCAAGACAAGATGCCAGGGGATTCGATTGCGCTCGTCCTGCTGAAGTTTCTTGAGGACGCTCTCGAGTACGCCGACAGAGTCTGGAGCACCAGCCTTAATTTCGTTCGGATGGTACGTCGGGACGAATGAGTGGTTGTCCACAAACACGATGAATTCCGAGGAGGGGCAAAGCTCATCTAGGACATATAAACGGACTCAGCAGTGGGACAAACGAGTAGTAAGACGACTGACTGTGAATCAAACCACTAGCGTAGTTGAGCAGGGCTTCTACCTTCTCGTAGCAAGTTTCTTTGCTTTTATGGACAGCCTCGGCGAGTTTTGTTAACTTCTCATCGAGGACGAGTTGTTTGATTGCGTCGTGCATGTTGAGCCAAGTTCGACAGAACTCAGTGTTCGGAATGAGAGAGTCGGGTGGGAGGTGCAACGCAGACATTTCCTTCCTATTGACGGGAGGTGGTTTTGTCGGTTGGACTATGGTGCTCTTGAGACGGACCGTATGGTCGGACATGTTGAGTTGGGAGAACGAGGAGGAGTAGGCATGATAATTATACTCACCTAAAATGCCACAGTGCCGACACAATGGATCTTTTTCAAGATGCGTGCGATGGTTTGTCCAAGTGGGCTCAGTGGCTAATCAGTGGCAAGTAAGAAGGAGCCCATTGTCGCCGGCCGTCTGGACGCTTCAATATGCCGCACATGTGACCGAAAACCTCCATCGATCGAGCGCCGCCAATTCTCAACACGATACTACCACTGAATTAGAACGCCTCTTTCTCCATGCAAGGGGTTATTTCACGATGGTGAAAGGCGAGGCGTATCCCCTTCACGGTGTGGAATTCCGCATGTGTCCGTCATTTATGCAGCTGGCCATTTGATCGGAAAGGATTTAGGCAGTGGGAGGTTTTGACGCCAAACGATCTTTTCTTATAATCCCTCATACTCGCTATCTCCAATTGCGCGCAATATCGTAGTCGAGAGCCAAGGTTCTGTACGACCTACTCAATGAGATCACGGAGTACGAGCATGGAAAACATATACTAATCAGGGAAATCGTATGTACGTGGGGGTAGTACGGAAGTCGGAGAAAGGAAAAAACATTACTTACCATGCAAATCTGTAGCGTACGAACGCGTAATACGTTCGCATGTGCCGAAATGCGCAATGCCGCGTTTTCGAGCATCCCGATGCTCAGTTCCGACCGCCGCTTGTTTGACCGCGTTCTGAGTTCCGAGTTCTCCAACTATTAGATATCAGCACCTTCTCACCAGTCGCCAGAAGTGAAATGGAAAAAAAAACCCTCCATCCTCCATCCTTCATCCGTGTCAGTGACTCAGATCATGCTTGCGGTACCATTCATAAATGCATCACAGGCGAGGCGCGAGAATCGAGAGAATCGAGAGGCAGAGCGGGGAAGATTGATGGTGTCCGGCATATATATATATATATTGGGCACAGCAATTTCGTCGACCGCGTCGAGTATCGACACGAGGACAAGTCTTGCGTTTGGGCGCTTCTGATTCCCGACGCTGTTTGGTCAAGGCCGTCAAGCCAAATAAACTTGGCTTTCTCTCCACCGTCACAGCGACTCCGAGCCTCGAAAAACTCTTGCGTCAGCTGGCACACATGATTCGCCTCCACCGAACACTTCCTCGACGAACCATTAACGGAAAAACAGACATTATCATATCATATATATCAAAAAATAACGATCGTCCGGACAGTCCTACGAAACGAGCGTGCTTATAAGAGTCAGTTCGTTCACTCAACATCCACACCCACAGTCCAAGAATGCGCAAAATGTCTAGGAAGGAAGCAGATATCCACACGGCAACACATACACACAGTCCTAAACTCCAAACCTCACACGCCAGGTGGGTGGAACCCCGGACCCTGCGGCCAGTCGCCCAGCCGCGCGGGGTCCCCGCCGATGCGCACCCACTGCGAGTGCGACGGCGTCGGCCCGTCGAGCACGAAGAGCTGGTGCCACCCCGGCGGGCTGATGTTCGCGTTCGGCGGCGCGGTGATGGTGCACGTATTGCCCGCGCAGCTGAACGCCGGGAATATCGTGCGCGAGCCCATGGCGTTTCCGTGCGTGCTCGACACAGCTACGTAGACGAGTGAGTGGGTGAGTAGCTGAGATGGGGATGGGGAGGAGAGCGACTTGCCAGCTACGAGCGATACGCGCATGGTGCCCGTGTTGCCCTGGAACAGAGTCACGGTGATAGTCGCCTGGCTCCCGTACGCCCAGTCCTTATTCGTGATCGTGAACTCGGGCTGTCTGAATCCCTGTGTCAGGTACGGCGGAATATACACCTACTCGCCATCGCCACCATACATATACATATCCTCAGTCAGCCCCCCGCCAATATCAACCCAAGTGATAGTAGTCCAAGTACTTACCTCGATGCGGAACTCCTCGGGGAACCCCGGCGTCTGCGGGTCGGAGCCCGAGATGAGGACACGGCCGTCGGGGAGGAGCACGGCCTCCGAGTGGTAGAGGCGCGGCACGATGGTGTTGCCCAGGATCGATATTCGCTGGTGCACGGGCTTCGCGGGGTCGTACAGCAGTGCGCTGAAGTTCGGGTCGGTGGCGAGCCCGAAGCCGGCGACGCCCTGGTGCGCGCCGTTCACGATCAGGAATGTCCCGTCAGGAAGGGGGGCCTGTCGATTGCAATCAATATATGCGTATGCATATGCATATGTGAGCATATGTTAGCAATGGACGGAGTGGCTGTTGTATTGTTGCTTACGATGCACGGCATGACACGGCGGGAAGGCTATATTGAACGTGAATATAAATGTGAATGTTAGCTCGCTGGTGCGTCGTTTGAGGACTTCATTTACCATCCTCTCCAGCGTCCAGGTCGGATTTGGGTCCTCTGGCGCGATGGATACGCAATTGTCGATGGCCTGGCCGGCCCCGGGATTGGATCCGCCGCAGATGAGGATCCGCAGTGGCTCGTTGTACGGCGCGTGCTGTGGAAACAGGACCGCTGCGCCTTCGAGTGGATACGTGCGCCCACCAAGGACTTCGCAAAAGGAAGTCAGAGATCGACTTTATTCCGCCGTCTTACAGCACTCACAGTTATTCACAGACGCGGGGATATTGGGGAGTTCCCTGATAGTCTGGAAGCCTCCAGGCTCCAAGATACGTGCCTCGTTATAATAACCTAATAAAGTATTGACAAAGTTACTGTCCGTCAGCACCTTCTTTTCTCGCAGGGCGTTCGAAACAAGCAGTACGCACCGACGAAGAGATTGCCGCTGGGGAGAACGAAGACGAATGGGTACAAGTTGTTCGGGTCGGTTCTTTGCAGCCAGTCGAGCTCGATTACCCCGCCCTGCCGTGGCAGGAGTTCCAGGTTCGGCTGGGGCGACGCGTTGCTCCCCGTTTCCCCGCCTATCACCAGGATCGACCCGTTCGCCAGCATCGCGGCGGTGGGGTACCACCTCCCCCGCTGTACGCACGCACAATCAGCACAATCAGCACACAGCAAGTACGAACACGCGGGCCGCCACGAACACACGCACCTGGAGCGCCACCGCCGGGAAGCCCTCCTCCCAGTCCGTCGTCCCCTGCACCCCGTCCGACCCGCTCGGGGTGTACAGCCGGATCCCGAACGTCGAGTCCAGCGACCACCCGCCGACGTTGATCTGCCGCCCCGCTTTGTCGGGCAGGATGATGCTGCCCGAGCAGAAGACGTCGCTCTTGACGTGCATCTCGCGCCACGCGCGCGAGAAGTCGTTTGCGAGCGAGAGGTCGAGCTCGTACGCCCCGGTGGAGTTGGGGAACTCGCTGACCTGGTGTTAGTAGCAAGAAGGTATGGGAGGAGGTTGGCGTACCTGGTGCCGCCCTTCTCGAGGAAGGTTACCTTGTTGTTGATGCCCACCGTTGCGATGAGAGGGACTACGACTCTGAAAAATCAACGACGATGAGGAACAGGAGATTCGTCACCGCGTACGAGATACACACCCAGGAACTGCCGCATCACGCCGTCAGCTGCCTCCCAAAGCTCGACGCGATGACCACTCACCGAAAAACTAGAGAAAGGCTCGAAAATCAGATCCCATGTTGAAAACGCAAAGCTCACCTCGTACCGCCCAGTGTTGGCTGGGGTGTTCCACACGTCGATGTTTCCGTCCCAGTGGTAAAGCTGCAATCGCTGGGCGCCGCCGCACAGATGGATCGGGTCCCCCGAACACGGGAAACTGCAGTCGGCCGCAGGCGCCGGAGCGCCGCCGTTCGCAGCCTCGTTGGCGACGTCCCCGCAATCTCCACGTCAATAAGCAAAGATGAAATACTGGTAGTGACACGGGCCCACGCACAGCATTCGTCGCCAAATTCCATGCCCGCTGCGGGGTAGCCGAATGCAGCACATTGGTTCAGGCACGCATCGACTGTCAGGTTGTTCTGCATGATGATCTGGTAGGGGAAAACGCGCTGGGCGCCTGGCTCTCTGGAAACGAACGTGGAGGAGTGGATACGGGACGTAGAGCGGGGAACCTACTGCAAGCAACCAACAGACCTCCACTGGCCCGGAAGCCCAGTATCCTTTACGACAGGGATAGGCAGGATGGGTACGTTGCCCCCGCTCGTATACACCGACAGTCTGTTTGGGCCACCACATGCCTCGCTGATAATTCGACACAAAGGTGAGTGTGAATAAGAATTGAGCAGATGATTGGGTACACATACGTCGGGTTGCCTCCGCATGCCATGTTACAGCTAGCTTCGTCGCCCTGAGTGGCACCGTTGATCAGCGTATTGCCACAGTCTACCAGGAAGGTCTACGGATCAGATCATAGACTTTGAGGGACACGAGGGAGAACGCACAGCACTCCTGCGAGAACTCCATGCCAGCCACGGTCATGCCCATGCCGGAGCACACGTTGATGCAGCCTTCGACCGTCAGATTCGGGTCTGCCGGAGCTGCGAAGCTGAATATACGCCCATGGGCGTTATCACTGATAAGATGATCAGCTGCCATCGATAGACAAGGAAGCAGGGAGAGGTCACCCACACGAAGCAACCGCCGTAGTGCCATGATCCAGGGAGGCCGGCCGTAACGGGGGAGACTGCTGCAGCGCGGCGGTGGCGATCAGAGGGAGGTTTCAAAGAGTCATGCCCTTGGTTGGGCGCGCAAAAGATTGGCCGCTGCAGTAATGATGTTCAGTGGAGGGATGTGTTAACAAGAAAAGCGTCGGTGGACGTACGGGGGTAAACAGTATCGTGACCAGAGTCACGACAAGCCAGCGAAAGAGGGCCATTTCGACTTGCCTCAATCTCCAAGCAACGATCGTTTTTATAGGACAGGATCATCCCCTTTCAAACACATCAGGGTGTGCGGCGGGAGTTCGGCGCAGACGTAACATTGATGGTTTGTCACCAAACAAGGCCGTCAGCAATGTCTGAGCACTGTCTTCGCATTTATTTCAGGTGATAGGAGTATCATATCGTATATTTTCGATTTGACAGATGTCAACAGCAAGTGTACATCGAAGAACGAACCTACCAGTCGATGCCATTCATAGGCTTCTCTTCGACACCAACGCGACTACAAGACGCCCATCATCGCTTCCCCACTGAGAGAATCATGTGAGTTGAGCTTCTATTGATCGACAGTGCAATTATTGGAACGCACGGCTGGCAAGGCGTTGCGGAAGTTGCGACGACCCACAAGGCGCACTCGTATACAAAGAAGCAGCTAAAGTGGGTAACCGAATAAGGGTGCAATTATAGGACGGGTTTCAGATAACGGGCGAGAGGATCCCGCGAGCCTCACGTTTTTGTGTTGGCGCCCTGGCAAGAATTGCTCCCCGAAAGCATCATACAGGAAGAGTACCATGAACTAAGACACGTTGGCAGGCAAGCGTTGATAGAGTGTATCGGGGAGAGGGCCGAGGGTACAGTGATTTAGGGTGCATTGCATGCTCACTAGAATGCACGCGGCGCGCGTTACCGATTGTCCAGAGAGGCTGACCCGCAAACGGTGCTTGTCATGTCGGGTCCTCACACTAACCCAAGGTACGGATATTCGTTTACATGTCAACGATGGGACCCTCGGCCAGAATAAGAAATTGGGACATACCGTCATTTTAGACGATCTCTGCCATACCGCTGCTTCCATAAAAGCTAAAAAATCAACCCTGTTCGTGAAGTGACGCGTTCCTTTCCAATCAGAAGGAATGGAGACCTATAACCCTTCTCCTTGATGAAAGAACCCAAGAGAATCGCGTAGCACGAAGGAGCATGAAGAGAAATACGTGGGACACTCGCGCCTGAAATTTGGCCAAGGACTGGTCGTTCTCGGGCGATCAGCGGAAATTGGCCTTCGCATCTCCGTAAAAACGCTATCTGATGTCGGATGCAAACAGGCGAGAACGGCTGGCAAAAGAGCTCGACATACACCACCGTCTTTGGGCCCCGCGGAGGATCTGAAGAAACGTACTGGCGAATCATGCACTTATCATCCGGAATGCCAACGCAGAGGGACCGCAAGGTTTGCACCGCCAACATCGGGTGAACGGACGACAGGAATGGCCTCGACGTCGCCCATCATAATCACCACAGCTTCGGTTACAGTCTAAGGGCCAGCCAGCGCCGCCGCCATAGTCGGCGAAGATAGAAACTGGATTGCGTCGCAAGGTCCACCCAAAGCTTATTTGGCTCAGTACTCTCGACCAAACAACGTCGGGGTAATCGGGGCGTTGATGCGGCGCCAAATCTGTCCTTGCGCTGTGATTCAAAGTCAAACATCGAGACGAACTCTGACGCGACTCGGTTAACACAAACTCGATAGTCTTAGGATGGGAAATTCGAAGGAAAATGAAGGTCGTCATTCTATACTCTCCCCTAATACATGTAGCAGAAACGAAATACAGCGCTCCTCGAGAGCCTCGCAGCAAATGGATCACATCTTCTGAGGAAGTACCATCGCACTTGGGGGAGAGGATGTCTGGTAATCGTGAGTTAAAGTGCTGCGCAATGAGAAATGCGAGTCGGCAGGTGAGGACCACGTGTGCACAAAGTTTGACGAATGCAGGTTCTCGAGGCATGGACGCACAACGATGGCGGCAACCGGACTGAGACATAGAGCACTGGATGCAAGGTCGGAACCGCTCTATCCACGTAGCAAAAACCACAGCGGTCCAGATGGTCGTTCACTCAATCTCGATTCATCCATGAGTCTTGCGAAACGAAACGGACGCGTGGTGGACGAGCCCGTGGAAAGTATTAGTAGCAAACAATTCACCGGACGATTCGAACAAACCTCCATGTCTAGTATGCGACTTCATGAGCCGGAATCGGGCTTTATTGTAGTACTCGTCACCTTCGTCCCAACGTACGCAAGCATTCGCTCGTGCATGGCTTTGGAAAGAGATGACACTAGGGTTCCTGTTCAGTTCGGCTACTTTCGTCTTACAGGGAGCATCTCATCCCTCTAGAGCTCACGTGTCAAGTCCAAACGATGCCTTTCAGATAGTCTCAAAGGACGCCCGTGCCTGTTACTCGGGCTCTCTGGCCGAAATCGGAGATGGGTAAAACTAGGAAACCTCGCGATGGACGTACTCGTACCATGTTTTCATGTCGCCTTCATCGAGTGCCTTGTAGAACGCTTTACAGTGAGGTATTACAGTTAGACAATATGACGTGCGTCCACACTTTGAGGAGGTATATTGCTCGTGATGCTGCCTCCGAACGAAGGCGAGAGCAGTGAGTATCAGGGATTGAGTTATTGATCTGCATCGAGATCCGTCATAAAGCCGTCTAATCAAGTTGGATGGCCACAACGGGCAGACGGAGGATGTGTGATTAGTGGGCTGATGAAGCTCCACACCCTGAAGGGGATACGCCTTGCATTTCATGAAATGGCCACTTGCATGTAAAATAAAGAAAGGGGCGTTCTCATTTGGTGGCAGTATCCCGTTATGGTAGGTAGTGTATTGAGAAATCGGCGGAGCTCGAAGTTTACGGTCACATGAGTGGCATATTGAAACGTTCAGACAATGGGCGCCTCCTTCTTACTTGCCACCAACTAGCCACCGAGTCCACTTGAACAACCATCCCACACAGCTCGAAAGAGATCCATTGTGTCTGTACTGTGGCACTTTAAGTGAGTATAAGTATCATGCCTGCTCCTCCTCGTTCTCCCAACGCAACATGTCTGACCATACAGTCCGTCTCAAGAGCACCCCAGTCAAACCGACGAAACCACCTCCCGTCAATAGGAAGGAAATGTCTGCGTTGCACCTTCCACCCGACTCTCTCATTCCCAACACCGAGTTCTGTCGAACTTGGCTCAACGTGCACGACGCGATCAAGCACCTCGTCGTCGATGAGGAGTTGAAAACACTTGCCGAGGCCGTCCAGAAAAGCAAAGAAACTTGCTATAAGAAGGTAGAAATCCTGCTCAACTACGCTAGTGGTTTGATTCACAGTCCGTCGTCTTACTACCCGTTTGTCGCTCAACTAACTCCGCTTGTATGTCCTAGATGAACTTTGCCCCTCCTTGGAATTCATCGTGTTCGTCGACAACCACTCATTTGTCCCGACGAACCATCCGAACGAAATCAAGGGTGGTGCTCCAGACTCTGTCGGCATACTCGAGAGCGTCCTCAAGAAACTTCAGGAGGACGAACGCAATCGAATTCCCTGCCATCTCACCTTGACAGCGGTCGAGGAGAAGACAGCTGTCGACGCGAAGGTTGGTCCGGCACAGTGCGGCGCCTATCTTGGATACGCCAATCAGGCCCGGCCCGACATGGTGGGCATGTACGGCCTCTCCGTCTCGCCTCGAAGTTTCCAGATCCAGTACAGCTGCGCCGCTGGGCTTGCTACGTCAGAAGAGTTCAACTGGACTGCACAACTCGGTGGCATTTTGGCGTATGTATGCACGCTGTACCTTCCCCGCACCGACTTCGCGCCGAGAGATACTACGATCTCGCTCGCTACTGGTCGTGACATCCTCGGGCCTCCCCTCTGGGACATCGATGTCGGCGACAAGGTTTATCGCAACTGCAAAGTCCAATTTGTCGGGCAACCATGGACGAGAATGACATGGGTTGTGAAAGCGGAAACCGACAACGAGGAAGGCCCTATTATGATCAAAGACTCGTACCGTGACGTGCGGACCCGCTTCAAGGAAGGGGACATGTACGAGATTCTTCACAAGGAAGGTTCTGCACCTGGATTTGCCGCTGTCGATCGCGAATACGAAGTCAAGTACACAGATACCCCCATCACAGTCTCTATGAAGGAATGCACGCGGATCAAGACGAGGTTGATCATGAAGACAAGTGGGTTGGCTCTGAACCACTGCAAGAATATTGTCGATTTCTTCAAAGGAATGTACGACATCCTTGAGGGTGGGTATCCATTACCTCTCTGTTCCTGTGTTGTTCTTGACTGACAATGTCGCTTAGCCCATCGTTGGATGGTTACGGAACGCAAGTTGCTTCATCGTGACATCAGTCATGGCAATATCGTCGTCGAAGCTAAGGATTCTCCCCAAATACCGAAGTTCACGGGGAAGCCACCGATATTCATCAACGAAGTTCTCCGCGGGTGAGTCCCTCACATTTCATAACTAAGATTGCCTAACGTACGATCTATAGCGAACCCGCACCACCTATGGCTCGATTACTGGACATGGACAACTGTGCCAGACTCGATACAATGGCAGGGGAGACGAAAACAGTTGTAGATGCAACCGACCAGCCATTAAGATACCGCACTGTGAGTCTAATTATAATTATTGATTATTGGAGTGGTCCTCTCACCGCCATTCAGGGTACACCAAAATTTATCGCTCGATCCGTTGCTATTGGAGAAATCCTGGTTGAATGTGGGGTCCTGCCTATGCCGACGTTACAGTCAGATATCGCAGAGAAGTACAAACGAGCTTATCACGAAGACATCTCTAAGTTGCGGTCCTTCTCCGACGCCAATGGGTCTTCGCACGGTGGGTATCCGGACGCGGCGCGCATAGCCCTTATCCAGACAGATCCCGACTTCGGCGCTGACATGTTCGAACATCAACCCTTCCACGATGCGGAGTCCGTATATTGGTGCATCGCCGCTTTTGTCCTCCTTGCGAAACCGCTGAACAGCGACGTGGACGAAAACAACGATGCCTTCAACGAGATGTGGACGTGCCTCGCGGAGCACGAGGTCGGGAACGATAACGACAAGCGGCTCCCTCTTATTCATCGCTGCAAGTGGAAGCACTGGTTGCATAGGGATCTTTCGTTTATTGCCGACCTAATGGTTGCGCTCAGCTTCCAAGTCCGACCTGAATGGACACTTGTGACGCCGGGGCCGGATCCTCTCCACCTCCACGAAGCAATGCAACGGTTAATTCTGCAATACGTCCATGATTGGGAGAAGAACCGAATCAACGTCGAACTCGACACCGTCTACTCCCGAGCTTTCACGCCCGTCGAGCGAAAACCCATGGCGCAGGTGTGCAAACACCCCCTCAAGGGCCAGGTCATCACCTCGAGCACCCTTGGCAAGCGAGGGTCCAAGACTGGGCGCGCGCAATCAGGCTCGAAGCGTAAGTCCCCATTCTGCTCCCCTTCATGTCAGTTGCTCACGCGTCACATTTCAGGATTGCGCAAGACCGGCGACGATGAACCTCTAGGTGCGGACTTGGCTGAGTTACAACAAGCCTGGGTTGACTCGCAGTCTGTGCCTGTGGCCGCTGAGCTTTTATAATACGGGTCTGAGGACGAGGACGAAAATGCCTCGGAGTAACTCAGCCGTCGCCCATACCAGCCGGTGCAGGTGCTCTATCTATTTCCCATTTCCACAACATGCATATCTCATCGTTGTCCATGTATTTTTATCCCCCTTTTCTGAGTCTTGTTGCCTATGCTATACCATTTCCTCACTCGTACACACAGGCTGTCGCAACGTACATTGCTATCACGGAATACAATATATTTATTGTCCTTTTGAACGAAGAGAAGTGAGGTACTGGCTTCAACGTTGGTCACGACCAAACAACGTCGGGATATGGGGGAAGTTGGCGAGATCCGTGTAGTGCAACAGCAAGGAGTCCGACGTTGCGTGAGCGAGGATTATGGGGAAATTATTGGGACTCACGGCTGGCAAGGCGTTGGGGAGGTTGCGACGACTCACAAGGCGTGATCGCATACAAAGAAACAGCCAAGGTTGGTAGCCGAATAAGGATTCAATTGCGGCACGGATTTCAGATAACAGGCGAGATGATCCCGCGAGCCTCGCGTTTTGTGTTGGCGCGATGGCAAGAATTTCTCCCCAAAAGCATCATCCAGGGCGAGTGCCATGAACGTAAGACACGTGGATAGACAGACATTAACCAATTGTATCGGGGAGGGGGGGCGAGGGTACAGCAATTTAGGGTGCATTGCATACGTACCTGGGAGAACGGGGACACTCCTGGTTGGCACCACCCCAACATACGATGCGCCTGAAATTTGACTTAGGACTGGTCGTTCCCGAGCGATCAACGAAGATGTATGGTGTGCCCGCCGATGATGTGGCATACCATGGCAATGAGACCATTCGCCTGGTAGAATGCCTCGATATCGTCCACGAGAGGCTGTACTTATCCTAAGCTTCCTTCCTCGACCTCAACAAACATGGTATTGGAGGCGTTTGTCCCTCAAAGGAAGACTCGACTGGTAAGTTTTGCACTGGAGTAGAATTGTGAGTATGTGAACAAAGGATAATGCACTCAGCTCGTCAACGTTCAACTGTCACTGCGTCTCGCCTGGCCTTCAGTAATGCTTTGATACCCGTCTGGACTGGATAAAAGATGTCTACCGCGAGCACTATAACCATCGCATGTCCGGAAGAGCGCTATCAGAGCGACGCGAACGAGTGAAAGGCCTGGAGAAAAGAACCTATCATAGGGTGATCCAACACCGTGGTTTAGACGATCAGGACAAACGTACTGGCAAATCATGCACGCTATCGCAAGGTTTGCGTCGCTGGCATAGGGCGAGCGAATTTCGTGAAGAACCTTGACGGTGGCCGTCACCACAATTTGTGGTTTTAGTCAACGTCGCCGTAGAAGCTAGACAACGGGAAGGATAGTGAGTGTTTGGCCCAGCGCTCTTGACCAAACAACGTCGGTGTTGACGCGGCACCAAATCTGTCCTTCAAGATTTCAACACCGCTTTCCAATGCCGATATCTCCAGACACGAGAGTGGAGAGAATGTACGCCACGAAATACGCACGAAAGAAATTGGCAGCGAAGTTTCCAAATAACTAAGGAACCGTGGTAAGTAGTGGCTTGCGCCTTCGGTACCATGGTATATGCTGAACAGACGCGAAACTCAGCGGCTTTTGGCTCATATCATGACCCACTCGACGAAGGATGCGGTTAGACGTCAGTCGTGGTGAATGAGGAAGAGTGCGATGGAGTTCTGCGGACACATGGTACGAGGACGAACTAGGGCAGCAGAGGTCGGATATGGTAGGAAGGGAGAAAGAACCAAGGTATGTGAGTTGTCGATCTCCAAAGCGCGAATTGTACTCACCCACATCCAGTGCCTCGACGAAGATGAGAGCTCCCGGCACCATGGCGTCCTACGACATACAAACGAAGGTGAGAAGGACCGTCACACGTAGGAGGAAAGGACAAGCCCAACGCACGGACTCTAAGAAGCGCAGGCTAATGAAATACGGAAGAACATCGAAGGGGTCGACCCGACCGACATACCACTTATTGCTCCTGGTCGAAAAACATTGGACATCTGTTCAATGATCCAACATGCTTGATCTACTGTATCTACCGGGCGATGGATTGTTCGACACGATGTACCACAAAATCGCGACGCGGGAACCCCTGTGTGTAATACCCGGGATCCAGACGTGGGGTCGCCTTACTCGCAACCCCCAATCCAGTATCCATGCTCGCTGACACGCCCGCGTGTCGGTCATCGGTCGCTCTATTCTCGAATCCGCAGCAAGTAGCTCACATCCTACCATCATGGCGCAGCCTCGTTCCGGGATACGACTCCAATGAGTACACGGAGCCCATTTCGCGCGTGATGATACACGGTGCGATTCATTGGTCCCAGCTCTCTAAGAATCTGTGTTTATCGCCTAGAGAAGCTTGTTGCCCACTAGGTCCCCGAGATTTATTGCCGCAGCTGCGCCGTAAATGACCCGTGTGTTCTGGGAGTCCCGAATTTCGCTTAGCCCTCGTTTGAAAACAAAGCTAAGAGTCGAACTTTCGTATATCATTGGGCCGGCTCGCATGCTGAATTCATCTTCCATGAGATCTCTCTTGTATAACAGATGATACGAATGATGTAGTTTATCATACCGCCTGTATTGGCCGCTACCTCGTTGTATCTTGGGCGTCTGTGAACTCCCAACTGAGCGATTCGGGCTCGACTCTTGGAGACTATGACTGCCAACACTACTTACCTTTATAGGTAAGTGGGCAACAATTCACGTGACTCGACACCACACGTCGTTCAACTTTCATGACTCCCTGGTTTACTCTCAATATCCACACATCCAGCCAATCCTTCCCCCAAGGAAAGTGCAACAGGAGTCGCAGAGACTTCAGGAGCTCCTTCGTCTACCGACGGCGATAACACCGGGGAACAGAAGTCTCGACCAGCATCAGTTATTGACCTCGAAATCAAACACACCCCACAACAGGCATATCGCAAACTACTACTCACACTCGATGAGCCCTGTCGACATCGGCAAACTGCGCAGCGCGCTTGTTCAGGAGACCCGTGGGCGATACATAGGCGGTGTCGACCCCCATACGTTCGTTGAAAGCTTCATGAAATGGAATCCCGATATCGATACTTCATTCAAGGCCGAGAAACCCTCCAAGGCGCGACTGAGGCGTTTGATTGGCATGGCCGGTAAACCTGAGAGCGCGATGAACGAGGACTGGGTGAGTTGAAGGACACCACAATATCATTCATTTACTAACACACCTACCATAGCAAGGTGCCTTCTCTGGCTGGCCCCTTGTACGCAAACGGAAGGTGATCCAGCGCCTCGACTTTGAGGACACTCATAACTGCCGCGACGCAGAGAGCCAGCTTGGACCTGACAGCTGTAACTACCTCAGGAACAAGCCAATCGTCCCACGACTCGCTCGGCGGAAGATAGACTTTGCTAACATTCAAAGCTTTACTGAGCACAAAGCGGATGAGAAAATGGACGCGTTCATCGATGCTGGCGGTGAAGAATACGATGGAGAGGCCTACTATGTTATGGCGGGCTATTCGAAGCGTCAAGAAGGCGTAGAAGAGGACGAGAAGGAGGACGAAGACGCGGGAATGGCCGCGACGGAGGACGCGTATATCGCTGAACCTTCAGCAGCAGACGTCGATACAGAGGGGGGAGAGGCTCACCCCAAGGTGACGGATGACACGAAACCAACGCCTGGTGAAAAATATCCTTTCGAAAACGACACGAAGCAAGGTCGAAGCACCCGAGGACAGATTGCAAGCTACGCCGGGGTGACGATGGCGATGCAGTTTAGGTCCCATTTATTCAGCGTTCTCGTGTGCGGGAGATACGCGCGGTTCATTCGTTGGGATCGCTCCTGCGCCATTGTTACTCGCCGCTTCGACTATACGACGCACCCGCTCATCTTATTCGACTTCTACAAACGCTTTGCGCAACTTACCGATGTCCAGCGCGGGCTCTACCCAAACCTCCGCGAACTCAGCAGGCCAGCTGGAATGGAAGCGTTGGAAATGATTCGAAAATACGCAACGTCATACTTTACTGGCGAGCACGCTGACTTTTACAAGAAAGAATCCGATCCCAAGCAGCTCCCGCTGCTATCCTTGGTCTTCGGGGATGACACCTATGTCGTTCCAGCACCCTGTTTCAATAGCAGAATGTACTCTCCGTTCGGTCGATGCACGCGCAATCGGGCGGTAGTTCTTCTGAAGGGAAGGAACAGTGCGAGGGTGGCGGAGGATGGGACATACGGAAAGGATGGACAAATCCTGTATCTCAAAGAGTACTGGCGCGAGGAGTCCGCCTTCACGAAGAAAGAGTCGGATGTCTACAGGATGCTAGAGGCTGCTAAAGTCACCTTTGTTGCCGAAATGCATGCCGGTGGAGATTTCATGGTGGGCGACGGCACGGATGCAAAGGCGATCGCCACCATCGGCCATGAATGGAAGTTGAAACCGTGGGTGCAGAAACATAGCAAGCTCAGAATCAGACGCTTGACGGCTCACTTCATCGTGCTCTCGACCCTCGGCCGCGACCTCGCAACGTTCAGGACAGCTCGGCAGTTGGTGACCTGCATCGCCGATGCCATGGATGGTACGTACTCCATTTCGACGTCGCGACCACAGACTGACTCCTCGACTAGCTCATCAGCAAGCTTATAAACTAGGGATCCTTCATCGCGATGTCAATGCGAGCAACATCCTCATGACGCTGGAACCCAAGAATCGCCGTGGTTTTCTTATCGACTGGGATCACTGTATCTTCTTGAACGAGGCCCTTAAAGAACGTACAGATACCAGGGTCCATCGCACGGTGAGTGACAATTGTCGTCCTTGTCGCTCCAACTCAGTGTCGCGTAGGGTACGTGGCAGTTTATGTCTGCATATTTGACGCAGAAGCCTGAAAGCGCGTCGCATACGGTCGTCGACGATCGCGAATCGGCGCTGCATGTGCTGACATCCATGGCCTTGAAGCATCTCAGGCATAACATCCAAAACCAGCAACGGCTAAGAGGTATATTGCTCATGTTCGATGAATACCTGGCTCAAGAGGGCAAGCCAGACAAAGCGTCTGGATACAAAGGGTCTATTGTCGCCAATGGAGGGCTTGGGGTGAGGTTCGACGTTCCTGCGATTACGCTCCTCACACAGGATCTTTCCGAGTTCTTCGCCCCGCGCTATACCCATAAGTACGACTGGACAGCCGAGGAACTCCAGCTCATGTCACCTGAGGCCTTGGCCAAGTACGAGATAGAGAAGGACGAACATCGCCAAAAGCTCGCGAAATTACTCGATCCCCCTCCGGATTTTGTGTACGAGACGATGCGCAGCTGGGCAGCGAAAATGCCTGAACCGCCCGACAACATCACTCAGTGGGTCGACAATCTGAAAGGACATGGGGGATTGCTGAAACGCACTGGTGATCATCTTAGTAAGTGGGAGGGAGAAAGATGTCCTTGAGATGGGATGGACTAGTATCTTATACAACGGGCAATACACGCCCTTCCACCTCATCTGACTAGTTTCCATACCACACCCGCATATCCAATTGCATTATGTACTAGCGCCGCTGACGAATGAACTACCGATCAAGTGATTTGCGCAACGATCGCGCGCTGCTCACTTGCACCTCTGGACGGCGTCTGCAATATCGTCTTCTGCCGACGCCCACCACGGCTGCCACTGACAATGGGGGACGGGTACCTTAAGCTTGTGGTCCGAATTCCTATAATATCGATAGAACAGGACCCCGCCCACCACCCCGACGTCGACGAGCGCGAGGCTCTGCACGACTTCGAAGAGCCGACGGACGGGGTGGTCTGGTTCGCGGGGCATGGACACACTTTGGAAGCGTATGTACGTAATGTTGCTCCTCGACAGCGCGCGCCAGCTGTCGTTCATGTCGCTCTGTGAATGCAATATGCCACTCAGCGCATGAGCACACAGTCTTGAGAACGAGGACAAATGGTTACCGGAGGCATCTGCACGCGAATATGCCGCAGATTCGGGGGCAGTGATACCCACGACGGGGCGTCCGTGAAGTAGATTCGGTTCACCGACAGGGCGCGTACGGGGGCAAAGGCCGCTTCGACGTCGTACAGGGATGTAGGGGACGCAGCGATAAGGTCTGGGATGTCGAGATCCAGTAGCGACGTCCTCCTCCCGAACTGTTGCAGGCGAGCGGCACACCGATCGAATGTAGATGGGGAACTGCGTTGCTGGGCAAGGTGGGGTGCGAGTGGTCCTTCGTATCGCGGCCCAATTGGCCTACATGGATGAATTGGAGCGCGGTGTTGCGCTCAAGGAAGTCGACGAAGGGCTGCGAATAGAACGTGCTTTGCAGCTCAAGATGCGTGAGCTGCGCGGTCAATGGGACGAGCCACAGTATTTCCGGATCGATGAAAGATGGGCCGCGAATAGAGAGGCGACGCAGACTAGGGAGGTGTGGGAGTATAGTGCGGATGTCGGGGACATGGGTGAAGAAGCATCCAAGATCGAAGCTCAGCGATGTTGTGGACCGAAGACCTGGATTGAGTTCGATGCGGTGGTATAGTTTATCCACGACGGATTGTAGATCTCGTCTGTCAGATAAGTCGCGGCGAGAGATCCATAGTTTCTGATAAAGCAGTGGTAGAGCCAGGATGTAGAAGTGACGTGAGACGGTGAGCAGAGTCAAGAGAGTCTTCTGATCGCAACCAACGGACTCGATGATAGGGATGAAGAGCTCGTTGGGCAGCGTCCATGGCATGCTGGCGCGGACAAAACTCGAGTTGGACTTGATTATTTTGAAGCTACGGCACGTCCCGGGAAGATACTGGCAACCAGATGGGAATTCCAGCGGGAGAATCGCAATTAATGGACAGATATCCAGGGCCTAGGCCACATGATGGTCCATGGACAGTGTCTCCCGGTCGTGGGAACAACGAGGAAGGCATACAATAAATTGATATTCGCAAGAATTCACTGATATGTTATTCTTTCAGCACCATATTTCTCAACCAGTTGACAAAGGATCGTGGTGAGCCCAAAGACTTTCTCATGATCAATCCAGTTGCGAAACCACTGAGCAACAACGTGAACAACAATTGGGACATATTTCAACAAGGCTCAGCTTTCAGGTTGAACCCGAATGGACACTTCTGACGCCGGCGCCTCTCTCCGCCTCCACGAAGCAATGTTGATTCTCTAGTACGTTCATGATTGGGAAAAGAACCGAATAGACGCCGCCCTCGACACCGTCTATTCTCGAGCTTTCTCGCCCGCTAAGCGAAAGCCGATGGCACCAGCGTCTTCACACCCCCTCATTGGTCAAATGAATACCTCGAGCACACTCGGTAAGCGAGGCTGTGACTCTAAGTCGGTCGCTGGGCGCGCGCAATCACGGCGAAGCGTAAGTCCTCCTTCTGCATACGCGTCACATTTCAGGATTCCCCAAGACCAGCGACGATGAACCTCTAGACGCGGACTTAGCTGAGTTACAACAAGCCTGGGTTGACTCGTAGTCTGCGCCTGTGGCCGCTGGGCTTTTGGGGTACGGGTCTGAGGACGAGGACGAAAATGCCCGACGGCCACGACAGCGACCTATACCCTCGCAACAATGAGTGATGCCAGGAATCAGATGATGACAAACGTGCACGCTAACGATGTCGCTACCACTACCACCTTAAACCTTTCCGACCTTCGACTAGAAGGCTCGGCGCGACTGGACGAGAATGAATGATATTACAGAATCTACGCACTGGGACTGTCATTATGATGATTCCTCCCCGTATCCTTAATCCGGCTTGATACGTTCCTCTGTCCACTTATCTTGTCCTGACGTCCGCATCTCCGCCCAGTCGCCGAAGCAGATAATGCAATCGTAGGTGCAGTTGGTGATGATTGAAGGGTGAGCACGTTTGATCTTGGTGATTATGTCTGAGTACCCGATGATGAAGAGGTGGCCGTCGTCACGGCGAGAGCGGTCGCGTCTTGCAGAGTGGCGGCGCTGAAAGCATAGGTAATGACTTCATTCGGGAGCTTGCCTAGATGTCCGAGAGCGGTCCTGGGAAGCACGTCACTCTTTGGCATCTCGTAGCTATGTATAAAATGGGTGCTATTAGATGGGCTCCGCCGGAACGCGCAGTATTAATGCCAAATCTCACCTGAAAACCACCTAGAGCATGTCTTCGAGATTTAGAATCTCGCTGCCAGTAGGTGCCATGAAGTTCTATACGATTGTCTTCCTGCTGAACATTCCGTATCCCCGACATCGCGCGTTTGTTGGTGCTTGTCGAAGTTTACGCTATGGTCGTATTAATCCGTCAAAGAGCTTCATACCGAGTCCAGTCTGAGGGACATACAATCGGTAATACTGACCCATCCTGCGAGATTCAAGGAATGGATTGTAGTAGTATGGAAGAAGAATGTCCCCCGATAGCTAGATGTGACGAGCACTGACCGAAAGCCAGGCGTCGATTGAACATTAGTTCCCACCGCGAGTATTGAGTTCCTACAATAGGGACGGTCATTTCATCTAAATAGCAGTAGTCGACCGCTTGATTACCTTTTTGATCAAGCTACACGATGTGTGCTAGCTGAACCTTCCCTCGACGTAGTGATCGACCTCTGTGCGGCGCTCTAAACTCAGCCTCTGTTTGGTCCATGCCTCTTTACCAAATAAGATCAAGGAGCGCTAACACTCAGCTCGGCGGCTCACTTCGAATCAACGTCGACGCGGTTATCGTGAAGGGAGCCACAGTTTTTGGAACTCCAGTCGAGTCAGTCTACGCTCGTCCAATGTGAGGCTTTTTTCCCCTTGGAGACTTCTAACCTACACCCAAAGAGCCTTACAGGGCGGAAAGTCACAACCACTGCGTCTTAGCAAGAGCGACGGGCTCAGTGGGCTTCATGCGAGGGCAAACTCCGTTCTCTCACCGTCGGGCGAATTTGACGACGGTGGTGGCGTGTATGTATTACTTCGGGAACATGCACAATGGATTGGCGACCCTCTACCTGCATGCGATTTACAGCAGCTGCCGTGAAGGCGATGAGGATGGAGTAGGCTCGAGACCACAGTTGGAATGTTGGAGGATCGTCACCGCGATGAGAGCATGCGGAGGTAATAACCTTATGCAGATAGTACGTTCCTTCTCTGATACTCTCTGAGCCGAATTAAGCTCGCCTTCCTCGTTGCCACCTACAATCGCAGCGCGCCTCCGCGCCTCTCCCTTGGGACATGTCCGTGCTACCTCATCTTCAGGCCTCAGAGCCGCAACAGGGTTTTCGTTGCGACGCGCCATCGGAGAAACCCCCGGAGGATTGAAAAGAAGCTTCTGGGGCAGATGAGCCGCTATTGTGCAGTACCGTTCTGCCCACACGTCTCCACATATGTTGCGCCGGGGTGTGAGATGCTAATCGCAGACTCCCTTTGGTACGTCGTCTCGCCTCTTCTCTCCATCCCCCTCTGACAATCTTATATAATTGAATGTTCAGCATTAATGCAAGCGATTTTTTCTTTCCTTAGCGCGCGATGTGTCTCGCTCATCCCACATGATCATGAGGCCACTTTGCATAAATATTCCTTGCAAAAGAAGCACAGGGGGCTTTCCTGCTGTCCTGTTTCGGAAGGTAGTGTATTGCGAAACGGCGGAGATGGAATATTACGGTCATGTGTGTGGCAATATTCGAGTTCGACAATGGGGGCCACTTCGTTCTGACCTACCACTCACTTCGACATCTACCACTACTAGAAGAGCAATGTCGTTGAACTATCTGACCGAGGAGTACTTGGCACCTAACTCCGAATTTTGTCAGACTTTGCTGAACGTTCACGACGACCTCGAGACTCTTTCTGCCGACGCTGAGCTACTCGACCTTGCCCTGGAGATCCAGGACAGCACGAAAACTTGCTACGCGAAGGTCGAGCAACTCCTCAACTACATCAGTACAGAAATACATGGTAATTGCTTTTGTTCCTTTCCACCGCACCGCTAACCACTTTCGGCGTTGCAGAGAAGATTTGCACCACTTCGGAACGTCTTGTGTTTCGTACCAACAACAGGTACGCTCCACCGCATCACCCAAATGGAATAGAAACCGGCCGGCCAGACCTCATTTGCGTGCTCGCGAGTATCGCTGCAATGCTCGATCTCGACTCCCAGAAGCGGATCCCATGGCATGTTATCCTGTCCGCCATTGAGGAGAAGCAGGCCTCTGATTCGGACGACGGTGCAGGGCAGTGCGGCGCCTCCCTTGCATGCGGAAATCAGTCCCGCCCAGACTTGGTGGGGATGTACGGCCTTACCGTCTCGCCCTGCAGTTTCCAGCTTCAGTACAGCTGCCCTGCGGGGCTCGTCACATCGGAAGAATTCCATTGGAGCAAAGATATCATCGGCCTTGTGCTGTATGTCTACACGCTCTACTGTCCCCGCACCGACAAGCCGTCCAGAGACCCCTCCATAACCCTGGCTCCCACCGACGACATCTTTGGGCCGCCTACTTGGAATATCGATGTCGGTAACAAAATCTACAGGAATTGCCAAGTAACGTTCGCCGGACAGCCGTGGACGCGGATGACATGGGTCGTCAAGTCGGGCGGCGACGAGCCAAAAATTCCCATCGTGATCAAGGACACGTACCGTGACGCGCAGACTGGCTCCAAGGACGGCGACATGTACAAAATCCTTCATCGAGAAGGGAGCGTGCCTGGATTTGCCGCTGTCGAGCGCGAATATGAGGTCGAATACGCCCCTGGGTGCCCAATTACGGTCTGCATTAACGACTGCACAAGGATAAAGACTCGCTTGATCATGCAGACATACGGTCGGCCTCTCACAAAATGCAAGAACATCGTGGACTTCTTCAAAGGGATGTACGACATCCTTGAAGGTGAGTATCTTATTTCTCTTCTGTTTCTGCTCGCTGATGTTGAGTGCACCGTTTAGCCCATCGCTTCATGTTCTCGGAGCGCAAGTTGCTCCACCGGGATATCAGTCACGGAAACATCGTTGTCGACGCTCAAGATGCGACGGGCATAGTACCATTCACAGCCGAGAAGCGGCCAGTGTATATTAACGAAGTTTTGACAGGGTAAGTGGGCTAGCGGTGATAATGGCACGCACTCACATTGGGACCATAGCGAAGCAATGGCAGATCCGATGGCGCGACTAATCGACATGGACAACTGTGCCAACCTCGATCAAACCAACGATGCTGTGAAGGAAGAGGACATCGACAACAAACCATTGAGGGACCGTACTGTGAGTTCAATCATTTATACCTCGTCACTGCTTCTGACAGCCTCTGTAGGGAACACCAAGGTTTATTTCTCGGTCCGTCTCTTTTGGCAACGTCCTGAACAGCAGTGAGTTCAAATCCATGCCCGAAATAGAGGCAGACATCGTGGAGAAGTATCGTCTAGTGTACCACGACGACAGCTCCGACATGCGAAACTTCATTGACGAAAATAACACTACACATGGGGGCCACCTCTCGAAACAACTCCAGAAGGCGTATAGAGGAAACAATCTTCTCCGATCGGCCCATTTTGAACATCAGCCTCGCCACGACGCCGAGTCCGTCTATTGGTGCATTGTCGTGTTTGTTTTGCTTGCCAAGCCATTGAACAACGACGAGGACAACAACATCGAGGGACTTGATGACATTTGGCCGAGTATCGCGGATCATGAAGTTGGTACAAGCAACGACAAGAGGTCTAGTCTGATTCATAACGCCCAGTGGGAAACTTGGTTGCATGAAGATCTTTCCTTTATCGCCGACTTGATGGAAGACCTCACGGAACAAGTTCGCCCCGAATGGGGACTTCTCACCCCCGCACCAAAACCCCTTCACCTCCATGAGGCAATGCAGCGCTTGATCTTGAACAATGTTTATGCTTGGGAAATCGATCAAATCAATGTCGAACTGGACACTGACACTCCGCGACAGTACCCGATAGAGGAACGAAAGCAGATGGCACCCGGAAGACACTATCCCATCCACGGGCAGATTCTCAGCGCCAACGTGCGTAAACGGGCGAACTCAACGGAACGAGAGGAACGAGAATCGAAACGTACGTACTTCTCTATGCTTCTATGTTATTTTCTAACACTACGTATCAGGGCAACGTAGGATGGACACGAAGGCTCTACAGGGCTCCTGCTCGCCTTCTCCGGGGGTGCCCAACCTCAGCTTGCTTTCGAACCGTTCAGTCTTCTACTTTGGGATTCAACCTGTACAAAGACAGGCAGAACCATGAGTATTTCCTTGGAACCCATTACGATTCCCCACTATCATCTCTACTTTACTTTACAACTCATGTATTTTCTCTATATGTGCCTATCTCTGTTCAACCTTGTCGCTTTCATTGGTTGTACGCAGTCTGTCTAAGTGACGCGCCTGTTCGTGGATAATATATTCATTTACAGCGTGTTCGAGGTTTCTTGGGAATCGATCGAAATGTAACAATTTTTGAACATCTCAGATAATTGACCAGTTTGGAAAATTCCCTAAAGTAGATGTGTGACGAGTGACATAACAAACACAATTTCACCAGCGCTTATTGACCGTTGAGCTCTTGCCTCGCACCGTCGACATACAAGATGGGATTCCGCAAGATCAGCACGGACATCAAGGAGCGCGCACTTATCCTCGCAGAGCTTGGTTGGACACCGGAGGCCATTCAAGAAGCTTTGGGTGTTTCTAGTAGCAGTTTCTATCGCTGGAGGAAGGAGTTCAAAACTCGGGGGACCATCAATACGCTACCAACTGCTCGAGGACCTTCGCGTGCGCTCACCAGGCCAATACTCAATGCTGTTCTCCAGGAGCTTCAGAAGAATCCAGACTTATATTTGGACGAGATCATCCTTTGGCTGGCCTTGACTCACGATGTTGCGACCTCAAGAGCTACTTTATCCTCGAGTTTACATGATATGGGATACTCTAACAAACAGCTCCACAAGCTGGCAATTGAGTGTGACGAAGAATTGCGTAGCGAATGGCGGGATACAATCCATAGTGGACAGTTTGAACGAGATGGGTCGCAATTCATATTTATCGACGAAACAAGCAAGAACGAACGGACCTGGGCTCGAAAGTCTGGCTGGGCTCCGGTTGGGCAGCGCGCTGAGCTCCATGATGTGTTTGTTCGTGGAGACCGATACTCTCTTGTTGCTGCCATATCCACGAACGGGTATATCGCTGCCCATGCGGTCCCTGGTTCATTGGACTCAATGCAATTCTACGAGTTCATCCAGGAGCAAGTAGTGAGTCTTACTATTTACTACATGATGAAAGCCTTCAACGTGAATATGAGCAGCTTCCGTCCATGAATCCCTTTCCGGATGTCAACTCTGTCCTTGTCATGGATAACTGCCGCATCCACCACAACAAAGCACTTGCTGATCTTGTTGCCGCAGCCAGTATGGGAATACTATAGATCCTGAATTATGCTTATGTGGTTACAGGGTGCATAATCCTATATCTACCGCCATATAGTCCTGATCTGAATCCGATCAAAGAGTCATTCAGCACTTGTGCATGTATTTATTTACGTTGCTATCTGTATGCTCATCTGGAGATGAAGTGAAAGCATATCTCCGCCACCACGCTCACATCCTTCATGTATTGGATGATCCTATCACAACATTATTGGAAGCTTGTGCTTGTATCACTCCTGAAATGTGCATCAATTGGTTTTGTCATGCGGGGTATATTTTCTAGAGTACAGCATGATTCTACGTAGACAGTCTGTCTCAACCAGTCTGTATAGCATAACAAAGAGAGAGAGAAGAATTGAAATTTCTGTGCTACTTAGCCCATTTGCCGTTCATTGCATCTTCAAGGAACTGAGTATGATGGTCCAGAATGAGATGCTGTTGAAGTATACCAAGCCCTGTACTTTGCCATTCAGTCGGAGATAATTGCTCAATATGCCGAAGTCCAGGAACGTAACCAAGAGAGGCGAGGGCATGCTTCTGAGTATCTGGTATGTCGTATCGTGCGCAGAAATCATCCAGGGAGATCTTGAGTCCAAGCGCCTTTTTACCTGGAGAGGAGTCCATTGAGCGATGTTGTTTCATTGGAATCGGAGCAAGAACGTTTGGTGGGAAACTCGAATGAAGTTCCGGCTGATATCCATACGGATTGAATGGAGGGTAGAATGGCGGCATCAGGGGCATTGGGGGCACTGGTGGCATCGGTCCAGAATGATACTGCCATGGAAGCGGGTATGAGTACATTTGTGATGGAGGCAACATGGGCATAGTTGGTGGTGGCAGCGAGGGCGGTAGTTGAACCTGAGTCTCAGCAGGTGTCAGTGCGGTAGGGGTAGCAGCAGCAGATCCAGGAGTAGTGAGCGAGGTTTGCTTTCGAGGCTTGATGCACTTGTCGGCTGCAAAGAAAACAGAGTTTGGCGGCTGAGTCAACGTGACGCCAGGATCGCTTCCAATTTCCTGAGAACAGTTAGCCATAAAGTTTAGTGGTAGTGAGAGCGAGGCCATGCACGCACCAGCGTATTCGCCCATACCTGAAGGCAAAGGTCGCTGAGGTTCCAGTATAAGTCACTGCCAGCGACATTCTTCGTGTAAATTCTTGCGTTGGGAAACAGAGGGGAGTTATCCCGTGGGTACATCTCTAACAATTGCTGCATATATGCCCCAGATTTCTTCTGAATTGCCGCCTGTGATGGGATGAGTAATAGCTAGCAAGACAGCACAGACAGCATACAATCATTCCCTTTGCACTTGTGTCCTGCTCGGGCTCACTTGCCGCATCTCCACCATGATAATCAAATGGTTCTTGACCCTCGGGTTCGTGATTGGCTGACCATCCCTATAAGGACAAGGTATAAATGCGCTCAAACTGGGGTTGGTAGCCAGACTACTCACGAAATCATCCCGTAGAGGAGTAGGAAGGCTAACGCACACCATGAAGTCTTTCTTTCGAGCACGAAGTGATATTCGCATGGCTTCATAGCCTGCCTCGTTGGATAATGGCTTGTCGGGACTGGATTTTGGTGTTTTGTAACGCCATTTGAGTTCCTGCATGGGCAGTTTGCTCACCCGACAGCGTGCGGTGGTGGCAATGTGATCCTGAAACTCGCGAAAGTTTTCACTCGGGGGGTTTGTTGTGATGAATGGACCAAGTTGCATGATACGGCTGCTATTGCTCTTGCGTGCACCCCCCCGGCCTTTCGTCACGGTGTTCACTGCTGTTTGAATGTTGACATAGAATGTCACCTTCTGGTCAGAGGCCCTCTTGACACGCTTTCGCGGTGGGGATACATCCTTCTCGTGCCTGTCCTCCTCAGTCTCCTCCTCAGTCTCTTCATCTGCTGTTTCCTCATTCATCAGTGACACCGCAGTGGAGTCTCAAGCCTTTTCCGCCTCCAAGCGAGCTATACGTTCGGCTACCTCCTTGCGAGCACGTTTGCGAATAGAGGCATCAGATTCTTTCCGTTGTCGCTGGTAATTTGGGTGAGAAGCACGTCAGCGAGGCTTCGGAGTTGGGGGACTTTTGTAAACACTATCCCTGGTGTTTTTCGAGGCTGCAGCAGGTGGATTGGGCCCTCTGTTACGCCATCTTGCCATGTCTATCAAGCATTCCTCAGTAAGCAAAGTTGAACATCACTTGGGAAATAAAGACATACAAGGAGCTGCCCTAGCCTTATAGTGTTGAGCAAGCATCTGTCCATCAACCCTAACGGGGAGGACGAGCGTGCGCTGAGTGAAAGACTAGTGTCTACTCACTGGTTATAAAACTAGTACTACTTGTAGCTAGGTAGTCTTGATGCACACACTTAGGTAAGTTCTCTGGTAGAGCACTTGGTAGATTGTAGACGGATACAGGCTCCTTATATACTACTATCTACCTAAGATATAAATAGATGCGCAGTCAATACCTAGTCAGTATGAGTCGGTATGAGTCGGTATGACTCACGTCATTAGTAAGATACTTCTATGAAGTTCTACTGCGGACTGCGTGTCTGACTCATGTCCTGATGGTCATGGTCATGTGGAGGTGCATGCACAACACTCCCCCTCGCTAAGATGTTCCTCTGAACTTTGAAGCGGATTGTGTGGAATCAAAGAATTTGATTCCGAGCATGGACCTGAATAGCTCGAACTTTTGATAACCAAGATTTTTGGTAAACATATCTGCAGGATTTTCTGCACCATTGATGAAAAATAGTTGAACGTCATTGGCTTCAACGCGATCACGAATGTAATGATAGCGGATATCAATATGTTTAGTTCGTCTATCAGACACAGGGTTTGATGCAATGAAAATTGCACCCTGGTTATCAGCGTAGATAGGTATACGACTGATGTCCATTCCAATCTCTTTAAAGAGATTCTTTATCCACATGATTTGTCGACAAGTGTCAGACAATGCCATATATTCGGCCTCAGTGGATGATAGCGCAGTGGTTTTCTGAGCATGTGATTGCCAAGAAATAATACCACCGGCTAATTGGGCAAAGTACCCAGTCGTGGATCGTGGACTAGACCAGTCCGAATCTGTGTACGCAAGTAATCCTTCTTGCTCATCCTCAAAGCAAAGGGAGTAATTTGGAGTCCCTGCGAGGTAGCACAAAATGTAAAATGCCTTTTCAAGGTGATCCTTGGATGGATTGGCACTTTGCTGGGATAACTTAATTACTGCATAGGAAATATCGGGGCGAGTTCCTAGCATGATGTACAACAGAGATCCGATGACCTGTTGGAACTTTGATCGAAGCGCGGGGTCCACAGTTCCCTTGTAGGGTTGCAGTTTGTATCCCATGGGAAGTGAAGTCCGGGCGGTCTTGCCGTTCGAGAGATTAAATCTCCTGAGAACTTTTTGCAAGTAGGCTTCTTGATCTATGTAGATCTTGGAGCCCTTCCTCAGAATTCGCATTCGAAGGAATTCTTTGGCTTCGCCAAGATCACGACATTCCCATCGCTTCATAAACGCGGCTTTTAGTTTTAACACAAGCTGCCGGTTAGAGCCACAAAATAGTGCATCATCAACATAGACGATTGCGATTACAATCAAGCCTTTGTGATGGTAAATGAATACGCCACTATCAGTGGATGCACGTTTGAATCCAAGTTCTTCCATTGACTTGGAGAGTTCTTTCCACCAGGAAAGAGCTGCTTGTTTGAGTCCATAGAGGGCACACCATAGGCGGAGGACATAGTCTTCTTTGCCCGGGACTCTGAAGCCTTCCGGCTGTTCCATGTATAGCTCCTCATCGAGTTTCCCATACAGAAAGGCAGTTTTTACGTCTAAGCCTTCTATATGCCATTTTTCAAGCACAGAGAGTGCAAGAAGCATGCGGAATGTCTCGTATCGAACAACTGGTGAGAAGATTTCATTGAAATCAATTCCCTCTCGTTGTGAGAAGCCTTTGGCAACAAGCCTAGCTTTCTTGCGGCCATCTGACTTAATGTCAAAGACCCATCGGCATTTGATAGCCTTACGACCCTTAGGGAGTCGTGCCAGACTGAAAACCTGACGCTCACGGAGCGATTTGAGCTCTTCATGGCAAGCATCAATCCATGGTTTTCGTTGATCAGGCGGTAAACGCATGATATCATGGTATGTCCATTCCCGGACGTTATCGGGTTTGGGATCTGAACTGTTTGTCATCAGGTTTGACGCAGATCCATTCTCTGTCTCAGAATCTTCGACCGCTTTAGAAAGCAGGAAATTCATCAGACTTACTCCCCCTTTCTGAGTAATGCGGATTAAATTCGCATCAGAACCAGACATATCCCAGTCTTTATCGACATTGGGATCGGACGGAGGGTATTCCTCTTTAGGGATGCTACTGGTAGGTTCTTGGTTGCGAGGAGCTCGGGTTCTCCTGCGTGACGTACTAGTGGGCAACCGGGAGCTACCTGGTTCATCGTCCCCAACTTGTCGTCGCCAAGTCCTATCCCTATTGATGTCTCTTTGTATTTCCGATGGTAGACGTGTGTCTCCCGGATCGTTATACACATTGTCTGGTTTGTTATGATTCCTCTTCAACCTGTGAGGATTGCGTCGTGGCAAATTTCTAAATTCCTCATTGTCCTCACGCCTCGGATTGAAGTTCATTCTTTCCGGGTCTATTGGAGGTCCCGCAGGTGAAGGGGAGCGATCTCGAGGTTGATCATCCTCTGGACCGTCTTGATTAGGGGAAGGAGAATGGGGGGGATTGTGACGAAGATGGTCATTATTGTTATCATCATCGTCATCGGGTTCCGTTGGAGGTGATCCTCCACCACCCGTAGGTCCATTACCATGGTCTGGTTGATCGTCATCATCACTATGATGGTCACCGTGTGTGTAATCTTTAGGCTTATTAGCCGTAGGACACTTCGGTAATAGATCTTCATCCCAAATTGCTTTGGTACTATGAAAGATACTATTATTGTGGATACGCATAAATTTGTATCCTTTGATGCCTTCCGTAAAGCCAATGAATATCATTAATTCGGCTTTCGGGTGTAATTTGTTATTTCTAACTGCATCAGGTAGGTATACATATGCGCCACATCCGAGAACTCGGAGATGAGTTACGTCAGGAGCTTTCTTATACAGAGTTTCAAATGGAGTTTTCCATTTTAGTCTCCGTATAGGTGTGCGGTTATAGATATGTACCGCATACTCGACTGAGAATTCCCACCAGGAATTGGGTAAGCAAGCATGGTGACACATTGCTTCAGCCTTATCCATGATGGTGTGATTGAATCGCTCAGCACGCCCGTTTTGTTGTGGTGTGTGGGCGACTGATTGTCGAGTGAGAATTCCATTACTCGCGAGCAATTCATCGAATTCTTTAGATTTATATTCTCCCCCTGCATCGGACATCCAAGTTTTAATGGTAGTACCGTGTTGGGTTTTCACCATGGCGATAAAATCACGAGCTGCTTTTACAGCTTTGGATTTGTGCTTTAATAAGCGAATCCAGCCATGTGAGGAGAAGTCATCAAAGAATGAGATATAGTACTTATATTGATGGTACGATATCACAGGAAATTCTTTGAGGTCCGAATGGATTTTCTCAAAGGGTTCCTGGGCTCTTGATTCTGATTGTGGAAACGTGTCTGCAGGCATTTTGCCTTTGGCGCAGCCATCACAAGGTTTCTCACGTTCAGGGAATTTCAACTCTGGGAAATTCTCAGTGTGCTTCCTGAACTGGCGTAATACGTCTTTGGACGGATGTCCTAATCGACGATGCCAAGTGTCAAAGGTTACACTGTTCAATGCTATCGGAGTACAGTCAAACGATGTTGAATGTGACCCATTTCGAGACTGGAGATTTGTGGAAGACGCTCTAGTCCAATAGCACTGGTCTTCTAGACCACGGTGGTATCCAGTTAAGAATATCCGATCGTGCAGTGTTTTATTGATGTACTGCAAAACATCACGGTTACCTTCGAGTGTCACTTCTGGATTCATTAAGATGGTACCAGTGGACAACAATCGAGTGGAACCGAGGGATGGCATGTAATATGCCGGGTAAAGCCTCATGGTTTTGAATAGTCTCACGAGGTTGCCTTTCCTGTCATTCCGGAGTTGTTCGTACTTGAGTAAAATCGTTCCGACTCCAGTAATGAAAGCAGGTGTGCTGGCTGTTTTCACATGGATATGATCCTTAGTTTTGAAAGCAGTAAAGTCGACGAAGTCAGACTTATTACCAGTCACATGTTGTGAGCAACCTGTATCGTGTAACCACCAGTCCATGTCTGGTGCAGCTTCAATTTCGATATCAGAAACGTTGTATACATTTTTAGCATACAAATCATTAAATTGTCTACAGTGATCAATGGCGCGAGACAAATCTAATGTATCTAATGGTACATTTACATAGGCGCGGGGCCTTCGGCGGGCTCTTCGTAATAGAAGGGAGCGCTGGAGTAAAAGTTTCATTAGAACGTCTTCCGAATATGGAAAGAGCTGGTTAAGGGTTTCGTACCTGTCCTCTTCTTGGAGTGCAACATCCAAGAAGTTAGGTTCCGGACTCGGTTCTTTCGAGTCGCCAAAGATGGATTCCATCTCCACATCCTGTTCAGGGTAAGGAGTGGCGGACCGATGCCGCTTTCTAGGCGTGGTCTCCATCTCTTCATCTTCACCATCAGAAGGAGTATCTGGAATCTCGACAATTTTGGGAGAAGATTTCTCTACCATGTCGGAGTTGGATAGTTCCGGAAGCTTTCCGGCTATCTTTTCCAGTCTTCTGATACGTTCCGCACTCTGGGGAATCCCAGGCATCAAGTCGAGAAGTTGTCTCGTCTTGTGGTGCGTCTCGTAATCACCACCTCGGTATGTAGGCTTGTTAGTGCCTTGATACTTTTGGGGTGTTTCTTCCTTATGCCTATTGTTAAAAAACTTCGGCTTAGGAATTTGGTGAAGTCCGGCGAGTTTAACAGCTTTTGCTGTACTTCCGGAGATCAAAACGGACGGGCGTTTATCAGCCGTCAACTCAGGTCCGTTTAGTCCAACCAGTTCACGTGGTGGAGTACCAACTCGAAATTCGAATTGGGGGACCGACTGGTTTGATGAACTCGCACTGGGTGTGGTTCTTTCATACCATTGTTGCGGTTGAGGTGCCACGATCCTATTGATCAGGCGGCAAACTGGATCAGTCGGGAGAGGTGGGAATTGCCTCTGATCCTCGACTATTGGAAGCCTGCTCATGTTGAGCATCTGGGCGAATCCACCGTTAGGCAAGTCAGGGATAGCAGCGTGAGCATGCGTATGTCCTTGACTTTTGGTGCCCTTGCGAACACGCTTCCTCTTCTTCTGCTGTCCATCAGACTGCGGAAGCTTAGAGGGGCCAGCCTCAGCATTTTTGTTGCCTTGCTGTTTCTGCTGCTGGAATTGAGGCGCTTTGCCTTTTCCTTTTACAGCAGAAAGTTTGTTCGCATTGCCCTGCCTTGGCTGCTGCAGTTTATTTAGCTGTCTGCGCTGCCATTCGGCTTCGATGTACGCAATGAGTTCATCGAGGTCCAGATTTTCCAATTTCTTGTTAATCTGGGCCTGGGCAACTGATTCATACTCTTTGGGCAGAGCCGAGAGCATGATCAGGGCGAGGAGTTGACTCGATATGGGTTGATTCAACTCCTTGAGTTTTGCCTGTGCGGTCTGAAACTTAGCAATGTCCGCATGTGGGGCTGAATGGGAGCTGATCTTGAAATTCATGATCTGCTTCAACCATTCAAACGCAGCGGCAGTATTAGTGCCTGCATACGTGTCCTTAAGACTCTTCCAAGTTTCCTTGGAAGTGTCCTTCACATGGGTATTGAGATTCGCGGCTATATATAAAGTGATATAGCCGAGGGCCATGCCGTCTTCCTTTTTCCATTCGCGGATGAGTTTTACCTCATCTGCGGTGGGAGAGGAAGCGTCCTTTGGGGAAGGAAGCGGGTAGCTTCCGTCGACGTACATCCAAAGTCCTTTAGACTTCAGGAATGCAGTCATGGGGCCCTCCCAGGCGTTCCAGTTGGAACCGGTCAAGACCTTAAGGGTCTGGGTATGGTTCTCAGTTTGGTTCAACATTGTTTGTTCGGTTTGAGGTTGGTAAGCCTGCAAACGGAAAAACATGTCAGCGAACTGAACTTCGATCCATAGAGAGCAATCGAAAGAAGCTCTCAACAAAAGTCCCTTTTCCGCGGATATAGCATAAATATATAAATAGCTATTCCGGGGGTGAGTTGTGTAACGCGTCAAGCTGAAACACATTGCACCAGGTGGCTTTAACCCCTTCAGATCTCATCAAGAGATCTGGGGTGCGAGCATATAGGCGGCATTAATAGCAACGCCATGCTAGCTTATACCCAGGGTTAGGTTATGGCTGACATAGTCACCACTGGTGTGTACCTGCCGCTAGTTTCCTAGGAGTGCAGGGTCCACCAATGGGCGTCTCCAGGGCCCATAACCTGTTGAGCGAGCATCTGTCCATCAACCCTAACGGGGAGGACGAGCGTGCGCTGAGTGAAAGACTAGTGTCTACTCACTGGTTATAAAACTAGTACTACTTGTAGCTAGGTAGTCTTGATGCACACACTTAGGTAAGTTCTCTGGTAGAGCACTTGGTAGATTGTAGACGGATACAGGCTCCTTATATACTACTATCTACCTAAGATATAAATAGATGCGCAGTCAATACTTAGTCAGTATGACTCGGTATGAGTCGGTATGACTCACGTCATTAGTAAGATACTTCTATGAAGTTCTACTGCGGACTGCGTGTCTGACTCATGTCCTGATGGTCATGGTCATGTGGAGGTGCATGCGCAACATATAGTCCTTTAAACTCTCCTCCTCCGCGTCGGACCCTTCATAGAAATCCCTGTTGTTGTCGTTCAAGTCTGTATCGTCGCACAGTTCCATAGTGTCTGGTGATTGAGTGCGGGATGGGACAAGGGTCTGCTGATCACTTTCCCTGTTGGCCGAGTTCTTGGGAAGGTTCACCAAGAACCTGTCGAAGTCCATGTCCTAGTGCAGGGAACGTTGAACGTTGATGTATGGTCGACGGTGCGAGGCAAGAGCTCAACGGTCAATAAGCGCTGGTGAAATTGTGTTTGTTATACTTTAGGGAATTTTCCAAACTGGTCAATTATCTGAGATGTTCAAAATTTGTTACATTTCGATCGATTCCCAAGAAACCTCGAACACGCTGTAATAATTCAGAATACATGAAGTGTTCGGGGAAAACGGGAACAGTTTTCGTACTAGCGTAACGAATCGATGAACGGAAGTGGCACAATTTGTTCAGCACTTATTGATCCTTCAGTAGCGCAGGAAGTTGATGTAGTCTGCAAACAAGGATATGCGACTTAGATCTAGGCGCAGTAGTGGCAGGACTACCATACTATACGGTCCAAAAGTACCAGGCAAGCGAAACTACACAATATACAGACCAAATGAGGAACATCCACAAAACAACAATCTCGAAATACATCTAATACAGACCACAAATTCTATCCAAATGATAGTCACAGTCATAATCCTTTGGCGGCATCGAAGGCACTAAGCGCAACGTAGCCATTCGTGGTCCAACACCTTCTGGGCCAAACTCCCCTTCGATCTTCGCTTCTGTCGCCGCCGCCGTGCCGCAGACCTCCCAAAATACAAGGGAATCCGGTGTGAGGGGTTCATCGTCGGTAGCTGGAGACGAGTAGCAGCATCCGCCGGCAGTGTTGCTATTGCCATATCGTATCCCGATTCCCGGACCTCGGTTATAATCGGCCACACCTCCTCGAACATACTCCATCCCGTCCCTGGGCCTGCAAACCAAACATCTCTCTGCTCCTGCACCTTCGCCTGCCCACTGTGTCCATTCATCCTGCCCATAGAAAGCCGATTGGCTCACTCCCCGAATCCCTCGTCCAATACCGCCCGGCAACAGCCTCATATGCCTCGCGTGTGTGCTCTGCTGCTTGGTTGGGCGGCGGGAATGCTCTGGACGCGTTTCGATGCTGGCGAGTGAGCGCCGCGACGCCTGTATAATTGCCGTGTGAGGAGCTGATGAGGAAACGGCCTCTCGGTCGTAGCGATGCACATGAGGGCTTATGGATATGGGTTTCATTCCTACGAATTGAGGCTTCGAACGTCGCCCCGAGCGTTCGCTGAATTGTGCGTGGTTGGTCCCCTACAAGTGATCTCCTCTCATCGGTATTCATGATTATCGAGTCCGTTCGAATCGAGGGTGTTATTAATTAGCATATACACGAATAGCATTACATTGTTAAGCCGTAAATCCACCACATAAGAATAAATTTAAATGACATGCAGTCAGAAAGTTCCTGTTAAACGAATGTCTTTGATCGATGCTCCGATGTAGACTTTGAATTGTCCAGACGGTACAACCCATTTCTGGGTAACTACATCCCAGATACTGAAGAATACATCGGTCAGTCATATGTGCTGCGCAAGTAGATATAACCCACCTTCTGTCTCGGACTGATAGTTTTACCTCTACGGTCTTGCTGCTCCCCACAGTCAGCCCGACGTCTGAAAAGCCCCGAAGAACCTTCTTTGGCTCCCCAGAGCCGTTGGGGAAGCCCAAATACAACTGGGGGATTTCTGTCCCGTCAACGCTGCCGGAGTTTCGAACTTTGAATTTGATGACCTTGAAGGGACCTTGATTCGAGATTTGAAGGTTGCTGTAAGAGAATGCAGTGTATGAGAGCCCAAAGCCAAACTCGAAGCGGGGAGTAATGTTATTCTGTTCCATGTATCGGTAATCGAGGAACAAGCCCTCGGTATAGTCAATCTATGGAAAAGATCAGAACAAGAAAATGATACAATATACCAGGGAAATGTACCGTCAAAGGTCCGATTGTCTTATCGTAGACAATCTCGGTACCATAAGCGGCTTCGCTCTAATGGACGCGCAGATCAGTACCAAAAAGAGCGGGAAATGGGGTAATACCCACATCTGCGATACTGAAGGGGAGTCTGCCGCGTGGGTTGTAATGTCCGTATAAGACGTCAACGATTGACGGCCCAGTCTGTTCTCCGGGAGCTCCAGCGTAGACGATAGCAGTGATATTGGGATTCGTGGACCATGGCATGAGGACGGGACCGACGGAGTGGACGATGACAATGGTGTTATTGCAAACGGCTGCGACACTTTCAATCTAAGTCGATGTCAATTAGTACATTATCAATCGAAGTGAAAATGCGCAGCAACATACCAATTCTTTGCCGTTATAATACAATTCGAGATCGTTCCTGTCGCCTCCTTGGTCGTGTACAATATCGACGATCCATTCACCACTCATGCTAAGTAAGGGTTGGAGATCAATACATCGTTCGGGTTGACAAAGGCTCTGGATGCACTCACGCATTGACGAAGACAAACGCTACGTCTTTACCGGCGGCGGCAGCGGCACCAGCGGCAGCGTCGTTTGACAGGGAGCTGGCGATAGTCGCAGAGGTACCGACGTAGGCGGAGATAGCGTCTGCAGGCGCAACGAGGAATTCCAGGGAATTGGCACCCGAGCCCCATCTACCAGTGAAAGTCAGCAATTGACCACCGGTCGTAACAACAATACATACCCAACAGACATCGTGCCCAGGGTACATTCATTCAAGGAGTTGCACAAGGACCTGTCCATGAGCTTGGCGTCTTCACCGATGACAGCCATGTTCGCGATCTTGGACTTGGTGACGGGCAAGCCGTATTCGCGTTGGTTTTGGCCGCCATTTCCGTACCATTGCCCAGGACGCCTTATTGTCCGTACATTCTTGAGGAGGACGGCCGAGGCGGAAGCGATCTCTTTGGCGAGCGCAACGTGCTGAGGCGTACGGACCACGATGTTCTGGTTGTAAGGGCCACCAGTCTGCTGCGTGTGGAAGTTCGTCTCGGGAAAGCCCTATCGGATAGCCGGGAAAGTTAGACACATCCGTCGAGAAAATAAAGGAGTGACGTACGGAATCTTGACCAAGGCGGTAGAATGGTGTTAACACCCTTTTGACCATCTCATCAAGGCGCTGGGGAACCAGGATCCGTTAAAACCAGTATATGTGAAGTCCGGCGATCGGAAGACTTACAGCAGCCGACACAGTACCGTTCAAAACCGAATCCTTGAGACCACCATTGGCGAAGAGACCTCCACCCTCGACTAGAGGAGACGCTGAGATGCGCGATCGTTCGATGCCAATGAAACTACTTACGTTGAGGGTCGTACTCGCCAGGTTGCTCCATTTCCAGACCAGCGTTAGCATTTTCCGCAGCAAAGCCGTGATCAGCACCCCAGTCAGTGATGACATAACCCTTAAAACCGTTGGATCGAAGGAAGCCGGTATCGCTCAAGAGCTTTGGGGAGCTACATGTGAAGGTGCCGTTGATGCGATTGAAAGAGCACATGATTGCCGAAACGTCGGCCTAACGAAGTTGATGGTAAGTTTGGAGAAGATCAGTCAGTTGTGTCGAAGCGTTACCTCAATGCTGCGAAGGAATGGATAGCCGTACATCTCCCATAAAGAGCGGTCGTCCACTGTCGACGACCCGTTGTAACGATTGTGCTCCTGGTTGTTGGCAGTGAAATGCTTCGCGCAGGCTTGAACGCCTCTGCTTTGGATACCGACGATCGTCTCATAGCCGCCTTCGCCGTTGAGGTAAGGGTCCGGTCCGAAGCTTTCCCATCCACGACCTCCTTTGGGATTACGCATCTAGAAAGACAGATTAGGCGGCTAAGAAAGTCGCGTCCAAAAGGCTTGCGTACGAGATCCTGAGCGGGGCCAAACCAAACGCTACGGCATGTCTTAAAAATGGAAACACGATCAGAACGCTGCGAAGACGTACTGGATACCCTTGCCGCGTAGTTCGTCGCCAATTGCCGCGCCTCTCTCACGAATCAGACGACGGCTGAAAGTAGAGGCGGCGTTGATGCCTGAGGGCCAACCAGTCACTCCAGTTCCGGGACGAACACCGGCAGGACCGTCCATAAGACATAATGCCGGGATACCGAGGCGGGCTACCGGGTGTGTATCACCATTGCATCGACCTAGCGCGCTGAAGGTCAGGAAGCGGGCCGAGTGGGAGCAACTTCGGGGGACGTACTGCCAGCCATTGTCACCCCAGTCAACACACCAACCTTCTCATCTATGGTCATCGCCGCCGTCTTCTGAGCAGCTAGTTGGCTAGCAGCTTGCCACGAGCCTGTCAGCGTTATGTGAGCACCCTCGCTTATTCATGGAGTCACTGGACACGTACGGGTTGTGAATGCAGTGGCGCATAGGATGAAGTAAGGGAGTAGGAGGACAGTCAAACGAAGCTGGGAGAGAGCCATGACGCCTCGTTCAATCCTTGAAGCGGGGCACGGGGAATGCGGAATCGATCAACGGCAACATGGCTGCCTTATAAGCGATCATGACTTCGTATGGCGCGCGTGATTTGGTGATCTGGTGAGCGCGATAGCCAAGGCCCAAGGCGCACGTTGAGCAAGCCAATTTACTTCTGATTGGAAAAGCCACTTCGCCTGCGCGACTGTTGCGTTGGCCCTCCTGCAGAGAAGCGGGTTGCGGAATCAAAACATCGGTGTACGGAGGCACCAGGTACAAGGAGATAACATAGACCCACAGGGACCCTTGTCCGGAATGAGTAGCCGGGACAGTCAATCGTGTGGACGTCGGATTTCTGCCCTGTGGCTGTGATGGCATTTTTGAGAGATGGGATTAATATCACCGATGTGCCATGTCACTGAAAAGTGTCCATATGCGATTCGAGGATACAGGGCGATTCAGTGTTGAATGCGTAGGTAGAATAATGCAGCAAACTGGCATCCCCAAGGGAGTTTTGCTGGCGTACAGATACTCGAGCTTGAGATGTAAGAGTCTGGAAGTAGAAGTAGCGGTTAAATCTCGGAAGCAAAGCTTTGAGACGCCAACTCACTTTGTCTTCAATCACCTGATATCCACACGACGCTAGCAAACTTCACAGGACTCTCAAGAAAATAGTTTTCGTCGTCCAAGTCCTTGAAATGAAGTCTGACATGTACGACGCATGCGTTTGAGAAGATGTCGAGCCTCGTTACGACGTTTACTGTTTTCCTCTTTTTCAGCTGGATGAATGCGAACCATTCAGTGGGGTTCCACTTGCCTTCCCCGCATTGCACTTTTATCAGCCCATTTCGGGTTTCATATCGCTCGATCGTGCATGCATATGGGGCACCCCAGCTGATCGCTGCGCTTATGATGGTAATGCGATTCGTTCACGAATGCACGCTTGCGCGGCGCCAAGAAGGAACGACCGAGACTCGTCTGCCACGGTACCGATCAGGCATCTCTTCTCTTGTCCTTGGTGTAGGAACGAACGTTGGTTTGGGAGGGCAAGGCGACGGCATTCAGATTTCAGAGGGTCGCCAAATGGCACCGTCGTCGAGATCTTCCGGCCGCCGTCCTCGCTAAGTCATCCAGCGGTTATCATATAGGCGCGCCGATGATGGCCGTGCACGTCCAGGTCCGTCCTGGTGGGCACAATGATATAATGAGACTCTAAAGATCATCAATAATCAGTTTAGATATTAAGGAACGGAGATGCGCCGGGGACCAGAAAAGTGTGTTATCGGTGATCATTTCGATCCAAGGAACAGTGCTATAAGTGCTGACAGATATAAGATTATATTGGGCTACCCAAGACGTACCTCATATTCCGCCGACATAGCGTAGCGCACACGCGTCGTCTCCACCACGTCCAACACTTCCATGACACCCTCACCAGGCGCCTTCAGGCCGCCAGGGAATTCGAGGCACCATGTCAACATCGCCACTACTCTGATCGCAGACTGGGTGCCTCTGGATCCATCGGTACCGGCGGTAATGTTGTATTCCGAATGCGCAAATGGCAAACGTCAGTCATCTGGGTTCAGTCACAATACGCGTCAGAAGGCCATAAAAAAGGTAGTCGGAACACTGACCTCCAGCCTTCAGGCGCGGAGTCAGCCAGTCGCCGCTATTTACGATCCCAGACTCGCGTTTTCACTTGGGGAGGCCTAGAGGTATGAGCGCTGAGCTGGAAGTCTTCCTTGGTCTGCAACGGATGCAAGATCGAAGTGGCGAGCTCCGTTCTGATATCTTGATATAGCATTCACGTTCTGAATCGAAAGGCTCAAAGCTGGTCGTTCAACGCGTCGCCGAAAGGAAAGAACGCGTCGGCGCGACAGAACCAGACGGAAGTGGACGGGCCGACTCTGACTAGCGCCTCGTGGCAGAGCTCCCACGATCGTTGCGGTTTGAACTTGGAATCTACAAGTTAGATTCTTGGCGTCAATTCTTGCTCGCACTGTCCGTCCCCTGCACGCTCCTCCCGGTTCGTATACGGTTTCGCGTATGGGAGCTCTTATGCTCTCAGCTAGGCGCCTGATAGTCGAGCCTAGCAAGGGCAAGGGTCCATGCAGTATGTCCATCAAGCTCTCATCCGTGCCTCCGAAAGACAGCTGACCAACTTTATCCGCCATTCGCAAGGACAATAATATTCTGGTTCCGACCGTATGTGATGTGACACTCGAAGGTAGCCAGAGACAACCCTCGTGCTCGCCTGATCAGTGGGCTCCTCGGTACGACGGTTCGCGGTTCGCGACATCCACCGGGACCGCGACTATGGTGTCTCAGGGTGTGTCCGACGAACAGGTAGCCAAGTTGCGCCAGTGGTAGCTCGCGCGCTTGCTTTTAGGATTGAACGTTGAACGTTGAGAGCGCCACCTCCTTCTTCGTCCTCCTTCGTCTGGTGTCTGTGCCTGCGGGTGGGGTGACAGACCTGTACGCGCGAGCACATCTCGATGGACTCGAAGTCCGCGGGCCGTGGCCCTCTGTGGACGAGTTTCATACTGGGACGATGCACACTTGGATGGTTGTATGATTCCCAGGGCGCGCATTACCGCGCCGCCAGACGAATCCAAGGAGATATGGCGGCACATTCACGAACGCATCGCATCGAATACGGATGAACAACCCAATAATAATATCACTAACGTCACTGAATTCTGACTGCGGGGGGCGGCAGCACGGACGCCTCGCCTGAATACCGCTCAGTCGATACGTCGTTCGATTCTCTTTCTCTGGGGGATACCACTACTTAATCGCCTCCTCAAGGGTCTAGGGAATACGCGAAATATATCGATGTTCCTTCCTTGGGACAGGAAACATGAAAGGGTGGTGGTGCAAGTAACAAAATAATGCGAGATGCATGCGAGACGTGTGTGACCTCCCTCGGTATGAGGTTGAGGTTGAGTGCTAGGCTGCGCTCCATATGGAAGAATCAGAATGCGTGTTTCGGGAGGCGTATACCTACGGTCTGGAGCGATAATCTCTCGTACCTATCCGCGGAGTCCTTCTCTTCGATTGCAGTGCAATAGGCAATAGGTCTTACGCACCACCTCTAAATCACCTCGTAAATCACCTCGTGGATTCTCGCTGGCAGCTCTTATACCTGGGGACTGGGGTATTACCCCTACACGCCAATGTTCGCCAAAGCGCGCCTCCGGTTTACCCGATTGCGGGCGTATGCGTATGTCCTGGCGTGCGTGGACGAGGCGTTACGCGTTATCGATCATCCTTCTCTTCGCAATTGCTGTATCTAACCGCGTCGCGTCGCGTCGCCCCCGTGATACTTATGGTGACGCATGGGCACACTCTCCCCATAAACCCGTCCTCGTCTTGGTCGAAGCGTTAAAGTTAGTCTCCTGGCGCGTATCTGATATTGGAACGCGCAGCGCTTTGAAGAAAGAGTCCTCATGAAGATGCCGTGGAGAAGGGGATGTAGGAGTGAGGCGCGAGCTGCTGCAAACGTCGAAAGTGGGCGCGTTCAAGGAGGCACATTCGAGAGGATAACGTCGACCGTTTGAACATGATGTCGCTTTTGTGATAGCTCTTTAGCAAGCAAAAAACCTCTCATATTTTATACCTAGCACAGTGATGTGGCTCCCTAAGTGAGCAGGCTCCAGTGTTTCTGAAGAGCCGCCACTCGCCAACCACGGTTTCGTAGAATTTCGTATCCGCATACCTCAGACTTACCAAGCACCGAAGTATACTCAAAGCGTTCGTTTCAGCGCGACGCTTTGCTGCGGAGGGCGGTCTTCTCAGCCTGAGCGTGGCTGCGTGGGGGGAAAGTGTGATGTTCTCATCGGGCCGGAGCGCGAGCGTCTAATAGTAACCTCAAGGCCCTGAACGGTGGCAGTGCCTACCCACTGATCGCAGTCCTCTGCAGCCACAAGCAGTGTTGCGCAGTAAGCAGCCTTGATCCCAGTGTTATACGTGTCGCTGACCTCTACCTTTACTAGCCATGATCATCGAAAAGACCCCCCTTCCCGCGGATCCCACTCCGACTGACGCGCCCCCTTCCTACGACGATGTCGGCACCAGTGCCGGAGCGCCTCGTCTATTCCCCACAGACGCAAAATTACCACCCATTCCCGATGAACCCACCACCCCAATGCCCAAATCCCCGTATCTAAAATCGCCAGTACCGTCAGGATCGTCGCACAAGGGCAAAGGACCTGCGACATGGTTCAATTTTGGCTTCCCATCTCGCTCAGGTCGAGAAGTACGGACTACGGTTCTTGGCTTAGTCCGGGACTTGGTTCGGCACCACAACGCGGACTCTACGTCAGCCCTTGGCATACTGCAGAGCTGCGCCGAAGCATGCGCAGCATACGAACTCTCCTTGTCTACGATTCTCCAGGAGCGTTCCGTTGAAGACCACACGCCGTTATACTGGGCGGTCATCAAACGCCAACCAGACGAGTCCATGGACGACGATACCCAAATACCTGATCTACTAACGACCCTGCTGAGCTTCTCAGCACCTCTGACGCCGGAGACGATTTCAGAGATACGGCTGGCATGTCTTATCACGTCTGACCAACAGCTATTCCAGCGTCTTCGTCTTTCCCCCCAATTCTCTCCTCTATCGGGGACGGATGAGATCATCCTCGGGGGCCCCATCCCACCAGACGAAATAACGGTCGAAGACACCGTGGGCGACGAGGGCGCGTTCGCGGTGAACATGGCGATCGTGCAGTTCCAAAAGCGCATGCAAGTTTCGAGAGAGGTCATAGTCGAGTTTATCGCGCGATGTGAGCCTTTTTTTCGCCTTGTACACGTACCCGCCGGTTGACGATAGCAGCACGGATGTGGCGGCTTGCTTTCAGAGTGATGCCGAGTCAGGAACCAGCAGAAAGGTACCATACGCGGTCGTTGCGCCCGGGGACCTGGTGCGTCACGCTCTCGCTGCTGGAGCACAGCCCGCCGACTTGGATCGATTCGCGTCTTCTTATCGCCGACTCTGGAGATCCACAAAACGATTCCCTCCTCGACTCGACGCCTCCAACGACGCCATCAGGCTCTCCCTCGCTCATCTCACTCCCTTTCTCCCCTTCGCCGCCCTCTGCATCACGAAAACCCAAGCCCACCATCAGCCTTCGACTGAAATGCTCGGAGCAGCTCATTCCCGCCGAAGGAGCTCGTCGACATCCACGAAACGCGCAGTCATCATTGTGGCTTCCCTCGAGGATAGCCTGATGGGCGCAAGCTTGCAGTATTCGTGAGTAGCGTTATCAGTTGAAGGTTAAACTCGGCATCCTTTCTGACGCTCACCAGAGGCACGTCGTATATTGCCAGGGACGCCATGTTGAGGGCGCGCTTGGAAGCGCGACTACGCAAACCCGAAGCAGAATGTGTCATCTGCTAACTCCCGTTCTGACTATACTGCATCTGTATCGTTATTCGCTCTCACTTGTCGCGCACGTACAAACAATCTCAGAAACTCGACTGTGTCTCATTGTGCGCGTCCTGGCGAAGCGGCTAACTTCGCAGGTCAACGACATCTGCAGAGGCATTTTGATTCAATGTTACTCAGCGTCAAAGGGACACCTCGCTTCTCGTTTCAACGATCCTCGTCATGGGGCTAACCCCGCATTTTTGCTTCAGCGTCTTCCACCCCTTCAGGACATTTGGGCATTTACTTTTTCCTAGTCGACCGTGGTCAAAGGCCCTCGTCAGTGCAAGACTCGCTGCCGTCTTCATCGGCTAGACACTCTACTACATTTAGTATTGCTGTGAAGCTGCACCGTCGATCTAACGCGGGATCTGATACAGGACTCGCACCCTTTCAAACTTTTCCCTTACGACCACGATGCTGATATACAGTGCGCCACGCCGAGGAACGGTCTTCCAGGAATATCCTTGAGGAAGTGCGTAAACCTTCCGCGTGTCAAACAAGGCTGCCCCCCAGTCGAACTATCCGCACCCGCATTCCCTCGTCCCACCTCCCCAGCTTGGCGGATTCACGTTTCCGACCACGAGTACGCTGATGCGAGCATTGGAACCGGTCGACGAGCTACTGCGGCGAGCTCTCGTGCATACGCGTACGATGGGGTCAAGAACACCCAACACGCTCCTCTGCTCGAACACGCTCTTGCTTGGACAGGACATCGCACATCGCGCAGGCAGTTCCGCTCACACACGACCATTCGGACGAGCTGGATTGTGTGTTGAACGCTGAGCTGTCAGGCTCCGCGCGCGCGAAGCAAAAGCAAGGGCTATTCAGATGAAGATGCGGATAGCGAATGAGTCCCGCCGCGCAGTGTTGTTGGTGGTGTTGGGCGTCTGGAGATGGACATCGGGATGTGGTGTGCGTGTCGTACGGTGGAATCATGGGCGGAGGCTTTGGAGATGGGTCTTGGCCGAAGAGGTGTTCGGGAATGAAAATCACTTGATAATTGTGGGTAAATGAATTCAGTGCCACCAACTGTATGTGTGTAGCCAGGTTAGCGTGCTGATTACTCTCCGATACTCTCCTGGGTCGCGCACCCTGCTGGCTCGTAAGTTCGTTCCAATGCCGCTACGAATGGTCACCCGCCAACGCATGTGCTTCCTTTACACGTCACACTATAATTACGTCCAGAGCACCGACGCGAAGCGCAATTTCTACGAGACGGTCCGTTCGACGGCCCGCTGACACGGATGGTCCCAATATAAGCAGTGCACCATGCGCCATGCACCTGAGGACACCTTCGACACCATGATATACACGCTGTTGCTTTTGGCGGCGGCGGGGAATGCCCTAGCGCTGACGGAATATAGCGGTATGTTTGCGTTTTACGACCGAAGGCGCGTTGCATCTTAAATCAAACCTTTGGACCCGTCTTCAGGACCTGTCCCGAAGCTGAGCCACATGCCGTTTGGGTTTGCGGGGCAGGCTACAGGTGGTTCGACAAACGTGTCTGCAGTGTATGTCGTGTCCAATGCGGCGGAACTGCGCGAAGCAGTGGCCTTGCCCTACGCGAAGACCATTTATGTCAACGGGACCATTCAAGGTAACCAGCTTCCTAACGGTGAGTCGCACGGCCGTTGTACTTTCATCATGCCTTTCCTGGGCGCACTCCTCACGCAATTTAACCACATAGGTACACTAGCGAAGTGCCAGGACTACATAGACATGACTGGTTCGCCCGGCTCGGCGGTACACGGGTTCAACTTCGAAACCTACCTCCTCAGCTTGAACGCCACGTATGTCTCGCTTGTCGAGCAAGCCATCGCGGATAACGTGCCCTTTGATGGGCGCAATGCGACAGAGTACCGCACTTTGCTCGGCCATCAGAATGGGTATCGCCCGGTTGTCGCTGCAACGCAGAAAGCCCAGGTGGGGTTCAAGTTGACAAATAATACATCGTTGGTCGGTTTAGATGCGAATGCGGCGCTGAATGGGATCAACTTGTACCTTTCGTCCGTCAATAATATTTGGATACGGAATTTGAAACTGGTGCCGCCGCAAGATTGCTTCCCTGCCCCGGAGACCTTTCCATCTTCATGGAACGCTCTGTGAGTCGATGTTTGTCTTTTCGATCGAGCCAGCTAACACGGCATCTGACAGGTACGACGCTGTCGGACTTGTTACAGCAAGCAATGTCTGGGTCGACAATTGCGAGCTTCAAGATCAATTGAGCGGCGAATACGTGGAACCGGATATCATCGAGCCTGGGTGGCAGGTCAGTCGTCTTTTACATCCAGTGTCTTTATGTAAGATCCTTACGTCCCGCGCATGCGCATAGGTAGATCGCTTCGACGGTAGGCGCCAAAATATACCGGATGTTGGGATGAATTCTGCGTTCTTACTCTTTGTTAGGCTTGTTCGACTGTGAAGACGGCACAGACAATGTGACCTTTTCCCATAACATCGTTCGAAATCACCACAAATCCCTGCTCCTCGGCGGAGGAACAAAGGAAGCCGATCGTGATTTGGGCAAGATGCACTTCACTATCTTCGGGAACTACTTCAACGGTTCCGCTTCACGAAACCCCCTCATGCGCTTCGGCTCCTTCGATATCTTCTCGAACGTTTACAAAGCGCGCAATGACAATCCCCCGCGTTTCGGCGATGCAAGTCGGACACACCGAGGGAACGTCGAGAGGCATTGGATCAGACGCCGCTAGATGCAGTATTCCAGTACCATCTGGGCATTTACAATCAGTCGAGGGTGCAAGTTCAAGACAACGTGTTCCTCCAGTACGGCGCATTCCCGAACGACACTTCCCGCATCTTCACGGTCGGCGAAGCTGCCCTTTTGGATCGCCCCGCAAGGGTCTGCATCCGGGAAACACCCCCGCACGTTCCGCCGACTATGAATGGTGTGGCTATAGCCAGCCTGCACCAGGTCATGGCCGACACGGTGGATTTCTTCGTGGATTCTGGGAAGGCTGTGGAAGGAGCGGTGGTGCTGACTTGTGACGGATTCCAGGATTACGAGGTACCCAAAGTGTTTGAGGACTCGGAAGATGTTCTACAGTACGTACTATCAGAGGCGGGGCAGGTCCGTTGATCCCATGGTCAAGTAAGTAGTTCGTCAATGGCGCCATGCCTGAGCGAGGTAAACAATGCGCAATATTGTATTCTTACGCCCGCCGCTTCAGTTTGCCAGGTTCTCGACGAGACCAATTCTAGCAACGACGTGCGTGAGGATGTTCCCAAATCTAGTTCATTAGCCCGTTCTCCCTCGCCGAGAAACGAATTCACCTGTAGAAGCCCAGTTGAGCACTCAGTATCCAGTATTCAGTACTCGGTACCCCCCATTCGCACCACCAAGAGGTCTTGCAAGTGCGCCGATTATACATATTATATGCGAACATACCCAAATGCACCGTCGCTGAGCCCCCGGTACCCAATCGTCGGTGTTACTTGATGTTTAGAGCTTTCAACATGTGTCAACAATGCGAAGACCACGAGCCTCCTGCCAGTTTGAAGATTCGTACCACCATACTACATTCCCACCGCTCCTATGAAACGAATATCAAATCCTTGTCCGGTTGCCTTATCCTAAGCCCGAAATGTCAAAAGGTTGTGCGTGCGTTTGACCATTCAAACCGACCGCCGCTTCGCTTCGCCGCTCCTTTAATACCATGGTCTCTGCCAGTCTTTGAATCTTTCGGCTGTTTCAATGCGCTGCAGGACACGGGAGGCAGATGTTAAGAAACTCTCAGCGCATGCATCGGATACCGCGCTGGCGACTCTCAGATGTGCGTACCTACTTCTTGCCGCCCACGTATACAATAACTAAAGAGCCCCCAGGGAATATGTGCGGGCACGGCTTGCAATAGATATCGGTACAGGAATGAAAATGTTGCCTGGCGCCATGGTCCGGCTCAGCTGTCCCCATCCTTCGTAGCGCGGCGGGTCCAATCTTCAAACCAATGCGAATTGCCCTCACTATTATTGTCATTTCGCGTGCCCTTGCTTTTCGACATCATTCCCATCACGGCTCCACGCTATCTTCATATTTGAACCGTCTCAGGTATATTGTATACATCTTGTCAAGACCCTCCCGAGAATCCCGAAATACATCGGCTTCCGATGCCGCCTGTATGCATAGCATGATTGATACAACAAGACGACAGTAATCCTCACAATAACGAGGGACCCGGTCACTCCGGGTGTAGCGGACCGCATTTTGGCGATACAACGAAGTACCCGAGGCATCACTAGGAACGATCAGGCTTGTATTGTCTATGCTCTGGGACAGCATCGTGCTGCGGCTATTGTGGACGTCGGTCACCGCCCATGCGCTCGTGGGTCGTATATATACTGGAGTGATACTTCGTTCACTCCAACGGTCAGCAATCCCCTGGTAGAACATACGCCCTACTCAGGCCTCCGCCGATACATCACTTCCTCCGCGCACTCGGCGTCCTTCATCTACCCCCAACCGCGTCGCTGCCATGGACTCCTTCACTACCTTCCTCGCTAGCGCACTAGCACCAGAGATCACCTCTCCTGCGTCGATCAAAATCACACAATCGACATCCGACGTGGCAGACATTGAACTGGTTGACTCGGAACGCAACGGCAGCGGAGGCGGCTGCTACTGCGTTGTATCATGAACTTTGCGACCTTGCGTCTGCTCTTCCTCCGCCTTTGCGATATATTATCTTGTTCGTCACATTTAACATCCTTCGGAGTTCTTCTTCTAATTGCTTGTTATACTAATAGCACCGCCATCTCTCATCTGTATCCCTGCTGGCTCAACGCATTATACCATGGATCGGTTTTACCCATCATTTCAGCCGTTTTGGACTGAAGATACCCCCACTTCGTTGAACTGCTTACATTCAATTAGTCGTCCATTATGTTAGACCATCTCCCTCTCTGATTTCTGTTCGCTTATTTCGTTTCAACTTGCCACGTTCCTTGGATCCCCGTGATGTCGATTTTTCCCTCTATCTCTGTATGCTTTTGTAGTCTTACATCTATACCACCACGCATTGTATCTTTATCACATCCAGCTGGTCAACGTTCTTATCTGTAACCTCTTTTTGCATCACTGTACCGATGTGCATCGATTGCACCTTGCCTCCTATTACCCCTGTCCCCTGTATCCCCCCCAACGTGTTTGTGTCGGCTTCGGCATGGCTGTCGGGGGGTCAGTCGCATCGCTGCGCCCGCAGTTTGTGCCGACAGTACTCGTACACCATGCAGACAAGATATAAACTCCCCATAAGACCCTGGCTGGCTCCCCAATCAGCAATCACCTATCAAACGACATCCACCCTATAACCTATAACCCATGGGTCATCTTCTGGCTTTCCTCGCGGGCGCTGGCGTAGCGACGTGGTACGCCCGACGGCACTCACCCTACCACTTCCCTCCCTCCGGCGCCGGGCCGTACCACTCCGCATATCCATCGCAAGAAGAGCGGAACAAGGAATGGGAAGAGCATCGGGCGCGATTTAGGGATATGAGCGCTCAGGCGGGGAGCACGGTGCGTGGCTACGCGATCACTGCGTTGGAGCGGGGGTACTGATATGCTCGACGCTATTAGATGATGGACGTTACCGAAGCTTCGCTGGACGTTATGCAAGTCGCCGTTCAGACTCTTAGAGAGGTGCGTGCCGACTTCCTCTTCCTGTGTTCGTGTTGAGGAGACCAGCCGCTCAATCGTTTTTCTTTTTTCTGATTCTTAGAAGCTCGCGGAACATCGTACGATAAGAATGGAGCATCAGCAGCCTGTTTCTCCCCCGAAAGATCAGACACATAAGCCGCTGGAAGCATGATCAGTCAAATGCCTCTTATTAACGGTAGCCGGCACAACCCCCACTCGTGCTCTAATGAAGTGTAATAATAACATATCTAGCAATTGAACCCGCCGTCCACTTTGAGCACGCCGTGTGGCGGCCAAGGCTATTATGTGTGTCGAAGTACGTCGAGATCCAAGCAGCATGCATCATTGGGCAGTCTCGAGTCTTCAGAGTTGGGCGAACCATATGATGGACGCCTGGGGATTCCAACATGCAATGCCAGGACGTCCCTAGGAATAAGCTCATGCACTGGTATGCATCGCGGAGCAGAAGCAGACGAAAACATCGGCGACGAGCAACGCATCCCGATTGCTGAGTTTTCAGAATTTCAATACTCAAGCTGCATGCCCTACCCCCGCCACGCCACGTCCGAACTCTCCACGCCTCAAGAATTCACGCCTCAATAACTCACTTCGGAGGCCTTCCAGGTGTCCAAAGCGCTAACCGGGGAGACTGTTTGGTACTTCAAGTGCCATTAGTGCCTTTGAAAATACGTTAAGGAGTAGACGTGCATACTCTCAGCGGACACGCTTTCAACGGACGATGCTACGTATACTCCCACCCTAAGCGAGAGCGAGGACGACGATCATCCCTAAGGACTCGGGAGTCCCCACGAAGCTGACTCGGCCACAACTCCCCCGCGTTCGCTCTGTTCGCTACAGGCTTCTACTTACATTCTCGTTGATTATAGGCAGTATGCCACTGACTGGCTCGAGCCACGAACCCGAGGTCAGTGTCGACTGCCATCCTTTACATTTTACAGGAAGGATCTTTCCGTTCCCCACCGCTCCGTGTTCCGTGTTTCGAGCCGCAAGTTGCGAGAATTGCTGCATACCATTGGCGTTCCTCTCCTCCTCTCCTCTCCTCTCCTCTCCTCCGACGTTAGCTGTGGCTCATATGTCTTGGCTGCACGTTGTCAGGCTTCAACGGCTACCCTCCAGCAGCCAGCAATTCGAGCATGGAGCGTAGTGGGCACCCCAATTTGACTCCTGGTGCAACTCGTCGAGCTGAGTACTTCAGTTGCACACAACCAATCCCCTCCGTCTTCCCACCCTCTCCCCTGAGCCCAGGAGGAGGCCTGGGCCGCGCATCTCGCGAGTCCCAACGTGATGACGAAGAGATGCGTCCAAGCAGACCCCAGGCGACAGGCCGCGCCGTCAAATCTGGCCCGAAGATACACGAAGAACGGGATATGCGTATTGTCTACCGACGCCGCGCGGCCTGCGTTAAAATTCGAGTTAGACGCCTAAGTCTTGTGCGTGTGCATGTGCTCGAGAGTCTTGTATGAGCTGCGTCTTGCCCGCGTCAAGATAGTTGCTCAGGCATCTGTCTGGGCGCCACCCTACACCATGCCTTCACTCATTAACATCACGTCGGCATCGATATCGGTGCAGCACGGAAGGCGAAGAGCAGAGCTGCGATTTCGAGACCAATGGGAGGGGGAGACAGAAACTAAAGGCGGGCTCGGATGGATGGCTTGCACTGCCAATATACACGATTCTAGAGAAGGACGGCCGAAATATTGTTACCCTTTGGCCACCGATTTACGTACCGCATCGCTTCCATGAGACCAACGTCGGAAATACCAGAGCATGTCATTTATTCCACGTTTTCGTAGTGAGTCCCTACATCGTGCCATAGCTCACGCATCTGCGAAAATTGAGATATCGTACACAGTCTCGCGTTTCAGGAATGGACGCGCTACGTTGGGGACACAGCTTTGACAAGGTGGCCTTCCTTTTGGCCTTACACAGCCATCACCTCCCCTCACCCAAACGGACACCGAGATTCGATCACTAGATGTATTCGGAGGATCTATGCAAGTATTCACAAATGAAGCCATGGCTGTCACGATAACGATATCCTCACCGTATCCATCGGAGCCCTCTCCGCGGGGGAGGTGGTCAAGGAAGACATGAATATAACTTGCAATATCGGCACTGCGTCACGAATAAGCCATGATTTATATTGCCTATCTCATATGGCATATACGCACCGATATCGATCTGGCATAAGCTGATGGGTATGCCAGATGAGATCATCTCTCCACTGCGGGTCTCTTCGTTTGACGGTAACACTTCGCTCCAAGAAGTCATTGTACTGGTCGTAAGCCATATCCAGATCTTCATCAGAGGGTCCGCCAGCCCACCCTTGGCGATAGACATCCTCTATAAACCAACGCTGATGGTGTAACTTAAAGAGGTAAGGACTCAGTCTCAGACATTGTGTGCTCGTATACTCACAGCGGTAGTGACGTCTTGTGTGAAAGGATAAGAATGCTCAAAAGCTCGAAGAAGTAAAGGAATACTAAGGGAAAGGTGTTCAGCCCCTGGTAATGATTTCGTCGCTCGAGTGCTAACCTCTCTGGCCGCAGGGCAGAGTCAGGTAGGGTGAGCTTTTTCGCGATATATGTCATCATGTCGCCGCGCGCAGTAGCAGCTGACATTGCGAGATCTTTCAAGGAGTGGAACTGGCCATCACTGTTCTCGAAGCATCCAGAGACTTCATCGACAATGGCCGGGCAGCGAGCTTGAACGTCAAGGTGGGCTCCGAGAATTATAGACGTGTTCCTATGAACCAGAAGATATCAAGATCGATCAAGTCCATCGTTGCCACGCATAGAAATGAAGTACCCACGGTAGGCAGTATCCTCGATCTTTCTTGGCTTGATTAACAGCCTGGAGGAATTTTCCCGCCCGAAGCGTGTCGTGGGTGAAGAGCTCATGGCATTTGGGGCACTTGTGCTCGAAAGCGGCCTGAGCGAATCCTCGAGCCCCATTCCACAGGATGTCCTCAGTTTTGCCGCAGAAGGGACATTGTACGGACCTTGTGGTATCGACCCGCATCGATTCAATGGCGTCGAATGCGAATCCAGTGCGAGTCCGCCAGTATTCTGCTGCCAAATGGCATTTAACCTCGTCGTATCCCATCTTGTTTACGTCTAGGGCGGCTAGCTATAAAGAATAGTTAAGGGTAAGGGTCATAACCAGGCCTAGTCGTTAAGTAACGAAACACACTATCATCGAAAGAGGGTATTCGTTAATGCGTTTCAATTGTTTGAAACGAACCATCGAGTCTTCGAAGTATCGCCGAGGGCTCAACATCAGTGAATGCAACGCCAGAGCGACGTCAAGCGGCGGAAGTTCGCGATCCTGCAATGGTTTCTGCTCTTCATCGCTGGTACTGATGATCTTTTCGACCCATAGCTGAAGGCGATATGTAGACCGTTGAAAGAATTCGTCCAGAAGTTGCTCGTCAGCGTTCGCCTGAATCAGTTGGAAGAATGTCCCAAGTACTCTGAGATGGTCTCTGACGTAGCTTTGCGGGATATTGCTCTGGGATCTGATCTTGGGAGCTGTAGGCGATCGCGGCATCGTGTCAAGGATAATCTATCTCTGGTCCCTGGAGAGAGCCTTTAAGTACGCTGAACATACGATCAGGCTCTGGGTTGAGGGTGTGTAGCGTCTACTCATTCTTCCATCCGAAAGTCATTGTGGTTTCCGCATACATCTAATAGCACCGCGCCATGGCCATGTGTACTCTCCCACTTTCCATAAACCATCGATCATCTTTGATTCTTCCGCCTTCAGGCGATTATCGGTACACCTTAGAAACACCAAGGTAGCATCTTACTGATCCTACATTTTATCCGTGGATAGGTCAATCAGTAAAGGGTGTGCAGACTTTTCACTTACCTTTTGGTACTTTCGTAGTAATCTTGAATCCTACGCACCCTTTGATCAATCCTGCTGCTGCGGAACATCAGCGGAACTCATCAAATGATAGGTACATATGCTGTGAACAACATTTAATGTATCCTAAACCCTCGCTGTGAGAATGAGTTAGTGTGCCACGATATACGCTCCCGAAACCAAGTCCTCCAATGATGGCTCAAGCGCTTATCATCTATCATCTTTCCTTCCGACTGCCGAGTCCTTCGCAATTATAGCACCGCCCTCGAAGTTCTCGAACCGCCCTGACACCACTGCAGATATCAGACCAGAGAAATACTGTCCTACCAAGGACGCCACTTGAAAGTACTATTGCGAACAAGGGATACATAATTTGTGCTGCAAGCTCATGATCTAATTCAAACCAAAACCACCTACCCACAGTTCTACTGTGTGCACAGCCGATCCGTATGCGTCAAGTCATTTCATTGCCCACAACATCGCTCGCATCGTCAGGACGCTGAGGGCTGGGAGAAAGAAGGAGGGAACCTCGACTCCCGGGTTGTTGAACTTCCCACATGGAGTCCCGTCAACACGTAATATGCCGTATCAAACGGCCTCGAATCTAATCAAGCAACGAACTGCAGATAAAGTACTGATAAACGTCCAAGCCCTTGCTGGCACCGCCGTGTATTGAGTATTTTTGTTTTGTTTTCTGTAACATGCAGTGCTTATTCTTCACTACTTACTAGGCCTGAAGTTGTCAATCGATAACGGCATGGCGGTGTATTTCCTCACTTGGGAAAAACTTGACATGATACGACGGAAAGCGATTGTGGCGATTGCCAAGGTGTGTGGCATACGAGCCATGAACCAGGCAGTGCCGTTTATAATGGGTGGTAACTGAATTTCAAGGCAGGATTGTCATATATAATCCCTGCTCCTCCCCGTCCTGTCGTTCAGCTGAACCCACAAACACCTTCACTTCATGGCGCTGCACCGCAAACTCGCTGGCAAGGATTCTAGGGCACGTCAGGCTAACATCATTGCGAGTTCCATTCGCGTCTTCCGGGTCATCGAAGGACTGGCGGAGCTCCCGTATCTCTCGCCGCTCAAACCAATTTGCGGGCTGGCAATCGCGGTATTAGACGTTGTACAAGTCAGTCCCTCATGTTCGTTCCATGTATACTTTCTCCCTGAGACATGAACAGACCCTTACGAAATTGACGGACGATCACGCAGAGTTGATTTTGCGTATTCAACAGCTCGCTCAAGTCCTCGAGCCAATGAAAAATGATGCGCGAGCAACCGTCTCAGAGGTGGAAGACCTAGAGAAGTGTGCTTGCTTGCCTCGTTCAGTACTGCGGTTACTAACAGTGGTGGCAACAGAACGCTAGAAGAGGTACTCGTTATACTCAAAGCGGAGGGACGTTTGAGTCGTGTTCAGAGGGTACTCAAGATGCAAGAGCTCAAGAACAACATCTTAACGTGCACCGCAAAACTTGATTCTTGTATTCAACGCTTTACCGTGCGCATGGTCGATGTCAATAAGAACACTTTTCTCACTGATTTCGCAGGTCACATCGTTACTTCGAATATACCAGCTATTGATCGAAGACAGAGACGAGGTTATTCGTTTCTCCTTTCCATGATGTAGCTTCTATTCATTCGGAAAATATTTGCCCTTTTTGACAGATAAAGGTTTTCAGACGAACAGTGTAGGCGCGAAGTCGTATTCGCTGGTGTGAATGCGAGGACTGGGAATGGTGTGTTCCCACCAAAAGACGAAGTAAGAAGGAACGAATGAACGGGATCCGAACGCCACGTGACGAACGGAACGGAGGACGGAAACGCGACCAAGCAGCGCCGCGTGCGACTGCTGGACTCGACTCAAACGCAACGCAACGGAGGGAAGGGGGAAAGTGTACTTATTATTATTATTTCCAGGTAAGTAGCTAGGTACTATATACTATGTAAGTAGGTAAATAAGCACGCTAGTTCTGCGTGTGCTAGTAACTAAGTAATACCTAAGAAAGAATGTGCCGCAGCAGCTCGTGTTCGAGTGCTCGGACCGAACGAGGAAGTAAACGAAGTAATGTAATACGTACAATATACCGTGTATCAAGGGATGGACGATGTCCAATCCCTACAACAGACATAGATTTAGATCATCAGGTTCAGCCGTTCCCCCATGGCAAACTTTACCGAGGTACACTCGGCCGATTAGCTCCTCGAGTCATTGTAAAAAAATATCATCAAGATAACGTTGCGAAACAGATCTTCAGATCTGATCTAGAGCTATTCCGAAGACTTTGGTAAGTTTGATATATGTTTCCGAGTACAGTTCGCTGATCACTTAACACGTAGGCACCCGAATCTCCATAAGCTAATAGGGCAATCACCCTCAACAGCCGAGTTGCCCTTCCTAGTTTTCTCAGAGTGTACGCTATTCCGTGTATCTTGTTTATGTGTTCTCAACAAGCTGTAGATGAATCTGGCGGCGTGATTGGGTATATTGATCGTCAACTAGCGGGAAACGGGTCAGTTGTTGATAGTTTCATGGTGGCATTGCGTGTTGTATGTCCAAGTATTTCCCTCTTGGTGCATATGCTAACTATCACCTTGTAGTGCCAGGGCATCTCAGTAGGTGCTCACGTTCAATAGTTGCAACGCATGCCAATGGCTAGACCAGTCAGGAATGGAATACCTTCGTACAGAATGCATCGGACTTCATCAACGCGAACTAGAGGCATGTTTTGATGTACGTATTACATTGTTGACCTCACTCTTCATCTCTGATATAACGAACCAAGCCGTCTAATATCGTGCTGACACCAGACGGCCAGCCAATTGTTGGGCACAATCTGGTTATCAACGGGCCGAAACTCGTACCTATGCAACAATCGCCGGGGCTAGATGCATGGATGAAGATACAACTTCAAGATTTTGTCAATTCCGTGAGTTACAGAGCCCACTCCATCCGACGAAAAGTATGCCAACCGGCACTAGTTTACATATAGAAAATTGGATCTCTCCGACTGGGATCGTAAGCGCCTCCACTATCTTATCGCTCATTTGTTTGGCTGATCTGTGTCTGCGATAGTGCTTATGGCTCGTAAACACGGACGACGAGCTAGCCACATACGCCTGCTCGAACACTTTACTTCCCATGCCATCCCGAGCTTTTCGGAAGCGGCTGAATGCTTCGAATCACTCCTTGCCTCCCTCGAGCCAATATATCAGCGTCGTGAACTCACCTTCCAGACCATCCGATCTTCAGCGATTCAGACATGGACCGGGGCATATGTCTATCGACCCGCCGACGCCATCGATTGTGCGCTAGGCGACATTGGATACATGCGTGACGATGGGAAGTTTGTCGTCTTGACCAATGAATCAGACCCGGTGGTGCTGAGTGTGTATGAAGACTCAGTGGTCTCATTGAAATCGGACAGCAAGGATATTGTCAAGGGGTCTTCCAACGGGACTGGAGTGATACGGTAAGTGATGGCGTGACTCCAAGTACGTCTGGGAAGAATCATGTTCGATGCAGGCATCAATTTGGGAAAACTCACTTTGCATCAATACGGCATTCCGTAACATCAGAAATATGGAATACTTGGGACGCATGGAGCCATCTCATTGCCCGCGCGAAGCCAATATGTCGGGCGTTCTCTACGGATGAGATAGAGTTGAAGATCACCGATCTAGTCTTCAGTAAGCCTTCGACTTCTTATCCTCTAATACTTTTGAATGACGTATATTGATTGAAGTTGTTGGAGTGGAGGAGAACCTCCGAGTCTCTACCTTCGAAAGGAAAAGTGACTCTGACGAAGTTCCGAGCCACGTCGAATATATAGAATCGGAGAATGCAGAGGAGGAGCCACCTTGGGGGAAGTGGTACCCAGAAACGCCAGACGTGCGAATAACAAACAAGAGGTAAGAACCGCTCTGCGTTCATTAGCCCCAGTTCTGAATACGATTTCCAGCTGGGCGCAGAGTCTTCTCTTCATCCAACTGGAAGAAGAAGATGTGGAATAATTACCATCACTTATTTAGACATCGTGAACTGCACATTATTTGATTCACAACTTTATTGGCTCCGGGATCCGCCGGAACGCCCTTGAAGCAGACCACCAGTGACTTTGTGTGATGAGTTCATCATCTCTGCATCACTTCTTCCTTGAGCCTCTTCTTACCCGTAGTCGCACGGATGTCCCGTATAAGGGAGACAGAGGGACCTGCCAAGACTAGCGGCGGAGGATGGGGGGAGCAGGGGCTGCGTCAGGCAGCGCCGACGTGCGTATCATCGCCGGATATCCAGCGCGTTCCGCGAACGACGATGGCGGGACGAACCAGTGCAAATGTCTGCTTATCCCCGTCGCCAGGCATGGCCTTTCTTATTGGTGCTTTCACCATTCGCAATGCGCGCCGCATTCAGCCCCAATCGAAGCATGAACCCTGCGCAGAGGGCGCTAGCGAGATGGTGGGGAGAACCTATTTGTCGATATTCGTAGGGGACCTGGCGAGCCTTGCGTAGAGACACGTCTGGACGGTCTGGTAGCGCACCTTATGCTGCACCTCTCCTTCCGCCGCCCGCGCCGGTGGTGAACGTTGGAGGTGGTGGGTAATTTGTTTGGAGCGTGATCTGGTTGACGGTTGTCCACCGGCTGTGCATCCTTCCTCCTCTCGCCGCCTCTTCCCATCACCTCTTCGCACACACCGACCGTCCCATGCTCCACATGCTCCCAATCCTCTTCTCATCCACTCTCCCCCGCTCCGCCCACACCATTCTCGTGCCATCTTCGCCCGGAACTTCGTGGCGCGCTAGTGCTCGGGACGGGACGATGATGATGGTATAATGGTATGGCCGCTGTATGGTATTCAGGTATGCGGCATCCTACTCGTGTTCGCGCTTTTGCTGCTGCCTCGTCCGGCAGGCCGCGCCCCTCCTCCCCCTCTCCACTACACGCGTGCATTCACCCGCTCGCCTACGCAAATATCCCGCCAACCTCCGCCGATTTCCCCCTTCCAGTTTCCATCTGGCTGCATGACACCGAAACCAGGGATCCGGAAGGAAGGGTCCGAGACTCGAGTTGGCACGGGAGTAGAGGAGTCAGCGAGGGGGGGAGTTGAACGTCGAGCGCGATGGAAAATCTGCATGTATACGCTGATTTGAGCTTGATGCGCAGGAGGTAGTGCATGTGGTAGTCATAATCATGGATTCGGAGCTTGTGTTGTGGTTGTATCCTGTAGGGTTGGCACCCTGTTCAAGCCCGGATACACGATTTATTGTACGTATACTATCGTTTCGTTTACTTCCTGTTTCGGTCCGTCATCAGCTGCGGCCGCATTCTACGTTAGGTACTAGATTACTTACTTACACATGCGCATTCTGCATGTCTAGTTACATGTAGTACAAGTATATATAGTACCTACATATCTACCTATAAGAATAACAAGAAGTTTCCCCTTCCCTCAGTTGCGTTGCGAAAGTCGAGTCCAGCAGTCGCACGCGGCGCTGCTTGGTCGCGTTTCCGTCCTCCGTTCCGTTCGTCACGTGGCGTTCGGATCGCGTTCATTCGTTCCTTCTTACTTCGTCTTTTGGTGGGAACACACCATTCCCAGTCCTCGCATTCACACCAGCGAATACGACTTCGCACCTACAATCCCCTATTCCTTTGTTTGGTGCATGGGCGCTTCAAAGACGCTTTACGATGGGTATGCATCGTACTAATACTATGCGCGCGGTCACTGCAGGACATGTATATCAAACTTCATCGCATTCGTGATTCATGATAGGAAAAGCGCAGAGAACATGACACCTATAAGTGATACCAAGCCCGACGTCACGATGTTACCACCGTTGTCCGCCGTTTGGTTCGCATTTGGCGCGCTACCTGTGCCCGTCCCCGATGACCCGCCGCGTGTCCCAGCGGCACTGCTCCCTGACGCAGACAGCGTCTGGGATGCAGGCGCAGCACTCCCCGACGGTGTGACCGTGGCGAGCGCAGCGAACAGCTCCGTGCTCTCGAACGGCACGCAATCACTCGACGCCGGGACTCTCGGCTCGTACGGCAGCGTCGTAATAACACCCAGGGCCTCAGGGGGCTGCGTATACGTCAGCACCGCACCATTAAGAGTGTATACCCCAGGGAAGTCCTGGTTCTCGCCCGCGCACGCCTCGAAGGTGCCGTTCTGCGCGTTGTTGGGCGCGTTGTAGGCGCAGCCGATGCGGTCGTAGATGTGCTGGCAGAAGCTGGCGGCGTTGGGGCGCGAGGGGTCGCAGGCTTTGAAGCAGAAGGCGTCCCCGCCCATGAAACTACAGGGCCGGGCGGGGAGGTCAGCCAGGTGGGTACGTCAGTGAAGTGAGGGGGACGCACTTGTGCCATTCGATAACCTGCGTGAACGAGTTGTTGTTCCCAGACCAGGCGGTGGAGTAGACCAGACCACCGAGCGGATTGCCACGCTGCATGCAAACGTCAGGATCGTGGTAAGCGATGCACAGGCAGCAGTATACTCGCCAGATCAGCACCGTGAGGGTCGAGCTCTCCGCCGAAATCGCCGGTTTGGATGTTAATGAGGCGCTGGTCGATGAAGCCGACGACCTGGACGTAGTCGGGCGTGCGCATGAACTGGACGCCTTTGAGCGCGCCCGCGGGGATGAGGCGCGTGCCGCGCCCGGGCTTCGTGCACCACGCGACCTCCTCGCCCTCGGTGTCGGGGATCGTCGAGTTGGGGTTTATGGGCGCCCATAAGCAGAAGTCTGCGAACCGCGTGTAACGTGCAGTGGGGTGGCTGTGTGAGCAGGCGGGCCCGGGTGCGCAGGGAAGGTCGTGGGAGCTAGGACTCAGTACTCACCGTCGAGGGCGTTGAGGAAGGAGGTCTGGCACAGCGAATTCTGGTTCTCGGTCGTGGAATTGCAGATGTTGTACCCCGTCTGCGTCCCGCGTATGAGTTGTTCGGAGTCGGCTTGGTAGGGCTGATGTTCTCTGTTGAGCATCAACTAGGGCTGGGGAGGAGGCGTGTACTTACCAGGCCTGTGGGATAGGCGAAATGCTTCGAGGCGAGCGGTGTGGCTGGGAATGTTGCTAGGTTGCCCTGGGCATTGACGACGGTGCTTGGGAGCAGCAGCAACGAAGCGACCAGAGCTGGAAGAGTGATGAGAGCCATTGGGAGGGGAGGGAGGGAGGAGGACGCTTCGGACACACGCCGTCGACAATGAGAAGGGGTATGGGAACTCTACGCGTATATTTAGCCCACTTCTACCGTTTACCCAGGTCCTAGGCCCTAGCCTCATGTCGTGGCAGCGAGTTCCCTACTCATGTACATCGATGGGTGACTGCGAGAAAAGACAACGACGGCGCTTTCCGCTTGTAGACAGTGAAGCTTGAAACCTCCGTTGTCGGGTGCTACATATGGGGAGGGACGGAAGAGTATAGCGAGCTGCCCCTCTCCGAGCCTAGTTCCGCTTGGCCTCTGCGACTCCGCTCCCGTTGTCACTGGCACTAGCCACGGCTCTTCCCCATATCCCCGCCTTCCTCTCAGCATCCCCTTGTGCCGGCGATTCTAAACGCGCACCTACACTTCGACTCCAGCGTTTCAGAACGACGAGTCTCGTCGGCGACTACTTGTATCTCAATGGACGAGACATCAAGGAGCTAGCCCACTCTCTTGAGCTTTGCTTGACACGCGTCGCCACCCATCTTAGCACAGTACAGCAAGGACTGACCTTGTTGAAGAACGCGTGTCAAATTACGCCTCGCATTTCGAAGTTGTCGCAGCTGCGTGAAGAAGATGAATGGGGGACGCATAGATCCAGGGTCGGATCCGCGCGTGTGGATGGGGGTTGAACATCGCAGCGCGTTGGCGTGACTCAAGAGACACGTCGACGCTTCTGTTTATCTTATTTGTACACCTATGTTTGTACACCGGCTACCGATAAGCGCCTCCCGCGATGGCGCACTTACGATTGTAGATGTAAACGATGCAAAAAAGCCCAGGGGCAAGCTATGGGGATAGGAGGGCGATGGCATCAAAAGAGACTGGATAATTATCAGTGAGATACCAAGTAGGCTAATATCTCTCACCGTTACGCGCATCGCGGGCTTAGGCTTTACGTCGGCCTAGGTCAAGGCGTTGCAATTCCGAGCCTGGAGTTCATTCGACTTGAGGGCAAGGACGGCGCTGGAGGTTGCGACGAACAAGAGTTGCAAAGGAATAGGGTGATGCCATTGATGAAGGGAAAGCATAAGGTGTACCGTGGGTCTACGTGTTTCCCTCAGAATATTGAACGTTTAACGTTGAATATTGGATGGCGCTGCACGAGGCAGGAAGGCAAGACACGACTGAGCGCATTCGGGTCCCAGTTTGCCGTGCATAGCACTCTTGATCCATGCAAGGCGCATTAGCTACCTCGAATGCGCCACAAAGAGGGCTTTCGCTGCAAATTTAAAAAACCTGCAACCCACGAAAGAGACAAAATTTGAAGGAATGCCGGAATGAGGGCAGCGAAGCAGAACCCCGTTACGGATGAAAACGTGAGCCAGGCCCAAGGCTGTCCAGGCTGAGCGCTGGGGACTCGAGAAAATCCCGTCGAGTGAAAGAGATGATGGAAGGAAGGAAGGTAGAGCCAGAGGACGTGGCGTGGAGGGGGTCGGGCAGCGGAGTTGAAAAACACCAGATACTCAGCGACAGCTGTCGACTCGTACGTTGCGATCTTGGATCCGACGGTGGTCGATTCGAATTTTATCGAAAGTCGGCACCTTGTTCGTCTATATTACTTTGAGTCTAAATACTCATGATGTACTGATATCGCCCAGAGTATCGTGGATAACTGCCCACCGACAAACCCTCTATTCTGTGTCCTACAGCAAACCAGGATACGGCCTCTCCCCATCAGGGTGGTAGAGAATTAATCGCTTATCCGTAAAGTTTTCCACATCGAATCGCCCGTAACCTGATGACCCACTACACAATGCAGGCCGTAAGTCATGAGTTACAGGGGGGAAGGGAGAAATACAAAGAGTCATGGCAAACACACGAGGAATGTGAAAGATATGGCACTGAGTACTCACCCAAGGCCCACCACACCTACATATGCCTCGGAGTGAAAGGTCGGCCCATTAACGCTAGTGACGCCTGTGAATAGAGCGCCATAATCAGCGAGCGAGTCGAGTACACATTGGGAAGTATTTACGTACCAGCACGAATGCGTGGTGCAACAGACATTGCATAATGGATGTTTGTCGTCCACAAGGCCGCGCTGAGGGAGTAAGTGGTCGCATTCGCCATTTCCACGGCCTCATCAATGCTGTTAACCGACATAAAAACCGTAACTAAATAAACATGAAGCCATCCTCAGTTCTGAAGAGCTAAACGTGTAACCGGGGACTTACCTGGACCGAAAGACTCCTCCCTCCATATCCTCATCCCCACGTTCACATCCGCAAGTAAATGCGGCTGCACGACCGAACTTTCGTGCTTCAAATCTCCCAGCACAAGCCTCGCACCACCGTCCACCGCCTCCTGCATCATGCTCACTATGTTCCGCGCAGACGCCTCGGAGAACAGCGCTCCCAACTTCACCTGCCGGTCACTCGAGCGCGACGGGTCCCCCGCCTTGATACCCTCACAAAGGCGCTTGACCTCTCCCAGCAATTCCTCGGCAACGTCCTGATGAACGATGACACGTTCAGAGGACATGCAGACTTGACCGGAGTGAGCCATGGCTCCGAAGACGATGGATCGAGCGGCTTCGTTGATATTTGCGTCACTGAGGACCTGGATGGAGACAGCAAAATCAGTGAACAATATACGCAGAAGGAGAAGGAGACGTACGATGACGGGTGCCTTGCCCCCGAGCTCTAGGACACAAGGCTTCAAGGACTTGGCAGCCTCCATGGCTAATATCCGACCAACGCGTTCACTCCCCGTAAACTGATCACCCACCCTCATGAGATATGGTGATATTGACAATGACGCAGACGTACAGCGATTTTGCGAATCATCGGATGGGCGATAATCTCTGCCGTCAGATGCGGCGCCGTTTCTGGTGAAATCGAAATAATGTTGAGGACGCCTGATGGTAAACCCGCCTGTCCATTCAAGTAGTTCTCCGTGAGCCAGTGTCACGGGACGGAGACAACGATGGCTTACCTCTGCAAAGAGATCTGCAACAATCGCTTGGCTGCGTGGACTGAGCTCGGAGGATTTGAACACAATCGTGTTCCCACAGAGGATGGGGACGGCAATGGTTCGTAGAGTTAAGGTGAGCGCGGCATTCCATGGTGCGATAGCGAGGCTAGTGGTGTCATCAGCGGTGCGTAGTCGATTGCCTTGATAACTCGACTCACATCACACCCAAAGCCCTCCTCTGCGTGACGGCCTGCGCCCCCACTACGCTTCCACTAACGAATGACTCGCCTTTCAGCTCATTAGCCATGCTAGCCGTCGTTCTGAGGAAGTTCTGCGCTACCACCCACTGCCCATACCCCCATCCGTCGGTTGCCGCCGTCTCCTCACACTGGCTAGTAATCAACGCTCGCTTGTACTTTTCGGTGATAATGAGATCGGCTGCTTTGAGGAGTATGTCGCGGCGGTGCCAGGGGCTCGTCTTCTCCCATGAGACAAATGCTCTGCTAGCTGCCTCGATGGCGTCGCGGCAGTCCTGGCTGGACGCGGTGGAACACAAGCCGACGACTTGATGTGAATACGGATTAAGGACCTCGAAGATGGGAGGTTCGGATGACGACGGTCTGTATTCTCCATTGATAAAAAGCTCGGTGAGCGGCGGCATCGCTTGGATCGTTGTCTACTGAAATCGTGGAGGGCTGAGCACCGATGCAGCACTGAGCAGATGAGAAAGTTACACCATACCGAAGTTGCGGACCGACCACTAGAGCATATGGGTGCATTTTCACACACAAGAGATTCCAGCACGCCCAACGCTTTGCCTCCTCATCCGCTCGAGTTCGGCGACGAACGAGAGACAGTGGTCGTGGTAGGCGCGTCCTTAGGCGGCCTCAGGGGCGAGGTCACACGCAACAGGTACAAGTTTCTTCTCTTCCACGAACTCAACCTTTGCTGATTTGTAGCAATTTCATACGCTGAAAATACCCTCTTATAGATCCAAAACGATATTGACGATGACAGCCCCTCGAGCATTCCTTCCGAGGGCACTCGCGTCGAAGACAACGTAGTTCCTTGCCTTGCGTTTCGTGTCCGAGCCACAGATATCCAGGGCGATGCGCGGTTATGCACTATCATGCCTCGCGTCTCTACGCGTTGATGATGGAAGGGAAAGTTAACGTGAGCTCAATGTCTCAAGTGGGGGTTGGCAAAGAGCTTACAACAAGTCAGTGTTTGCCCAAAAGCGTGACGCCTTTGCCTATCGCCTCCATGCTTCAAAGCTTCATGTCTCATCTTCCGGAGCCCCGCAGCACCTTCCATTCTCATTCATCATTTGACGACACGTCCGGCTATCGACGTGGCCCCTGCAACTCGCTTCCCCACATCTCTGCATCATCGATCAGAGAGAGCCTCGTGATTTCGACGTGTGTCTTTATAAACGCTCTGCATTCGACATGTGCTAAGTACTCTCGACTCCTGCGCCTGCCATCATGGCCGTATCATTCGCCGAAACGCACTGGCAGCAACTACTTGCGAACTACTCCGAAGGAACCATCGAGATCATCGGGACTCTCGTCTTCCACCTCATCGCTTTCTATGTTCCATGCATAATTTACGCATCGCTTGAAGTCCTCTTCCCAGCGTTCAGTGAATCCCACAAGATCCAGCCCGCACCGAAGCAACCAACCCGCCCGGAAGTCTGGCAATGTCTCAAAGTCGTATTGCGCAACCAACTTCTGTCCTTCTTCCTCCAGCTCGGCTCGGTATACTTTACGTCGGGAACAGGCCACCACCCTTTCCGCTTTGACGCCAAACTCCCTGGGATCGCTGAGGTGGCGTTCCAATTCGTCGCGTGTATCCTCTTGCGCGAAATCTCCTTCTACTACGCCCACCGACTTCTCCACATCCCCGCTCTCTACCCAAAGATCCACAAATTCCATCACCGATTCACCGCTCCGGTAGCCCTCGCTGCGCAGTACGCGCACCCCATCGAGCACGTATTCGCAAACATCCTGCCGATATCCCTTCCGCCACAGCTCTTCCACGCTCATATCGTGACGTTCTGGGTGTTCATGAGCTTCGTGCTGTTCGAAACGGCAACGGTTCACTCGGGGTACGACTTCTTCGGAGGGGCAGCTAGGAAACACGACCTTCACCACGAGAAATTCATGATATGCTTTGGGACTATTGGGCTGTTGGATTGGTGGCATGGGACGGACGAGTTCAAGAGTCGGGCTGACTGACGGGGTTGTGTAGTGCATCCCTTGATGGGCATCTGGTATATCTCCCCTTCTGTAAAATCATCCCGCAGCATAGAATGGGAGTGGATATTCACATTGAAAAATATCCATGTCTTGCGGCGCTCCTTCGGACATTCAGCAAAATGCGGCGAGGCGAAAATATCGTTCGCATGAACTTTACAAACACGGCCCACCGGGACCGCCAGTGCCGCGGGCTGCCGCTTCGATGGTATGCCTGCCCGTCTCTGCTCATGCGACTATCTAAAAATGCACGATTTATTTATAAGTCCTCGTACATGCATCGTATCACCAGACCGTAATTCGGCGCAGTATCCAAGAAACCCCGCGCGTCAAGAACAGGGCATGACGCAGTGACCACCTCGAACGTGTGTTGTATCGACGATAAATAGGTCATCGTACACAGGATGCTCAGGTACTCGTTAGTCACTTGTGCTCTACTATGCTGGCATGAGCAACGGAGTCTTATATTTACTCTTCTCGAATTGCCTCCGTGACTATAGATAACTTATTCACTACGAATAAAGCGCCCTCATCCACTGAACTGAAGGTAAGGCCCCTGATATCTCATTATCTACTAGGCATGACCCGCGAGACGCAGCTTTCTTTCTCCAGCCGGCTAGCGGCGCTAGCATTGCTTGGCCTGGTTCAAGTGGTATCGGGAGGAGCAACAACTCAATCTCCAGCGCTCCCAGCCTTGACGTCTCCTCTTGGGCCCGTCGTCAACTTGGGATTCGCCGCCTTCGCAGGAAACGATACATCGCCTGCCGGAGAGCCTCACTCGACGGTGACTTTCTTCGGCAATATACCGTACGCTCAGCCTCCAGTAGGAAACCTCCGCTTCAGAGCTCCAAGACCGCTAGACGAAACAATCAGAAACCCTGCTCGTGTTCCCATATCCGATGCACGGGACTGGGGCGCTCCTTGTATTCAGCAGCCAGCGCAAGTTGGAATCGGCTCTGAAGGTTGGTGGAATTGTCTTACTCGTTCTCATGTCATATTTCTGACTTTCGACCATGTAGATTGCCTGAAGTTGAACATTTGGAAGCCTTCGAGCGCATCGGAAGGAAGTAACCTTCCCGTCATTGTATACTTCCACGTACGTCTTACCACTTTGAACTTGCGGGTTGCAAACTGGCTGACTTGCCCTTGGCGAAAGGGAGGTGGTTTTTTTGCGGGGGTAAGTTTATTTCATGTCTGACCACGACTTCATTGGCACTTATATCAGATTGATCAAGTCGCCTCTTGGGTTTCCCTTTTTCGACTGGCTAACACAAAATCAAGGTATCGTCGCCGTATCTGTTGCCTATCGACTTAACCTCCTGGGGTTCCTGGGGGGCGCTGCTGTCGCTGCTGACGGAGACTTGAACGCGGGACTTCGTGACCAGCGGGCTGCATTGGAATGGGTACAGAGGAATATCCATCGGTTGATCTATCTCGCACTTGCCCCACTCTCGTTACTGATCAACGATGTCCACAGATTCGGGGGGGATCCAGACGAAGTGACGATTGCAGGCGAAAGTGCGGGAGCTGCGAGCGTGGTCATGCAAACGGTGGCATTCGGCGGTACGCTTCGTAAATCGCAGCGTATGTCAATTCATCTCTGATGACCTACAATGTTTTAGGATCTAAGCCGCCTGTTTTCAAGCGCGCGATTACGCAATCGATTGGATTTGGGCCAACGCCTACTTCGGAGCAAGTCGAAGCTACCTTCCGTACGCCTCGTCTATATGGACTAAGAAAGAAACTGACTTGCCCGTTCCTTGTAGAAAACGTTTCTGCCGTAGTTGGTTGCTCAGGACGGAATGTTATGCAATGCTTGCGCAACGCCTCCATAGGTACGAATATCCCTTCTGTCGATGTAATCACTTACGACCCTCATCGTGCTTGATAGGTGCTATCGTCAGTGCAATCAATCACGCCAGTGTCCCACCTGTGATTGAGGGACCAAACGGGTTTCTCCCTGATCTCCCTTCACATCTTATCGTGTCTGGCAGGCTCAACAACGTCGGGTTCATTGGCGGCCATTGTACCAATGACGGGAGGACTTTTGTGGGCGGCACACCCGCACAATTCGTTTCGGAGGATGATATCAGAAGACTGCTCTTCGCTCGTTACTCAGGAGTGGTATGTACTCGTATTGCTTTGACTAGCAAAATATGGACTCATACTTTTATTTGATTGTGGATTAGACTGCTGCGACGATGCAGCGGGCTTTTGAACTCTACCCAGCACCGGACGTGGCTGGGAGCCCGTTCAAGACACAATACGAACGCGCTTCACAGATGTCTCAGGATATCGTACTCGGTTGCATGTACGTATCAGGCGTCTCTATGATATTACGCGCATCTCAAGGGCTTTTGCAGGGATCTACAGCTCGCTCAAACACTTACGAACCGCGGCGTAGATAATGTATTCACATTCAGGTTACAACACTTAACTCACCCTTCGCCCTCAAACCGAGATCTTACCTCCTGTTCTAGATGGAACTCTCCTCACGCAGTTTTGTTCGAAGAGACCCCTTTCGAAGGAGTCATGCATACATCTGACCTATACTTTCTGTTCGATGGTAAGTGAGATTGATGAGGGGCTTCCGGCCGCGCTAAGATCACTCTGTATGCATAGGTACCGTGTAAGTTACATGATTGGCTACGGGGGTGAATCGGACATTCACTTCGTGTCTGGTTTAGACGTTTACCCAATGCTTTGAATTCTTTCAAAGCTTTCAATGAAGTGTGTCCATTTCACTGTGGATCAATTGGCATCAGAGCTATATGTTGATTGTGAATCAGAGCGAGGCAAGGCTTTCTCAAGAAGCGATCGGCTTCTGGACTTCGTTCATCTCCTCAGGCAACCCCTCCACGGAGAATACACCGAAACGCATCACTTGGGCCCCCTTCGTGTCAAACACATCGTCAAATGCCACCAATATCACCCGTAATCGTATTGTATTGGAGAGAGGCAGCGATGAAGTGGCGCAGACAAACTCAGTGATCGAGTCGATTCCGAGCGTGGAGTTCGAGCGATGTAGCTTCTGGATGAGCGCAAATGTGACAGCGGAAACGAGGGTGTAGTCATCGCGAGCGTCTCAGTTTCACGACAGATTTCGATTATATCGATACCTCCACAAGCAGAGCTGCCTGTACTTATGAAGTGATCAAAGGAATCAGAAACACGTAGAACACGGCCACCCTTCTCCAAGTTCTGTTTGCCAGGTGACCAGCAAAGCAATATGTCCCACAGTCACAGATATATACCCACGATCACAATCGACAAGCAGCTCTTGACTTGGTCGTTGCGTCCCTGTTTCGCCCCTTCTCGTCACCATCTACGATACCGTCTTCGACCCTCTCAGCGCTAGAGGATGGCGAACGCTAATCTACTTTACGCGAACTTCAACCAGGACTACTCGTGCGCCGCTTACTTCGAGTGTTAAACACACAAAATGGGAGCTAATGGCAGTACGCAGATGCGTTTCGGTTGGAACGCGGAAGGGATACAGCATTACGAATTGCGAGCCATTTGGAAGGGTCTACACTATGAGTCAGTTCGCTCTGCTGGATATGTCGCCTCGAGATCTTATCTAGTGGGCTTCGTAGACAACGGCGCGCGCGGTATAGTTGAGATGCTATTTTGCACTTCTCTTCTCGCCCTGGTTGGGGTCGCAGACGTGTTAGGATCCAGCCCTCGAAAGCTGCAGATAGTCAATACTAAGGTACGCTCCCCTTCGGAATCTTGACAATTCCCTCAGATGAAGATGAACGACTCTTCTAGCGACAAACCATGATCTGCGAGCTCCTTTTCCCCTCGTCAATCCTCGCCGTCAAAATGAACCGAAGGGCACTCGTTGTCGTCCTGGAGACGGAGATATACATATACGACATAAGTAACATGCGGTTGCTGCACGTAATCGAGACGACTGCGAATCCGGAAGGTGCGTTAGCTACTCCGTTCTCGATGTCCAATATTGACATATCCTAGCGATCTGTGCTCTTTCCCCGAATGTGGAGGCGTCATATCTCGCTTATCCATCGCAAGTACCGTCGCCAAATTCTCCGCTATCTGCGTACCCTGGCTCCGACACGGCCGCAGCATCTTCAGCGGCCACCCCTCAGTCCAACGGCGACGTGACCATATTCTCAACCACATCCCTCACCACAGCAAATATAATACCATCCGCCCACAAGTCTCCCCTATCCATCGTCCAAATCTCCCAGAACGGATCGTTGCTAGCCACCGCCTCGGTCAAGGGCACGGTGATCCGCGTATGGAGTGTGCCGAAAGCGGAGAAGTTGTATCAGTTCAGGCGGGGGTCAAGGGAGGCGAGGATATACAGCATCGCGTTCAACTCTGTGGGCTCGCTCATGGCCGTCAGCTCGGCCAATGAGACGGTTCATCTATTTAAATTGGGACGTGGCCAAGACGCGCCGAAGGCTGCTTCGGAGGCGACGCCCGTCAGCCAAACGGGGTCGAACGAAAGTCATGGCGGGCCTCTAGAAGGTGGTTACGAGGCCAAGAAGGGCAGTAGCAGCGGCGTCTCGTGAGTACACAATCGTGTTTCTCTACCTAGTGCATCCTTTCTCATATTCCCAAGGTCGTCCCTACGGCGGAAATCGATGCAACTGTCCAAGACGCTGACGCACTCCGTTGGCGGTTACCTGCCTAATACCGTGACGGAGATGTGGGATCCGTCGCGCGACTTCGCGTGGCTGCGGCTGCCCAGTAGCCCGCTCGGAGTAAGGTCTATTGTTGGGTTGAGCGGGTGCGTTCTTTGCCCTCCGGTTTGTGTCGCGCTGACAGCTCTTTTCACGACCAGTACTATGCCCCAGATCATGGTCGTCTCCTCAGAAGGCTACTTCTACGCTTACAGCATCGATCTAGAAAAGGGGGGCGAGTGTGCGCTCATGAAGCAGTTTAGGTGAGCGTCCATCTGGCATTGTCTCAGCGTGATGGTTTACGCTTGCGTTGACAGTTTGCTGGAGTCGGGGGACGAGAGCTCGAGTGTCAGTATCACAGACTGATATTCCGGCTAGGACGAGGGCCACCCTCGGCCTGGATGGCTACTGAGTTAAACATACATCAGTGCAACCCCGATGCCCAATGATCGCCGACAGCTCATAAATCCCTTGAAGGATATGAAGAGGGTGGTGGCTCAGGATCGGCGGTGGGATGAATACTGCCTCAAAGAAGGCGCACAGCTGTAGTAGCCACCATGAGACAGTACAGCTTTTTGCATGCGGGCGCGCTCGAGGCTGCAGTTTGCTCTGGAACCTCGGAGCCTGATAATTGGGCCGGTTGTGCGCTCTGCCCGATGCTATGAAGCTTTGGCGTACTCCAAACCTATAATCTTGGGCTTCAACGTTATTGTTGTTTGTCGTTCTTACGGCGCGGCAACCCGTCGCGGACGCTGTTCCATACACAAGAAGAGCACTGTCTAATATCGATGATTTGTCTCACACCCACGTTACTCAAGTCGAAGCCTTCAATCCATTCCAGGTCAAAGACAGCAAGTCACGCTCAACGCTGCCTTCGCTGCAGAACTAACACTGCAGAAAGTAGGAATCCTGATTTATATAACCGACACCAATCGCACTTGCACGAGGATACCGAGTCAAAGATTGTATACCTCATGCTTGGTCATCGATCATTGGCGGTTCGTTCTACTCTACACGCGCCCGGCTCTTGAACCTGTCTGTCTGATGCCACCAATCCAGCAAACCAATCGTTCCGAAATAGATCATGAATTTCTCGTGATGCAGATCATGCTTCCTCGCCGCCCCTCCAAAGAAATCGTACCCCGAGTGCACCGTCGCCGTCTCGAACAGCACGAACGCCATGAACAGCCAAAACGTCACCACATGGGCGTGGAAGAGCTGCGGGGGAATGGTGATCGGCAGGATATTAGCAAAGACGTGCTCGATTGGGTGCGCGTACTGCGCGGCGAGGGCCACGGGCGCGGTGAAACGATGGTGGAATTTGTGGATCTTCGGGTACAGACTCGGTATGTGGAGGAGGCGGTGGGAGTAGTAGAACAGGACTTCGCGCATGAGGACGCACGCGACGAATTGGAGGGCTATCTCAGCGATCCCGGGAAGTTTGGCGTCAAAGCGGAAGGGGTGGTGGCGCGTGCCTGAGGTGAGGTGTACGGACCCAAGTTGGAGGGCGATGGAAAGCAATTGATTGCCCAAGACGACTTTGAAGCATTCCCAGACTTCGGAGCGGGTTGGCTGCTTTGGCGCGGGCTGGATTTTGTGCGATTCACTGTACACCGGGAAAAGAACCTCCAGCGAAGCGTATACACCGCATGGAATGTAGAACGTCAGGATCTGAATGAGGAGGGTCCCGATGATCTCAATGGATGCTTGCGAGTGATTTGCCAGCAGTTGCTGCCAATGTCTATGCGCAAACGCTTCGGCCATGGCGCTATATGAAGAAGACGGTGGCCAAGATACACTTGCGGTTGGGCGCCGTTTATAAAGACTGGGAGCACATGTCGTTATCACAAGGCTCCTTGAGGTTCCCTGATCGACGATGTGGGGAATGTCAGAACGCGGTATGCGAATTTCAGGGTCTGTTCCCAGGAGTAGTGCGCTGAGCGGTGCGCTCAACTGCGGAAAGCTGTAGGCGCGGTGCGAGAACGGCACTGCCATCAAGCCAGTGATGCAAGTCCAATCACTTTAAGAAGATCTTAGTTTGCCCCACTCTCGTCTTGTCTCTTCATCCGCCCATGACTATGCTAGCCGGAGAACACAACAAAGGCTTGCCCGCTGGGTACACCAAGCTCGATAGTACTCCCCCGCAATCCCATGAGACTTACCCCCCGCTCCCTCCATATTCTCGCCCTTCAGAACCCGGTAGCAGTAGCGCCCAAGGAGAGCCACCATGCAACTGGTTGAGCGTTTCTCGCGACAAGTCCGAAAGCATCAGAGGCGTGTACCTCGTCGACCCCTATCTCGACATCCCTGAGGTGCTACTCGCCGTCCCCCAGAAGGAAACAGAGAAACAGGCGAACTTGGTGCTTAAGACCGAGAGGGGGGACATAGACGTGACTGTGCGTATCCTTGGTGTGGAAGGGGGCACGTATATGAGGCCCTGCCGCGATGGAGATGCCGCGAGCGAGCAGGGGGATCCAGTGTGCATCACGATGTCCACATCAAAAGGGTCGATCACTAGTAGACTTGTATGTACCTCGAGTTGCAATCTCTCCTCCAGGATTTTCTGATTGTGCAGCCAAGGTTTCTGTCGAAGGTTCAGGCGCCAATCCCCGGGCTAAGCTCCAATTTATGGCCCGGGCGGACAATGGTTCAGTCAATCTTTTGCTCCCTCGATCATTTCTGGGGATGATCTCGACTCATCCGCCTCCGGCTTCAGTACCGTCGCCAATAGTACCTGTAGAGATATCCCCCGATCTCCAAAGCAATGCAACAGTAATCATGGACACCGACAGGAAGCGATTCTTCATCGGACACTCAACGCAGCTGCCCAATCACTCGAACTACGATAAAGTAGAAATTTGTATTGCTGGAGGCAGCGTGAAGTTGGGATACAATGACGAAGTTGACGCGGAGTGGTTGCTGCAACCGAAAACCTTCATTCAGAGGTTACAGGAGTGGCGAAGGATCTTATGTTGTTGATAATTTGCAGTTAGGTTCCGTATATGAGTAACACATATGTATCTGTCTTCGTCGAAATCTCGTCTTAAATCGGCCAAGGAGTTGACGGAGAACTCATAGGCTGATGATAAACCAGCCTCTCTTCGAGAGTATGACAGTTGATGCTCTCAAAAGAGATATCTAGGCGGCTTTAGAGGACACGATACTCACATATTCCACGGATGCATAGACAACCTGAAATAAACCGCACAATTCGGTACCGTCACACCCTCCACAGCCTTTCCAGAATGCGTGAATAGATCCGCGGTGTAGGCCGGGTGACGCTGGCTATCATATCAGCACTCATTGTCGACATAACATTAGTTGAACACAGATCTTTGCGGGGTGTTTCGAAACAAGTGGCTTCGCTATGCGAGAAGTACCCTCTGGGAAGACGCAGTTAGAGGAATGTGGTTTTCGTTTCGATGCCCTAACCAATGTGCGAGGACCAGAATCGTTGTCGTTAATTAAGATGGGTACTGGAATATTGCATCTAGTGGCGTTGTGTCCAACCCCTCCCGTCGTCGACGTCCTTCGTTCCATCACCGAGGAGCAGGATTTGTAGTAGTTTCGGATGATAGTGTGCGAGAAGGTCACATTGTCTGTCCCATTTACGCAGTCGAACAATCCTAGGTAGGAAGGAGGGGCTCTGGGTTAGAAAGCGTTCCACGAAGATGGAAACGTCTTTGACACGTTCCCTATAGATCTGGAATTGGATGCCAGAAGGGTGATAAGTTAGCGAGGGGATGCAAACAGGTGACCGTCGGCATGATAAGGACAGCGACCACTATGCAGACGAAAAGATATACACAACAAACGACAAAGATCCACGAAACAAGTCGATATTTAAACCAATCTAATACAAGCCTTGAATTCTATCCAAATGATCGTCGCAATCCTCTTGCGGTGTCGAAGGCACTAACCGCAGCGTAGCCATTCGTGGACCAACACGTTCTCCACCAAACTCCCCTTCGATCTTCGCTTCCGTCCCCCTCTCGGCACCACAACCCCCTCCAAAAACAAGGGAGTACGGCGTGAGGTGTTCGTCGTCGGTAGCTGGAGACGAGTAGCAGCATCCGCCAACAGCGTTGCTATTGCCGTATTCCATCCCGATACCCAGACCTCGATTGTAATCGACGGCACCTCCTCGAGCATACTCCATCCCGTCCCTAGGACGGCAATCATCTCTCTTCTCGTGCACCTTCGCCTGCTGCCCACCATTTCCACTCATTTTCCCCATAGAAATCCGATGCCTCACTCCCCGAATCCCTCGTCCAATACCACCCGGTCTTGCAAGCATGTGGTTCACCCGAGGCGGGATCTGTACTACACATGGTATTGTGAAGACTGAATAAATATATTATAGGTGCGTTACTTGAACAAACTGTCTACAACTAATGAAAGCGCCAAGGTTGACTAGGGATAGGTAAAGAAATACATGAGTTGTAGTAAAGTAGAAAATGACAGCGTAGAATCGCGATTAGTTCCGAGGAATTACTCAGGCGTCTGCCTGCCTTCGTCTAGCTTGAATGACGAAGACTGACGGCTCGGGAACAAGCTGAGGCTGGGCATCGCAGATGCAGACGAAGTGGAGCCTTTCAGAGCCTTCGCATTCATCCTATGTTGCCCTGATACTAAATGTTAGAAAAGAGCAAAGAGAAGCGTAGAGAACTACGTACGTTTCGATTGTGATTCCTCTCGTTCCGTTGAGTTCGCCCGTTTACGCCCGCTGAGAACCTGGCCGTGAATGGGATAGTTTTTTCCGGGCGCCATCTGCTTTCGTTCCTCCCGTGGGTACGACCGAGGAGTCACAGTGTCCAGCTCGACGTTCAACTTTTGACATTCCCAAAGGTGGACATGGTTGAGTATCAAGCGCTGCATGGCTTCGTGGAGATGAAGGGGTTTGGGTGCCGGAGTCACAAGTGCCCATTCAGGGGCGATTTGTTCGCCGAGATCCTTCATCAAGGGAACGATGAAGGAGAGGTCTTCGTGCAACCATAGCGCCCAGTAGCTCATCTGGAAGAAAGACGACCTTGAGTCCTGAATTTTCCCAACTTCATGCTCCGCAATGTTCGACCATATGTCACGAAGTCCCTTGGCGTTGTTGTCTTCGTCGTTGTTCAATGGCTTGGCAAGTAAGACGAACGCAACAATACACCAGTATACAGACTCGGCGTCGTGACGGGGTTGATGTTCAAAATTGGCCGACCGAAGGGCATCGTTATCTTTGTAAGCCTTCTGGAGCTTTTTTGAGAGATGGCCACCATGCGTAGTTGTGTCATCGTCAGAGAACTTTCGCATGTCGGAGGTGTCGTCGTGGTACACTTGATGGTACTTCTCCACGATGTCTGACTCTAGCTCCGGCATAGAGGGAAACCCATAGAGATCCAGGATTGCACCGAGAGCGACAGATCGAGAGATGAACTTTGGTGTACCCTACAGAGTTTGTCAGTCAGAAGCAGCGACGAGGTATAAATGATTGAACTCACAGTACGGTACCTCAATGGTTTGTCGTCGGTGTCCTCTCCCTTCGCCACGACCCTGGTTTTATCGAGGTTGGCACAATTGTCCATGTCGATTAGTCGCGCCATCGGATCTGCCCTCGCTTTGCTATGGGACCATTGTGAGCGCGTGATATTGTGACCGCTATCCCACTTACCCTGTCAAAACTTCGTTGATATACACTGGACGCTTCTCGCCTGTGAATGGGACAATGCCCGTCGCATCTTGAGCGTCGACAACAATGTTTCCGTGACTGATGTCCCGGTGGAGCAACTTGCGCTCCGAGAACATGAAGCGATGGGCTAAACGGTCTCAACATCAGCGAGCAGAAACAGAAGAGAAAGAAGATACTCACCTTCAAGAATGTCGTACATCCCTTTGAAGAAGTCCACGATGTTCTTGCATTTCGTGAGAGGCCGACCGTATGTCTGCATGATCAAGCGGGTCTTTATTCTTATGCAGTCGTTAATGCAGACCGTAATTGGGTACCCAGGGGCGTATTCGACCTCATATTCGCGCTCGACAGCGGCAAATCCAGGCACGGTCCCTTCTCGATGAAGGATTTCGTACATTTCGCCCTCCTTGAAGCGGGTCCGAGCGTCACGGTACGTGTCCTTGATCATGATAGGACTTTTTGGCTCGTCACCCCCCGACTTGACAACCCATGTCATCCGCGTCCACGGCTGTCCGACGAACGTGACTCGACAATTCTTGTAGATTTTGTTACCGACATCGATGTTCCAAGTAGGCGGCCGAAAGATGTCGTCGGTGGAAGCCAGGGTTATGGAGGGGTCTCCGGACGGCCTGTCGGGGCGGGGACAGTAAAGTGTGTAGACATACTGCAAGAGTCCGATGACATCGCCCCAGTCGAATTCTTCGGATGTGGTGAGCCCCGCAGAACAGCTGTACTGGATTTGGTAACCGCAAGGCGAGACAGAGAGGCCGTACATCCCCACCAAGTCTGGGCGGGACTGATTGCCACATGCAATGTAAGCGCCGCACTGCCCTGCACCGGCGCGTGAATCAGAGGCTTGCTTCTCCTCGATCGCTGACAGGACAAGGTGCCACGGCATTCGCTTCCGGGAGTCGAGATCGAGCATCGCAATGATACTCGCAAGTGCGCAAATGAGATCTGGCCGGCCGGTTTCTATTCCATTCGGGTGATGTGCTGGGGTATACCGGCTGTTGGTGCGAAAGGTGAGGGGTTCTACCTTCGGACAAATATTCTCTACAATAACCAACATGGTTAGTGGTGCGATGGAGAGGAAGAAAACGTAATTACCGTGTATCTTTCTACACATGTGGTTGAGAAGCTGCTCGACCATAGTGTAGTCAGTTTTCGTGCTGTCCCTGAAGGCCAATGCAAGTGCGAGTAATTCAGCGTCGGTGGAAAGAGCCTCGAGGTCGTCGTGCTTGTTCAGGAAAATTTGACAGAATTCGGGGTTGGGCACAAGCGAGCCCTTGGGGAGATGCGTCGATGTCATTTCTCTTCTAGTATTGGGAGGCGGCTTTGTCGCTTTCACTGGGCTGCTCTGAAGACGAACTGTTCGGTCAGACATGTTGGGTTGACAGAACGAGAAGCGGAGGCCATCACATTTATACTCACTTAAATGGCCACAGAAGTGATACAATGGATTTCTGCCAACTGCCCAGGTTGCTTGTTCTGGTAGATGTGGAAGTCAGTGGCAAGTCAGAACGAAGTGGCGTCCATTGTCGAACTCGAATATTGCCACACACGTGACCGCAATATTTGATCTCCGCACTTTCCCAATACACTACCTTCCAAAACAGGACAGTGGAACGCTCTTCGGCCACTCGAACCGACACCCCTGTTCTTCCTTCACAATGGATCTTTATGCAGGTGGCCTTGACATGATGGTTGAACGTTGGTCGTGTGGACTGGGTACGATATGTGGCTACGCCGGAGGAAATAACCACGAGAAGCAAGTCACATGGTCGCGATATGATTTCCTGAACTTGTCTGCGTGTTTCGACAATCCACGCGACATTGCATGTATGAAATGTAGAATAGAAGGGCAAAATAACCCTCAGTTGGGGGATGATTTGCGATACGTGGCGGCCTACTACGACTAACGATCATTACTCGACTGAGCGAACATGGAAGAAAGTTGCTCCGACTAGCTTGAGCCCGTACGTCTCGCCAAACTTGATCGCTCCCCAGCTCCTCCGCTCCTCGAGCGCCGCCCCGTATTCCGGCGAACCTGCTGGGATGGTAAATTCACCAGCGCTAGACGGCTCTTCGAAGAGCAAGAATACTGTCGGGGTGATCAGGGGCCAGGCGAGACTGAAGAGGGAGATCGCGCACCATAGCGATGTAGTCCGCTGCCTGGAGGTGGCCCAGGTGGTCTGTAAGGCGTGGTGGATGGCTTCGTCTTTAGAGCGCTCAAACTGCTCGTTTGGTCAGATGTTCTGGCAGGGGACTTGAGGCCAGTTATCTATGAAATAAGTCGTTTACTTTGTGCTTTGATTATAAATCAGAAGGCATAGTAAACGCACCACCCAGTGCCTGAACTCCTTATACTTTGGATCAGCCCGTGAGGGGGCGTCTGGATCGCACATAACCAACGTATAGCTCGTTTCGCTACTACCCTCCCCTGAGTTCGGTGTACCCATCGGAGTAAAGACGATATCTGGTTCATCGAGCGTTTCGTCCCTGGTTAGCTCGTTCCCAAGAAGCGCTTCCTTCCCAGTCGGCCATACGACGGAGAAGAGAACGGAAGGGGAGAACGCAGCAGACGGCGGGATGACGTCGGGGATCAGCTGGACTGAAGCGAGAGAGGCGGTCACTTCTGCCAAGGGGTCGACGTTAGACATTGTCGATGGACGACAGTAAACATCGACGTGGTGGTCTCAACAGAGAGTGGAGTTTAGTCGGACCGTTGACTGGTTGTCTCGGCCCGGCGAAGAAGGTTGCCATAATAGTGTACGTCCCCTCTAGTAGACGGCGCCCAATACCCTCCTTGTGGCTTCGACAATTACCTCCCACACTGAATTGTGTATTCTTTCCTCCAATGTTTCCATACTTTCCCCGGATCGCATGTATACTTCCCGGACCAATCCAGGTTGCCCTTGATCAAACACTCACTACGCGATGGACCGTCACTCCGGATTTGGTGATTTCTTCCTTTCGAAAGGCCTCGAACACGAGGTGGGTGGTGTGCATTCCGTCGAAAGCACCAGGGAGTACGGGATGCAGGCTGATCAACTGGATGCCACTCCTCCGATCAACTGGATGCCACTCCTCCGATCACCTGTGGACATATCCTCCAGAAGCCGAAGACGGCTGTACGACACATTCGACATCTCTATCTCAATCAGTCAGACATTCGCATAGGTTCGCTTCCAAGTAAACTGGCGAGATGTGTGCGGTTGGGGTCGGGGGTCGGATGCCTGTGATGCGCAAGCGATAAACCATATGCTGCCTTTCGATTCGAGGCTGGTTCCTGCGAGGAAATGAGGGCGCTTTGGCGTACAGGCGAAGACAGCGACTTACTACCTGACCCTCATATTACGACTATACGACTCCACAGCATCGGCCATCGTCGTTGCAGGTAAAAGGGAGGGGGGTGGCAATGAAACTTGGCCGTCTAGAGGGCATCCATCGCACACCAGAAATCAACATTATTGTGTTATCAACTTATCCAGTGTCCGGAACGCAGCATGGCCAGTTTTGTGGAGACTCGGGAGAGTAATTCCCGTGCGCAAACCTTGCGCTCATTATCACCGCCTCAACAAACATCAACGAGAAACGCCGAAGATATACAGAAAATCTTTTCCGCACCGCTGCACTGCCCTCTATGGATGACCCCATGGTTCTATACCCAGGGGATATATTCCATTCAGCAACGAGTTATATCCTATCCGTTCAATCCTGCCTCCTCGCTCTCTTTTCTATTGAAAGATAGACTATGTCATGATGGTGTACGCCTGTTCGGAGACGACAGTGAGGCTCTGGTGCTATTCCACATGTCCGAGTATAAGGATAACCACTGCGCCTGCCGTATAAGGTCATCTTCTACCTTCTATACACTAACTTGACTCACGTAGCGGATCATTTGTCGATATAGCACACTTTCAGAGTCACTGATGTTTCGAGGTTATGTCTGAGTTAGGTAACTTTCTGGTTCCGAGACCTGTCTCCTGAGTCATGTCGCCGGCCGGTCCGTCCTAGGCGCCAACGACCGGTATTTTGGCAGGCAGAATTGTGAGCAAGCTCTCGAATTGGACGAAAAATAGGAAGCCAATATTTGACTTTTAGTCGAAGACGGGCGTACCCCGAGAAGTCGAGCCTATTAACTCAGCATGCCAAAGTGCTAAGGATAAGAAAAGAAGTTTCAGCGCCATCGCTTTTCGGCGTATTGTATTATGTAAACAAAGCGCGAGGTGAATCGGAGCCCAAGTGTGGGAATTAGTCAGTCTTACTGGTTGTCGTCGACCCCCATCATCTCGCCTCGCATCCACGTCGTTGGGCACAAAACGCGCATTTGGACGGTCAAATTCGCCTCGAGAGCACCAGCTCATTGCCATACGGCATTTTCTCTCTTTTTCCTGCTTTCAATCGGTTCAAACTTCGCTTTCAATCACGTATCTTCAAAAACGCACCCCTCAACACTACACACGCTTTAATCTTGGTTCTACGTCGTCTCATACACCCTTATAATTATGCTGGGCCATCAGTTTGCCTTCTCTGCGGCCCCCATCCGCAAGGTGAAGGAGGTTCAGTTTGGGATTCTGTCCCCGGAGGAGATAGTAAGTTTTCCAACAACCGCCCAGCGTCACCCCTCATTTTTTTGCAGAAAGCCTATTCTGTCGCCAAAATCGAGCATCCGGAAGTAATGGATGAAGCTACTCATAAACCGAAAATTGGAGGTCTGATGGATCCGCGGATGGGGACTATAGATCGAAATTTCAAGTGTCAGACGTGCGGAGAAGGTATGTCTGAATGCCCAGGTCATTTCGGTCATATAGAGTTGGCAAGACCCGTCTTCCACCCTGGTGCGTCGCGTATTACAGTCGTCGTTTTCTCTCAGACTCAGCTCTCTGTAGGCTTCATCCTGAAAGTGAAGAAGATCCTTGAGTGTATCTGCGTAAATTGCGGGCGACTAAAGGCTGATATCGTGAGTTGACATCTTGCTTCCTCTACTCGTTTCGCACCCCCACCATCCCATTTTCTGGGGGCTCTCTCCAAATCCATGGAGAACCCCAAACCCGCACCACGTCAGTTTCTCGACAATCGAGGCGTTCTTCTGCTCGTGCGCATTCGGGGGACGAGGGAATCGAATGGGCTTGTCGCTTGACCGGTCTCGCTCTTTTCTTCTCGTTTCCCACCTGTACATATAATGCCACGAGCGGTTGGACACGAGGTTGCGTGGTGAAATGGGGGGCTGAACGAGATAGTGCGAAAACACAAATCTGGCTGTACCAGTTGACGCCCGCGTCGCTGATCGGTCGTGATGGACAGCTCCTCCGCTTCTCGCTGTGACGCAGCTTGAGGAGCGTGTGCTGGGCTTTTGCACTAGTTTTAGTCTCACCCCCTGTGTGTACTTCACCTTTAAGTGTCGGCCTGGATGTCCTTTTGTGTATATCCCATGGAAGACAGTCGCTGACGTCTACTGTCCCCTTTCCATGATGTCGTCGTCCTGGCCTTCCCCGTCCCTCGATCTGACCTCCGTTGTCTGAATGCTCGTGAACGTCTGTTGGACATGTAAGTCGGACCCCAACTTCTCGGACAAGATCCGCCACATTCGCGATCCCAAATTGCGTATGGCGGTCGTTTGGAGCCACTGCAAGACGAAGATGATTTGTGAACCCGATGAGCAGAAGGACGAGGCCGATGGTGCCGATGCCGAGGAACCCAAGAAGGGGCACGGCGGTTGCGGCCATACCCAACCCCAGGTGCGGAAAGAAGGTTTGAAGCTGTTCGTGCAATATAAGAAGTCGAAGGAAGACGACGAGGTCTGTATCACCTCGCCATTCCGCTGAGATCGCAGCTGACGAGATCCCGTAGGATGGCAAGTCGCTGCAGCCCGACAAACGGCTCATCACGCCGTCAGAGGTGTATACGACGTTCAAAAAGATGACGGACTCGGACCTCCATATTATCGGGCTATCCGAGGAGTATGCTCGGCCGGAATGGATGATCTTGACCGTCATGCCTGTTCCTCCGCCGCCTGTGAGGCCAAGTATTGCTGTAGACGGGGGCGCCATGCGAAGCGAGGACGATCTGACATACAAGCTCGGGGACATCATCAAAGCCTCGGCCAACGTGCGTAGATGTGAACAGGAGGGTGCTCCAGCCCACGTTATCTCCGAGTTTGAGCAGTTGCTCCAGGTCAGCTCGTGTTTGGATCTTTATGAAGTTTGAAGTTTACCTCTTGATGTTCAGTTCCACGTCGCTACCTACATGGATAATGACATCGCTGGGATACCCCAGGCGCTCCAGAAGTCGGGTCGACCTGTCAAGGCGATTCGTGCTCGTCTAAAGGGCAAGGAAGGAAGGCTACGTGGGAATCTGATGGGTAAACGTGTTGATTTCTCGGCGCGTACCGTCATCACAGGTGACCCAAATCTGGAGCTGGACGAAGTAGGCGTACCGAAGTCGATAGCCATGAACTTGACCTTCCCAGAACGAGGTGCGTGTGAAGTCAAGGTCTATGGGTCCCTCCTACTCACCGTGCCCGTGAATAGTCACACCGTACAACATCTCCTATCTACAGGAACTTGTTCGTAACGGTCCGACAACGTACCCTGGTGCTCGGTATGTCGTCAGAGATACGGGCGAGCGTATTGATCTGCGGTATAACAAGCGGGCGGATGCTTTCCTTCAATATGGCTGGATCGTTGAGAGGCATCTAAAGGATGGCGAGTAAGTTTACGTTTTTATATCTCCTGCCCGTCCATTAGCTCAACCCACCGCTAGCTACGTTCTTTTCAATCGACAGCCTAGTCTTCACAAGATGAGTATGATGAGTCATCGGGTGAAGCTCATGCCCTACTCGAGTACGTGCCTCCCTATAACGCCTGAAGCCCGATACTCATCTTTCCATCAGCGTTTCGCCTGAATCTTTCCGTGTAAGTGTATTGTGCATGGGTTATTTATGAAGCTAGACGTCTCGTTAGTACGCCGCCTTACAATGCCGATTTCGACGGTGACGAGATGAACATGCAGTACGTGTTGTGGTCCTCGTTTGTCGTTTGTATTCTCATAGCAGCCCAGTATACCACAGAGTGAGGAGACGCGCGCGGAACTGAGTCAGATAGCTTGGGTACCACGGCAGGTGAGTATTGACGTTCCGTCTGCCTTGCTCCAGCTCAAACCTTGCCGCAGATCGTATCCCCCCAAGCGAACAAGCCAGTCATGGGAATCGTGCAAGATACCCTTTGCGGTATACGCAAACTCACGCTGCGAGATACGTTCATGGACTGGAATGCCGTCCAGAACATCCTCTTGTGGGTTCCTGATTGGGATGGCATAGTGCCGATCCCAGCCATCATCAAACCCAAACCGATGTGGACGGGTAAGCAGATCCTCAGTTTGGCCATACCTCGGGGAATCAATATCTTCCGTGCGGCGGAACCTAAATCGTCGAACCCCGTTTTTGACGACGGCATGTGCATCGAGAACGGAGAGATCATCTGGGGGATAGTCGAGAAGAAGACCGTTGGTGCCTCTCAAGGCGGTCTCGTTCACGTCGTCTTCCGCGAGAAAGGTCCTGAGGGCGCGCGCGCGCTGTTCTCTGGATTGCAGAAGGTCGTGAATTACTGGCTTTTCCATAACGGGTTCAGCATTGGCATTGGGGACACGATCGCAGACGCCAAGACGATGGCGTTCATCACGCAAACTATCGCCAGCCACAAGGCCGAAGTCGCAGCCATCACCGAGCGAGCGACTATCGACGAGCTCAAGGCCGCCCCCGGTATGACGATCCGTGAATCCTTCGAAAGCCAAGTCGAGCGGCAACTCAATTTGGCCCGTGATACGTCTGGTCAGTACGCGCAAAAGAATCTGAAGGAGGACAACAATGTCAAGCAGATGGTGGTTGCCGGTTCGAAGGGTTCCTTCATCAACATCTCCCAGATGTCGGTTTGCGTGGGGCAACAGAGTGTGGAGGGGCGACGTATACCGTTCGGCTTCCGTCATCGAACGCTTCCTCACTTCACGAAGGACGATTTCAGTCCTGAGGCAAGAGGCTTCGTCGAGAACTCGTACCTTCGGGGGCTAACGCCCCAGGAGTTCTTCTTCCACGCCATGGCAGGTCGTGAGGGTCTCATCGATACCGCTGTCAAGACTGCCGAAACGGGTTACATCCAGCGTCGTCTCGTAAAGGCCTTGGAGGATGTTCAGGTCTGCTACGACGGGACCGTCAGGAACTCCCTCGGCGATCTTATCCAGTTCGTCTATGGCGAGGATGGTATGGATGGCGCCTTCATCGAAAAGCAGAACATCGCGACCTTCGGTGTCAACCATGCTCAATTCAAGCATAACTATCACGTCGACGTCGTTGATCCCGCTGGAGGTTTCTTGCCAGGCGTCCTGCAGGTTGGAGTCGACGACTCCTCCCCAGAGCTGCAGGCGAAGCTAGACGAGGAGTTCGCCCAACTCTGTGAAGACAGGAAACTCTTGCGCGAATTCGTTTTCCCTCGAGCAGTTCCTGGCTCGGCCCACTACCTTCCTGTCAATCTGAATCGAATCGTGCAGAATGCCTGCCAGATCTTCCACATTGACCGACGGAAACCGAGCGATCTCGAACCAGCCTACGTCGTCGATGCCGTAAGAGACCTCGTGAAGCGCCTCATCGTCGTTCGTGGCGACGACGCCTTGAGTCGCGAGGCGCAGACCAACGCCACCCTCAACTTCAGCATGCATCTTCGCGCTACGTTCGCATCTCGGAAGGTCCTCGAACAGCATCATCTAACCAGGGAAGCGTTCGACTGGGTTCTCGGCGAAGTCGAGGCGAAGTTCAACCAGTCCATTGCGAATCCCGGTGAGATGTGTGGCACGCTTGCTGCCCAGTCTATCGGTGAACCAGCCACTCAAATGACCCTCAATACCTTCCATTATGCCGGTGTATCGAGTAAAAACGTCACCCTCGGTGTACCGCGTCTGAAGGAAATCATCAACGTCGCTAATAACATCAAGACCCCTTCACTGTCGGTGTACTTGGAGCCTGAAATCTCAAAGAATCAATACCTCGCGAAGAATGTCCAACAGGAGCTCGCTTACACGACTCTTCGTACTGTCACGGCCGCTGTCGAAATTTGGTACGATCCTGACCCTTCCTCTACCATCATCGAAGACGACGCAGTGTTCGTCGAATCTTTCTTCGCAATCCCCGACGAGGAAATATCCAGCAAATTGCATCTCCAATCACCTTGGCTCCTGCGTTTAGAGCTTGATCGAGTCAAGATGATTGATCGCAAGCTTACTATGGCCTACGTCGCCGGGCGTATCTCCGAGTGTTTCAAAAACGACATCTTCGTAATCTGGAGTGAGGATAACGCGGAGAAGCTCATTGTTCGTTGCCGAGTACTCAGTACGCACGACAAGGAGGATGTCAGCGAGGTCGAGGAGGATGTTTTCTTGCGACAGCTAGAGAACACTATGCTCAGCTCCGTCAGCTTGCGCGGCGTGGAGAACATCAACCGTGTCTTCTTGATGGAACACGACAAGGTTACGACCGCTGAGGACGGCAGCATCCAGGCCAATCAGGAGAAAGAGTGGGTTTTGGAGACGGACGGGGCCAATCTCAAGGCAGTCATGTGCATCGATGGCGTCGATTTCGCGCGGACCTATTCAAATAACTGCGTCGAGGTTTTCAACGTGTTGGGGATTGAAGCTGCGCGCGGCGCTATCATGAAGGAACTGCGAAACGTCATCGAGTTCGATGGATCATACGTCAATTATCGCCATCTTGCCCTCCTTTGTGATCTCATGACGCATCGAGGAACTCTTATGGCCATCACCCGCCACGGCATCAATCGGGCAGATACTGGCGCTCTGATGCGATGCTCGTTCGAAGAAACGGTGGAGATTCTGATGGAGGCCGCTGCAGTAGGCGAAAAGGACGATTGCCACGGAATCGCGGAGAACGTCATGTTCGGACAGATGGCCCCCATGGGTACTGGCTCGTTCGACGTCGCCCTCGACATCGACATGCTCAAGGATGCCATCGTGGATCATCGCTTACCTGTACAGTCTTTGCTTGCTGCCCAAGCTGACGGTGGCATGACTCCTGGTCAGGTCGCGATGACACCTTACGACACCAATTCGCCTACATGGCAGGACGGCATCTTCAAGGCTGAGCAAGCCGCGTTCTCTCCTCTCGCCGTTAACGGTATTGAAGACGCTGCCAACATCCAGTACATGCCCTTCGGCCAAAGCCCCCTAGGCGCAGGCAGCATGTCACCTGGCGGCCCTATGTACAGCCCTAGTTCGCCAAACGCGTACTCTCCGACCTCACCCAGCTTCGTACCACAATCTCCCTTCGTTGGCGCTACATCGCCGTTCGATATATCTCCGTACAATACCTCGCCCTTCTACGATCGCAGTCGTGGGGCAACTTCTCCTACGTATTCACCCACCTCGCCCGCCCTCAATCTCACGTCTCCGAGCTACTCACCTACAAGCCCGCGACAATCATATTCCCCGACCTCGCCACGCTATAGTCCGCAATCCCCTTCATTCAGCCCAACATCACCTCGATACTCACCTACCAGTCCGTCGTTTAGTCCAGCTTCGCCGAGATGTAAGTAAAGTCTACTACCTTGTCCGTGCTTCATACTGATCTCCATGGGTTAACAGACTCTCCGAGTAAGTCGTGTCCAGTACTTTTTCTTACCATTCTTAACCGTCGCCCTCCTCCGTTTCTCCCTCTGCAGCATGTAAGTTCTCTATCGAACGCCATTGCTTCCCTTTGTCTTACTCTTTCTTAGCGCCAAATATGTCGCCGTCCTCTCCGAAATACTCCCCTACCTCGCCAGCCTCGCCTTCTTCCCCTAAATACTGTAAGTCATCGTGGATCACTCATAATCGCTTGCTAATTTCTCCCCAGCTCCCACTTCCCCTGCCTACTCACCAGCTTGTAAGTATTTACCACCTGTATCGTCGAAACTGACTGACTCATCGTTCCTGCGACTTCTTAGCGCCTGCTTATTGTTAGTGGATTCCTTCTACCGTCCGCTCTCCTAATGCTGATACACTTTTAGCCCCTGCTTCTCCCGCATATAGCCCCACGTCGCCGTCCTGGTCGCCGTCCAGCCCGGGGCACAACCAGCAGCAGAATGGCAATACACGCAAACCCGCATACTCTTCTTCGCCATCATGGGATTAAAGGGACGATATCCGACTGCGATGGACTGTTTACTCGTATGATCTTTACTGCCGTACATAGCGTCATTTTATCTAGCACTTCACCATATGTAGAATACCTTGCACTTTCCAATACAGCTAGATGTGGCTTTATTTACGCTCGAGCGGACTTGAACCAATCCCTTGCTACCTCCCACCCGACTTCTGTAGCTTCCACGCCTTCGAGGGGATGGCCCTCTTTTTCGAACCACAGCATCTCAACCTCCTTCGACCTGGCTTTGAGAGCATGGTAATATCTGATTGCCTGTGGGGGCGGGACACGCATGTCGCTACCGCCAATCAGCAATAACACTTTGGCCGACACGTTGTCCACATGGGCGATCGGCGAAGCGCGGTACAAGTGTTCATAGATTTCCGGAGTGACCAACGAATCCGGGGTGAATGGCAGGCCTAGCTCGGAGAAGGCCCAGTCAGGGATATCGGATATCGCAAGTTCGCCGCATGAGATGACGGGGTTGCGGAGGACTGCTGCGGAGAAGACGTCTGGGTACTGCCCGATGACTACATATCCCGCCATATGTCAGTTCAAGGCGAGAAGTTGCACGTTGAATGTTGATCAAGTTACGTACGGTGAGCAGCGAGGAATCCGCCATGGCTCCCTCCGGAAACGAACTGCTGCCCCTTGCCGAATTTCGCGATCCCGAGGTCGACGAGGTGCTTCACCGACGCCATGCAATCCTCGACGTCGAGCGAGCCGCAGTTTCCTCTCAGCGCCTGGACGTACTGCTCCCCGAAACCAAGGGAGCCGGTGTAATTCGGCAGGGAAAGTGTGTCTAATATTCTGGTTAGCCTCGTGTAGAGGTTTGATGTGGTGAGATATGAATATACATACATCCTTCGAGTGCCAACGCGATCGTTGCTGCAGAAAAGGCCGTGGTGGGAGTATAGTGGGGTCCGCCATGCGGGATCGTGATCAGCGGGGGTGTCGTCCCGACATCCTTGGATTTATATACGACCGTCTCCGTGGGGTATCGGCCTGGGATTGGCACTATTGATACATCCAACGTCTTCAGAGCCTTTTCGACTAAATTGATCAGTTAGTTGAAATACGTGGATCTCATCGGGTAAGGAGAACATACTAACCGTCGTTGGGTAATAGAGCATGATCGATGAGATATTGAGTCGGCGGGCTGAATGGATTCTGTGCGTTCAACTGGAGGACGAAAATGCCGTACGGCTCTGCGGGTGAACTGCGCACACATATTATCCTCGATGCACCGTCCGTTCCAAGGACGTTCCAGCTGTCCAGTTCCCCGGGGGTCAGCTCAAAGACCGAGCCCCCCTCAACGTCGATGAGGAAGATCGTCAAGCGTGACCGTTTCATCGAATGGCAGGCCATATATGTCTTGCCTTGCAACTTCAAGAAAGGACGTTGAGAAAGCCCGTCGAGATAGAGACCAGCGAAGGAGTCTTCTTGCGCTTCCCAGACAGTTTCTAGGACTATGCGCGGCTCCTCGCTAGTAGTGCGTGAATTATATCGGTGGAGAGTAGAGCACCCGGCATGCGCACCGCCCGTCGTTGTCGAGAGCCAGAAGACATCGTCACTCTGAGAATGCGGGTCGGAGACGATGCGTCTGAGAGACCTGCAAGACCTATCAGACGGTGTCAATTTCGTCGCACTGCAAGGAGCATCAGGCACGTCCGCGCCCGCATTAGGGATGATGATCCTCCATATACCAACCAGCCGATTGAAGCATCCTTTTATCCCAAGAAGTCGCCCGTCAGCGGTATACTCGTAGCCAGTGGCCAAGAGTTCCGTATCGCTGATAAACGTGGCCTGGCCGAAGAGTACAGTGGTGGAGTGCGACACGGAAATACGGCTGAAGGATGGCGTTGGGAGTATGGTGTCTTTATCGGTGATATCACGCCAGCGATATATAAATGTCGTCGGGCGCTTCCTGGTCGGTAAGCCTTCGCCGAAGCTGGGGGTGAACCTGAAGCGATCCAGCAAGCTGCTGTCCTTGCCCGGAGGGTTGGCCTCTGCAGTATATACTACCGCACCTTCTGTCGGCGAGAAGGAAAGCGTCGACAGATAATCTAGGTTGATTTATTTAGTGCTTCATCTTCATCGCGGGCAGCGAAACATCTCACCGTCAGAATAAAATGCCCCATGCTTGTCTGTAACTTCAGTAGATATCTCTAGACGATCGCCACGCCAAATCTCCACGAATCGCTTCTTGTCGTCTCCGTTCCCCGATTCTCGCAAGACGGCTCTGAGCTGCCCCGATGGCGATACAGCTGACAGTGCGATCTCGGGGGACACCTCCTGCATGTTCCCTGATCCTACCAGTCCTGCATCGTTAATAAAAATGGTCTTCGACAACGTCTTTTTTGCCTTCTGGACGTGGTCCCTCACGGAATATGTGACTTGTACAACTAACGCGGCAATTAGCTGCGGGGAAGTGAACGTCCTGGAAGAGCATGAGTACCATTGTCACTGATAGTTCCTGCGACTGGAATCGGAATTTCTGCAAGCCTTCGAAACATGGTGCTCATGGTGCTCGGTCGTTCGTGACTCGAAGGATGAAACCGTGAGCCTGAGATTCGTATAGAAGCGTTCAGCTTCGCTGAGACAGGGGCTACGAGCGCTTATACGCGTGACGGCGCTTGTCTTAAGCATGCGCAGGTTGTTTGCAGGCCAGTGGCTCTCATCGGTTCGTTCCTCTGCCCAGCATGTCAAGTGCAAACAACCTCGACGTGAGTCTATCGTCTACAGCAACGCTCGTTTCAACTAAATCTCCCACAGCGAGCCATTTCCATGGTGCAGAAGGCCATCGATGAAGATGTAAAGCAGAACTACACGGAAGCCTACAAACAATACATGAACTCTCTGGATTACTTTATGCTGGCACTGAAATGTGAGTACGTGTCCCGTATCTGCTCGTATTAAAACAGCGATCTTATCTACGCAGATGAGAAGAACGAGAAATCGAGGCTACTGATTCAGACAAAGATCAACGAGTATCTGACGCGCACCGAAGTGCTGAAAGAACATATCTCATCGCAAGGGGAGAAGCGCTCGAGGAGCGCGGTGGGCGTAAACGGGAGCGGTGGTAGCACCGGTGGCGGCGGAACCAAGTGCGTTCTCCTTATCTTTACGCGGTTCACACTTACTTATGAGATGACCTCGGCAGGAAGGACGACGACGATGGGCAGGACCCAGAGATGAAGAAGCTGCGGGCGGGGCTATCCAGCGCCATATTATCCGAGAAGCCGAATGTGAAATGGGAGGACGTTGCGGGCTTGGAAGCCGCGAAGGATGCGCTGAAAGAAGCGGTCATTCTGCCTATCAAGTTCCCCCATCTCTTTACCGGCAAGCGCACACCGTGGAAGGGAATCCTGCTCTATGGCCCTCCGGGCACGGGGAAATCGTTTCTCGCGAAAGCGGTGGCTACGGAAGCGAACGGCACGTTCTTCAGTGTCAGTTCCTCGGACCTGGTGAGCAAGTGGCAGGGTGACTCGGAACGGTGCGTGTATTGGTCAGAATGGTAGGCTATGGCCTCGGTCTGACTATGCTGCTGCGTAGGCTGGTCAAACAACTCTTCGAGATGGCGCGCGAGAATAAGCCGGCTATCATCTTCGTTGATGAAGTCGACTCACTGACTGGCACGCGGAATGAGTCTGAATCTGAGGGCTCGCGACGTATAAAGACGGAGTTCCTCGTGCAGATGAACGGGGTGGGCCACGATGACACTGGTGTGCTGGTGTTGGGCGCGACGAATATCCCGTGGCAGCTAGATAACGCTATCAAACGAAGGTCCGTTGTCTTCTTTGCTCTTGCGTCACTGCGATTTACCTTCATCGATTATGATCAGATTCGAGAAACGTATATATATCCCTCTGCCCGGGCCTGAAGCAAGAAGACGGATGTTCGAGCTACACGTTGGCTCAACGCCCTGCGAGCTGACCAAGGCAGAATATCGGATCCTTGGAGATAAAACAGAAGGGTATGCACGCCCCCCTTCTCCTCAGATCCGCTGACCACGACGCATTTCCAGCTACTCCGGCTCTGACATCTCCGTCGTCGTTCGGGATGCTCTCATGCAACCGGTCCGCAAGGTCATCTCGGCAACACACTTCAAGCGCATCCCGTGGCCAGACGCGCCCGAGATGATCAAATGGACACCGTGTTCCCCAGGCGATCCTGACGCCGTAGAAAAGTCGTGGACGGACGTGGCCTCAGATGAGCTAGTCGAGCCGCCGTTGCGGTTGCCTGATTTCCTGAAATCACTGGCCAGCGTGCGACCGACGGTCACTGAGGCGGATATCAAGAAGCATCAGGAGTGGACTGCGGAGAGCGGTGAGTTAGTATCTGCTTCTTAGCAGAGTGAGAATTAGTCGGATGTTGAGCTGATTGTGATCTGTTCCGCGTTCCGCTAGGCAATGAAGGCGCTTGATCTTGGTGGTAGAGGCGATCGGGCGACTGCTGTAATATTTTTATCGGCATTGTGTATGTATAATGTTCATGGGTTGAACGGAGAACACTTGGATCGCTCCGCCAGACTGAGCTTCGTCGGTTGGATCCATTTGTCTTTCTCCATCCGGCCATTCTCTTGGCGTGAACGGGGTACGGCGATAGCCTCGGTCGGCCGTTGAGCGGCTTCCTATTTCAGATAATCCTCCAGCGTCTTCATGACTACGCCATCTCGTTATTCTTATATCCATAACATAACACGAACAGCTGTAGGCTTCATGTCGTGGAAGAAGACCTGGCTATTAGCTAAAGACCACGAGTTGTGCTTCTGCCTTGCAGTAGCCTGTAGCTCAACAGCATGCCTTTACCGCACGGCCGTCAATCGATGCCATCATGCATCATGTTGAAGACTTTACTGACTTTGTGATGATCATCATATTTCTGTAGTCTTGCTCTTTCACACCACCCCAACAGTGGCGTGGCTTGCCTAGGCATCTCGCTGACCAGCCTCGCCGCGACAACACAGCTTTTTGCATTTGTGGATAACTTCCTCACATCCTCGATACAGGTGGCCACAGTGTTGCGACAGTGGGTCCACACTTTACGCCTGGTTCGGCAAAACAAAGATACAACCGCATTGTTTCCCTGCCACTCGCTTTGCCCTCTTTATCTTTATTATACTTTCATTGTCGCCACAGACCTCCGAAGGAAGTCGCAGTTCGCTCCCTCTCGGGTATATATATAAGGAGGTTGGTCCGTTGCCTCGTCATCCTTTCTTCAATCTTCCCATCATCCCAGCTAAGAACTAAGAACGCTCACTGCCCTAGCCCCCTTAGCGCCACTGCTCCTCTCTTACTACTACGTACACTACTTCACTACAAGTCTCCTTCAAGCAAGCTCGCCCTATAACAACCTGAAACAATGACGGTGACACCTAGCCCACGACGGAGTTCACGGTTATCCAAGACGTCGACGTCTCCACTGCACGGTCCGTCTTCACCACGCTCGCGGTCACGCCGCAGTAGTCCCCCCGGAAACAAGCTCCGCCCAGTCTCCCCTGAAGAGCTGGCGGAGTGGCAGGAGGGCGATCAGGACAGCGATGCGACGCTATCAGAGCCGCAACCATCTGAACTCGACGAACCCTGGCCGTTCACGTTTAGGGTAAGCACCCGTCCCCGTGTTACCCCGCATTGATCGTAATAGCGACTCACTGACGCACGCGCTTAATTACGAATGTAGCCCGGAGAAAGCGTGTGGATACGCACTGCTGGCGGTAACTGGTACCCCGGGAAGGTGTCCGGCCAAACGACACGAAAAGGCCAAACGCGAGAGGTATGATCATCACCTGTTCATTATAGTACATACTTTCTGATTATTATGATCATCATATTTATTGGCGTCGCATCGCACAGAGAGAAGGACTGTATTACCCCGTCGTATTCTGCGACAAGCTGCGCAAATACTTCGCTCCGCTGAATGGCGAGATCAAGCCCGACACCCTGCACGTTCGAGGACTCCTCAAGCAGGCTGGCTGGCTATGATATGTGATCATCTTGTCCTGATCATGATTCATCATCGATTCGATGCATGTTGTGTATTTATGTGTTACGATCACATCGTGCTGTTGCCCTGGTCCATGATGCAAACCTGCAGGCGAGTTTCTAGACTACTTGGGATGCGACGCCTTGTTATGAATAGAACCCATTGTAGTTTACTTTCACGATTCCGGAAGCCACGAACAATGAATATCTTGCTGTATTTGTACGTCAAACGGAGCCAAAAACTGCGACCCACATGTAAGCGACCGGGCTGCTTGTCAAGTACTTGGAAGTATCCGTTGAGGAGTTGAATGCTAAATCTGGGGTAGCTCTCGTACATATATCTACTGTACCTACTGGCTACCAGCTTACTCGCGAGGGTCAGTTCGAGCCGCCTCATCTGGACCTCTCTCACAACATGGCATTGAAACAGAGATCAAACTATAGACGTTCATGGAATTGGTGAATGGACAAGGTACGATGCGCACGAAAGACATGTTTCATAGTTCGATCACGAGGGACAAGCACCCATCCCTAGGAGACTCGTAGATCTATTCTTCTGACGGAGTCGCTCGTGTCTTAGAATGAAGTAGCTGTCAGGCACCCTCAATTGTGATCCCGTCGAGTCCTAAGTTATGAAGGAAATGGACATCGTGCACACCACGCCGCACGAACACCATCATAATGAAGTGCTGGGATCATGATTTGAATGCTAATTGCAGATATAATCATAACAAGCAGTGCATATTGCATGCATACAAGCGTAGGGTATATGTATATTTACAATACAATACAGCTGCAAGGGCGTTGCAATGGACGTACATTATCGATATCATTTAAATCTGGGGATCTGGGAATGCGGGCTCCTCGACACGCCATCAAGATATTGCAACAAAACGGACTATTTACTTAAGAATGTATGCACAATGAACGGTAGGACATTAACGCAAGGGATGCCTGCCGCCACCCGGGACTATCAGCGCAACTGCCGCCATCGCCATTGACGCTCTTCTCTTCATCCTGTGCGCTGTCAAAGCAGCATAAGGAATGGAAAGATGGAAGCGATGGAAGCGGTGATGAGAGATGGAAGGGGGGATGCTAGGAAGCAGGAAGACTGCGGAGCAGAACGCAAGAAGTTGTATGTATGTACGAGTATACCGATATCGGATAGGGACAGCAGCGAGAATGAAAACACCAAGCGACGCGGACGATGGTATCAGTGGCAAATTGTACATATAAAATAGAGGATTTGCTGAACATGCGCTGGTAGTAGAGGAAGAGAGTCAGGGTTTGGGGGGGGGGGGGAAAGAGCTAGCAAGAAGCACGGGAGAAGGAAAGAGTAGGTAAGAACTAGTCAAGGTTATCCAGGTCAAATTCGGAGAAGGATGGATAGATGGAACGCCCCCGAAGGCCGGAGGGCGACACGGTAGAGAACATGTCCTAATGAAGCGAGGATATTAGCACGTAGACACGAGGAAAGCTGATAAGACGTACCATCCTCCATTCGCCTATACACGTATATCACTTAGTTGAGCTGGGCCTGAGCCAGCGCCTGGGCATGGACATGTACATGGCTCGGCTTTTGCACCTCATGACAGACCTCAATCCCCTGTATCCACTCGTTCTTCAGCACTTCCTCAATCGGCGCCCTCCGTTTCGGGTCCGGCTCGAGCATGCTCCTTATTAACGGCCGGCACGCTCTCGGGGACAGATTATTGATCGTCGGGGGACACGCCGCCTGCGCGGGCTGCGATGACGAGCACGCGCCGGCATACGCGGCGTAGAGCTGATCCGACATCTGCGCAGCGCGCCACGGCAGCTCTTGGAAGTGCAGGCAATAATAGACAATGCCGCAGGCCCAGATGTCTACCAGCCGGGCGTCGTACGCTGTTGGTGGGGAAATGGGTACGGGGGTGATTAGAACATAGAGATATATAAGGGCATGCCAGTTAGAGCCCGCCGAAGCATAAAGGCTAGTCTGGCTTACGTTTGCCTAGGAACTGCTCTGGGGCGATGTAAGGCTCGCTCCCGCAGAGACCGGTTGACATGTGGATGGTCGATTCCCAGGGGAGGCGGTACACGGTCGATGCACCGTAATCACCGATCTGCAACATAGAAAACATGTGAGTATTGCCGCCACAACAAAATGAAGAGTCGATGGGTTTCGGAGGAGAAAAGGGAAGGACTAAGCAGACGCACCTTGAGATGCCCCTTCGTATCGAAGAACAGGTTCTCCGGTTTTATATCCCGATGAGCCACGCCCTGGCTATGGAGGTAGGACACGCCGCTGAGTATCTGCTTAAAACAGCACTCGACTTCGCTGGGTGACATCCCCCCTTTCTTGATCGCAGCGTACAGATCGCCTCCTGGACAAAACTCCATCACCTCGCACCAATGCTGGTTCTCATCTTGCACGAGATCGACGGTCTCGACGATGTTGGTGTGGTGGAGGGTAGAGGAGATGCAGAATTCGGCGGTGAGCTTCTTGACATATTCTTTTTCTGTTTCGTTCTTTCTTCTCTTGCGGAACTCCTGAGGTGATACGAGGGGGATGAGGAGATGAAAGAGAGAGAGGAGCGGAGGAACGTACTTTGACTGCGTACAGCTTCTCCTCAGCCCGATCCCACTTGTGCGCGAGGCGGACGACAGACGTCGCACCCTTTCCGATGGCGACCTTCTGGCACACTCCATACTTCTTCGTCAAACTGACATTGCTCTCCCCCGCAACAGACTTGGCTCCGCCATCCGAATCGCTCTTTTTACTGCTCCCCGTTGACCTCTGCGACGATTTCCGCGTGAGCTTCGGAGTTGATGCGAGAAGATCCTTGAGGTTAAACCGGTACTTATCGCCGTCGTTTGAGTGTACCGACGATGCTCGCCCGGTTTTCGATGGCGTGATATTCGGATCTGGGGTGGGTGGGGCAGAATTCTTGCCCGCCGAGGTGCTTCGGGCGGCGGCGGTCGGCGGTGGGGCGAGCTTTCCCCCGGAGACACCTGCGGACATGCTTGGGGCTCTGCTGGGGGCCTGACTGGGGGGTCTTGTCGAAGGAAGACTCCAGCTGTCGCGCTCTGAGAGTGTGGGAGAAGATGCTGATGACGCCGGTTGGGAGCTCTCGCTCGCGCGGGTCGACCCCTGCTGTTGCTTGAGCGTCAGCTTTTCGAGAGCCGGTCGGGTGTACCCCGGCTGCTTCTCGAGCGAGCCGCTTTCTGGCGGAGGCAGTGGGACGTGGTGGATGTGGTTCATGGTTTGTGGAGCGAAGTGGGTGTGGACGTTGGGTTTTGAGGTAGGGGCTGCTGGTGGTAATGTGACGCCTGCTTTGGGCACGGTGGTCTTATTGTTGATGTGCTGTGGCTGCAGTTTGTGCTGTGGCCGTTGCGTTGCTGATGGTGGTTGAGTTGTGTGGGATATGCCCTCATGCGGGGGTTTGTCAGAACCGTCCGGGCCTTCTCCGTCCGTCTGCGTGGTCTCTGAGGAGTCTGGGACGGTCATGAAGATTCGGTGCGTGGAAAATCAGATTGGGATTGGGTGATAACGGTGAAGATTGGGAGGTCTGAGGGGTGCTGGCGTGGTGGTTTATTGGGACATCATGTCGACGGCGTGCACGTTCCGGGGGTTTGCGTAGGGAAAATCGAGAAACGGGCCTGGAAAAAGGGAGACTTCGGGGGCGGGCACCAGGGCCCTGGACGGGGGAACGAGGAGGAGAGGAGATGATGGTGGTCAAGAGCAAAGAGGCGAAAAATTGGGAGACTGATTCTCCAGCAAGAGCCGGTGCTTACTTCAGCCGCGCCACCCAAGTTCACATGTCCTCCAAAACAGAAACATATTATCGTTCCAAATATTCCCTTTCGATTCGCTACGGTAAATACAGCACAGTGCTACAATACAGCGCCTCTGTTAAAGGAGAATGCGGACGATTGAAACCCCGAGAACAACACGACGCAAAGGGGCTATCAGCTGGCCCTGCTGGCAGGCAGCGTACAGGTAGCTCACATCAAGAAGCCTGAAATGGGTCCGGTGCTGCAGCCCATCATCTGCGCACACCATCATCGAACAAACTCAGGCCAAGACTTCATACGGGTCCCTGCCAATGAAATAAGCGCGATAAAGGTCCCAGCGTCCTCGCGAAATGAAAACAGGAAGCGCAGAAGGATATCGATGGCGAGCAGGCGATCTTGCAGGGTTTGATCACAAGAACTGAGGCTATTCCTGATATCGCGCCATGCACTGCCGTACTCACGTTCTTCGCCGATATCTCCCAGGCTCGGTGTCCGGGCGCTGTAACAAATCTATCAGCCGAAGGCAAAACAAACCCAGAACGTACCAGTGTCGGTCGGCTGGCCAGCGCGGACAAAAATAGTGCAACTAGCCCTGGGGCTGAATCAATTCTAATCACCATGTTGGTTCCTGCGAGCACGTTCCATGATGTTCAGAACCTTATTGGCGACGCAAATAGTTGTAGATGAGAAATGAAAGGCCAGAGTTGCCTGTGGTGGCCACTGCGTGCTAGTCGTCGCTGTCTCCGAGCGTCAGTCATATAGTCAATTGTGAGCATAATCCGAAACTCACCTCCACCTCCGCGACCATGCAATCGACCCGCTACGTCCCCACCCGAAATTGACTCCGATGGGGTGTGACTTCACGTACTGCTGCGCACGGCGAAGGGGTTATCGCTATTGGTGGTCCGGTCGCTGGGCCCATGTCATGCCCGGCCGTCTATTGACCGCGAAGGCGGGGTAGAGACCATGGTCGAGACTCGAAGCAATCAAGATATCAGGCAATCAAGATGGCCGGGCGTCTAACGGCAGGAGAAACTGTACAGCTGGTTCTCACGATCAACTGAGTTTCGAGTGGCTGAATTACGTAAGGTCGAGCCCATCGACAGACTTGGGGGCGTTCCCACTGACTCACCGACGACGAAACCTCAAGAACAAGGTATGCCCCCACTATGTCCCATAGCCCCCTCGCCGTCTCTGATAACACCCGACATTTTGTTTTCCAACAGAAGACTAAGACAAAATGGTCAACTTGCGCTCCCAAAAACGACTCGCCTCCTCCGTCGCTGGCGTCGGCAAGCGCAAGATCTGGCTTGATCCCGCCGAGCAAGCTGAAATCGGAAACGCTAACTCGCGCACGCATGTTAAGAAACTCATCAAGGACGGGCGCATCATCATCAAGCCGACAACCGTGCACTCGCGCGCGCGGACACAGGAGTTGCTGGCTGCGAAGAGAAAGGGGAGACATACCGGCCCTGGTAAGAGAAAGGGTACCTCAGAAGCGAGGATGCCGACGAAGGTGCAGTGGATGAGGAGACAGCGAGTTCTGAGACGGTTGTTGAGGAAGTACAGAGAGGCCGGGAAGATTGATAAGCACCTGTACGTCCCCTCCCGATATTTATTTTACTGTGCCAAACTGACGGCGGGGCAGCTACCACTCGCTGTACCAAAAGTCCAAGGGTAACGTCTTCAAGAACAAACGTGTCCTCATGGAGTACATCCACAAAGCCAAAGCCGAGAAGAACCGCACCAAGGTCCTCTCAGACCAGATGGAGGCCCGCCGTATCAAGAACAAGGTGAGCATCCTCGCCCCCTTCTTCCATTTCCTCGTTCACTGACCTTTTTATCCTTTTCAAAGGCTGCTCGTGAGCGCCGCGCCGCCCGCGTGGCCGAGAAGCGACAGGGATTCATTCCAGCTGAGACCGAGACCGCTGAGGCTTAAACGTACTCTTCTCGTCCACCTCGCTGTCTCCTTTGTATCGCTGTACCACGGTAGATATATTCGTCGTCTGTCTGTCCGTCGCTCGCTTTGCATACAACCTCGACCACAACTAAACTCCACCGCCACGTCCGTCTCTCGCTTCATAGCCGGCTTCGCCTACTACGTACATGACCGAACCCATGCGCACCATATGTATACATTATGCTGCAAAATCACTTTCTTCCCATGCAGCTCAACTGAGCCTTGAGACCCACGAGTTTCTTTAAAGTCCAGCTAAGTGCTCGCTCTAAATTTCATGATAAGATCTTTCGATAAGCTGATCAGGTCATTTATTTGGCTTTATTCACGATGCCTTCTCGACCAAACACAAGTACCTTGGTACCATTTCCCCTGTCCCCTAGCTTTCAGGTTACCGACGCGACACATATTGCTTCCCCTCGCTGGCAGCCACGCCCGCGACGCCTCCTTCTCCTTTCATTTTGTTACCTCCACCAATATCAGCGACCCTGCCACCGCTGTTGACGGCGATGGACAGCGACCACCCAAGGTATGTATATGCGGTCTTTCTTTACAAGTGATGTCCTCAGGGTCGAGGAACAGAGAAACCCTACCTCAGCGATATCCTCCTTCAGCGACGTCTAAAACGACGGTGAGCTCTACATGGGTTTCGTGTAGAATGACGCTCAAAGAGCCCGGGGATCGTCCAGCCGACTCCGACTCTCTTTCATTCGTTCCCAATCCCGCCAAGCGCGCCGTACAACCATAACTATAATAATCATGCCTATAACACGAACCCGCTCAATAGCGGTAATTTATATATGCACAATGCGGCGAGCGCGTCGACGTCGAGTCTGCTGCACAGTGGAAGGCCGTTACCGACACCGCCTACTACGGCCTCGCCATTCGCGATGTCGCCGCCGCCGCCGCCGCCTCAAGCAGCCACAGGATCCACAGGGACCAGCGGAAAGGTGGTACATGTAGGGCATGTACCAGCGTGGAAGCCCAAGTTGGAATTGGAGTCGATGGACACGTCGCCTTTCTCGGTACGCACCCTTCAGCCTCGGCGTCTCGTTATCGTTCCCCGCTAAAGCTGACTATGCGAAATAGGAATCCTTCTCCGCGATGTTTGACGATGGCGATACGTTGGAAATCGACACGTCCACTTGGGTGCCAGAGAAGAGTTTTAACATCGAGGTATTGTATACCCCCGCTTTGCAACATGTTCAGTAATAACGATGGCTAATGCGACTCAATTGCGTTACAGCGATACGCCGACCCAAAGGACCTGGACCCATCCTGGAAAGACGACTCAGACATCTCCGTAAGTCTTTGTCCTTATCCTCGTATTCCTCGTATTCTTCCTAATCGCGTTGATGCTGATATACATGTACGTGTTCTTCAGGAGATTCTGGTCATCTCCCCGAAACCCACGATACGCAGGAGAGCATCGAATCTGTCGACCGCGAACCCCAAGCTGCCTATAATACCAGAGTACGCGCCGGGTGTAAATCATGCGAAATACCAATCCGTACGCTTCCGTCAACGTACTTATAGAACCTAACTCACGAAGTGGGTGTTGCTTATTTATTTAGTTTGATGAGAGCATTAAACTCGCCGACTTCGAATTCCTGCCTACACCCTCCCCTACCCGACGCGCCAACAACCCATTGCCCTCCTCCCTTTCACGCATGTCCTCACGCGCGAAATTGACCTCCCATATATGCGCATACAGGAGGCCCGGCGGCGTCCTGCAGTACAACGGGCTGTACACTGTGAAACGGCGCGCGCATGCCCATGCGCAAGTCAACTCTAGTTCCGCATGGAGGGAGATGGATGTTATGCATATCCTATCGGGATCCTGTCCGGGGGCGGGAATGAGAGGTGACGTACCGTTCGTGGAGAAGATGTATGGGACGTTTATTGATAATAAGAATATTTATCTCGTTTTGGTGAGCTCTTCCGTGGTTTCCATTTCTGTGTGATTGCTGAGGCCATGCTGGCGGGTTTGGTATGTAGGGTCATCATACGAGGGGTACCCTGGCGGACCTGGTGGAGACGCATGGACCACTGAACGAGACTACGACAAAAGCCTACGCTTGCGAGCTGGTGCGTCACCTCTAAGTACCCGGCTTTCGGGCTACCTACTAAGCGCCGTCCTAGCTCTGCGCACTTGAGGCCATTGCACAATTGGGAGTTGTGCATAATGATATTTGCCCCGACAACATCCGAATCGACGCCTCGCGGCACCTCGTCCTCGTCAATTTCGAAGCCGCGGACTTGCCTGGAGAGTCGTCGATACAACCGGACTTGGATTCAGAATATACGGGGACCGCGGAGAGGAACAGGGAGAGTGTGTATAAGGCACCGGAGGTACTATTAGGCTGGACGCGCGATTCGGCGGTGGATGTTTGGGGGTTTGGAATGGTGCTCTATTGGATGGTCACTGGTCAAGTGAGTTGTGTTGCATTTTGGATGACTTCGGGCTGAAAAGTCGCTCGTGTAGCATCCATTTCTGGGAGGAGACGAGTGTGAGTCGTTGAGGGAAGCGGAACTGGAGGGCAAGATCCTCCATGGGCCACTCCTCCTCGACAATATTGAAGAGTCATGCCATGAGGCGAAGGGGCTTATCGCCAAGGTATGCTGTTGGCTGAAAATAACATCAAGGGGTTCAACTGAACGTATGGGTGGATGATTAGTGTCTAGAGCGAAACCCAGCGATTCGAATAAGGACCGGGCAGCTGAAAGGCGAGGCGTATTTCTCTCATGCGTGAGTATTCTTTCCTGCTTTGTATGATGTGATTGTTGCATCGGTTCTGACCCTGTTTTGCGTGTTGCGATAGTGATTGGGAGAGAATTACGACTAGAAAGGTCCCGAGTACGTGTTCTTATTGTCTTCTGATAGCTATACAACGACGGCTTACACGTTGAATTAGTTCTAAGCTTCAACCATAAACGGAAGCAAACGGGGGGTGCTACGTCCCGCCGTAAAGCGAGCATAGATGGCGACGTGAAGGTCGCTGCCTTCGATACACCGCCCCTTGAGCCGGCCCCGCTCATCAGCGAAGGCAACCGAAAAAGAGCAGCACCTGACATGTTCACTAGTTTCTCCAATCCCTCATTCAGCGCCAATGCGGCGCTGCCGATAATCAAAGCCGACGGAGAAGTCCCCGAGAGTCGTGTAGAAAATGCCCAAGTGAAAGAAGATGCATCCTCTCCCCCGCCTCCGGGAGCCCTGGATCCGACGGCAACCGCGGAGGAGTATATCGAGGAAGTGGAGATTAGTCGGGAGCATCCGCCTGAGATGTACGGGAAGGAACTGACGCCTCAAGAACGTATGGCGTTGTTCTGGGAGTCGCTTGATTCTGAGGAGGTTATGACGCAGATGCATCAAAGTACGACTGCTCTGGGCATAATTGGCGTTGGCGGTGGTGCGAATGGATCGCCACGACCTCGCAAGCTGCGGAAGAAGAGCAAATCGATGCGAACGTTGACCCATCGGATATCGACCTTCTCCTTGACGGGGCAGACTCCCAATAAGTTGCGGAAGAAGAATGTGAGGAAGATGGCGAGTGAGGCACATCTTTTGGCCCATGAGTCCGAGGCCAGGATCAGCGGTGGGACTGAGGGCGATGGAGATAGAGACGAGGGTATTGTCGTTGAGCCGATGAAAATACCGAACCTACCGCAAGGCGTAGAGCAGATTGGACACGGTATTGGGTTCACGTATGGGCTATCCAACGCTGCCAAGTCCAAGGCGTCGATATGCACGGACAAGTCGGCACCGGGATGGAAGCGGCATATGAGGCTGCTGCCGGGTGGTATTGGACGAGGGATTCGGGGAGTGAGGCATCGGCTTTCTATGGGCAAGATGAATGGAAATAGTGGGCAGCAGGCGAAGATGCACGGGAAGGGAGATGACTGCCGGCCTAGGGACGGGATGGAGTATGCTCGAGGAGGTGCCGTCGATTACAATCGAGGTCTGGGTATCGGGATGGAATACGGCAATAGCAACGCTGTTGGCGGATGCTGCTACTCGTCTCCAGCTACCGACGACGAACCCCTCACGCCGGATTCCCTTGTTTTTGGTTGTGGTACCGAGAGGGCGACAGAAGCGAAGATCGAAGGGGAGTTTGGCGGAGAACGTGTTGGACCACGAATGGCTACGCTGCGGTTAGTGCCTTCGACACCGCAAGAGGATTGCGACGATGATTTGGATAGAATTCAAGGCTTGTATTAGATATCGACTTGTTTCGTGGATCTTTGTCGTTTGTTGTGTATATCTTTTCGTCTGCATAGTGGTCGCTGTCTTCATCATGCCGACGGTCACCTAGCTATCAAAGCCTGCTCTGTGGCTGCGCAGGCATTATGTTAGACGACCAGCCATATGCATATGCGGGAGGCAAGGGGTATCTCACTGATATTTATCCAGTCTCTTTTGATGCCATCGCCCTAGTAGTGGTACTCATGCCTTTGTTTGATTCGTCAGCGCGGGCGTACAGATGCAGACGCAGACACTTGTGCTGTCGGCCATCTTCGCCTGCACGCCCGTCTTTGTCTTTTCATCATCTTTTCATCGTCTGGGCGGAGTGTGGGCGTAGTGTGCATAGCGTGGTTGCGGTGGACGTGCCGGGGCAGCATGGAGAGGGGATGCAAGGTGATGGGATGGGATACGATGGGAGGGAGGGAAGGTGGACTACGAGGCGAGGCGATGGGGCAAGCTGCGAGCGCAGGCGGGATGCAATGGGACGGTGGATTGAAGTGAAGGTGGGATGAGAGTGAAGGCGGGGAGTGGAGGCGGGGAGTGCGTGCGTGCGTGCATCCAGCAGGTGGTAACCCGTTGATTTTCGTTCCTCTTCATACCTTCGTTCGTCCATCCGCCGTTTGCGTTTGCGATCGTATCCCTTTCCTTCGCGTCCCATTCGTATTCCTTCCTGCCGTCGTCTCCTCCTTTCGTACCTCCCGTCTACCCAACTTCGTCTTTCTCCCGTCTGCTCGCATCCCTCCCTCGCGTACGTTCGTACCCAGCCCTCCCCTCCGTTCGTCGCTCCGTTGGTTCACTCATTCCCTCCCCCAAGCGTCCTGTCGTTTTCTATGGTTTGTCACGGCTGGTTTTTGAAGCGGCACCAGGCCGTCGAGGGAGATGCCAAAGGATGGTGGCAGGTCGCGCACTAGAGGAGTGGGTACCGGAGGCGGGGACATCGCGGAATGGTAGAGGGATGTGGGTGATGAAGGGAGGCACCGCGGGGAACGCTCTGAGAAAGGATATGTTCGTAAGTCGTTCCTGTTTCGTGGAGAGCACAGGAGCGCTTACCTTGTTGCTAGTTTACTGGTTCGTGGACTCCTTCGCCGCTCTCTCGTATGCCCAATCGCTAGAGGTAGCGCGTATTCGTGGTCGGCGCTGTGTCGTCTGCGGACGAGCCCAGCACTCCTCTCTGCGGTGCCAGTCCGCCCTTCGTTTTGTCGTCGCCAGCGGGGGTTTCGAGTGCGCTCTGTGCGGTGTGCGCAAGTAGGAAGCGGGAGACGAGAACGGTGGTGTCGTGCGCAAGGATGGATGGGCCCTCGAGGGTGGAGATGTCGTGGAGGGGGACAGTGTAGAAGTAGTAAACTCAGTATTGTGGGGGTACAATGACTCTATATTCATGTACCTATCTATCTTATGCCCGGCCAGTGCTAGCACTGGCTGGGCTAAGATAGATGGTGGGGATAACCGAAACACGGTGTCAGCAATCCGTAGCCACACTGTGGCTACGGTGGGAAAATTTTATATACCTTAGGGTTATAGGTCATATTTTGAAATCGTAGGATAATCCTACCCGCTAAATCCCCCCTACCCCAACTGTAGTTACCCTAAGTCTACTGTAGTTTACCCTAACTTATTCTAACGTTGCAGGCCTGCTGGATGGCCCTCCATGATTGTTTGAACACCCCAGAGGCCGTCTGGCCTTCCAGGAAGCCTGCTGTGTGAGATAGAACGGTTAGAAAAATACTGCATGGTGCGTAGATATAGCTGACGTACCTACAGTCACTCCCAGCCATGCGCGGGCAGCCAGGCGGCCCACGGTGACAGTCATATGCTTACTGGTACACGTATGGCGCGTGTAGCCACCCACACACGCTGTATGTGACACAGTGTGGCCATCCAGGCAGCCCATGCTTGCTTGGGAGTAATAAAGCAGTCCCAGTACAAGCATGGGCTGCCTGGATGGCCACGTCCACGAGGGGAGTCGGGGCGAATACCATATACACAGCCGAACACCATGGGACTCACCTTCATCAGCGCGGGCTGCCAGGAAGCCCACGCTGTCGGAGTCTACACCTGTTAGTCAAGAGAAAGTAAGTCAGTAATTGAATACACTCACCATGGCCTTCTAGGAATGCCACGCACGCAGTGGGCCAATCGAGGACTCACCTACATCAGTATGGGCTGCCAGGAAGCCCGCGCTAAGAACAAGTAAGTTAATATGTGATGACACTCACCGTGGCCTTCCAGGAATGCCACGCGCGCAGTGGGCCCACAGAGAATACGTGTACATCAGCGCGGGCTGCCAGGAAGCCCGTGCTGTCAGAGTCTACACCTGTTAGTCAAACATGAGTAAGTCAGTACGTATTCCGTTGGTCCTACACTCACTGTGGCCTTCCAGGAAGCCCATGCATGCAAGCGCCACATATATTCAGTCCACCTACAGCATGGGCCGCGTGGAAGCCCACGACGAGCATACGTACGTCCCCCATTGTATAAAGTTTGTATACCCTACTTACCATACATTCTCATTCACAACGCGGGCTGCCTGGCCGGCCACGACGTGTGTCGACAAGCCGTAGGACTTACAGCCCTCCATTCAGTGGGCTTCCTGGCCGCCCATACGGTGGCTTAGCATTGAGACTCTCACTCGAAGACATCACCTCACGCTGGCCTCATCGTCGACTGAGTTATTCCACTTGATCTACGGCTCAAAAATTCCTCTTTTCTATGTTTTGTAGTGATACATTTCTGTTCTTCATCTCACTGGGCCTCCGCGCCGCCCGTACTATGTATTGTAGTTAATATACTGTCGTTTATATGCATGATGAACGTACCTAAGTCATTCATCTGTGGGTGGGGGTGCTTGGCGCAGTCTATGTCGCATTTCCCTTCGTCCTACGCTCACGAATTGAATATTAGATCGCGTCTGGTGACTTGGTTAGGAAAACTCACGTCGTTCGATCCGGATCAAATTCCTCCACGTCGTGTACAGAGCGTACGCGATGCCGACGACGATCTGGGCGATATTGATAGCGTGCAAGATGTTCATGGTGGTGCTAAGCAGGTTCTGACGTACGTAAATGAGGCCTGCGCTTCACCACGGGCCGCCTGGAAGCCCACGCGGTGAGTACGTACTCCTCCCATCATACCGTACTCACTCGACTTCACTCACAGGGCGGGCTGCCTGGATGCCCATACGGCGCTCAAGTTCCCCTATCTATATTATCCGATGGATTACAGGGTGTAATCGGTCGACCTTCTCCGTTCGTAGCGCAACAACTTCACACACCTCCGTTAGGGTGTTCTGATGAAGAATCACCTTGTCGCGCCGAGTTGCGCCGCTTCCCCACGCTCCAGTGCCCCCTTCTTCGTCAAGAATCTCGCTGAGCGCAGCGAAGCAACCGTCGCTCCCCGACCCAGGGTTAGGTGACGAAATATGTCCGGGCATGTTAGGAGAGTATACTGATAAAATTCCTACAGAGATAGCTGCCCTCCTCCTCGTGCTGTAGCTCAAATACCGTTTCGGTACGAGGAGAAGAGGGTGCCAACGGCCAGGATGTTGGCGCGACTCGGCGCAACAAGTACCCATCTCTAGGTATACCCTCAAGGTATATGGGACAACTTGTTGCGCCGTGTTGCGCCGCTTCCTCATCATCCAGCAGCACGTTTACTACCTGCAAAACTACCATACTGGCCCCAGCCACTTCAAACAGTGGCGCAACTCGGCGCAACAGCTCCCAAAACCTCCCCATATATATCCCCCAGGACTGGGTCGTTGTTGCGCCGAGTTGCGCCACCATCTGAGGAAGCTGTGGAATTAACTTTGTGTTTTATTTAATGCGCCCCTGTTCCCCTTTTCCCCTGACCTGCCTATTCAGGCAGCTGAGTTTTCGCTTTTTCTCACAGTTACAATACATCACAACTCCGACCTATCTATATTATCCGACGGAATAGGCAGCTTATTCCGCTGACCTCCTCAGAACATAACGCCACAGGTGCACCCACCTCCGTTAGGGCCTACTGATGGAGGATCACCTTGTGGCGTTAGGTGTTTCTTGTCCCGTTGTCCCTCCACGCCCCCTTCTTTGTCGAGAATGTCGCTGAGCGTAGCAAAGCAACCGTCGCTCCCCGACCCAGGGTTAGGTGACGAAATATGTCCGGGCATGTTAGGAGAGTATACTGATAAAATTTCTACAGAGATAGCTTACCTCCTGCTCGTGCTATAGCTCAAATACCGTTTCGGTACGAGGAGAAGAGGGTGCCAATAGCCAGGATGTTGGTACAAGTTAACGCCACAAAGACCCATCTCTAGGTATACCCCCAGGCTATATGGGAAGGTTATGGGATTGTTTTTCATATTTCCTAGGGAATTTTTAGGGATGGAATTTTTTCCCTAGGGTAGGGTAAGTGATGGTAGGGAAATGGTGATAGGGAGGACGATAGGGATACAGAGATAGGGAAATGATACGGAGCTGGTGGCAGGGAATATGGTAGGGAAGTAGCAGGGTTCATATGAGAGAGATGGTAGGGAATTGGTGGTAGGGAAAATAGCAGGGATGCATAACACACAGATGCTAGGGGAAAATGTAGAGGAATGGTGGTAGAAAAAACATTAGGGACACAATAGGGTACATGAGAGAACACTGCTAGAAGACTAGTGACAGGGAAAACAGTAGCAAAGGCACTAGCATGAAGCTTAGGAGCAAGGAATGGGGAAACCATTAGGGATGGAGTGAGAAATGGTGCTGAAAATGCCAAAGATGAAAATAGGGATTGATAAGAAGATGTATAGAACAGTTGTGTGGCCGTCTTGGACGACCTGGTGTGTGGTGGGATGCATTGGTGGTGTGGGGAATGTTGTAACAGATTCCATCGATGTATATTATTACAAGACGGAGTCAATGGGTCAGTGCGTGGGAAGACGAAGTGGGTCAGTGCGTGGGATGTGGAATGGGACAGTGCGTGGGAAGGCGGAATGCACATCGGAGCGCTGACAGTTTCGTGGGAAAACGGAAGCAATTTCGGGGCGGTCATAATTTCGTGGGAAAGCGGGTAGACATCAGTCAATAGCGGGTGAGCACTATACGCGCTGCGTGGCCGTCCTATCTATATTATCCGACGGAATAGGCAGCTTATTCCGCTGACCTCCTCAGAACCTAACGCCACAGGTGCACCCACCTCCGTTAGGGCCTACTGATGGAGGATCACCTTGTGGCGTTAGGTGTTTCTTGTCCCGTTGTCCCTCCACGCCCCCTATCTATCAAAGCCTCAGCCAATGCTTGCATTGGCCGGGCTTTGATAGCGGGGGGCAGACCCAACAATGGGGAAATCCTAACTGTTTATCAGGTCCCTGGGTCGACACAAAGTGTCGAAACAGCAACCTGAACCCTAAAAAACCATTTTAAAGACATTGTATTACCTTATTTTACTTATACTACCTGAATATTCCATGCATTGAAACCACCATTGCCCATATATGAAACCTAAACAAGTCACTCACATCCTTTCCATCCCTTTGAGGCTCTCGCAGACAGAATCCATCCACAAATGTACATCTACATGTCCATGATTTCGCTGATGGATCCCATCAGCGAACTCTATACTCCCCTCGAGATCATTCGCAGACGGGATCCATCGGCGAAGGTATGCATGACTGCGATGAATTTCACCGCTGGATCCTGTCGGCGAACTCTCTCATCCCCTCGGAATCACTCGCAGACGGGATCCATCGGCGAACGTTAGCAATGGGATTCCGTCTGCAAACGTACACATGCCTGCGCTTAATTTCGCCGATGGATCCCGTCGGCGAGGATACGCATGCCTGCGATTAATGTCACCGATGGAATCCAACGGCGAACGGTTGACTACTCATTCATAATTTTGCCGATGGATCACATCGGCGAACATTTTCGGCCCTCGAGATCACTCGCAGACGGCATTCATCGGCGAACATTCTTCGAAGATCTGGCAGACGGGAACTGTTCGTCAGTTCCCTACCACTGGTAACACATGACGCACGAACGGTTCCCGTTCGTGCCCTTTACGCCCATCGTCCACACCCCCCCGCTCCTGTTTGACGTAGAGCCATGACCCATCTATTCCCATTCTTCCCATCCCTCCTTTGGCGGTTCCCGTTGACGCCCCCATCTTCTTCGCTCTCCTCAAAATCAGCATCCTCCGTTCTGAACAACGCAGCGACTACGACTTCGTTTAATGGCAACAGCGCCCGTCACCATTTGCGCTATCGCCTTGAATCTCTGAGGGACGTCGAGATCAATATATGCGCTTTGAGTCCGAGGCTATCGAGAACTGGAATCCCGGATAAGCGCATATATGCATCAACATGGTATACCACGTACCTGTGCCACCCACTGTGCCGTTGTCCACTCCGCCCACTGCCCCCCCCCTCGAGATCACTCGCAGACGGGTTCCATCGGCGAACGTACACCTACATGCCCTCAATTTCGCCCATGGATCCTGTCGGCGAACCATACACTTGGCTGTCCATAATTTCGCCGATGGATCCCGTCGGCGAACATACACTTGGCTGTCTAAGCTCAGCAGACGGGATCTCCAGTGTACACCTCACGTACGCACCCTTTTGTATTCGTCGTTTGTCATTCCCTGTTCCCCGTTTCCCGTTCCGCTGTTTACACGCTGCCCGCGTCGGCGCATTGGGCCACTTTTGTTTTCGTTGCCTCATTCCACTGGCGCACGTATTCTGTTCTGCTCCGTGTCCGTCGGGTTCTGCGTAGCGGGTTCTCCGTCTGGAGACTGTAGTTCGAAGTCTGGCAGATGGAAAGTAGTGCTGGGGTTGGCGGGTTGGTGTTTACGGTTTCGTTTTGCCGCCGCCACACCGCCTGCGTCGTTGACGTCGTCTGTACATCCTGCACACCCCCTTCGTATGCACCATCAGCGCACATTCGCCTGTTCGAAAGCGTCGACATACCTCTACGTTCCGTATTCTTGTTCTCGCATCCGAAACCGGTGTGTCGTCACTTATTCCCCCTTCGTTCGACCACTCCCCATTCGCTGTCCCGTTGCCTGCTTTGCTACTCCCCGTTCTCGCAATCCCTCTCGTCAATCCACCTATCTTCCCATATGTTTGCAGCGCCAAACAACCCTAGCACGTCGACAGTTTTAAGGACGTGCGGGCCAGCGCTGTAGAAGGGAGATCACGGGATTGACGCAAGCGGTGTGGCGTTGTGAGTTTTTGGTTGGTCATATGCAGGGCGACGTGGGGAACAGGTACAGCGTGTGCAATTGCGTTTGTCGTTGCATATGTACGTTTGTACTTCACACCGACGGCGCTGATTTCATCGTTGGCGACGGGTGCGCGAGGGACGGTAAGGGCAGCGTGCAAGCTGCTGGGCAGTAACCTCACGATTGAGGTCCGCATTCTTCAGCCCTGCCCTGTCCTGTCCTGCGTCGTCGTCGTCGTCGTCTACGACAACCCATGGCTGTCCTGACTTGGCCCCTTCCCCACTCTCCTTCCGTTCTCGTTACTTTAGCAGGCCAAGTGTTGCCGCCGTTGATGAGTGCTGGGTGCGACGCTGCGCGGGCTTTCGGTCGATGTGAGCAACACTGAAGACTGCAGATGGTGAAGAGGTTATGGTGTTGCAGTTGTAGTCAGGACGTGGCACGGAGCGGTTGGACGGCGTCGACGGGGCGCGGGGAAATGTGAGGGCTAGAGAGGGCGCTGTGGGGCGGGAAATCGCGGTGAGCTCGTTTTCACTAGTACGAGATGGGTGCTCACTTCTCCTTCGCTATTTGGTCTCCTCCTGCTGAATATCAGTTGTGGAAGGGGTTAGATATACTTTGAGGCTCACAGGACGAGCGTCACGCTGGCGATGAGGAACTAGAGGGATGCGAAGGGCAAGGAGAACGCTATCGGGGGAATATAAAGGTAAGTGACAAGGTTCCTCACCGCGATGGGTGCTCACCTTCAGCCGCGCAGCGGTGCTTGTTGTCGTTGTCTCCTCCCGCTGCGTTCTCCTGCTTCTGCCTAGTCCTCGTCCTTCACGCTGGCCTCCGAGGTTGTGCGACTCCTCTTTTGGTGTCGATTGGTGCGTTCGTCGCGGTTTTGGACATCCCGAGACACTTGCCTGACGTCTGTTTTCTAGCCATGCTTCCTCGTCATCGTTGAGGACATGCTCGGTTTCCGTAGGTGCCATGTCGCTACTAACCCAGCGTATACCAATATACATTGACGTTGGAGACCTCGAAACAGTCGTTAATATACATAAAACACATACAATACGGGCACACCACCGTTAGCCTACACATTACACTCGACCTTCCGCATCTTCGCGATGAACGCCTCGACGTAGGCGACGATCTCGTTCCGTTTGCTGATATACTTGAGCAGCGTAAGCACAAGTACGTCGTTATCGGACTGCGTCCCCGCGTTATACTTGACCATTCCCCTTCCGCTGATAAATCTGACGTTGTATTTCCCGCCACCTCCACTAATGAGCTCGTCAGACATAGCCCGTCGCATCGGTAAGTTGGCCATGAGGTATGGGAGGAACGTCGCGAATGACTGGCTTCGACTACTCTTCCCAAATCTCGACGGATTCCATCTTGGATCCAAGAGTACAGCCGACCCAAACTAGATATATACGTGAATCAACTTCGATGTAATAAACATAACTCTCACCTCATTGTAAAGCGCCAGTGTCCAGTTTCGTGCGGTGATAATGTCTTGCTGCCTGTCCTTGAATTTCCTTCTTTCCCCCGCAAACCACATATCAAAATCTCGTGTTGATATTCCCAATCTCATCTTATCAACTCTGTCACTATACGCCTCCACGAATTTCGCTTCCATATAGTTATCCTTCCATGCCGGCGGTTTGCTATTCCAGTCTACGGCCAGTTTCAAATGGAACACCGTAGCAAGGATGTTATGCACGAGATCCCGAGCCGCATGCGTACCCCGTACATGATCGATTAACTGCGAATGCTCACGTTAATAATCGTATCACGATCCTTGGTTCACTTACCCCTTCGCGTCGCGCGATGCGTTTGTCTATGTCCAGCGCATCTGTATCCTTATCCCAGTCCATCTGCTGCTTGAACGTGGCACTGCTATCGACGAACTCCTCAAAATACTCCTCCTAACCCTCTCAATTAGTACTCACACAATGAAAGTTTGATGTTACTCACGACGTATCCGCTTCTAGGCGAGTCGTACCCCGACAACAGCCTTGAAAACGCACGATCTTCTTCAATCTGATGCTCTTCTGAACATTCCTTATGCACGTTTAGCCACGCTGTCTCAACAGTACACTTCCTCCCGTCCGAGAGCATCCCCGATATATGCGCGAGCCGTTCCTGTCCAGACCATCAACTCACGATGAACACGCGACATTCATATACGGACCTCGTGAATACCGCACGCGACGAGGGTTTCAGCCGCCAACAGAGCCTCGTCACTATTATTGCTCGCGCCCCGTGTCTCCACGCCATCGTAGTCCACAGCCTGCCTCTTACCTTGCGTACTTGGAGCTTCCTTGTGCACTCTCTTACCACGACCACCGTCCGGGATGCATGCTATAGTCTGGCTTCGCTTAATACCTCTTGAAGGACTTAAGTCCCGCCCTGATGCGACGCACGAGTCGATATTCTTCCTGGAACCACGCACATACGGTACGTCTATCCTGTTCGAAGGCATGGCCCTGGTCGTAGCCAACATCCGCTCTATTCTGACAGATAAATCGTCTCGCATCGACTTCGTCAGTTGCCAAAACGATGCGCATATACAATGAAATACTCACAATAAGACAGCTCTGCCGCGTCGTCTATGTACTCCCAAGCTCGCGGAGCTCTCAAGTCTCGTATCGTCCGCAAAGTAGCGTCTGTAATCGTCTCTAAAAGGTCGAGTTGCTCGCGCAAACCGTCGACGCCGCGAGCCCCATTCATTCCGGCAATCGAGTCTGTCCTGACTCTGACCAAGTTTCTCATGCTGAGGAACATCTTGCACGCCGATTCTACGGCCACGTCTAGACTGGACTTCGTAGGAGCATTCGTCGACATCGGCTGCGCGCCAAGGAGACCAGAGGCGAACGTAGTCTATGCTTGAGCGCTCCCGATTCAATGTCCGTCTATACTAAGAATATACTACTTACCCACGCAAAAACCAGCGACTTCTTACGCGGGAAACATGAGAATCCTCCCAGCTTTATACAGGACCACTACAGTATATAAGCGGCTGCCCATTCGTACGGAAAATTCGACTACATAGGGATAATATCAAACGCCACGCTTACAGTCATAGTATTTCCCATACGTACTATGTGTTTGATTGATCGGCGCGGAGTTGGTTTACTTCTTGAATGTACCATTTGCGCGCACCAGCCTCTAGCCCGTACTGTAAACTCTCGCGCGCATAAGTAAGGCCAAACGACACGAGCGCCTAAGCGTCTATTTGTCTCTGCGATCACCAATACCGCTACCACATCGTCTATCACCACATACTAACTCAGCCGTAACTCGACACGCGGCACTCGTCTTAACAAGGATGCGGTCGCAGTCACAAGTACGCGTTCGTCTCTTTCATAACACGTCGACTCACTCCAACAGAGTCACCATCCAATGCCGTCGATTAGAGCCGTAGATGCCATCTGCGCACTTCCCAAACCCGAATTCAACGAAATAGTACATGCTATTCACGAGCTATTCACGAAGCGGAGGTTTAGAAAGGACGTCGAAGAGGTCACAGGCCGCAGGAATGAGGATCTGGTATGGGTAATCGCGTACGTTCCTCAATGTGACTATATGATGCAGTTTATACGGTGACCCCCGCAGTACCAACGTTCATCGCAGCCGGTCAGACCATCGGAGACATATAACCCTCAGAGGGTTCACTCGCCGCCATCTCAAGCGCATCAGCACCATACACGCCGTTGTGGCAACCCGACCCGGTACATTCGTCAGCGCCATAACCGTTTTCGACGGTTCTCCGCGATGGTCTCAACGCGCTTTCGACACCAGTAGTCGAATACGCTCTCGATCGCGCCGCTGAGCACATACAATATATACAACATGTACTGCGTCGATATCCTGGATACAACACCTTCTTGACTTGTTTGATTATCGCCGACGGTTCCGTCTGTATACACCTTAGTCAGCAATCTGAGCCAGGCGACGATCGCCTTCTATCCGTCAACCAGGGACTTTGGATATAGGGACTTCTTGAACTGGTCGATCGACGCCGACGGGAACCGTCTGCGTGCACCTGATCGGAAATCTGATACGCCAAGCGACGATCACCTTCTACCCGTCCACCAGTCATGTACGCCTGCTTCTCTGTCGTACGGAGCCAACCGACATTCACGTTTAAGTCGGACGCCTGAGTGAATTCGTCGACGCCCTCCTTCTTCTGAACCCCCTCTCTCGCGCGTTCTCTCTCCCTGAATAACGTTTGTGGTCGCCACAAAGTTAGCAAGATACGCCTGATTGCTTTGCCTGCGAGGAATATCCTGCAGCCAAACGCACGTCTGTCGATTTGGCCTGCTAGGAACATCCTGCAGCCCTTTTGCAATGTCGAGCCCGGGTGCCGAACCTCAAGAAGACGACATCAGTATATCCGTTAAACGTGAGTAAACGTACGCTTACCTGCTCATAACGACTCATGATTGTGTAGCTGGCGTTGTCGTGAATTTTCAACGGCTAGATGGTTTCTTTCACTGCTCTTGCGACTTCAAGACGTCGCACGAATCCGCCTTCCGACGGCATTATCGTGAACACCATTTGGACGAACCGTCTGGCGGGTTACTCGGGAGCGTATCTCGAACCTTTAGCTATGTCGCATCCGCGTTTTCGACTCCATCGTTTCGGAGGAGACATAGTCCTGCGCTAGAATATGAGACATCCAGTAAACGCAGGCGTATCGACTCGATACCAACTCCACGATTATCGATGCACGAGTCCTCTCGAGCCTCACCTATCCGATCCCTGTTCTCGACGCAGATACTCGCAACGCCAACAACCTTAATCCGCCCCGCTTTTTCACCGAAACACACTGACTTCGACGATGATAACGAAGACTCGATGTCGACATCCTCGTTTCGTATTCCTCCGCCAGGTCGTCTTTATCAACCGTCGCAGGCATTATCGTCAGGTCCACCGTCGAAGCGAGGCAGCATCTCGTCTATCGCGTCAATAGACTCTCAATCCAACGAAGAAACTGACTATGTGCAGCCCGTTTTGTCTGAACAACGTCTAGATCTTCAAACAGCCCATTCCTATATCCGCTCAGTCGGCCTTTTCGTTCACAAACCAACCAACATCACTGTTTGCGTACAATGCGCGAGCGGCGTATCCGCGGAAAATGCGATCGCCCATATTTCCAAGGCCTCATCGGGATGCAGGAGCTCTATATGGCGTTCACTCGACGTGGACTATATCGAACGATGTTTAAGATTATGCGATGCGTTTGAGCCTATCCAATTCCCTTCGCGCGAGTCTTCTACAGACGCAATTCCCGTAATACCCGTTATACAAGGCTGGCTATGTACCGTCGACCCATCCTCGCAATGCTTCAACGAGTGTTTTGCATCGGAGAGAGCGCGTGATCGACACTTTTTCGAGAATCATGGAGATATCGTCGACCGTACCAAGCATTACGCTCCTGTGAAAATACAGAGGATCTACAAGTATCGTGGCATTCAGCGATGTATCCGCGTCAACACCCTCCCCCTTAGCATTGAGCCTCCCCGTTACGACGCGTTTCTAGCATCTATTCCAGGGCATGAACCCTTGCCAATGTCAGACACGGTGTCCCTGATAACGAAGCCGACCGTATTCGAGTCTATTTTACATTGGGATACAGCATTAATTGGCGTCGACATCAAATACCTCAAGTCATACCCTCACCCGCCGTACGCAGACGCCCAAGACTACGATAACATGCCAGACATGATTGTCCGATACATCGTCACTATCGCAGAGGGTGTAAAACACGGGGGCCATCGTGAATTATTACAGCAAGTTCATTCTCCAGAGGTGTAAGTCGTTTTCTTTGCTCGAATAAGTCGTTCTGACTTGACGCGAAAGGACGAAGCTCCATCATTCCCCACTTCCATACCCTAAGCAAAAGTCCACGTTGGACAGTTACGCCCGTATATTTTCTTGTTATTTGACGATGCTGGTTCGTAGCGTCAAACAGCCCATCCCAGGATACCCCATTCACATGACCGCCGAGCAAACAAGACTCAGCTCCAGAGTGTATACGTCCTCCAACGATGACACCATATCCGAAGAAGACCTGCATTCCCACATACACGAACTGGCTTGGGCCCTATTATCGAGCCATCCAATAGAACACGCGAAGAGCGAGCTCAATACCCCCATACTTCGCTTCCTCATCGCGCATCACCTCGTGCCAGACGGCGATGGCAACTTCAAGAAAGCACAAGCGCTCTCCCATACGCTGAGCGCGATCCAATGGTGTTGGCAGGCCATAGGGTACACAGAGTGTCTCCGTCATGCCGCAGAATATACTGACGACGCTTTTGGGTGAGTTTTTATGTTACTACAATCGATAGAAGACTTACGTTCGATAACAAGAGCATATCGAGACCGAGTCAAGCCGTACCTTCAAGAGTTGGAACGTACGCCATTCACGACCCTCCGGACGATTATCCACGTCAACACTTCAATCGCCAAGTCAGAATATTCTCTTCCTAGGTTCGTAATGGCGATGGACAAGACATACTTCAGCGTAGATGGGCACCCTATCCCGTTCGCCAAGTTCAAAGAATACGCCGTCGGCCTGATATCGAACGCGGAATCTAAACTCGACGCGATACTCCGTGGTTGGCAGTTTGACGATATTGACAAGAAAATCAAGACCGCTTTACAGATAGGCGACCCTCAAAACACATACTTAGACAGATTACACGACGTGGGTGTGGGGTATTCGTTCTTTTCTGACCCTCGCAATCACCTCAAAAACGAACGCAACCTTCTGCTCAAGCATTTCCTTCGAGAAGGTTGCGACGAGTTCGCCACAAGTATACCTGGCGCCGCGCCATCGGAGATATTCAAACCAGGTAGGGTTCTGCCGTCATTCTGTCTGACACCTTAGCTTACACGTTTCAAGTCAACTGTCGTCTTTGGCTAGACGAAGTTGACTCTCTAGTCAGCACGTTATACGCGGCGACCGTCACCACCTGGCCAGGCGCTGGTAGAGGCTCCGAACTCGACCATCTGACGTATCGCAACGATCACGGAAAACGGCATATGTTCTTCATCAACAACATCCTTACTTTCGTGACGTCGTACATCAAGACTCAGCAGATAACTGGACGCGCTCCATTGATTCCCCGTGGCGTCGACCCGCGTCTCGCTAGAGTGTTGATCATCACTATAAACTTCGTGTATTACGCAGCGTCAGTGATATCGGCCCAATTTAAGCAGCACAAACAGGCTATTGCATATACTCGATACGTGTTCGTATATCACGGAGTTCCGATGAACGCAGAACGTATGACCCGTGTTCTTCGAGAGCATACTATGCCCGCTTTTCACGTAGAGTTCGGTATACGGGATTGGCGACACGTTATGAAGTTTGTACTGCGGCACAAGGCTAACATCGCGCTCGAGGCCACGGACGAAGAAGAGCAGAATAAGGACCCCTTGAACTCGCTGTTCGGGCATAGTGGTCGTATCGGGGACAGTGTATACGCTATTGAGAGTTCTGCATTGGACTCGATATCTACCGTAGACGTGACTCGCGCACAGAGATACGGTATTGGCTACCAAAAGTATCTCGGACTCTGGCCCGATCTGTCGAGTATAGACCTTGTAGATGACGAAGAGAGTAGAGAACTTGCTACAGTAAGCGTTTCGTTTACGGTCTATGTTTTACTTTGGTTAATACTGTTGCATAGTGTACCCGCGATACGTCTACCAACTCTAGCAATCCCCGAGACGCTGCCGATCTACTGGAACGAGCTCTTGAGCGTCTTTTACCGATAATAGGCGACCACCTTTCATCTATGGTTGCGGGAGCTCTATATAACGGTCTACCCCACCCTGCGCCCCCGTATCTTCCGTCTTCGTCCGCTGTAAACGTCCAACTGTCTCGTCTCGACGTCGTGAAGAAGCTATACGGCTCTGAGAGCTTCCGATCCCCTCAGCAAGCAACCATGTTCGAGTATATATTGCAAAACACGTATACGGTCGTCGGTATACTCCCGACCGGGGGTGGGAAGTCTCTCATGTTTTACGGTCCACCGCTGGCAGAAAAGGACGGCATTACCATTGTTATCTCACCGTTTGTCGCCTTGGCAGACGAACAGTTTGAGACGGCCCAGCAACTGGGTATACCCGTCAGTCGTTGGCCCTCTTCCGCTACAGATCTGTCGTCCACTCGTCTTCTCGTTGTATCTGCTCATGCAGCAGGCACAGCCGATTTCGTCCGATTTGTCCGCGCATCCGCTGAGATGGGCCTTATACGGCGCATCATCTTTGACGAAGCCCACCAAATAATACTCTCCGCCCAATACAGGCGTTGCTACGACACCCTCCCACTCTTGACTCGTACTGGGGTCCAAGTGCATTTCCTTAGCGCCACGCTACTTCAATGCAGCATCGACGAGATCATTCGAATCTCTTGCATTCCTGTGGACACCGTACATGTAATCCGAGCCCCCACGTTTAGACCCAATATCTGCTACGATGCTCAACACTTCTCAAACAATTCCGCCCTCAGCGCGTATGACCAGATGATGAATCAGGTCGAAGAAATATGCTCAGAACACGTGGATCAATTGGATGAAGACGGACGAGTGCTCATATATTGCAGCTCATACAGGGAATGCGACGACGTGTTCGAACGAACTCGTTACCCCATTCATCGTGCCAAAGGGTCTACTGGCGATGACGACGAAGACGACGCCAAGAAGAGGCAAGCGGTTGCACATGACTGGAGGGCTGGGCGCCCCAAAGTCTTGATTGCCACCACTGGATTTGGCAACGGTATTGACTACGCGCACGTCAGAGTCGTCATCTCCGTCAACGCTCGTAACGGCAGTGATGCGGTACAGCAGACGGGTCGCGCTGGTCGCGATGGAAAGCAAGCATACGCTTACATCCTTGGGTCTCTACCGCTGCTGGCGTCCGCCGTTCCTGATCCAGACTTTGCGGGCGTTGCCATCATGAACATGTTGTATGCGAAAAGGGACTGTATACGTATATGCATGGGCGAATTCGATACCGAATCATATAGCTGTGTATCTCACGGTAGCAGTCGAGCGGTTTTATGCACGCGCTGTAAGAGTTCGGAGGTAAGTCCAATAGACCAAGCCTCGTATACGTTGGCTAACGCTCACCTAGTTTACCAAGTCCATGTCTCTAATACCAACTCAACCAGGGCCTCGCAATTATCGCGTCCGCTCAACCAATACACCCGTCGTCTCATCTCAGATCACGCGCCCATCTCCCCATATCAATACCTCTCTTGTGCCGCCAGACAGCAAACGGCGATATATTCCTGGATCCGTCGACAGACCTCCGCAACCAACCGCAAACTTGATACACACAATCGACGACATATCAGACGATATGATAGCCGTTCATCCGTTCGACACTCCCGCCTCGCCAGACGATCGTTTACTGACACATAAGGCATATCCAACACCTGCCAGTCCCTTGCATACCGTCCAACGATCCCGAGCATCTAAACAATCAATGTCGAGACCATCAGCTATCAATTCATCCGAGGTTTGTAGGCACGTACGTTCTATTGCGTATAATATACTAACCACCCTTTTAGCTATCTCTACCCACAATTTCGGCACATCGGCAGAAAGGAAAAGGTCGTACCAATGCCACACATGAAACTAGCATGCCCCCCCCTCTTTTGCCCCAAGAGCGGGGTATAGCCAGAGGTCAACCATCCGTTACGCCAGACGATGATGTATTCAGCTCGCACTATCCGAATGTCCACGGCAACACGGGCCAGCCATCGGGCCAATCCGATCGATCAACATCGAGACCGTCTACTACGCGTTACCAGCTCACCCTACCATCCGTCCCGACGTATAAAGGGCCCACGTTACCCCATATTGTCGACGCTGCGTCCCCGCCAGTGGACATAGGCAACACACGACCCTCTGATACGTTACATACGAAGAAGCAAGCTCATCGACACAACACGGTCGTCTCTACGTTTACAACTTCGGCATACGCCTCTCCGCGTGGTCTTAGTGAACCAGCACCCGCACGATCCATCTCCGATCTAAGAAAAGAGGCAGTCGACGAGCGGCAAGAACTGTCGGATGTTCGTCGGGGGCATTTCGCGATTATAGACCAGTTCTTCTCTATTCGCCCGGCCACATGCGTTATATGCTGTTTACTCGGCAATGCGCATACTGGCTGCCAGGAAAACCTCTACATGACATGCGAGTCGGGTTTATTCAACCCTTGGCGATCATCGGTTAACTTGTCGGGCACTGTGACGGCGGCGAGCGAATTTAATAAATTTCGTACCACATTGCGTTTCCAAGAGGATCAACACGTTTGTTATCATTGTATGCGACAAACCGATATAGACGCACACCCGCATGTAACTACAGTCAAAACGTGTGACGAGTTTGCGGACGTGATCAAGAACTTTGCATGGGCGGTATATTGTTTACCGGCCGCTTGTTCCGAAGGTCGAGAAGAAGGCCGCAGGTGGAGGAAGGCTCTACTCGATACGTTCGACCCCCCACCTCCGACAACCCGCCCAGACTTTGAACAATGGTTATCGACAACTCCCGACCCTCAAGGACTTAATATCACTAACATATTGATGTTGTGTATCCATTGGACTGTGATGTATAAAAGCCACAGATGGCCGCCGCCGTAGGATAGACGTTACGTATATGCATGTGGTACACGGTGTAGTCGTTTAATCGTACTCGTTTGTTGTCTCGTCACTCCCTCCGTTCTCGCCACTCCCGCCAGTCTCGTCACTCCCATCGTTCTCGTTATCCTCTCTGTCCCCTCTGACTGCACGCTTCCCGCGCCTGATGCGTCGTTTCTTGATAAAATCTGCCACATAGCCTGCTACGGTATCGTCACCTGTTATGAACCTGACGGTCTCGATTACAGTGTGATCGTTGTTATCTTCATTACCGTAGTGATACTTGACCATCGGGGCTTCGACATCGTAGCGCAATTCATCGGGGTAACGGGTAGCTTCGTCTCCTACGGCGTAACGATGGGGTATGTTGTCGAAGAAGAACTGAAAGAACGATCCGAAACCTGCGCTATGTTGGTCTTTGCTATACCTACTCGCGTTCCAGCGACTGTCTAACAAGACGATCGAACCGAACTAAAAATACCATCAGAATATTATCATTTGCATAACTAAGACTAATGCTTGCCTCGTTGTAAACAGATAGCGTCCAATTACGCGCGGTCACAGCTTTGTGTTCGATATCTCTAAACCTGACGCGAGTTTTCTCGAACCAGGCCTGGAACTCCTTCGACGTCAGTTCGCTCTTCGCGTGTTGGATCTCCTTATGCTTCAAAATCTCGAACGAGTCGGTAATATATTTCGTCTTCCATGCCCTCCCGCGGCTTCCCCATTCCTCGGCCATTTGAATCTGCACGATAATCGACAGAACATTCTGGACGAGATCATGTACCTTTGACTTTGATTCGAACGTGGCCAACGACTGTTGTAGACGTCAGTACGATAATTTACATATTTGCGAGTCGACCCACCTTGCTCCAGTTCCCCATGCGCTCCATAGAATCTTCCGACTCATTCACCAGCGCGATCGCTTCGATTTGTACCCTGAAATTCCCGTCTTTTCTGACTACTTCCCCGAACCATGTATCCTGTATAATCGTCAAAAGGATCCGTATACAAGGTAATGTGTAGTCCCTCACCAAGTCCTTGCTCGTAAGCTTCATATAACCTTGCAACAATCGAGCAAACGACGTGATTTCTGCATCTCTATGATCCCCGTTCTCATAACCAATAGTACGGCGCCACAGAGAATGAACGCCGGCTTTATTCTTCATATTTACCGATCGAATAATGAAATCTAACTGCATCTAAAATACAGTACCGTTAAGTACGTGATAATAGATAGAATGAGCAGAATAGACTTACGGCATTTGCCTTCGCCCGTTCTTCGTTCTTGGTAGGCTGAGTAGGCTTAGGGTCGTCTTTGTTGCCCGAGTCATCCTTATTGTCGTCCTTGGATGTATTCTTATGCCCAGCCCTCTTTCCCCCGCTTCGCCTGGTCTTCTTTCTGGATGGTTTGTCAATTGCAGTGCCATCTTCGTCAGTTCCATCCGCTTGGTCGAGCAACCGCTTACTGGACGCGGTGGTGGTGTCCACTTGCGTAGGCGGCCAAGTGATAATCTCGTTATCCAATACCACATGAACCTCGTCTGCTATATCGTCTACAAACGAGTTGGTACTTATATGCGCATATATAGACAACACGTACCCCATGAATCTTCTTCTACATCGTATTCGCGGTCCCCTTGCTGCCTTCGCTGCAACTGTCGAAGCGCCGCGATCTCGGTGGCCGTGACTTTCTCTAGGAATATTATGCTAGCCTCGATCTCCTTGCGATCTAACCCTTCATCGCCATCGATCATGTTGCTGACATCGACTTCTTTAATTAGATTACGAGTATTCACGAGCAACTTGCAACCCAGTTGTATCAGGGCCTTAACGCGTTTCATGGCGGACGATTCAGACATTGTATAGGTGAAGAAGGACGAGTCGTTCGTGGCGACGAGAGGGATGATGGATGTAGAGGACGAAGAGGCGTATTGCGTTGACGAACGCCCGACAGTGTTGTTCTTATTTGGATCACCAAGTGCCAAACACGATCGAAAGTGGCCATTTCGGTCATCGGAATACGGAGACGACTTGGTCTGTGCGGTGACAGCATAAGACCTCGCACTATCCGTGCTTCCTTTCTTCCCTACCACCACGTCAACCCTCCCCTCATCCCCTGTCTACGCTACCGCCATCACCGTGTCCAAAGACGCGGAGAGAACGAACTAATATAGATGCCACGACTGACGCGTATATAGCCCTTGCTATCTACGACAAGATGATGACCATTCATCTGCTCGCGAACGCCCGTCGATCACGTTGGGTATTCACTTAATACGACGCGTTCAACTCCCAATGTATAGGCCTTCGGGACGTCTACGTGCCCCCCGTCGCCATGAGCCGCAAGTACATCAAGGCCATCGAGCGTGCGTTACGGACGGCGAGAACGTTATTCGAACAGGCCAATGACGAGCGATCCGGAGACGCTAAATGTACGTGGACACCACGTTGACCTTGGCCTTTTCAGCCTATCATCTAGGCCTTGGGGAGGGGGGCGGATAAGGATTGGCATGAATCGTATGGTCGACGGGGTATTGCCATCGCCAAGCTCATTACAAGCGTGGAGTAGACAGGATATGGATATACAGTACGGGACGTTCCCAGTACGATACATCGGGCATCCCGTAAGATCTATACACGGTACAGGATGTTCCTAGTACGGCGTATTCGCAGCGATCCACTAGTGAAATGGGACATCGGTACAAGAGAGTTCTTAGTACGGAGTCATCGATCGTCACGATCCCTGCAATCGAGTAAATCGTCATCAGTAACCACCCCACGACCTTGGAAAAGGACTGACTTACCATCAACCTATAGCACCCGATCGACCACAGACGCGTTCTCCTAGAGATATATACGTATGAGAGAGCCATTAGAATATCTCAACGACAATATATACACACTCACCTATCTATATTATCCGACGGATTACAGGGTGTAATCGGTCGACCTCCTCCAAAGTGGACGCAACAACTTCACACACCTCCGTTAGGGCCTACTGATGGAGAATCACCTTGTCGCGTCCACCTTTTCTTGTCCCGCTGTCCCTCCACGCCCCCTTCTTCGTCGAGAATCTCGCTGAGCGTAGCGAAGCAACCGTCGCTCCCCAACCCTATCCACTGAGTCCTGGCCTAATGCTGGGTTAATTTTGACCAAAACTTATACTTTTGACCTATTCACCCCCGTTTTTTGACCTATCTATATTATCCGACGGATTACAGGGTGTAATCGGTCGACCTCCTCCAAAGTGGACGCAACAACTTCACACACCTCCGTTAGGGTGTTCTGATGGAGAATCACCTTGTCGCGTCCACCTTTTCTTGTCCCGCCGTCCCTCCACACCCCCTTCTTCGTTGAGAATCTCGCTGAGCGTAGCGAAGCAACCGTCGCTCCCCAACCCAGGGTTAGGTGACGAAATATGTCCGGGCATGTTAGGAGAGTATACTGATCAAATTCCTACGGAGATATCTGCCCTCCTCCTCATGCTACAGCCCAAATACCGTTTCGGTACGAGGAGGAACAGGGCCCAAGTCGCAGGATGTGGGCCCAAGTGGACGCGACAAAATCCCATCTCTAGGTATACCTTCAGGCTATATGGGAAACCTTGTTGCGTCCACTTGGGCCACTTTCTCCTTGTTCAGCAGCTGCATTACTACCTGCAAAACCACTATACTGGTTCCATGGGTGTGGGAAATGGGCCCAAGTGGACGCAACAGCTCACCAAACCTCCCAATATATATTCCCTAGGACTGGGTCGTTGTTGCGTCCACTTGGGCCCACCTGGGCCTGACCTGTGGAATTATCTTTGTGTTTTATTTAATGTGCCCCTGTTCTCCTGTTCTCCTGACCTGCCTGTTCAGGCAGCTGAGTTTTCGCATTTTCTCACAGTCACAACTCATTACAAGTCCGACCTCATCACAAAATTAGTTTCTCACAGTCAGTAGCTCATATTAGGGACTTCAAATTCCGCTCTAATGACACTTTTTGTAATGAAACATGGTCAGAACCTGCTCCAATTGCTTAGGTATATAGGAGGATGTTGTTCAGAATAACAAAAAACATAAGATGCAAAAACTCCGAAGTAGTTAGGGCCATTTTATGGCAGTCAAGAAGGGCAAAAATGCGAACTTAAGTAGCAAATAGTGAGCTACTGACTTAGGGATTGATTTTCATGGCTTGCTTGAGTGGACAAAGTTGTTCAGAATGTAAAAAAACATAAGTCCGATGTGTGGAGCAATCTGTAGCACCAGGTCCTCTCATTTAAATTCAGCAAAAATGCGAAGTACAGCCAGAAGGTGACTCCTAGCCCCCCTAGATCATGTGCTTACAGAAAACCTCTGAAGTATTCTGTAAGCACATGATCCAGGGGACTCAAGGGGCATTCCCACCAGCAAAATCCGCTCCAAGTGCCTTTTTTTATTCAATACAAGGCCAGGACTGGCTCCAATCTCTTAGGTATGTAGAGTTAAGTTGTTTAGCATCATGAAAAACATAAAATACAAAAACTCCGGAGTAGTTATGGGCCTATCTATATTATCCGACGGATTACAGGGTGTAATCGGTCGACCTTCTCCGTTCGCGGCGCAACAACTTCACACACCTCCGTTAGGGTGTTCTGATGAAGAATCACCTTGTCGCGCCGAGTTGCGCCGCTTCCCCACGCTCCAGTGCCCCCTTCTTCGTCGAGAATCTCGCTGAGCGCAGCGAAGCAACCGTCGCTCCCCGACCCAGGGTTAGGTGACGAAATATGTCCGGGCATGTTAGGAGAGTATACTGATAAAATTCCTACGGAGATAGCTGCCCTCCTCCTTGTGCTGTAGCTCAAATACCGTTTCGGTACGAGGAGAAGAGGGTGCCAACGGCCAGGATGTTGGCGCGACTCGGCGCAACAAGTACCCATCTCTAGGTATACCCTCAAGGTATATGGGACAACTTGTTGCGCCGTGTTGCGCCGCTTCCTCATCATCCAGCAGCACGTTTACTACCTGCAAAACTACCATACTGGCCCCAGCCACTTCAAACAGTGGCGCAACTCGGCGCAACAGCTCCCCAAACCTCCCCATATATATTCCCCAGGACTGGGTCGTTGTTGCGCCGAGTTGCGCCACCATCTGAGGAAGCTGTGGAATTATCTTTGTGTTTTATTTAATGTGCCCCTGTTCCCTCTTTCCCCTGACCTGCCTATTCAGGCAGCTGAGTGTTCGCATTTTCTCACAGTTACAATACATCACAACTCCGACCTCACTACTAAATTAGTTTCTCACAGTCAGTAGCCCACATTAGGGACTTCAAATTCCGCTCTAATGACACTTTTTGTAATGAAACATGGTCAGAACCTGCTCCAATTGCTTAGGTATATAGAGGAATGTTGTTCAGAATAATAAAAAGCATAAGATGCAAAAGCTCCGAAGTAGTTAGGGCCATTTTAAGACAGTCAAAAGCTGGAAAAATGCGAACTTAAACAGCAAATACAGGGTTAGTGACTCAGGATTTGATTTTCATGACTTGCTTGAGGGTAGAAAAGTGTTCAGAATGCGAAATTACATGAGATACAATTGACAGTATATAGCTAGCATATTTGATGGACAAGCTACAGTCTCCAAAATGCGAAATTAGCAGGAAGAATGAGCTGTACTGCCTCAGGATTTGATTTACAGGTCTTGTTTGAGTGGACAAAGTTGTTCAGAATGTAAAGAAACATAAATCCGATGTGGGGGGCAATTTGTAGCAACAGGTATTGCCATTTAAATTGAGCAAAAATGCGAAGTACAGCCAGAAGGTGACTCCTAGCCCCCCTAGATCATGTGCTTACAGAAAACCTCTGAAGTATTCTGTAAGCACATGACCCAGGGGAGCTAGGGGACATTCCCACAGGCAAAGAACAACAAAATTCGCTCAGAGGGCCTTTTTTTTTGTGAGTACAAGGGCAGGACTTGTCCCAATTACTTAGGTATATAGAGGAAAGTTGCTCAGAATGATAAAATACATAAAATGCAAGAACTCCGAAGTAGTTAGGGCCATTTTAATGCAGTCAAGAAGGGCAAAAATGCGAACTTAAGTAGCAAATAGTGGGCTACTGACTTAGGGATTGACTTTCATGACTTGCTTGAGTGGCAAAAAGTGTTCAGAATGCGAAATTACATAGGATACAATTGATAGTATACCATTGGCATATTTTAGGGACAAGCTACAGTGTCCAAAATGCGAAATTAGCAACAAGATTGATTTATAATGCCTCTGGATTTGATTTTTATGACTTGCTTGAGTTGTTCAGAATGCGAAATTACATCGAACTGATTCAATACAATGTAAGATTAGAGGGTGAACCAGCAGCATCAGAAAGTACCAATGAGAAGGGAAGTCTCATCTTCCTTTAGTTTGTTCTTAACTCAAAGATGCAAAATCTATACTGACGTCCTGGCGTGGGAAAGTGTTATGGAAGAACTGTATAGCTAATTTACAGTTGAAGCGGAGTCCGAAATTATTATCTGACATCAATCCATCAATTTCTCTTCTTTCTTCTTTACCACTATCTGATCTTTGAGTGAATTGTTGTTCAACTGAATCCCTCAACAACTGCTTAGTTTTAGTTACTCCGTCTTGCTATACCAGTTTTCTACTACATAAATTGATACAGTATATACAAAAACAGATCAAATACATATAGTATATATAAAAAAAATGGCCTCTTTACTTCCTTTTGCTCAAGTTCTTGATAAATTTCCTTCTTTACTATCTTCTGATGCTTTACAACTTCCTCCTCCTGTAAAAATTCAAGTAGAGTCTGATGTTGTTAGTGCAGAAAGCCCTAGCGAGCTCAGTAGTTTACTGTCAGAGTTTGAACTTGGGCATTTTATTC